ACATTATCCTACAAACTCTTGTATATTGTAAGGTAAAATATTGACTATTAGAAAATAAGATGGAGGCACCAACTCCAAAACAAATTAAATCTTACCTCAGCACTTCACTATTGCGATAAGTAAAACAAATGATAACCTCTATGTTAGATCATATTGATGTGAAGTGGGAAATGTTTATGTAACGTTCACATGGGAATAAATAAAGTCTTTCTTTCTTCTTCCCACCTCTTTTTATTTGGTTGGATTTCCTTTGAATTTTGGTCGCTGTTGCTGAGGGGAAAGGAAATGGCACATGTGGTTATTAAAACCCCCATTGCAGCCAGCACATCCAGGGCAATGTATGTGCAATTATTTCGAAACCTAACCTGAAGATTGAATTTGACAGCGCATATTATCCAACATAGTACATACTCCTGTATATCATCCAAACAATTTTCATTGTAAAGAGTACTCAATTTTGTATATCGATGGTCGAAATCTGAATATGTAAATCTTACGAAACGAGTATTTATATTTGAATCAAGGATGTAGGTCAATCCAATACAGGGAGGGGGAAGCGTGTCATGCATCCAAATGACCGTTTAACATTACAATCAAGTAATCTTCTTGTATATGGAACGATCTGAAAAAAAAAATTGACAAACAATATCATGATTGGTTGGATGGACGGTCGATAGCTTCGACAAGACCAAAATTCATACTGAACGACCTTAGCCATATACTTATTGAATGATGAGTACGTATAAGAGGCAAGTAATACGGTCTTTTTGCTCCTACTACTATTAGTGGTGAAAACGAGAGGTACATGCTCGACCATTATACTTGCTCATGAGTGCATGCTAAAAACATCTTTTTATTTTCTTTGTAAGGAGGCCGTCACAACAAGTTCACTATTGACAATTGAGCAACGGTGGACTTGGACGAGATACATTAACGTGACTAGTCATACGTACTTTGTCACATGAGACTTCTGTTCCCGATCTCCCCAGAGTAGGAAGGAAGACCATAGCTTCTCAAATGTCCACTTACACCACACATCCCTCTCAATTTTTGGGTCAAGCTAGCTAGCTACATATCAATAGGGCAATATCTCTCTTCAACTAGGCTTCTCAAGATGGCTTTTTTCAAAGGGTTGTTACTTGTTAGGTACAAGGACTTTACCCAACATATATGGAAAATTGAGGGATCCAATGCACATATATTGGGGAAATATAACCCTAATCAAGGGCTAAAACTAGTTGGCACCCAATGATTAAAATCCTAGCTGTGGAAGGAAGAAATATGTAGAGGTTATATGGTCCAGTCACATGCATCACCAAGCAATCATTGCTCTGAATATACAGTTATATGTACAATTGTATAATAATAAATAATATCTATGGTCCAATCCAATTATATACAATTTGACTAACTATGTGACCTGACCTTGTTGGATTTATTTGGGCTTAATGAATCTAGGGCCAAACCAACCAGATGATCCATATTATTATTACCTACATGTCATTCTATAATATCTATATATGTCTCGTATTATTTGTGTGTCTCGAAATTTCATCAAAGTCCGTTTTTATAATCACAATTTTTTTATCAATAATTTGGTTGCGTACAACTAGGGGTGGCAGTTCGATTACCGGCTATCCACTAACCAGTAACCGAACTTTGGTCGGTTATCGAAAGCTGGCCAAAATGATTTTTTATCTTAAAAGTGGTTCGGTTAACAGATAACCGAGGTAACGGAGAAAGCGAAGCCTATTTCGGTCGGTTTTCGGTAAGGGGGTGTTTATTTCAATTAACTTATATCCGGTCAATCGGTTACCGGTTATAACCGAAATAACCGAATTGCTAGCCCTACTTACAACCTATCGTATTTGATTACAGTCGATATTGTTATTGAATTTCCATACTAAACAAAAATCCAAAAACCCACCAGAGTTTACTTGAGTTATTTATTTGACCACGTATATATACGGACTCATTCTGTGGCCAGCCCAGCCACCACACAGCTATAGCTTAGCTAGCTGCCGTGTACCATATTGTCGCAAACTGTTGCAAAAAGAAAGAAAAAAGCTGCCCATAATTGTTGTCCAATAAACTTTTTACTCCCACGATTTGTGGAAAAATATATGAAAAAAAAAATAATTCACGAAGAAGATACAAAAATCATTATGATAGCATGTCAAGAATTAAATCGATAAAATATCTCGATATTTTTTTGTTACTTGATATAAAATGTCAATTGCAATAGTCCTACAAAAGCAGAAAATTGCGAGTACCTAGTACGATAAATTAATTGGTTGATTTCAGTAACTTGAGTTTTTATACTTTAGAGACCAAAACAATGCAATTTATACCATTGTCCAACCGTACGCTTTTAGGGAGAAGCCAATTTGTGGGATTCGTGAGTAAACGGTATAAAGTTTATTCTTGAACCTGTATCAACGACGACGTAACATGATTTATTGTGACAAAAAGTTGCTTAACAGGTATAAATGCTGGTTTGATCGTGAGATCACGTGTTCAACTTCTCACAATGCTTAATATTAAAATGTTTATTTAAAGCGCAGATTTCAAGTCAATGAGTTGTATTTTGTTTGAGAGAAAATGATTAAAATTCATACAGGAGCCAGACATAAGCCCACCATGTAGTTTCATTCTTAAATAGCCTATTAACAAAACAACAAAGAACCAGGCAAAAAATATGACATTTACATGGAAACCTTGACGAAAGCACAAATCTAAATCCTATAGTGAAACCTCATCTTTTACCGTTTTCCTTACCGATAATCTAGAAGATGCAGTACCGTGTACCGCACAATATCAAAATTGCAAGCTGCTTCTATGTGACCTACAAATTTTTGGCTAGTTTTTCTTCTTTTTAACTGCAAAAAGATTATATTTTTTTCGTTTCAGGACAAGCGAATCATTCATGATAAAGAACACGAGTACAGTCTTAACTGTTTTGCGCCGCAGGGGTTGGTTCATAAGAAGTTCGATGAAAGCGCAAATTTAGAAATCTACATTTCTTAAAAAATCATTCACCCGGAGGAGTTACGGTGCTAATTGTACAATGGTTAGCACCATCCTAACCAAGGGAAAAACTACTACTAGTTTGAATTAGTAGTGATTTAGCTTAGATGTTGTATTGATTTTATAATAATCCGTAGTGATTTCGTTATTTTCAGTAGCGTTTTTTACTAGTTATCACGGTGCTAACCCCTATACGAGTTAGCACCTAATCTCATCCCCATTCATATCCTAATCACTCGCGACATACACCTTTGTTTGCTCGAATCTCTCCCTAAGTCAATCAAGAATATTACCATGTCTAGCTTTGTATGTATGCATATTAGTAAGAAAGAAGGGAAGTGGGAGAGAGAACAGCTAATGCAATGGCCGGATATGGCTGTCTGCAAAACAAAAAGGAAAAAACACCATACACTATCGGCAAGATTACGTGCCATGATTGATGGTAAATTGGGTAAGAGAAAGAAATACATAATACAAAGAGTGAATATTCATTCTTTTTCTCCATTTCTATACATACTTCTTCTTCTTCTTCTTCTTTCCAACCAACAACTACACAGAGATAAGCTAGCACTAACTAAGACAACATTCATTCTTTCTTTCCATTTGTTGGTTGTACGTATTTTGTTTCCTCCCGCAAACGAGAGAAACCCTAAATCGTGATCGTGGGCTGTCCTTTTTGTCTCGTTCCAAAACGATGAGGCAGCTACGGGATTTTCATTTCATGCACCAGCAGAAATAAAAGATGATGGCAACACATGATATGATCTTGTTTCCAAACTGCTTTGCCTCCTTGTGCCGCCCGATCCCACCACCCCGACAATACTGGTTGATGATGAACACATTGCATTGGGAGATACATAATAATGGAGTATGATGTATGATCGAGGAGAGGAGAGGAGAATAATTCAGTTTGCAGCATGTTTTTAGATAATGGAGTTAGTTAGAGGAGATGAATTGTCATAAGTAGTTAGTTCTCGTGTACGATGAGTATGTACCGCGGTTACGATAGTTGAGTGGTTTTCGAGTACTGAGCCATGCGTTAGGTTACTTTGGATCGATCGTGATTGGTTAGCGTCTTAGCGAGATGGAGTCGATTTGATTCCTTGGTTAGTCGATACATTCATAGTGTGATTTTGGTACGATGTGATCTTGAGTTTACTGGGTTTGAGTTGAATTAACGAATTGGACTATATACCTCTAGATAAGAACTATTGAGCTCGGTTTTACGTATAGACAAAAAAATATAATTGATAGTGAGGGACACCCCTAAAATTTGAAAAAATGATTATCCTACTGTCATTTGTGTATAAAAATATAAATGTAGGTTGGGTAATTCAAATCTAGAACACTATTATTATTATTAATAAACTTAATTTCCGTTGACCTACAACTCATTTGTTGTTCGATTTTGAACAATGTGCAATAGTAAAAAGTCATTCCCTATCTCTAATTATTTCAATCTAAACTAATTTCAATCTACCCTTAATTTGTATTGATTTTATGATTGTACGGCAAGTGTTGAAGAGGCTTTCAGCTTTGGGTTACATCAAGAACAGGTTTACAAATCGAATATGCGATAAGTTCCTGAATGATTGTCTAGTAGGGTATATAAAGAATTTTTTTAACAATATAAACACCAAGTGTATTCTACAATTATTTTCGAATATGAAAAACACATCATTGACTTTTTTTAACCTGTACGAGTAAGGTATTTTCATATTTACAATTTTATTTTTATTTAATTTATTTTTTAAAAGAGGACACCCCTATGGAAAATTTCTGGGTCCGCCACTGCTTCAAAGCATTGCATAAATATTTCTATACTTGGTGTGAATAAATATAGTGTGATATGCGAGATTATCTGTATAATTAATTTCTTGTAAATAAGATTCGTTAAGTTATTAACTTATTGAGAATTGAATTTTGACTAAAACTTTAAAAGACTTGTCTTGGAGTACAATGAAAGTCGATAACTTAATTTTGTAGGATATCCATTCGTTGACAGTAGAAGAGATATAATAACTGTACAAAATTGCGAGAAAAAAGTAATATGGTCCAATTGATGAAATGGAACTTGTAATTCATGTATCAATTGCGAAATGAAAACTTATTAAATTTACGAGAGAGAAAAAAAATTATCAGAATCTGACGATCGTGACGGAAATAATATATGCATAAGTATATTCTTACATCTACTCATTCAACATTGAAATCATATTTGGGTAAAACAGTAAACCGATTGTCTCCTTGATACACAAGATTGTCTCCTTCAAAACGTAAGTTTAAACCTTGAATTATTAAGAAAAGTACTAGACCATAGATTTGGAGTATAAGAAAGCAAAGAAAAGAAGGGTAAAAACTAAGAACCCATTAACCATGATGTTGTTTTGTGGGGATCGACTGTCCAGCGTGGAAGTGATTAACATGATAAACACCCCATAATCACTCATCTTCCCTAATCTTAATACAAAAATTAATTCACCAAAAATTACTGTTTTGGCTGCCCTTAACCATGATGAAGCTTCCCAACATCATTATCCATCCGTAACTCGACAACATATCTGATGTTTTTTTTTGTCCTCATGATATTTTTTTTTGCTGCAGGTTGTTGGTTAATTATGATTTATGACAGACATCCTTTTTGTAGCATTAAAACATTTGCTCCCCCACAAAATTGAGAAAACCTATTGTTTACACAAGTTATATATATATTTTCTACATTTCACCTAACATTTTAGATGAGTCTCAAATCCACAAATTATGTGAGTGATTCATGGTCCATAAAAAATAATTTAAGCTTAATTCACAAATCACAATATACATTTTAGAGGCAAATGAACGAATTATTATGAGAACGTTAAAAATTAAAATATACTCAGGATGAAGTCGTGAGTCCCAATAATTATGGGTTGGCTGTTATTTCAATAGACATGAAGGTTGATTAATTAGAGTATCAGTATGGATCCTAATTACTCATTACCACTTTATAAAGTTTGTGGATTTGGGCCCAACCGATTGACGGACAAGGTCCACCTGACATCAAGCTCTATAGCCCGAAGAAAAACGGGCCCAAATATGTACAAAGATTGGCCCAAAACAGGCTACCCAACACACCACTCGCTCTAGTAATCCGACCCGCATCCGAAACCAGAGAAAAAACCCTGGAAAAACCCTGCGAAACGAATAAACGGAGGAAAAAAAAAAGGGGGAAACGAGAGGAGACCGAACTCGAGCTTTGCACAACCATGGCGGCTCACAAGGAAGACGGCAAAAAATTGAACAAGAGAAAGCAATCTCCGGCATCCAAACCCGGCCGGGATGGTTCCGCTACCAAAAAGCCGAAGTTCGGCAGCTCGAAGGTTGACGATAAGAAGGGGAAGAAGCCGTTTAAGTCAGTGAAGAAGTATGCGAAGTCCAGTCATGGTGAAGATAGTAAACAGACTAAGGAGCCGCTATCCAAGCGAGAACTCCGAATCGAGGCTAAGGTGTGAGGAACTGGGTTTTCTTTTTAAACTCGAAGTTGTAGTGTTAATGGCGAATTTGGGGGAATTGGTTTCTGGTTTTGGGGATTTATTTGGGTTTTTTTTTTTTTTGCAGGAGTTGGCCGAGGCAAGGAAGAAGAGGAGGAAAAGACACTACACTTTGGAGCAAGTAAGCCGTGTGGTTTTTCTTTTAGCTCTGGGATTTCGTTCCTTTCTTTGGGTTTCTATTGATTTGGGTACATTTCATTTGCATAGGAGCTTGCAAAGCTATGGGAGAAAATGAGACAGCGTAACATAGCCAAAGAAGATAGATCCAAGTTAGACTAAACATCACTCGTTTACCGATTCTATCTCATTAACTTTTGCGAAGTTTTCCTTTGCTTACTGTGAATTGTCCTTAGGTTGATTAGCGAAGCAATACAGAAGATGAAAGGGAAGATACCCGAAATCGCTACTTCTCATGTTTCTTCACGTGTTCTTCAGGTGGTCCACTAACTATCTACTCTTTCAGTTACTTGCTACTACCGAATCATGCTGTGGCAACAGAATTTGATTGTTTCATTTTGTTTTTTTTTTTCCGCATTAGACTTGCGTTAAGTATTGTTCTCAGACTGAGAGGGATGTTGTGTTCGGTGAGCTGAGGCCGCATTTCCTGAACTTTGCTTGCAACCCATATGCAGTTCATCTTGTGAAGAAAATGTTAGACAGTGGTATGTTTGAATAAGATTTGCTTTAAGCTCAGTAATGATCTTCAACTTTCTTAATCTTTTATAAGCCTTTTCATCCTCGTTGACATCTGTTTGCCTGTGGTATATATGCAGCTTCTAAGAAGCAGCTGGGAGATTTCATCTCATCCCTCCGTGGGCAAGTTGCCTCTCTTCTTCGCCACATGGTTGGATCAGTCGGTATGGTGCTCCTGAAACAATTTCTTCTATTCTTTCATTTACCTTCAAAGTTCAAACGAGGGTGAATACTTCTCGTTTTAAGAAACATATTTTTTTTAAAAATTGCTTCCATCTTCTCTTCAGTTGTTGAGCATGCATACCAAGCTGGTAATGGAACTCAAAGACAGGAGCTTTTGCTGGAATTGTATTCCACCGAACTCCAGTTGTTTAAGGATCTTTCCTTAATCAAAGAGAGCAGGTAACATCAACTTAATATGTATTTATTGTATTTGTGGTGATAATAGTTTGGGCTCTTTTATTAGAGTGCAATCTCTTATGCCAAATCATGTTTCAGGTTGGTGGATGTGATCGCTAAATTGAACCTTCAGAAAAGTTCAGTTTTACGACATATGACTTCTGTAATTCAACCTATTCTAGAGAAGGGAATTGTTGACCACTCTATCTTACATCGGGTGCTTATTGAGTACTTAAGTATTGCTGATAAGGTGTGTTGAAAAGTTACAGTATTGGCACTTCTTTTTGGACAAACTTTTTCGCATTTTTCCTCAATGAGTTTGTATATAGTTCTCTGCAGCTGATGTACTCGAGCAATTGTCGGGTCCACTTCTTGTTCGAATGATCCATACTAAGGATGGGTCTCGTATTGGCATGCTTTGTGTCAAACATGGGAGTGCAAAGGTTGGTGCTTGTCCTAATCGTGAAACTTACTTAGAACAACGTTCAAGCTTCCTGTGCATTTGGTTAGCTGTAGAAACATTCTTACTCTTACACTGGAATTTGCTTTTGTCATTCGTTATCATGATCAGGAAAGAAAGAAGATTGTCAAAGGAATGAAAAGCCATATATTAAAAATTGCTTATGACCAATATGGGAGCCTGGTAAGATAGCTTAATTTAGTTATTCCCTTTTCTTCCAACATTCCTTGGGTCATATCCTTTTTTCTTTTTTTCCCCTTGTGATAGAGTAAACTTTCTAAGGTGCTACGCGTTATTTCTCATTTTTTCAGGTGCTTGCATGCATTTGCTCCACTGTGGATGACACAAAACTCCTGACAAAGGTACATTTGCTGCAATGGCTTCTGCTCATTTTATTTGAATGTTACTTTTGGTGGATGTTTTATGAATGTTTCTTGGTTTCAGATTGTGATTCGTGAGCTTCAAACTAGTTTGAAGGAGCTTGTTCTTGATAAGGTCAGTACTCTACTGCAAACTATAAGTCACACTTGGAACATACTTTGTCATTAAAACTGAGCAAGTAAAAATTGTAATCCGTTTGATGAGCACTTAACCTAAGTTGCTTATCAAAGCCACTCAATATTGTTTTCTGCTGTGCCTTCTGGAAGCGTAAGAAAACTAGAGATGATATTATAATTCGTGAGACAATTCTTATCTGTGTGTTGTTGCACTGCTTTTTCCCCATGCTATAAGCTGTTTTTGCAATTAATCAACTATTTCTTCTCCCTTGTGAATTTGAAATGACAGAATGGAAGGCGTCCTATATTGCAGCTACTTCACCCAGATTGTTCACGCTATTTCAGTCCTGATGAAATGGCTTCTCTAAATTCATCCATTTCCTCTCTCAGTGCAAAGGTGCTGCATAACTCTTTATCTTCTCTATTGCTGTTTTCTTTATCTCTAAATTCACTTGAGTTGTTTTGTCGCCAGGTTGGATCTGAATCCAAATCCATAGGAGAAGAAAAAACAGAAACAAACGAAATATCCGGTGATGAGGAAAATGATGTCAAAGAAGACACAATGGCCGAGGGAGATGAAACTGAAGATCCCGTGGAGGGTGGAAAGAAAGACCCTTTGACAAGAAGACAGGAATTATTGCTTGAAAGTGGCCTTGCTGAGGTTAGCTATTTTGCTATGCAAACTACAAAGTGTTTGTTTTTGTTTGAGCACCTAAACTAATGGTGTGGTGGGATTGTCTAATTAAATGCCGATTTCATTTGCAGAGCCTCGTCGATGTATGCACTGAAAATGTGGAAGAGATGCTTAGATCTAATTTTGGCAAGGAAGTCTTGTATGAGGTATGTCAATGAGCTCTGCATTGACATTATGCTATTCTTCGGTTTGCTAGCAAATAGGATAAAATGGAAGCATGAAAAAATAATGAGAATAAGTCAATGATTGTTGGAATTTGGGAAAGCAAATTTGATAGAGAAGTTGGTTATTAGAGCGTTCTTCTTGAATAATCGTGCTTCTATTTGTAGGTTGCAACTGGTGGTTCTGGAGGAATTCTTTTCCCTTCACTTGGTGAGAAATTGAACACCTTGCATGAGACCATAGCAGCTGTTGCAGCAGAGTCAAAATCTGAAGAGCCAGGAAAAGAACACGTCTTTGAGAACTTCCACTCCAGCCGAACAATCAGAAAGCTGGTCTTGGACTCCCCAGGTTTCGCAGCCATTCTGTGGAAGAATGCTTTGAAAGGGAAGTGTAGCTTGTGGGCTCAAGGTCACAGGTCAGTTTGGGAAAAAAGCAATTGCCACTCCCATTATTTATGAAGTTAAAATGCAAAAAACGGCAGCATTGTCTTAACTCCTTGTCCATTCTGCAGCTCTAAGGTAATACACGCATTCTTGGACTCCACTGATGATAAAGTACGCAATCTCGCCAAGAAAGAGCTGCAGCCATTACTCAAGGACGGCGTTCTTAAAGTATCGGAACACAAGGAGGCAACTAAAAAGGCTTAGATTATCATTAGCTTTTGAAATCCTCCTCAGAAGAATAGCATAACAATGAAGGGCTCAAAGCAGAAGGGCTCATAATGCTTATGTACCAATTTTGTAACAACAGACTTGTAATAGCAGTATATCACTGTACTGAAGCTTGTCTCTCTTTTGCCTGTTCCAGCTATTGATTTCTCTGTTCTTTTGCTTCTTACCAGCTACAAGTTTCTTCCTTCTTTATAAAGTTCAAAACTTTGCTCTCAGCTTCACCTAAAAGCTTTCATTTGTTAGATCATGGTCTCTGGGTTACTAAGCTTTAATTGTTAAACGAAAAGTTATCACATTTCCACAGATGTGGAAATTGAAAAACCGGCCCCCCCTGCATTTCATTTTCCCGCGTTTAATTAATTTTCCATTTGTATCCCAGTTATTTTATTGCAAATCCAAAGTTGTCCCGCTTTGTTTATGCCTCGTGCGTGCTAGTTGTTATCCTTCTTCCTCTTTCCTACTTTGGTTCATTTCTTTTCCCGTGTTAGCGTAGCGGAGTTCACAGAAGACGAAGCAGCAGCCAGACGAAAGGAAGTCCGATAAGAAGGCCGGTGACCGGCGAAGAATCCCTACAGCGCCAGCAACAGAAGAAGACGAAAAACCATCGTGGTTCAGCCAGGTAATTTCTCTTTACTTTTGTATGAAGGGGATTCTTCGATTTGTTAGGGGGAAAAGTAGGGTTTTCGGCTTTCATTATCTTGTGTCATTCATGCTTCGCTTGGAGTTCTGTGGTTGGATGGGGTTTGTTTTGTTTATATACAGAGGCCATTTCCATTGAGCTTTTCCGTAGTGCTTGCGTGAAGGTCTTGCTTGCAACTTGCAAGTGTAATGGGCTTTGATATACTGCCTTTCTTTTTTTCTTCTTCTGCTCATTCGTATAATCTTCATCTTTGTTTGTGGACAAGTTGGTGTTTCCTGTCCATTGGGTGAGGTCCTGCAATTGCTTGATGATGTTTGATAACTTCGATTGAATTGTTGTTGACTTGTATTAAGGGCCTGTTTTATCGTGTTTTAGCCTTTGATACAATTACCAGCCTCAAACAAAGACAATAACCACTGCTGTCTTTGTTCGATAAGGATGTCACGACTGTGGACATTGAATCCTACGCGTAGGCGCCAGGTGGTTGCAGCAATTGGTTCGTTCATGAACCTGCTGATGATTTATGTCAGTCTAGGATTGGAACTAGCTCAGCTTATTGAAGAAGCACACTCAAATCGTACGCGTACTAGGGAACCGACGGATAGCAACTTAACCAGCAGTTCTGAAGATGAAGGTGAACCCACCATCCCTTTGAACCAAATGAATACCGCCGTGGTGGAGGAGGAGATGTCCGAGATAACCGATGAAGGCGTGGAAGCAACATTGCGTGCAAAAAGGAAGCAAGCAACCACAGTTGCAGCTGATTCTATAGGAGGTCCAGCTCAAAAGAGGAAGAAAAGGCATTCCGATGAGAGAAGAGGCGATTTTTCAAACGAATTGAGAGAGATGAGGCGACTCATAAAGGAATCCGTTTATACAATTGCTAGAGCTATGGGGGAGAGTGAGCCGGATATCACTATGAGGGCAAATTTGATGAATAATTTGAAGAAGTTGGATGGTTTAACAACGGCGCAAAGGGTTCTTGCGTGCGAGAGGCTTTGCCAGGATCCGAGAGACTTGAGGTGTTTCTATAATATGGAGGATGACGAGGACAGGCTCATCCTTGTGCTTGATGTGCTCAAGAAGTGAACTCCAGTAATGTAGCTTAGTGTGGTTAGAATTAAGCTGTTGTCTAGTTTGCAAACAGATGTTTCTCTTTTTTGTCCATCTGCCATTGCGAAGCCCACCCAATGACAGTCTTTGCTAACCGAAGACAACCATATTTTGTATGCTTGTTATGTATTATGAAAACTAACTCTATGGAATTGTATGCTTGCTGTTAAACAGTGTTTATGTTAATGCTCTCTTCATTGCACTCGCAGCTGCATGGTGTTGACGTGTTGTGTTATGGTTATCAGAAAATGTGTAATGCTCTCTTGTCAGCAGTTGTATTGAGTCGTTTTTCAGCAGCACCACCAATTAGCAGACAGCAACACAGGAACAATCCCTAATGTTAAAAAAGAATGCTGAATTTCCCTCATTATAGAGAAGAATGCTTATGAATGGACGCAAGCAGGTTTGCTTTTCAATATCCCTCTATCTACCCTATTCTCAAACACAGGAACTTCAAACGTTCTTGACCCCTGTCCATTATTACTAAAAGTCTGTCTCCTCTGCATATTCCAGAAACTCTCAGGCTTCTTGCTAAAGCTCCTCCTCTCCCTAAAATGAGGATACCCTTCAGCTCCGTAGTTACACGGGTCGAAGATGGGAGATTCTCTCCTCGATCTGCATTGGAACAACAACGACTGGTTCGACGCAGAAGATGGCACGAAAACCGGGGCTTCGTCCCTTCTGGAAGATGAAGAAGCGTTGACCTTGAGACAATTCTCCATCACTCTAGCCTCTTCCTTGAACCTCTCCCTTATGTCCTTCAAAGCCTGCCGAATTCGGTAAGCCCTCGAGTGACTCTCGTTGATGGGTTCCTTCACCTTTGGTGCTGAGTAAGGGATTCTGTTGCATTCAATGCAGAAGCATTTCTTCCTCTCACAATCGAACTGTCTCCTCTTCACATTGTCTGATAGAACAGAGTACCCCTGCAATTAATGCTTACTCGCATGAAGCTCGCTGTTTCGCCAAAATTCAAATGCAGGACCAAGAACAGCCGAGACGAGACGGAAGGAGTTAAACCTGGAGGATGAGCTTGAATGCGATCTCGGCTTTCGGGTGATTGTTCTTGTCAGGATGAAGCTGTAGAGCTGCAATTTCAAACAGTGAAAACGGACCCAATCAAACCAGAATCACATATACACCGGACTGAAACAGAGACTATTGCAAGCCAAATAAAACAGAGGAAAACTGTACCGAGGCGATGGTACCGCCTTCTGATGTCGTCGGAATCTGCATTTTCTTCAACCTGTGTGGAAAAACAAGTGATCAAACAAAAAAGGGTTGATGACAGAAGATAGAAAGGTGATATCTTTTGCGGGGGAGAAAGGATTGAGGATCATACGCCGAGAAGGCGATACCAGTCGATGAAATACGAGGCAGGGGAAGAGAGGCGGGGAAATTCTCTGTGGATGCAGGCAATGGTGAGAGTTGACAGAGAGCAAATCTCAGATACCAATCTGGATTTGGCTACTGATGATGCTGCATCTCTCATTCTGTCTTCTGAGAGAGAAAGATCGGAGAGACAGAGAGAGGGAGAAGAAGAAGAGATACGGTTTTGTGGGATTTGATTTGAGGGCAAGGGAAAGGGAAAGGGTGGGAGAAGGGAGAGATGAAATGGTGGAGCGGTTAAGAAAAAAGAGCAAAGTTTGCGGGAGGAGGGATTTTTGAAAGTGGATCGGTGATTAGTATTACCCTTTTGATCACTAGTTCAAAAATAGTTGTGTATTAGGGTTAGTTTGGAAGTTGCAATTGTTAAATATATGTATTGTTGAGAATGCATGTATAATATTATACATGTATTGTCGAATTTGATGCATTGTAGAATACAATGTTTGGTATGTGTGATTGTGTATGTCGCATCAGCTAAAAGCTGAGACAAAACAATCTCAACTCAACTATCTCAACAATCACAACTAAAAGTTGAGATATAACAATCACTCAAAATGAGTGATAGTTTCTGTCACATCACAGAAACAATCCATGTATTGTTTCTGCTAAAAAAACAAAAAAAAAACAATGCATTGTAAACAATACATGCATAATGACAATCTCAACAAAAAACTATCGCAACTTCCAAACGACCCCTTAATATAATATTTAGTTGTTTATCTGGTACAAAAGGTCGGTACAAATTTCATTTTATTAGAGAGAGTATTAACTTTGCGGAGGCTTATATGTTCATTAGGCAATCGTAAGTGAGTTATAAACCAAAATATAAGATCATAACGAAAAGTAATGATTGGTTCTTATTGTGTCTGGATCGAATGTAATTCAGCTCATTTATATCGAATTCGTATCAAACGAAATCGTTAGCCCACTCTAATTGCTAGCCATGATTTTATGGTTGAGGCTGCCTACAACTTGTACCTTGAAATTGGGATCTTTAGAGAACTCTATTGACTCATACATGTTTTTTAGGTATCAGTTCAATGCAACCACCTATAGTATCGGTTGATGTTTAGCCTAATGCCATCTGAATAGCAGCAAAAGTAGGAGAGAAAAATGCACCAAAGAAAGAAATACAAAAAAGTTTGGACTTTACCAAATCCTATTTTCATTTTTTCAACATTTGGATAGCCTAACTTCTCAATGTTTAGCCTAATTATTATACAACTTTCTGTCCTCATTTTTTGGATTTTGTTTTAGAGACTATATGAAAGGGCAGAGTTCAGTCTTCATATTAGCAAGTACAAGTCAACCAATATGATGAATTATTTACATTATGAAATTTTAGCATGTATATTAGGATCGTCGTCAATAATCTGTTATATGATTTTTTTCCAAGATGTACATTGCGCATTCAAAATCCGAGTATGGACTGAGAGTTAGTTACCAGCAGATCCACGTCGGGTACATGGTGCAATACCATTTTGGTGTATTGAATCGCATGAGGAATTCCACGTGAAGAGAGATTGCAAATCATCATCATCCTCCTCGAGCACTTCTACTATGCTATATAGTATTGGTGCTTTAATGTACAATTTAAAGTTGTACCATAACATTAAATGTACAAGTTTAGGTTGTACCATAAAGCAATTTGTACCGTTATGTTATGGTACAACTTTACAACTTGAAGTTGTACCATCACATAAAGGTACAAGTTCAAGTTGTACCGTAAAAGAATTTGTACAAAAAGTATAGGTACAATTTTAAGCTGTACCATAACCTAAATGTACAATTTTAAGTTGTACCATAAAGGCAAAATCCTATAGCACCAATACTATATAGCATTGTAAAATTTCTCCATCCTCCTCTCCTTTCTACCTTGTTTTTGCTTCCTACTTTCTTTCCCTAGTGATGCAAAAACTCCCAAACCCAATGGGCCATCATTTCACCATCATGCTAACCTTGCAATACGATTGCCGATGATTGTCGAAATCGAATCAAGAGGTCAACACAAAATGACGAATGCCGATCACGAATTTGAGGTTCTATTCTCGTTAAACCGGTTGTGGTTCGACGATGTCATGTCAGAGCAAAGACGATGGTTATCAGTAGGTCATATTATACGGGTAAAACTTTTACGAGCAAGTGCATATCTGCTCTTTCGAAATAGGTCAATGTATCACAATGTCATCCTATGCTCTTAATAAAAGACATGTTCCTCCTTCTACAATGCAACAACATTGGATTGCTAAGTTTGTTGTCTTTGTAGGAGAAATTGGTTAGGGAGTCCTGTGGTGTTGACCTTTGTTAGGGTTCTGCACTTACAGACAACATTTGCTTTTCCAATGATTGAAGCAATCAAGAGAAGAAATCATGAAAATTATCATAAACAAACAAATAGAATGGCAGAAAGCCAAAGACTACATACACATAGCTCTTATGTTAATGGTAGCCACTTGTGGGAAAATTTTCAACCATTTGGTTCTACTATGTCTTGGTAACTGCAAAATTTGACCAATAAGCTTAAACATGTAGCTAGCTGCCCAAGGGAGAGAGCCAGTGGCTCCCTATAAGGCTACAACACTAGCTTGATGCTAATCCAAGACTTTAGTTGTTGCCTAATCCACACTCTACTCTAATTACCCTTTTTCTTCCTTTGAGTGCTTTAGTTTCTTACTTGAAAGAATTTCAGGATAGGTTAGAAAAGGGAGGGTTTAAACTTGTACTCAACAAGATTTATTGTTGAAAATGGTGTGAGAATTTGGCCTGGCAGACAGGTTCTACATTAGATGGAGTCGTGTTGTACCAGTAACTAGAACGAAGCAGAACATGTTGATCAATGTTTTGATGAATGTTATAATAGTTATTTTGTTTCATTTGCTTTCACTGAAATTACTACTTAAATAGAAGAATAAACTATTATTCATCGAAATTCAAAGTAGCTATCCATATAGTATGGTGTCTCTCATCGAATTCTAACTCATACAGTTTTCTTAACGTTTAGTTCAAATTTATGTACAATTTTGAAGTGGTCCTAATTCGAACAAAATCATACCCACCCTTATTACTTAAGGGACTATAGCTTGATAACAGACCTTACTAACTCCTTTAGTTTTTTTTTTTTCAAGAGAAATACAAACCAAAGCACCAAACCTTGTTATTAACCATTCAAGTCTCAAAAGTCCGATAATTTTACAAGTGGTATAGTCAGAAATTCATCTAAAGTAGATCCAACGTGAGTGTAAAAACATAAATTAAATTTCATGATGTGCTTTTTTATTTTAGAAAGGTTTCCAAAATACATTCATCATGAGAATCATGAGAGATTCATTCTTACTCTATTTTTTGGCCAAGATGGCGCAAGGGGCTTACTGAGCCTACCACTATTGGGCCAACCACTCCAAGAAAAAGAAATAATCCATTCTTACGTTGGATCCAGGCCCAGCAAAAACTCCCGTAATTATTTAGGCCCAACGCACCGCCAGCTCACCTAGCACCATCAACCCTATGTAGTGAAAACACGCTACCACTATCCGTCGCCGTCGCATCCACATCGCCGGCAGAATCATCTCCAGCCGACATCTCATCATCATCATCGTCGTCGTCGTCTTCCTCACCGACGATGAAGCTAGTATCCCGGAAACCACTAACAATCGGCCTCAAAATGTTCGACGAAGCATCATCCATCATACTATCCTCCGACGGCTCTCTACGCGCCGGAGTACCCTGCTGCAACTGCAGCGCATACTCCAGATCCCAGCAAACATCCAGCATCGTCGGCCGATCGACCCCGTCGGGCCTCAAACATTTCTCGGCGACTTCAGCGAACTTCCGCAGCGAGCTCGGGTTCACTTCCCCCAAAATCGAAGGGTCCACGATCTTCTCAATCTCGCCCTTCTTCTGCCACGCCATCCCCCACTCCGCCAAATTGATTTCCTCCCTCCTTGCCGCCGTCGAGCTCACAATCGCCGGCCTCGCGCAGACCACCTCCAGCAAGACAACCCCAAAAGAGTAAACGTCCGATTTATCGGTCAGCTGAAACGTCCGGAAGAATTCCGGGTCGAGGTACCCGAAGCTCCCTTTCAGCGCCATGCTGTGGTGGTCCGGGTCGGGTAGACCCGCCTGAGAGAGCCCGAAATCGGCCACCTTCGCGACGAAATTCTCGTCGAGCAGGATGTTCGTCGACTTGACGTCCCTGTGAATAATCCCCCCGTCGGATCCGGTGTGAAGGTAGTGCAGGCCTTTGGCCGACCCGATGCAGATCTCGAGCCTCTGCTTCCAATTCAGCGTGGTGGTGGAAGCCACGGAGGAGGGAGGAGAAGAACTGGAATCATCATCGTCGGATCTGTAGAGATGGTCTCTGAGGGTTCCGTTTTTCATGAACTCGTAGACGAGGATCATCTCGGCGCCGTCGTCGCAGTACCCGATTAAGGAGACGAGGTGGCGGTGGCGGATCTTGGAGAGGACTAAAACCTCTGTTTGAAATTCGGGTCGGCCTTGCCCGTGACCCGATTCGCTTCTCTTCACCGCGACTGTCACTCCGTTTGCGAGCTTGCCTTCGTATACTTTCCCGAACCCGCCGGCTCCGATTAGAAGTTTCGGGTTGAAATTCTCCGTCACGGCGAGGATTTCCGACAATGGCATCTTGAGCTTGAGATTCAGCTCCGGCAGAGGGGAGCCCTGGGTGGTGGTGTTATCCGTGTGGACGGTAATCCAGCTGTGAGATTTCTTCTCCCCGGTGGCTGAATTCTTTACGGAATTGGTACCCTTGTTGTTGTTCTTCTTGTTCCTCTTCAATAGGAACGCGATTACCGAAATCAAAACCACCGCAGCGGCGGCGGCGGCGGCGGACAGCCAGATGGCGATATTCCTTCGGTGATGATTAGAGTGGTTTCCTCCGTCGTCCGTTTCGTTGGCTGGTGTTTTGGGGAGAAACTCCATGATTTCGAGAGCGTTGAGATAGGCGGCTGTGGCGACTCCATTCTCGACGGCCGGGGAAGGGCTGATGCTGATTTCGAAGAACCCAGATTCATCGGAATCCGCCACGAATTCTCCTATATAGAGAAAGGTATCAACCGTGGCTGGGAAATTGGTGTTGATGTAGAGATTGAAATCTCTGATGGCGGCGTCGTTGACGCAGTTTAGGAAGTAGAGGCGGAGAAATTGTCTGGTGTTCTTCTTCACTTGGAATCTCCAGGTTAGGTTCGCCGGCCTCTCCCCGCCGTTGGCGACCCTCTCGTACCTGCAACTTCCCAGTGCGGGTTCCGAGGCGGCGAGATCTCGAATCCCGTCGGCGGCGCTGGAAGGAATGGTGGCGGTGTCGCTCTCGTTGCCGAGGGAAGGGGTCGCGTAGAATTCCTCGTCCGGCCCCCATGGCCGGAAGAGCGAGTCGTTGGGGATTTCTCCACCGCGACCTCCTCCTCCGATGTCGACCCTGTGAACGGTGCGGAGAGCGCTGGATGGGAACCCGAAGAACCCATCAGCAGGGCGGCTGCCCCCGCCGGGAGGGACCGCCGCGCTCCGATTGTCGGCGAAGAAGCTGGATGAGAGGGGAAGGAGCTCGATGGCGCTGACGAAGGCCAACGAATCGGAGGAGGGGATGAAGCGGATTCTGAGTCGATTGCGGGAAGCAGCGGGGAGGTAGAACTCGGAGATGAGCGGGGCACCGGCGGTGGAGTTGGCGGCGGTGAAGTTGCTGAGGAGGATGAAATTGGAAGCGTGGACGTCGAATCGGGCGGCGGAGAGGCGGGGGTTGAAGGCGGCGAAATGGAGCCGGAGGAGGAGGAAGGAGGTGTTTTCAGGGACGGGGAAATCGTACCCGCTCCGTCTCGTGAATTCTCTCGCTGTTTTGTACAGAGAAGAAGCCGTAGCATTTGCTGGATCTGATAGTATTTGGCTACCGCCGTCGAGCTTGAAAATTTCGGGAGGTTGGTCGGCGGCGAAGACTCTGCCGTCATCAGCATTGACTGCGGTCGTTGACCCACAGTTGACGAAGAATTGGGTCTCAGCGGCTGAGGAGGAGGATGAGCTGAAGCAGAGGAGGAAGATGACGAGGAGATGATGGCAAAGGGCGCCGCCATTGGAGTTCGATTTCTCCATTGGAATTTGGGAATGGAAGATAAAGAGTTGATGATGATGGTAAGAATGATAGAATGGAATCGTGGTTAACTCATGGATGGATTGGACCCTGTTCTTCCTTCCTTATCTGTGGTCGTTGGATTATCGCCGCCGGCCATGTCTCCTTAGACTTTTCCAAGATTGCGACGTCCCTCGCTCTCGATTGATTGGCAAACAAACTGAGGAGGCCGCCTGGGCGGCTGGGCCACCATAGCTAGTAGCTACAAACATCTTCTGCAACAACTCTCGACCACAATACATTCTTAGCAAAATAGATGTGGTGTCGGATTGTTAAATCGAGAGTTCGTTTGGACAAGGAATTGTAACGGATTAATTTGACACAAATGTTTCGTTTTGAGACAATTGTATCAAATTGTCTCGTTTGCCAGCAAAAAATTTGGATGGATCAATCTGCCTGAGGTATTTTGAATTGATCCGTTTTGAGTCAATTTCAATTACCTGGGGCGGGGTAGATAATTCGAATTGACTCGTTTATAAAACGAGACAATTGATCAAATTGACTCATTTCTAAATTGATCCATCCAAACGACCCCGAAGTATTTTGTGAATTTGTCATTGTTTAGAATTGGGCGGTAATATCCGCATCGTAAGCGGATTGGGAATGCGTACTATTCTCAACTCGTTTTTTCCTCTAAATTATATGTAATTTTCTTAAATTATTTAGCATTTTACTCTGATTGTCTCATATTTTAGCTGTACTGAAGTTGTAAATAGATGAAACTCTCAATCTATTGAATTAGTTAACTACATTTATCATGTAATAGTTTGTTTCTTGACTTTCTAATGAAAAGAATGAATATTTCTAATGTTTTCCCTTTAAATCACATGCGCATATTGATCCACCTGTCCTGACCCGCGCCCTATAATAACTTATCAAATATGAACCCAACTTATCACGAGGTAAATATGAGTATTAATATACACGTCCGATCTACCACATTGTCATTCCTAATCATAAATAATACAATCATTCTAACAATGTCACCTAAAATAATCAAACAATCACAAGCAAGGTTGTCAACCCGCGGGTTGACCCGGACCCGGTCGAGCTAGTGGGTCAAGGGTTAATGGGTCAACCGTTTTAGCCCGGTTCGGCCCGGAAATATAGAAAAAGTCATTATATTGTACTTATCCTCATAAATTATATCAAATCTTATCTAACATATGACTTATAACATATAATATTACACCAAAATAACATATCGTACTTAGATCCAACATATAGTGAAAATTCACACACACTTATATAACATTAATATTCAAATGTTCAACTTAGGATTTCAAAGATTGAGTTAGACGAAAAGAAAAATCAGAAAATAGGCGCATTTTGCAAACCAAAGAAAAAAATGACACAATTTGACCTCCAACCCAGTACCTTGTAGCGGTCGGCCCGACGGGTGCGTATGGCCTGTTTTTCTCACCGGGCCAGGGTCAAAGTGGGTCGACCCGCGGGTCAACCCACGGGTTGACAAAGCAAAGGATACCTTAGACGTGGATTCTATCCGAGGTGCAAAGACACCTCCCCGCTGGTCACTGGAATCTGGACTACCATCCATCACCATGTCACCCTTCAAGGAAATTTTTTTTTTCCATTAGATTACTCTTCAGAAGAGAAAATCGTTTAGATACATGGGGACTAAAGGGGTTATATTCCCCTAAAACGAAGCCAAGAACAGAAGTCGAACCTCGCAAACAATTGAGGCGACAAAAGCAGAGCATAACGGGCTACACAATGAGCCGCTCTGTTACGAATTCTACCAATGAACTGAATATCAACCACATCCATCCCATCCAAGAGTAAAAATATCTCCTGCAATAGGGTACCAATTTTCCCTTCAAGGAAAATTGTTTGTTCCCTTCGCTCAAAGGGTCCAGGCCCAGTTAGCATCTCCGTGACATCGTTGGCCCAAAGTTACCCTCCTTGTTCTCTTCTTTGTTTTTTTCCGGCCTGTCACGCGCTTATCCGACGAAGCTGTTTGGTCCTTTCCGTTTTTATCCAATCCTAGATCTGAACTGAATCCTGATTATTTCCTGACTAATGAAAAAACAAATCATTCAATAATTAATCCCCCATTAATTAATTAATCCTAACATATCCTAACGTGCCCACACTTCCACTCTCTTCGAGCCTAATTTAGTAATTTAGGTAATGGCGCTTTCTTTCTTTTTGGGTTAGATTGTACGTGGCACCGGATCGGGCCGCCTATAGGCTAGCACGTCACGGTACGGTTATAACAAAGCACGAGCACGGGCACAAAATAAATGGGCCAGCCCGATACGAGCACGAATAATTTATGGCCGTGCGGGCCTATGTTGATGTGACTTGAATCGGACTATCAGCCGCTACGACTGGTAATCGGGGGTCTCGCTGTAACCGTTTCCTTTCCCAGATTGGATTAGGTTTAGACCCACGTGGAGAAGTACTATAAATACTTCTCATACTCCTCTGTAATCTGTAATCTTCTCGATATAGTGAAACTGGCTCTCTCTCGCCCGTGGACGTAGCTAACACACATCGTGTTAGTGAACCACGTAAATCGTGTGTCTGTGTTTTTCGATTCTCGCTTTCGTATTCTTGCTTTATCGATTCCGACGATTTCCCGATCCGTAGCAGTGCGTTTATAACAGCCTAAACTTCATGGGCACGGACACGAGCACGGACACGATATATAAGTGGGTTGTGTTTGGCCTAATATTTTTGAGATTTTATGAGTATAAGAACGAATATGACAAAAAATAACATTTATTTGATAGAAAATAAATATAGAAAGAATTATAGGTTCAAATATTACAAAATACAAGTAGAAAAATAATTATTTGTTGGTGTTAGAAGTGTCATAAAGATATATACGTAATTACTATCATAAATAAAAATGGACGAAGAATTAAACAAAGTCAAATCATACCCGCTATACTTTCAATTTTCTTGTCCCCCTTATTTGTTACTTCTCTCAAACATTCTCGTACTATCTTCCTCCGTCCAATTTTTCACCTTTCTTTTCATTCTCTATTTTATTTTCTTTCTTTTCATTAGACACGACACAAGCATAAATAAACACGGTACGATTCGAACCGTGCTCGGACTTGGGCCAAGTCTAACAAAATTAACAAATGGGCTTTCATGGTACAACACGAAATAAATGAACCGTGCCGGCGCAAACACGACCCCGCGCACATGTACAGGTCAGATGCGAACCTCCTTCTTTCAAATCCACCCGTGACAATTAAAGCAATGACCATTCTTCTTGCTCATAAAGTATACGACTTTTTGTTCCCTTACCATAAGAAGTGGAGAAGGATCTAATCTCTTCAAAATCACTCATCATTGATGTCCACATCATCTAATCCATAATGAAACATTGTTCTTCAGAACTTTTATATGTACAATTTCTACGAAAACAAAGTAATTATTTAATTTACGATTGGTCTTGTTCATGATCACATGCAAAACAGATAATAAAACACAATTTCTTAAAACCATTTACATAATGGATTGATATCCTGACAAGTCTTTGCGTAGTGAGAAATTTTTTGTCCCAATCTTCATTGCCATTTACAAAACTTGAAATAAAGTGTTTACCTATCTTTGTAATGGTAACTAAAAAAATAAATAAATAATGACATTATGAGGAAATTTTATATATTATAAAAGATAGTAAGACACGGGATGCTATAGTACGATTCTCAATTCAATTCCCACGATCTGTTATTCAGAGAAAATTCTTCGGTAAATATAAGTATGACATACTCACGCAAATTTATAATCATGAGAAGATCCTAGACCCACGTCTTAATTACTCGACCAAAGCGATTTTATTTTTATTATACAAATAACATTGGATGAATAGACTAAGATTTTTTTTTAATGAAAACTAGTAAAATAATTTATTATACACTAAATAAGAATTATGATGAAGGGGAAATAAAGGTAATTAGGTAAACCACTATTAATTGATATTTTCCCTCACTGCAAAGCCAAACTCTCCCAATCACCTTTGTTTTTGCTTCCCCACACACCACCACTAACCTCGTTGAATTCTCATAAATACCCTTTACCTTTCCCGCGTATTTCCAACAGCTGTCGTCCACATCTCCTCGTCACCGTCCAAGCCCTTTTCCGACATTTAACATATCATCAGAATCTTTTTTTTCTCCCAATTTCTCTGTGCCCACAATTTCTCTTCTTCCTCCTCTTCCCTCTCGCCATTTCCGCGGCCAAAAGGCTTCCTTTCTCTTCTTCCTCCGTATCCCTGACCCTGACAGCTTTACTCCTTCAATTCTCCCGACAGAAGCTTCCCGGCTCAAGGAGAGAAGCCGGAGGCCGATCAATCACCTTCTGGGTTTCTCTCGTCGATTAATCATCATCACCTCAACTGCCTAAAAGCGACAATTGGGGGGGAAGGGGGTTCCGTTTCGCTTTCTCCCATATTTCGATGGCGGCGGGGGCAATGGCGACCGCCGCCGGAGCAGCGGTGGTGCTGTACTACTTATTGAGTCGGAGGCTGGCGGCCAATGGCGTCGGCGTTAATGGGGGAGACGGCGAAGGGGACTCCGATCACGGGAATTTGTCGAAATCGAGATCCTTGCGGCGGAGGATTTCTCGGCGGCCGGCTCAAGCTCCGGCGACCTGGCTTGAAACCCTTACTACCTTGACCGAGACCCTCCGGTTCACTTACTCCGAGACTCTCGGGAAATGGCCGATTGCTGATTTGGCCTTCGGGATCAATTACCTCATGCGTAGGCAGGTTCGGAAACCCCCTTCTCCTTTTTTCTGGATTTCATTCTCTGTGTCTCGGAGGCGATTTTGTGTTGAGAATTTTGGTTTGGTCTTTCATTTTCAGGGCAATTTGCAGGTAGCTAGTGTATATGCAGGTAGTGATTCTGTACAGCTGAAAGGGCCTGAGATTATGACCGAGCTCAAGTACTTGCTTAGACTGTTGACGAATTGCATGTTCTTCTCCAAGAAGCCATTCCCAGTTTTCTTAGAGTCTGCTGGTTACTCTCAAGAACATGTCCTTCTTCAGAAGCCTAAGGCTGGGGTAATTAATGACTTAAAATGTTCTTTCTTTTGCTGATCATAGAACAAGGGGAGTTCAAGTTCTTAATAGTTGTCTGTTGCTTACTCAGATCCTGATGCCCGCTTTTACGATTATACGAGACGACGATACGAAGCATTTCCTTCTGTTGATCCGTGGAACTCATAGCATCAAAGATACATTGACTGCAGTGACTGGCGCGGTGGTTCCTTTCCACCATTCAGTTTTAGATGATGGTGGGATCAGCAACTTGGTTTTAGGGTATGCACATTGTGGAATGGTTGCAGCAGCTCGGTGGATCGCCAAACTCAGCACTCCTTGCTTGCTCAAGGCTCTTGATGAATACCCTGAGTATAGGGTTAAGGTAAGCTGACTGGAATCACATATGCTGTATGGAATAAATGGATAACTGCATTTGGCTATTAGGCTCTCATTAGTAGTGCAAAGGAGGCTTTAGCCTTTAGCTTCATGAATCTCAGAACTGTATCCTTCTCACTGATCATATTTGTGTCGGTTTCCAGGTTGTTGGTCATTCTCTTGGTGGCGGTACTGCAGCATTGTTAACTTATATATTGAGAGAACAGAAGATGTTTTCGTCGAGCACCTGTGTAGCCTTTGCTCCAGGCATGTACTCATCGATAATCTTAGTACGATAACTATTCCTGAACCATGTCCTAACAGAAATGTGTCTCTTGCAGCTGCTTGTATGACTTGGGATTTAGCAGAATCAGGCAAGAGCTTCATCACTACAATTGTCAACGGGTCTGATCTAGTGCCTACATTTTCAACTACTTCCATTGACGACCTTCGCTCTGAGGTGACGAAAGCTCTCGGTTAACTTCATGTTATTGCGTACAACTTTGCCTTCTACAATCACGAAGCCTTGAATTTTGCCTCATTGTTTGACAAACTAGGTCACAGCTTCATCTTGGTTGAGTGATTTGAGAGATCAGGTGGAGCATACACGGGTTCTAAACGTCGTGTATCGCTCAGCTTCAGCACTTGGATCTCGTCTGCCATCCATAGCCAGCGCAAAAGCTAGGGTTGCTGGTGCTGGGGCGCTCTTGCGCCCTGTTTCCAGCAGCACTCAGGTAGGTTACCCCATCTCGCTGCCCCCCCATTTCCCAACATAACTCTCTCGATGCTCAGAATGTTTATGGATCTTCGCTTTTGTTATTGCGATGTCCTAGGTTGTGATGAGACGAGCTCAGAATGTTGCCCAGGCTGTTGTGCGGACGCGTTCGTCTATAACATCATGGTCATGTATGGGCCCACGCCGTCGGTCCGTAGGACCCGCATTATTATCCCCTAAAAAGGAGGATTTGGATGAAACCTCCATAATATGTGAAAGCTCGGAAACCATCGTGACTACCGAAATCCACACCGAAGACTTATCACAGAGCAATAGGTCGTCAAGCAGCACAGGATCGAGCAGCGAAGAAGAAGAAGACGAGCCACTTCTTCCCGGGGATCATCATCAAGTCCTCTCTTCATCAGAGCCAACCGAGGGCGAGCTGTGGGACGAGCTGGCAAAGGAACTCCAAAGACACGACGATGACAACAGCAACGAGGTCGATCTGCACGTCCAAGCTGCAGAAGAAGCCGCAGCTGCAAAAGAGATCCAGGAAGAGGAGAGGATGATCCTCGTCGAAGCTGCATCCGCCGAGATAACTCCCACGGGGAATCACACATCAACGGAGGAGGCCACGGAGAACCCAAAGTTCTACCCTCCCGGCAAGATCATGCACATCGTCTGCATTGCTGCAGCCGCAGAAGACGGCGGAGAAGAAGAGAGCCTGGCAGGCTGTGTCGGGATATACGAGACTCCGAGGGAGCTGTACAGTAAGATCCGGCTGTCGAAAACGATGATAAACGATCATTACATGCCAATGTACAAGAAGATGATGGAACTGTTGATCTCTAAACTAGAAGAGCATGGTGATGGTGAAGATTGTAGTAGTGATGATGGGTGTATGATAGTTGAAGAAGAACAGGTGCTGTTGTAGTAGGGAAGGAAAAGAGGGGTTTATACAATGTGGTTTTATACAAATTTGTCAATGAAAAGTTCTGCACAATTGTCTTTTTTGCTCTGTTGATCGGAACGAAACCAGTTTAGACTTGAGAGATTATGAGCCCTTCCCCGGAGGGAAGAGGCTTCCAAAAATTGACGGGCGGTGACCGCCTGAAAGTAGGGCGGAAACCGCTCGCCGCGAAATGTTTTGTGTTCGTCGTGTTTAGGTGTTGGCGCGACTCACCGTCTCTAGACGATCATTGGTAAGTCGCCTTTCACCCCTGACAGGACGGGTTGAGTTTCAGCTCTGCTTCGTCGTTGCCATTTATGCTCTGCGTAGAAAGCTTGGCTGTGAGATCTCTCGATGTGGTAGGAATGTAGATGTAACGGGCCTGGTCGAAGATGAAGCCCAGTGGATCGAATTCAGGGCCCATTTTGAAGGACCTCCCAAGAAAGTAGGTTTATGTTGGCTCGGTTAGCAGTCGAGCATTAGATTTCAGCGATGTGGTATGGTTCAGGGGGAGTTTGATGAATAAGAGCATAACAGCAATGGAAGCTGTACAGTGAACTGAGCTTTCAATCTTTCATTGATTAAACATGCCGAAATCAGGAATGATATATAAGCTCCTTCTCAAACAGGCAGAAGGAAGCAAATTATTGTACAATTTTCGAGACTTCTGTAATCGAGGTTTACAGCTTTTTCCCAAGGCAGCTTCTCAGCCACCGTATCGTGATCTTAGTGACAATGGAGGCTCCTCTTCCATGATCCCTGCACCGGTAGTCGCCAGGTAGTCTCGTATGGTCGTTTTACGATCCCCCAAGAATGTATGGTCCAAGAAGTTGTCGTAAGCTTCCTCACTAAGATTCTTCGCTGCCAACACACTACCGGGAAGAAAAGAAAAAAAATTAATAGAGGCAGGAAGTTTCTGTTTCAGACTTTCAGTTCATTACCTTCCAATCTACGGGGAAGAACCAGATTTGCATATTCAAACTAGAGAGTAATAAAAACTCATCTGGGGGTAGTTGTGAGCGAATCTGAGAGTTTCGAGCTTACTTACCAATGTCGCAAGTAGACTCTGCAAGGCAAGATGTCGTCTCTCCATATCCTGTCAATGTTGTACTTTCCATACTGCTGAAAGTACATATCTTTGCTTCCTGAAAGAAAGAAAAAGAGAGAGAACTAAGTAGCCCGAGTTGAACACAGATGAAGAAACTTGTATATCGATCTATATACCTTTGCATCTGATTCGGAAGAACTCTTCATCGCTGAAACGAGCACAGAGGACCTGCATTTACTACTACCAATCAGAACCCTTGGAATGCGGAACAAAGACAGTGATGGCATCGATCACATTACCGCAGGGGAGTCGAAAGGCTTGCCATCGAGCGATTCGGGCGCAACCTGCCACAATATTGCAGATTAGGAGCAAGCAAATGAAAGTGGAAACAGAATGGAAATCAGGCCATGAACAAGGGAAGAAGGCAAACCGAATACTCACAGCTAGAAATCTGAACTCAAGCTCCCTCTCCATGAAAGCAGGAATCTGAATCACCATAGAATAATTCAAACACCTCATTCCATTGTTAAATCTCAGTTATTTTTAGCGTTCAGAACTCGTTAACCTTTACCTCCGAGTTTTCAATTTCGAAGACGGTAACTATGAGAGTCTCGCCCTCGCATGGCTCCGCGCTCAAGCTTGAGATCTCCTGCAAAACACACACAAATTCAAACAGAGTTATTGAACTAGAAAAAACAAAAAATCCAGCATTAATCAGTTCGGAATGGATTGCAGCAGAGAGAGATCGGACCTTTGTCTGTGAATTGGCGATGCCGCGCTCGAAGAAAATCGGCGCGACATGGGCGAAGACGCGGCGGAAACCGTTCAATCGCGCGACTCGGAAGTTCGTCAAGTTCGGGAAAGTACTCCTCGCGCTCCTCTCTATCTCCATTAGAGAAAACACAATTTTTAACGACGATAGCTTCCGATTTAGGGGGTAAATTCAACGTCAGTAATTACTCACCGGAGAGGAGAGAGCCGAAGCCGCAGATGGAGATCAGGCCCGACGGAGTTGCGATTTTGCCGAAATCCGATTCGTCGCTGAGTTCGAAGACGGATTTCGCGGAGGACATCGTCGGAGAAGAACGCCGGGAAGTGAACCGACTGCTGTAACCGCGAGCGAATCTGAGTGGAGAGACTGCCGAGCTGTTCGCGCGGTAAGAGAACGCGACTGAGGATAGCGTCGGTGGAGAGATGAGCGGACGTGGCGACGGCGCAGGGTGGTTGATGGACGGCCGACTAAGTGGAGTCAGAGCGGTGGTCATATGGAAAAAAGGAATTGACGAATCTGAAGATCAGGCGGCCGACGACGGCGGAGAAGCAGCAAAGTGACAGATTAGAGAGCAGACTAGAGAGTAGAGGCTCTTCTTCTTTCTTTCAAGTGGTTAGTTTGGTGTTTGTTAAAAATGTTGAGGGCATTCCCGTCCAGCAACAATTGATGTAGAAACTCGAAGCAGTACCAAATTGCCCGTAATAGAGATGAACACAGTAAATCTCATGTTGCATTTTATTCCTTTCATAGAGATGAACAAAACATGATGTTAATCAAGGCACTCTGAGCGCTTTCTCGACTGATCACGGTTTCAGTAATGTGATCTGAGATGCAAGAACAAGAGCTACAAGGTTCATTTCATTCAAATAGTTCTCCATGTAACAATTGATATCAGTTTTGGGAGGATGTAAGTAAATGGATGCTGCGTTGTTCGTGTTTGCAAACAAAGCAAGATCATCACCCTAATGCAACAGGTGCTGCCGAGATGATTGACAAGCTTAGATGAATACTTAAATAGAAAGCATGTGGCAAAGTCTGGTAAGAGAAGATGGGCTCTGACTAATTGAATGGAAATCGAGTAGAAATTGCAAGTAGATTTAGCACGGGAACCTGTCTCTTCTCCATGGACGTGATCGTCTGTCATCTTGATCGTCACTACAGTTTCAGTTCTCGCATTGTCCCTGCTGCCAGAATGTAAAAGTCGAGTTGTCTTGGTTGTGGCTATCGAAGTTAGATCTCACGCTGTCACTGATAGCTGAATGTAAAAGGCGAACTTCACAGGCGCTTGATGCCCTTGGCAGTTCTAGCAGCAGTGACTCAAGATCTTCATATCCTCCTTCTATTTCGACACAATCATGCATGTGCACATTCATCTTCTTCAGTATAGCTCCAGCCTTGAGCAGATACGCTATGATATTCATCTCTTGTTCATTTGCTGAAAAGCCACGGATCTCAATTTCCTCGAGGCTCGACAACAAACACTCAGGGGTGCCAGCTGGAAATTCTGCCTCTCCGCATTCCAGTGCTTCTAAATCAATCTCGTCATTTATTTCAATCTCCTGATCCATGTGAAATACCTGATCCACAACAGCGACAAGGGATTGTAATCTGGATGCAGAGTTGAGCCAGCTGTGCAGAACGTATACGCTTCTCGTTTCGACTGTCAAATGTGTCAACTGGGGAAACACGAAAGGCAGCTGCTGAAAATCATGGACAGATCCGGCTGTCAAATGTGTCAACTTGGGGAAGGTCACAGGCAGCTGATGAGCATCATATAGAAATGACATAAGATGCTGAAAAAACAAAGGGTTCTTGACAATGTCAGCTCTTTCTCATCAACCAATTCTTATAATTATCCATGGGGGAAAAGAGAAGAGTGATACTTACAATAGTCTTCCTAGATAAGTATATCTCCTTTGCATTATCGGAGATTTGAGGGAGCAACCGAATCATGCTACGATGATCATCAAGCAAGCTTTGTCGATCACCAATATCAACCCACGCTGAATGAAGGCATGACAACGGACTACCGCCCATAAAGGGTAGCATTGTAGAATTCTCAAGATGAAGATGCTCAAGACTCGGTGCTTCGACCGCAATGGGAGACAACGGATTACAATGACTCTCATAGTAGTTGATAATCTTCAGGTTCTTCAAGCATGGTAAGACAGCAATGAGTGTTTTTTTCTCGGTTTCGTCTAAGAAGTAGCAATTCTCTATATGAACAGTCTCTAAAACAGGGCAACCAGAAATGAGCATGTGCAATGACTCACAATCCATAGTCCTCACCAGCAAAAGCTGCAAGGTTTCTAGACTAGGGAGAAAAACAGAGTCGTGGGTAGTACTCATCATGATAGCAACGCCGGCGAGCTTCAAAACTCTGAGACTCCCCAAAGTGTAGAGACTCACCGGAGGCGGCAACAGCTTCCGGAAGGCCCCAAATCGATCGTCGCTCTCGAGCTTCACATCGATTTCCTCGAGCTGTGACCCAGACTCCGGTTCCATCGTGCTCCAGAAACCTCGACTCGGCTCGAAGTTGCAGTAGCTCACCGAGAGGTGGAAGCGGAATCGCCGCAGGGAGTTCAGACTCTTGTGCTGGGCCAGAACCCTGTCGACGAAGCGGCAGAACTCCGAGTCTCTTCTGTGGATCCCTGCGAGCCTGGATTTGTGAACCAGGCGGTTGTCGAAATCGAGATTGGAGACCCTGGTCCAGGGATCCTTCCACCGTCGGCTGAGGACCGCGGTGCCGACGGCGTGCTTGGTCGGCAGGTAGGAGAGTATGTGGGAGAGGATATCGTCCGGCAGGGAGCTCAGCCTGTCGCCGGTCACCGGATCCTGGGAGTTCCGCTGAGCAGCAGTTTCGGTTTTAGTAGACTTTGTCGACTCCATCGACGGATGAGAGTGAGGAAACTGAGGCGGGAGGTCGGAGATGGAGTTCTGGATTGGAAGAACTGCCGATTGGGAACCCTAATTTTGATGGAATGGAGAATTGAATTGGTTCTCTGTACCAACTACCAAGTCTATGGAGCATTCAATATCGGTATATTCATATATCCCGGAATTAGCCACATCTTTAGAGGCCAAATCACAAAATCAAATGGAGCAAGATATGCTCGTGGATCAGTAGTCGATTCAATCGATAACAAGGCTTGAGTTGTCCTTACCTAATTCGAATTTGAGAAAATCTAATCGATATTATATTTGGTGAGTTTTTCTCAATACGAGGGTAATAAGTTCGGTGAGATTTTGATATTTTAAATGTTCATGCTGAACATAACCAAATATGTGTTATAACTATGTTTAAACTCGCTCACTTTTTTATTTTATTTCTGAGTGATATCAATTTAGGACAAGAGTTATTCATACAAATCTACCCAGGACCCCTTACAATATATTCTAATGAAGCCACCCCAAAAAATCAAAAGATTCTAGCTCTAGACGAGACAAAAGCAGTGCTTTACGCGCCACTCTATGGGCAGCACTGTTGGCAATTCTAGGAACCGCCCTAAACTCTATACAAATGGACAAAGAGCTAAGGATCTGACGACACTCTCGTAGCACCGGACCACCAGTCGAGTCTTCTATTAAGCCTTGCCGGATCTGTTTGACGACCACTTCGGAATCACCTTCGACTATCACGTGAGTCAAAGATCTTCAGGTGATGATGGAAATAGCGTCTCTAATGGCTAGGAGCTCTGCCAGGGAAGGGTTGACTATTCCTTGATATTGTAACCCAAACGCCAATACCACATGTCCGTCTGACCCAAGGACAACAAACCCAGACGAACACCCGGTGGCACAAACAGCAGCGTCGAAAATTGATCTTCAAGTAATCGTCTGGCGGCTGGACCCATGTGGTGGTTGGATGGTTTGGGAAGAGAGTTGTGGGGTTGGGGAGGGAGGAGAGTGTTTGAGATATCAAGGACCTGGTTGTAGAAATGTCTGGCTAGGGAACGGACATGAGGTTGGTAGAATTCAAAAATCACTTTATTTATAGACTTCCAGATTCTCCAATGTAAGCAGACGCATTGGAAAATGTGGAATGAGGAGGTCTCAGAGACCATGACATGTCGCCACCATAGACTAAAGTTAACAGTCGGGGCGGTCTCAATAAATTTGCTCAATCCCACTAAAGTCAACAATCTGGTGGCTAGGGGGCATCTGAAGAATAAATATTCAATGCTTTCTCGACTATCCGTTTTCGATTTGAGGCCAAAGCTGATTCATGAGCCAGGTGATAGCCCTATTTAACTATTTCTAAGGAAATAAGAAATCATAGTTGATGCACTAAGGAAGACTTCATCGTTTAAACTCGCTCACTTTAACACTTCTTTTATCCATATCACTAAAACATTATAATTATTTCTTATACCACAAACTTCCTTTACATTGAGAAAAAAACTTTCAAATTAAAATTTTTATGCATGATTATTCGGTGATGGTGTGAGTGAGTTTCCTACACCGCATACTGGTTGATTTTGCTATTGCCATACTACATCCCATCATCCCACCATAATTTTGGTTACAAGATAGTTACAATTTTAAAACCATGGTTCAAAAAGAAATTATATATATTAAAACAACTCCACAACAACCATTTGTCATCACTGTAGGAGATCACTCCTGCCATTAATACAAAATCTTACCCAGATCAATTCAGATACCCATTATTAGGGATACACAGCATAAGAATAGTTGCCTGGGTCGGCTAAGTATGTCAACTCAAGGCTCAAGTACGTCAAAAAAAGGCAACATCAAATCTACACGTTGCTATCGATGTGGATCTCATCGCCGTTGGGAAGAAAAAGATGAGCTTCACAAGTGCTGGACCCTCTGGGCAGTTTTAGCAGCGAGGCAAGTTCAAGGCGGGCTTCCATGTCGTCAAGATCATAACCAACAACATCTTCAAACAGGTGCATGTTCACCTTCTTCAGTACAGCTCCAGCCTTGAGCAAATACGCCACCATTTTCCTCTCGTCTTCATCTGCTTTGAGATTCTGTATCTCGATTTCCTCGAGGCTCGACAGCATACACTCGGGGATGCAAGCAAGTTCTTCCGCGTCCTCCCACTCCATTCGTATCCTACGATTGCCCTGCTCCATGGACATACTCGTTATGGATATATGGAAGGGGAAGCTTCCAGTTGTCTGAAATAAAAAGGAACTCACCATGTCAATGACTAGATGTTGTAATTTGGATGCTGAGTTGAGCAAGGAGTGAAGAACGAAGCTGCTCCTTGCAAGTTTGGTGTCTGAGCAGCGCAAGCTGTTTTCAGAAGGTCTCACTGTGAAATGCGTCAAATCACGAAATAGAGGCAGTAGTGGTTGCACAGCTACATTATCATTCACGAATGTCAAAAAGTTCTGAAACAATGATTAACACAGGAAAAATCATTAGCTCTCATCTTCTCATCAATCAATGGGAAAGAACAATGTAGAAGAGTGAATGATTTAGTGAGAGAACAAGGGAAAACAGTTGCTTACAAGAGTCTGCCAAGATAACAGCATTTCCTTTGCATTGGAGATTTGGGTAAGTAACCCAATCCGGCGCGGGCCATCATGATGACGATACTCGACTTCATCATCATCAACCAGGGTTTTCTCATAAACAGGAGTATCAACCCATGCTGAGTGAACGCATGACAATGGACTACTACTACCCATAAACTGTAACTCCCCAAAATTCACAAGATAAAGATGCTCAAGATTTGGCGCTTCCATTTCAATGGAACAAAGCAGCCATCGATCATTGTCGATAACCGTCAAGTTCTTCAAGGATGGTATGGAAGCAATGAGTACTTGATCGAAATTCCAGATCTTGAAACAGCAATTCTCCAAATGAAGAGTCTCTAGAACAGGGCAACCAGAAATGAGTCTGCTTAATAACTCGAAATCCTTAGTCCTTACCTTCAAAAGCTGTAAGATTTTCAGACTAGAAAGACAAACAGAAGCAGGCATTATGTCTATTCTGATTCCAGTAAGCTTCAGAACATTTAGATTCTTCAATGTGAAGAAGCTCACTGGAGGAGACCATAACTCACAGATGGGGCCAACGTCATATACGCTCTTCAGTCTGATATCAATTTCCTCGAGCTGAGCCGACTCCATCCAAGGACACCAGACATCTCGGCTAAGCTCGCAGTCATAATAATCTACAGAAAACTGGAAGCGGAAGCGCCTTACAGAATTGAGATTCTTGTGCTGCCTCAGAACCTTGACCACGAATCGAGAGAATTCCAAGTCTCTCCTCCTCTTGAACTCTCTGGTTTCCAGAGGATTTCTGTGAACCAGGCGGTTGTCGAAGTCAAGATCGCGGAGACTAGTCGAGAGATCCTTCCACCGTCGGCTCAGGGCGACGGTGGCGACGGCGTACTTGGTTGGCAGGAAGGAGAGGACGTGGGAGATGATTTCGTCCGGCAGGGAGCTGATCCTGTCGATGGTTGCAGGCTCCCGCGACTCCATCGGCGCCCGGACGGATCAATCAATGGAGGAAAACGAGGCGGATGGTTGTGGGGATAGTGTTCCCAGTTGGACGAAATGCCGATTGCAAACCCTAATTTTGACGGGATGAAGATGAGAATATGATTTGCAAGTCAAACGTTAAAATTAAAAATTATGCTCAAGTTTGATATAAACGCGATTGAACAATTGCTAGTGAACACTGATAGTGTTGTGGTATATGATCAACGATTGAACCTCTTCCAACAACTCGAGTTATTGGGATCAACTGGTTCATCACAATTCACATGGTATCAGAGCCTTCTGTGACCCGAGAGGTCTTGTGTTCGATTCCTGGTGACCCCATTTGTTAAGCACATGGTATTCTTGTCTTCAGACCTGTGCAAACTTCAAGCCCTTGTGAGTGAGGGGGTGGATCTACACACCTCCGCTCAAATATTTTGTGAGAGACTCATGTTTTGTCGGTATAATTTTTTTAAATTTAGTACTTTCGACACACTTTTAATAATGGTAATCGACACGCTTTCAATACGCTATGATGAAATTAGTGTCATAAAGTTCCCAAAATACGTAAATATATATTATTTATTTTACATTTTAGTTAACTTATAACATATTTGGTGTTCTTTACATTGCTTAAGCATTTAGATGCAATGATTTATTACTCTTAGGTCTTAGGCAGGGGTAATCGTAAGGAGGATTTCTCCTTTTCTCTCTCTAACTGAATATGTTTCGTTTCTTCTTGATCCTTGTAGCTTTCACATAGTTGTCCACCTAGTGACAAAAATGTTTTTTCATCGAGAGTGTCCGGTTACATATGAACTACCGTTCTTTATTATTGTCCATCTTATAAAAAAAAACCTAGTGTTCCCTTACCTCTTTCGATCCCAATTCTCGTCGTGTTTCACAGTAAAATATAATTAAAATTTATTTACTATTTTATTTAATTTTATCGACCGACACACCTTTACGAGAATTCTGGATCCGCCACTGATTTGGAGGGAACGATGTTGCAGAGTGTTTAATACGCTCTCAGAAGACACTGGAAGAGATGGTAGAGCAGAACAAGATGGAAATCCAATTTTATGGCATGAGCAATGCTGAATTATCTCAAGTTTTTGTTAGTTCTCGGCTTTCAAGCTGGTTGAACAGCAAGAATTAAGAGGAAATGTGAGACCAAGAATTAAGAGGGCAGAAAGTCCATCCTTTGTTGAATTTGCTTTTGTTTTGCGCGGGGAGGGGAGGGGTGGATTAGAATGGCAGCAAAGATGCTGAAAATGCAGAAAATTCTATGTCCCACCAAAGCCCTTTACAGTTGTCCAACATTCCATGACCTTACAAGACAGATCGAACAGGATTAAGACTAGAATCTGATAATGCAAACTTACCTCACAAGTCAAATACATATCATCAGAAAAACTTAGCTCATTATACAAACTCAAATACGTCGAGAAAACAATGTATTGGTCTGAGGCTCCTTCCTGCGTGCTGTGTTTGGCAGTCTCTCAAGTCTCAATATCATCAGCATACTATCAAACTCTTACTCAATCCAAAGAGGGGCTACTCATTCAAAACATTACCTGACAAGTAAACCATATTCTCATAGGACTCCGGGGCGCCGTCTTTGATGCTACTGGCGCCATCGTCATCTTCATCATCCACGTCGATCTCATCACCCACCTCGTCAAATTTGTTTTTCTCCATCATTTCCATCACAGATGATGTTGTCATTGTCATTGTCATTGTCGGTCCTTTTCCATCATCAACATTTGTATCGCCGTCTTCCAAGCCATCAACAGCATCGTTACCACGGGTCTCGTGGTCGCTACAAACGTGGATCTCATCGCCAAAGGGAAGGAAAAGATGAGCTTCGCAACCTCTCGAGCTTCTTAGTAGTTTTACAAGTGACCCAAGGCGATTGTGGATGGCTTGAAGATAATCACCGTACTCCTCGTAAACATCTGCATCATCATAAACTATGTGCACATGTGCCTTCTTCAGTGACACTCCAGCCTCGAGCAAACATGCGACCATTTCCATCTCATCTTTATCTGCTATAAGATCTTCGATCTTAATTTCCTCGAGGCTTGACAACAAACACTCAGGTGTGCAACCATGTTCGTTAAAATCCTCCCACTCCATTGTTCCCCTACCATCCTCCTGCTCCATGCACATATTCAGTATGGATAATGATATGTTACGGGAGTTAAAACCCAACTAAAGATATAAAGTGAAACTCACCAAGATTACGATAAGAGATTGTAATTTGGGGACCGAGTTGAGAACGGAGTGTAGAATGCAGCTGCTTCCAGGGGATCCTATTTTCAAGCGTGTCAAATTGGGAAAGATAGGCAGCTGAACATCACCATTGTCATTTGACAAAAGACACTGAACACATCGAAAGACAGGAAAAAAAAAATATCATTAGCTCTCAGTCTCATCAACCATTCAAAGTAGGCAAAAATGCTGATTACCAGCAAGCTCCACGATAAGCGCATTTCCTTTGCGTTAGAGATTTGGGCGAGGACCCTAGTCAAGCCCTCGTTCGAGATTTCGCTACGACCAAATTCAACCGTTGCTGAATGAAGGCATGGCAATGGGCGATTACTTTCAAGTAACTGCATCTCGGGGAAATCCTCAAGATAAAGCTGCTCAAGGCTTGGTGCCTCTATTGCAATGGAGCACAAAGGGAAATCATGGAAGCTAATGCCGATAATGCTCAATTTCTTCAAGGAAGGTAAGAAAGCAATGAGTTTGTCGTTCTCCTCCCTGTTTGAGGGATCACAATCCTCCATATGAAGACTCTAGAACAGGGCAACCAGAGATGAGCTCGCTTAATGACGCCCAGTCCGTAGTCACTACTTTAAAAAGCTGCAAGATCTTAACACTTGGAAGAAACATAGAACCTTTTGTAGTAGTTTCTACGGTAATACCCGCAAGCTTCAAAATTTTTAGGTTCTTCAAACGGTAGAAGCTCTCTGGAAGCAAACACAGGTCCCTAATCCAGTAATTCCCTTCAAGCTTAACATCCATTTCCTCGAGCTGAGACTCATCCGGCGCCAATCCCATCTTCAACCACAAGTTCGACATCGCCTTGCGATCATCGTCTGTCATTGCAAAATGGAAGCGGAAACGCCTCAGAGAATTGAGATTCTTGTGCTGGCTCAGAACCCGCTCGACGAAGCGGCAGAATTCCAAGCACCGGCTCTCTCGAATCTCCGAGCCTCCGTAACGATACTTGAAATCGAGGTCCAGATTGTAAACCCCGGTCCACAAATCCTTCCATCGTCGGCTTAGGACGGAGGTGCCCACGGCGTGCTTCGTTTGGAGTAAAGAGAGGATGTGGGAGAGGATTTCGTCTGGTAGGTAGCTCATTCTATCTTCCATTGCCGGCTCCGGCAACTTCCGATGGGCGGTCGTTGCGATTTCAGGAGCCTCCGTCGTCTCCATCGATGGCCGAACAGAGGGAAGTGAAAGCGATGCGGGAAAGTGAAACTAGGGTTCCGAGTTCACGAAATTGCGAAGGAAGAGGCTAATTGGGTTTAATAATTGATTTAATCTTCCTTAATCCTTAGCATAAAGATAGGCGCCACTTAAATCTTCCCAGCCGCCCCCGCTCGTTTCTTTTGCTTCCTAGGCCGGACTTGTGGTCGGGTCCGGTTTTACCGGTCCGGTTTTCATAACACTCCAAAATACAGAAATTCAAAAAAAATATATATATATATATATTCTCTTCTAGTTGACGTGGCAAGTGAGCTGGACCTTGACTAACGATCAACTCGGTTGACCGTCTAATTTGATGGTCAAACCCGCCTACAGGCTAAATAAGGAAGTATGCCGCATAGTTCAGGTCAGGATAGCAATTTCCAATACCACAGGCCAAAGAACAAAGTTTGTCTATAGTTCGGGCCAAACTAAGGTATTAACCCAAAAAATTAATATCAATTTTGGTCACTCGAATTACTGAAATCGCCCGCATTTAGTCATTCTCCGTTAGTCTCCATCCAACTCCGTTAATGGATTCCATTAAAAGGTCGTTTGGACGTGGAAATTATAAAACGTTGGAATTTGTCTGAATTTCCATGTTTTACAAAACCAAGGAATTGACTTGTGGAAATTGGAAAAAAAATCACGTTTGGATAGGGTTTAGTTTTGTGGGAATTGATGGTGTGGAATTTGAAAAAAGAAGTAAGAAAGCGTGGTAATGTTAAATTACTAGAGGGAGGTGTAGTATTCTCAATTACCATGAATGTGGTAATTGAAGCCAATTTCCATGGTCCAATTCCCATACCATTTTTGCTCTCCCAAACGTGGGTTTTTAACTCAATTACTACATTATGTGGTAATTGGGTCCAATTACTGCATTACATTTCCACATCCAAACGACCCCTTAAGTGTTGGCGTAGCAAACGAACTTGCCTAGTCCACGCAATTTAGTCCAAAAATGATGAAACCCAACCCGACACGTCACTCGAATCCAACCTGTGAACCCAACCCCCTCTTCCCTGACTTTCCCTTTCTTGCTTCTAACCCTTCTTCCCTCGATCATCCCCACCGTTTTCTCTCCCCCACTCCTTCCTCCGGCGAAACACATAGCTGTTAGCCCGCCTACATATGGTGAGGAAGAGGCCAGCAATTCAGCTGGCGGTGGAAATTAAAAAAAAATGTCAACAAAGTCACCGAATGCAGTTGTGGAGGTGAGTGAGCAGGTGGGAATTAATTTCCCTTTGTCTCTCATTAGCCTATAAAAGGCAGAGGCAGTAGCCTCAATTCGATCATCCTTCACCATTCCATTATTCTCCATTCCTTTGCTCTGCTTCTGTTCGTATTTCTTTTGTGGGTTTTGGTAGTGAAACGTTTTCACTACCACGGGTAGATAGGAGAATTCTTGTGGTGAAATAGTGAGGTTGTTCCGGGAAACACCGAGTGTTCTATTTCCTTGTATCTTGAAATTCTCTGTAACCTACGGTTGCAATAGTGAAGAAATACTCTGGAGCTATTGTTCCCGTGGACTGGCCCTAAATCAGGGTATACCACGTAAATCCTCTGTGCCATTTATTATTGTCTATGCTTGTTGTCATTTTGAGAATAGTCGTAGTATATTGCGTTATTAAATTACCGAAGTAAATTGATCTAAGTAAGTTGGTTACCGTAATTCTGGAGGCTCTGCCACCAGGTCCAACTTACCTGTGAACTTTTTACAAGCGTGTGATTTTTTAATCCAATATATTTACCCGCTATTCTCACCCGCTGCGCCCAACAAGTGGTATCAGAGCCACGTCCAATGGAGGCAAAAACAAGCAAGATGATAAGTCTGAATGGCTCCAACTATCACATATGGAGAAACAAGATGAAGGATCTCCTACTCGTGACGGAGTTGCATTTGCCGGTGTTTAGCCCAACTAAACCTGATGCAAAACTGAAGAGGAATGGGAGTTCAAGCATGAGCAAGTATGTGGCTACATTCGACAGTTCGTCGACGATAATGTATACAACCACATTAGCGGAGAAACTCATGCCAGAACTCTGTGGAACAAGCTGGAGGCACTTTATGCATCAAAGACCGGCAACAACAAATTATTTTATCTTACCAAGTTGGTCCAGATGAAATACAAGGAAGGCAAATCCTTGGCGGATCACTTGAACGAAATTCAAGGGATCGTGGATCAGTTGTCCGGTATGGGCATAAAGATGGAAGATGAGGTGGTCGCTCTCCTCGTTCTGGCTTCCCTTCCAGAATCTTGGGAGACGCTAAAAATTTCACTTACCAACTCTGCGAAAGATGGAGTTATAAACATGGAGATTGTCAAAAGCGGAGTCCTGAACGAAGAGATGCGAAAAAGATCACAAGGTGCATCCTCATCATCTTCCCAGTCAGACCTTCTGACAGTGGATTCCAGAAGCAGAGGAAGAAGTGAAGCTAGAGGCTCAAAGCAAAGAGGCAAGAGTCGAGGGAAGTCCAACAAGTTTGCCAACATCCAATGTCATCACTGCAAGGAAAAGGGCCACATCAGAAGATTTTGCCCAAAGTTCAGAAATGAGAGAAAGAAGGGCAAACGAGATGAGAACAGTGATGATGATGGTGCAAACTCTGTAGATGAGTTCAATATTGTCTACGAGGAAGATGTTGTCAACCTGACAACCCAGGAGACAAGCTGGGTGGTTGATAGTGGTGCTACCATCCATGTGACGTCCAAGAGAGAATTTTTCTCATCTTACACACAAGGTGACTTTGGTGTGGTAAGAATGGGAAATGGTAATCTTTCCAAAGTTATCGGAAAAGGAGAAGTCTGCTTGGAGACGATGAATGGTACGAAGCTACTGCTGAAGGATGTCAGGCATGTTCCAGAAATGCACCTGAATCTCATCTCTGTAGACAAGTTGGATGAGGAAGGTTACTGCAACACCTTCCACAATGGCCAGTGGAAACTCACCAGAGGCTCCTTGGTATTGGCCAAGGGCAAGAAGCTGTCAAAGCTGTATGTGACGGAAGCCAAGATCTCCTCAGAGATTGTCAACTCAGCGGAGAATGGTGACACAATTGAATTGTGGCACAAACGGCTCGGTCACATGAGTGAGAAGTCCATGGCAAAGTTGGCCCAGAAGAAGGTCATAGTTGGGTTGGATCATGTTCATCTAAAGAAGTGTGTCGATTGTCTTGCGGGAAAGCAAAACCGAGTTGCTTTCAAAAGTTCTATCCCTTCAAGAGCAAAGAACGTGTTGGATCTAGTTCACTCAGATCTCTGTGAACCCGATGTCAATGTCAAATCACTTGGAGGTGCCAGATATTTCGTGACATTCATTGATGACCATTCACGGAAGACTTGGGTGTATACCTTGAAGACCAAGGATCAGGCCCTAGACGTTTTCAAACAATTCCTGGCCCTGGTGGAGAGGGAAACTGGCAAGAAGCTGAAGTGCATCCGGACTGACAATGGTGGAGAGTACAGAGGTCCGTTTGCTACCTTTTGCAAGGAACATGGAATTCGGCAGCAATTCACACCACCAAAGACGCCGCAATTGAATGGGCTAGCTGAGAGGAAGAACAGGACCCTGCTAGAGAGAGTCAGGTGCTTGTTATCACACTCGAAGCTTCCACAATCTTTCTGGGGGGAGGCACTGCTTGCAACAGTTTATGTGTGGAACAGGTCACCCAGTGTGCCACTGAAGTATGACGCCCCAGAGAAGGTGTGGACAGGAAATGAAGTTTCCTACAAACATTTGCGGGTGTTTGGTTGCAAGGCCTTTGTCCATATTCCAAAGGATGAAAGGTCAAAGTTGGATTCAAAGAAGCGACCGTGCGTATTCATTGGCTATGGTCAAAATGAGTTTGGCTATAGATTCTTTGATCCAATCCAGAAGAAGCTTATCAGGAGCCGTGATGCTGTGTTCATCGAGAATGAGACCATCGAAGATGTTGTTGCTAGGAAAGAAGTTCCTAGTACTGATGCTAGCCAGCCAAACCTTGAGCTAGTGCCTCCAACACCAGCGCCTACAGAAGTTGGAGAAGAAGTACAACATGATCAGCCTGAGATAGTTGAACCAGATGCCCATGTGGAGGTTCAACCAGAAGATGCTGATGACGATGGTCAAACACCAGCCATAGAAGGTTCTCCTGTTCGAACAACAAGATTTGGTAGAATTTCACGACCGTCTACCAGATATCCCGAGACTGAATACGTCTCACTTACTGACGGTGGAGAACCAGAAAGCTTCACAGAAGCTATGAATGATGAACACAAGCAAAGGTGGATAGAAGCCATGCAAGACGAGATGGATTCCTTGTATGAGAACAACACATTTGAGCTGGTGAAGTTGTCAAAAGGCAAGAGAGCTTTGAAGAACAAGTGGGTGTTCAAGATCAAACATGATGAACACAACCGTCAGCCACTCTTCAAAGCCAGACTAGTCGTGAAAGGCTTCAGTCAAAGGAAATGCATTGACTTTGATGAGATATTTTCACCTGTGGTGAAGATGACATCCATTCGTACTGTGTTGGGAATAGCAGCAAGTCTTAACCTGGAGGTTGAACAAATGGATGTGAAAACTGCTTTCCTTCATGGTGATTTGGAGGAAGAGATTTACATGGAGCAACCAGAAGGCTTCAAGAAGGAGAAAAAGGAGGACTATGTGTGCAGGCTCCGTAAGAGCTTGTATGGCTTGAAGCAGGCACCAAGGCAGTGGTATAAGAAGTTTGAGTCTGTTATGGGGGAGCAAGGTTACATGAAGACTACTTCTGACCACTGCATATTTGTGAAGAAATTCTCAGATGGAGATTTCATCATATTGTTGCTGTATGTGGATGATATGCTAATTGATGGGCAAAATGTTTCCAAGATCAACGACTTGAAGAAAGAGTTGAGCAAGTCTTTTGCCATGAAAGATTTGGGACTAGCAAAACAGATTCTTGGCGTGAGGATCATTCGGGATCGAGGTGCCAAGAAGATATGGTTTTCACAAGAGAAGTACATTGAGAAAGTACTTCAACGTTTCAACATGGATAATGCTAAGGCGGTTAGCTGTCCTCTTGCTAACCACTTTACATTGACATCCAAACAGAGCCCGTCTATAGAGAAGGAAAAGGCGGAGATGGATAAAATTCCATATGCTTCAGCAGTGGGAAGTTTGATGTACGCCATGGTGTGTACAAGGCCAGATATTGCTCATGCAGTTGGAGTTGTCAGTCGGTTTCTTTCCAAACCAGGAAAGGAACATTGGGAAGCCGTGAAGTGGATCCTCAGATACCTTCGAGGTAGCTCCAAAATGAGTCTATGTTTTGGAGATGGTGAACCTGTCCTTGTTGGCTATACAAATGCTAACATGGCAGGTGATGTTGATTCGAGGAGGTCCACTTCTGGGTACCTAATTACCTTATCAGGGGGAGCAATATCGTGGCAGTCAAGGCTACAAAAATGTGTAGCTCTCTCCACAACAGAAGCTGAGTACATAGCAGCAACGGAAGCATGCAAGGAGATGATATGGATGAAGAAGTTCCTGAATGAACTTGGGTTCCTACAGGAACAACCGCAGCTGTTCTGTGACAGTCAGAGTGATATTCATCTTGCGAAGAATGCTTCATTTCATGCTCGATCAAAACATATCGATGTTCGATATCACTGGATTCGTGATGTACTTGAAATGAAGCAGCTACAACTGGAGAAAATCCATACTGACGAAAATGGATCTGACATGTGTACCAAGACTCTTCCAAGAGAAAAGTTTGAGTTCTGTCGATCAGCTGCAGGGATGACGAAGTCACCTATGTAGTAAGGCGAGGGAGAATTGTTGGCCCGCCTACATATGGTGAGGAAGAGGCCAGCAATTCAGCTGGCGGTGGAAATTAAAAAAAAATGTCAACAAAGTCACCGAATGCAGTTGTGGAGGTGAGTGAGTAGGTGGGAATTAATTTCCCTTTGTCTCCCATTAGCCTATAAAAGGCAGAGGCAGTAGCCTCAATTCGATCATCCTTCACCATTCCATTATTCTCCATTTCCTTTGCTCTGCTTCTATTCGTATTTCTTTTGTGGGTTTTGGTAGTGAAACGTTTTCACTACCACGGGTAGATAGGATAATTCTTGTGAGTGAAATAGTGAGGTTGTTCCGGGAAACACCGAGTGTTCTATTTCCTTGTATATTGAAATTCTCTGTAACCTACGGTTGCAATAGTGAAGAAATACTCTGGAGCTGTTGTTCCCGTGGACTGGCCCTAAATTAGGGTATACCACGTAAATCCTCTGTGCCATTTATTATTGTCTATGCTTGTTGTCATTTTGAGAATAGTCGTAGTATATTGCGTTATTAAATTACCGAAGTAAATTGATCTAAGTAAGTTGGTTACCGTAATTCTGGAGGCTCTGCCACCAGGTCCAACTTACCTGTGAACTTTTTACAAGCGTGTGATTTTTTAATCCAATATATTTACCCGCTATTCTCACCCGCTACGCCCAACAATAGCTTCCTCTCCCCCACTCCTTCCTCTAGACTCAAATCCTCGTCGGGCTTCAGGAGAAACAACCAATCACTCTAGCTCGCAACGTGGAGAATGGTTGCTGAATTCTGCTATTTCAAAGATCCGCTCGAGATTTTGTACCAGTTTATGAAAGGTGGCGATGTGAGGGACATAGCAAGGAGTGAATAACAAATGAGGAAGAAATAGAGGACTAAAGGCAGAGTGGCGATGGTGGTCAATAAGCACCGGCAACTGGTTCCTAGAAGTGTGAGAATCAAGCGGAATGAAGCCTGTGTGAAGGCGGAAGCGAGTGCCAAAAGGAAAAAGAAGAAGATTTCCCAGGCGAGGAAAGCCTCCTCCACGATTCTGATTCCAATTTCCAAGACAAATCCGATTTGCAATCCGGGCTAAATTATGCTAATTAGGCCATTCCATTTGCCACATAGAACTTAATGGATCCCATTAATGGAATTGGACGGAAACTAATTGAGAGTGACTAAATGCGGACTTTTTCAGTAATTCGAGTGACCAAAATTGATATTAATTTTTTCAGTTACTAAACATGACATGTTTTAGTTACGTACGTTAGTGACCAAACCTGAAATCAAATTTACACATTATATATGTATAATAAATATCAAATACTTTAGAGAAAAATAATGATATTTTAAAAAAAATACATGTGAATAAAGAATTTGTGCGAGGAACCTAATTAGACCAAGCTGGGAGATTAGATAGTGACGAGTTTCAACTCGTGTCGAATGAAGGCATGGCAATGAATTGCCGTTGCTTATAAGATAAAGCTGGTCAAGACATGGTGCTACGGTTTAAGAAAGGAGTGGTTGTAGTCTCTTTTCCGCTTAATGGCTCGCAGAAATGAGACTGCTTAATGGCTCGCAGTCCTTGATCTGCACCCTCCAAAGCATCAAGCTTTTTTACACTAGGAAGAAGAATAAACCCGTATAACACCGTCGAGCTTCAAACACTTTAGACACTTCAAACTGTAGAACGTCGTTGTAAGGCGACAGGATGCGGAAGGTGTATCCACATCAATCGCACCCCTTGAGTTTTAACATCAACCTCCTCGAGCATAGACTCATCACATGCCATCTTTAACCAGAAATCTGGCCTTACATTGTAGTCGACGAAGCCGCAAAATGCTTCATTGACTCATAAATTACAACACCAGAATATTCTAACAAGTAATCCATGTTCTAATAGTACTGTGCCTAAAACAACCACACTTATGTGAAGTCTCTTGTATTGCAAACTGACAGTTTATTCGATAGAAAACAGATTCAAACCAACTACATGATTCCAAGCCGTAAGATCAGGCTTCCCACTAACCAGACTACCCTTGAAATCAGCTAACTAACTACCACTAACAACCTGACTAGCTGCCGCTTAACACTCAAACAAGGACTCAACTGACTCTTAACATAACTATAGGACTAAACATAAACTTATCCAAACGACACAGCATCAGCAACCCACAATTCAAACAATCAAACTCCAAACACGCGCCAATTCTTCCTTCCTCTTCTGTCTTGACTCTTGCAGCCACCAAGGGTTTGAGCTTTCAGTTCACCTTCTAACAACTTAATGTTCATTGGCTCCCCTCCCTCGCCTCGAGCCATCATTATTTGTATCGTCATCATCCATGCCATCAACATCATCGTTGCCATCGGTCTGGTCATCGCTATCAACGTGGATCTCATCGCCATCCGGAAGGAAAAGATGAACTTCATAACCTCTCGAGCTTCTTACTAGTTTTACCAGTGACCCCAGACGATTGTGGATGTCGTTCATATAATGGCGATACTCATCGTAAAGATGTGAATCGTCGTACATTATGTGCAGATTTGCCTTCTTCAGCGCGACTCCAGCCTCGAGCAAACACGCGCCCATTTCCAACTCAGCGTCATCTGCTACTAGATAATTGATCTCGATTTCCTCGAGGCTCGACAACAAACACTCGGGCGTGCAAGCAGGTTCCTCGGAACCCCGCCAGTCCAACATTCCCCAACCATCATCCTGCTCCACGCACATATTCAGTATGGAAATTGTGGATCATGACATTCTAACTCAACTAGTGAAGATGAACTCGAAACTCACCAAGTTAATGACAAGAGATTGTAATTTGGGGACCGAGTTGAGCAAGTAGTACAGAGTGCTTCTTCTTGCAGGGGATCCTATTGTCAAGTGTGTCACATTGGGAAACATAGGCAGCCGAGCAATAGCATCGTCATTGGGAATTATAGGCAGCCGAACGCCATTTGACAAAAGATCCTGAACAACATCATCATTAGCTCTCAGCCTCATCATCAACCATTCAAATTAGAGGCAACAAAATAAGAGGAGCAAATGCTGATTACCAGTGTTCTCCACGACAACCACAGCACCTTTGCGTTAGAGATTTGGGCGAGGAGCCTAGTCAAGCCACGGTTCGAGATCCCGCTTTCACCCTGTTCAAGCAGTGCTGAATGTAGGCATTGCAATGGACGACTGCCGTCCTGTGACAGCTGCAGCTCGGGGTATTCGTCAAGATAAAGATGCTCAAGACTAGGTGCATCTATTACAATGCAGTGATCATGATATAAGATATCGCCGATAATGGTCAATTTCTTCAAGCAAGGTAAGAAAGCATTGAGTGTGTCGCTCTCCTCTTTGTTTGAGTGTCTGCAACCCTCGATTTGAAGAGCCTCTAGAACAGGGCAGCCAGAGATGAGCTTGCTTAATGCCGCACAGGATTTAAATACTGCATTCAGGAGCAGCAATTTCCTAACACTTGGAAGAAAAATGGAACCTGTTCTAGTCTCTAGAGTAACACCATCAAGCTTCAAAATTTCTAGCCGCTTCAAACGGTAGAAGCTCTCTGGAAGCCAACGCAGGGAAAAGGGATCCTCATTCCATTCATCCCCTCGAAGTTCAACATCCATTACCTCGAGCTGAGACTCGTCCGGCGAGAATCCCATCTGCAACCAGAAATTCGGCCTCTCCTTGCACCCGACGTCATCCATTGCAAAATGGAAGCGGAAACGCCTTACAGAATTGAGATTCTTGTGCCGGCTCAGAACCGTGCCGACGAAGCGGCAGAATTCCAGGTACCGCCTCTCTCGAATCTCCTGAGCATTGGCTACGATCTCCGATTCTCCGAAACGGTTCCTGAAATCGAGATGGATATTGTAGACTCCAGTCCACACATCTTTCCACCGTCGGCTTAGGACGGAGGTGGCGACGGCTTGCTTCGTTGGGAGTAAAAAGAGGATGTGGGCGAGGATTTCGTCTGGCAGGTAGCTGATCCTATCTTCGGTTGCCGGCGTCGGACTTTTCCGTTGGGCAGTCGTCGGGATTTTAGGAGCCTCCGCCGTCTCCATCGGCGGCCGGGCGGAGGAACCGAGGCGGAAAAGTGAAGCTAGGGTTCCAAAGTTCACGAAATTGCAAACAAAATTTTTATTTTTTTGGATGAGGAAGAGGCTAATTGATTTTTGGAGCACTCCAATCTCTTTTTTTTTGTGAAAAGACCGTCGGGCGGTCTATCTCATATTAATAACAAAACACAATCCAGTAACGCTCATAACATTTAATTGAATTCATTGTCTAACGCTCGTCTCGCTTACAACTGATGAACGCGTGTCAGAAGGAAGTCTCGCTCACAACTGATGAACGCGTGTTAGAAAGAAGACTCTACTAGTCAAGAAAGCCGCTACCAACCTACCACATCCTTTTCCATTAGGGCACTCGTAGTTCTCAATCTAAGCTCGACAGAAAAGGTGTTGATGGTGTTCAAGGTTTCGAGATAGTATAATAACCTAGCAAACATCAAGAAGTTAATCTAACTAGAAAAGTAATAGCTCAAACTTGAGAAGCATTCTGGTCCAGTTTCGAGCGCCTTCTTTGCCCACTGACTTTTAAGAAACACTCTAAAAAATACGTCCAGCCAATGCTCTCCGATTCTATCACGGTATCTGAGTCTTGCTGAGTCGAGGTTGAGTTTAACTTTGCTGGAACCTTCCCATCAAACTACCAGGAGACTTTTCGCTGCACCTTTCTATTCTGCTATTGTAATTGAACAGGTTCTCAGGTAGTGTCCATAATGGTTCAACTTAAGCACCAGGAGGGTATTGTAACAACAACAGTAAACTAATAACAACTAAGGGACAAAGCACATCAACCCAAAATTACAAATGTGTAGTACAATGGACGTGAACCATAATCCAAAGGGCTTACAGTCGCCATAGATTAGCCATACGGTTCTTTTGAAGTTAAGATAAGTCTGGCATGTCGATGTTGCGATTCTCGTGGCTTCCTTGTTCCATACGATACCACATCCCAAACCCCATGGGCTGCCAGAATCACAAACTCGTGTCTTCTCGACGCGCTCAGTTGAGACACTTCCTGAAATTGATATGACCGCAAATTCCTCGATCGACACAGTAGTCCCCGAATGCTTGAGATAAAGCTAGCACTGACGTCTAAGCCCGAATTCCTCGACAGAGTAGTCCCGAATGCTCGAGATAAAGCTAGCCCTGACATCTTCCCGCTTAGTTTCCATACTCCATAGAATCCTGGATCTTCCTGCAACCAGCATAAGACTTCTTCAAACTAAGGAGAATCTGATAAGGGGGGAAAACAGTAAACACATTAACCTGAAGAACTTAGGGAGAGAGAATATTAGTTGGGCTGACAGAATGCCACCTCCCGAAGTTGTTGCTAACACTGCTGTTGAAACACCAAAATGGTTACCCTGCAGTCCTTAAAGAAAGGGCAATACGTTAGTAGTGTTGATATATTCGTTTATTTCAAAGACTCAAGACTTCCATTGCAAGATTGGATATTGTATCGATGATCTCAAAACACCGATCAAGTAACAAGTTCATCCACGAGGTGTTCCTCCACGGACACCGACCATATCTTGTGCTAAGACTCTGGACCCTTTTGATCATATCAAGAATGAGTTCATGTTATACTATACCAATCTATTGGTCAATACTTTCTATTCTTGAGTCGTATTACATGTAGAAAATCAATTCACATACATTTGACTCATGTACCACTCTGCCAAAACCCAATTATAAGTGCTTCAAACACCATTTACCTGTTTGACATGGTGAGCTGCAGAGAGTGTCAATCTTCGGATGATGCTGCTTCAGCTGTTGATCAATGGCAGCACAAGTCTTGATATACGACTTCTATTCCATCTCCATGTCGAGAGATGCCTCCCAAATCACTTACCAGTTGCAGAGCAAAGATGGCATTGGCAGGCCAATTCTCTAACCATTTTCACCACAACATGTCCCCATGGATCAGCCCATGAAATACCCCACGCCGATGATCGTGTAGAGGAGTGATGAATCAACACTCAAAAGAAGAAACCAATAGAAATATGCAGTAAAGACATTTTAATAGAAATCGGAGGGACGACTAGTCCTCCACAACTCTCCAACATTTCCATACTCTGTAGTCATCTTACAGAAAAGAAGCAAGCATGCTTTGCAACCGAACCAAGAGGATTTATACACAGTGTTCCCCAAAACCAATAAATAATTCGGTTCTTGAGAAACAAAATATTGTAATCCATCCAAACCTATGATGCAGAGTTTCTCAAAATCATCAGCTTCTAATTAAACAGTTACTCGCTCCAAAGAGGGATCCAAAATTACCAAACAAATTTGAATCCGTTTCCTGAAAAGGATTCCACCTAAACACCCAAACACAATCTTCACAGCCTCCCTCCTGTTACCGGTCTTCGCGGCGGGCAGTATCGGCATGACCATTGCTTTTGGGGGGAAAATATATGAGCTTCACAAGCTCTCGAGACTCTAGGTAGGTTTAGCAGTGAGGCACGTTCGCGGTAACTTTCTTCATAATAATCAGACACGTGCATATTCACCTTCTTCAGTACAGCTCCAGCCTTGAGCAAATATGCTACCATTTTCATCTCATCTTCATCTGCCTTAAGATTTTTTATCTTAACTTCCTCGGGGCTTGAGAACAAAGATTCAGGAGCAACAGCAGGTTCTCTTGACTCGTCCCAATTCATCACTTCCCTGCCACACTCCTGTTACATGCATTTGTGCATTATGGATAGTAATATGGAAGGGGAGACTCGGACTTAGCTGAGATAAAATGGGACTCACCAAGTCAATGACAAGAGATTGTAATTTGGACGCCATGTTGAGCAGCGAGTGCAGAACGCAGCTGCTTCCAGCGATTTTGATTGTCAAATGTGTCAACTTTGGAAAGTCAGGCAGTCGACCAGCATCATCGGCATCTGATATAAGCATCTGAGACAGCCAAAAAAAAAAAAAAAATCATTACCTCCCATCAAACATTCCAATTAATCAAATCAGAAAGCAGAATAGTGGAACTGAGGAAAAATGCTGATGATTACCAGAATATCCCATGACAAGCACATTTCCTTTGTATTAGAGGTCTCTTTGAGGAACCTAATTAGGCCAAACTCCGAGATTTGGCTGCATTGAATTCGTACCCATGCTGAATGAAGGCATGGCAAAGGACTACTAGTGCCCAGAAACTGTAACCCTCCGAAATATTGAAGATAAAGATGCGCAAGACTACTTGCTTCTATTGTAATGGGGCACAACATATTTCCATCTCCGTTGCCCACAATCCTCAAGTTCTTCAAGCAGGGCAACGAAGCAGTGACTATATTTTCCTCAATCCCGTTCGAGGTGTAGCAAATGCTCCTAATGAAGAGTCTCTAGAACAGGGAAACCAGATATGAGTCTGCTCAATGACTCACAGTCCTTAATCTCTACTCTCAAAAGCTGCAACATCTTGACACTAGGAAGAAGAACATACCCTTTAATGGTCACGATCATAGCACCATTGAGCTTCAAAACCTTGAGACGCTTCAAACTGTAGAATGTCTCCGGAGGGCAACGGATGTAGTTGGGAGTGCCGATGTAATAATAGTAACAGTAGGACTCACCAGTCACCCCCAAATTTTACATGCATTTCTTCGAGATAAGACTCGTCTGACAATCCCATCATCCTCAACCAGAAATTGGGACTCGCCTTGCTGCCGAGGAATCCTTCCCTCCTAAATTGGAAGCGGAAACGCCTCAGGGAATTGAGATTCTTGTGCTGGCTCAGAACCCTCCCGACGTTGCGGAAAAACTGAAAGTCGCGCTCTCGAATCTCGTCATGATTGTCTGTGTTCTTCAAGCTGCTGTAGGGCTGCGCGAGATCGAGACTGTAAACCCTAGTCCACGCGTCCTTCCACCGCCGGCTCAGGACCGAGGTGCGAACGGCGTACTCCGTTTGGAGGAAGGAGAGGATGTAGGAGAGGATTTCGTCCGGTAGGGAACTGATCCTGTCGTCCATTGCCGGCTTTGGAAACTGACGTTGGCCGGTCGACGCGATTTCTGTAGTCTCCGTCGTCTCCATCGGCGGCCGAGCGGAGGGAAGTGAGGCGGGAAAGTGAAACTAGGGTTCCGAGCTCACGAGTCACGACTCGCGAACCACCACTCAGATTTCTTTATTTATTTCTGGGGCAGAATTACATTTTGAGTACTTGGACTATATTGTTTACAGGAAAAGTCCTTCTATTATGAGTTTTGACATACGAGGGTTATATCTAGAAGTGGAAGTTTGGGTTGCGGGTTGTGGATAATCCGCAAACCGCACCAACCCGCACCTATTGTGGGTAACCATACCCACAAGTTGTGGGTAGTTGGTTGGGTGTGGGTAGTAAAATAACGATTTTTGTGGTTAGTGGTTATTCACTACCCACCGCAGTTAACCCACAATAACCACACTAATTATATTTATTTAGTGAATTAACTTTATAATATAATAGTATGTGAAAAGTGCGAGGATAAAAATTAAAGTAACCACCAAATAAAAAAGACACACCTAATCAGTTTTATGTAAGAATTTTTTAGTTTATAAAACACTATAATCGATAGAGTGGAGAATAATCAATTCATTAAAAGTTAACACTTTTTGTAAGTTTTATCAGTATGTTTTTGCTTTTGTGTTAAAAAATACAAGATCATATTTAATTTTTTCCCTGACACAAAATTTGAATACCAAACTCAAAAAGAAAAAATCTTCACGTTGAGTAAAATCGATGTACAAAATTGTATCTCCACGAACAACACAAGTGTATATCACTATAGTCTAGTTACGAACAACAAATACGTTAGTGGCGACTAGAACTATATGCTTGCAAAGATAGATTTCTGTGGGTAACCACACCCAACCCGCACAAACCCACAGTGGGTAGTAGTTACCCACTAACCACTGCGGTGTGGGTTGTGGGTAGCATAATTATAAATTCATGGGTGTGGGTACCCACAAAATGTGGGGCGGGTAACCACACCCGCCCTAATTTCCGCCCCTAGTTATATCCACTTAAGTGGAATCAAGCACTTGACTGAAATGACTAATTTGAATAGTGAGTTATTTAAAAAGAACTCATTTTAATTTTTATGTTATTATCAAATAACACATGTCAAATATCACATTAATCAAACAAAATATTTTAAATACCACAAAATTGAATATCACATTAACAATTAATGAATTATTTGACTCTATAAATATCATATTGATAATTAAGCCATTCAACCAACAATTAGGGTTTTAGAACACCGCATGGCAACCCAACAAATAAGGGGGGTAAAGAAATATTTTGTTGCTGATTTTTCAGTTGATAATAGCTTAAGCACTTGTATGATAACACTACTTTAATAAAGAAGCCCTTTTACATTATGAAATTTAGACAAACAAGTCCCATTTTTTATGTTGGTTGTGCATTTAGTGTCTAATATTCAGTCGAATTCATTAGTAATAAGGTGGATCCTACATTTTCGCAAGCATATTCATGATAAATTTACATATCATAACTTCAAAAAATCTTGTAACCTATTATGTGTTGTATCGACGATTTGACTGAACAAATGACTCTAAATCGATAGGTGAATTTTAGCGATACGTAATGATTGAGGCACAATTTTATCACAAAAATACTCTGTAGGGAATAAATAGCTTTGAAAACTATATTGAATTAATTATTCAATATTCTTTCTAGATACGAAAATAAGAAGGATAATTAATAAAAACAATATTATGGAGATAATTAGGATTAATTATCTTAATATAATATATTCTAATTATAGAAGTAATTATCTTTTTAATTAAAATGTGACTTATTCCCAAAAAAAGAGGGAATATTATGAGTTTTTTGCTCCTATAAATAGTAGACCCTGGACCCTCTTCCCACACTCACTTAGTTGCTCAAATATATGATAATCTATAAATATGGTATCTTTTAACTTTGGAACAAGGAATTGCAGCGACGGTTACCAAAGAAAAAATGTATTATCGGAAACGAAATGAGTAGACGATATAAAAAGGTTGAATCACGATTTCAGCATAAAAAAAAGTTACGACTGACCTATCCAGTACAACTACGATACGGTTCCGCAAAAACGCCAAGAAGACCCAAAAGAAAAAAACACAATTGGAAGTACAAACTGTAATAATATGTATTTTTTTTTTTTGTTCATCCTTCTTTTCCATTCTTTGGAATCTCAGTATACTCTGCCACAATTTCCATTAGTAAAACCTTGAATCAGCCATCCACTTGATAAACATCACCAAACCCTTATACGTTACAACATCACACTCCCCTTTACATCTCCTCCGACGTCCTTAATCCAAACACTTCCCGTTCTTCTCACTCCCCACACCGCCACCATCCGTCGCCGCCGGCGACGCCGCCTCTGACTCTGCCTCAACCTCGACCTCATGAAAAAATAGACAGATCGCCGACATGTCATCCATCGCCACCCCGCCCCTCTTCCGCTTCCACGCCCGACCCGCGTACTCCACCAGCCTCCTCGCACACTTCTCCCTCCCTCCACTCGCCGCCGCCGCCGCCACGATCCTCACGGCTTCCTGATTCGACACCACATCCCAGACCCCGTCGCTCGCCAGAATCACGAACCGGTCCCTGCTCGTGACGCTCAATTGGGTCACTTCGGGGACCGAGATCAGGCCGTATTCCTTGATGCTGTAGTCCCCGAAAGCTCTCGAGATCGCCAGCCCCGGCGTTTTGCCGCTCGGCCGCCATACTCTGTATACTCCGGGCTCGTCCTGGAGGCAGAACACTCTGCCTCTCGAGTTCTTGATGCGCTCTGCTTCCTCTGGGAGAAAAGGGGGAAAATTGGATGTGAGAAAAGGGTATTGGTGGGAGGAAAGATGGGAAAGTGGAGGAGAGGAAATTGGGCTTACGGGGGAGATTGGGCTTGAAATCGACGGTGAGTTGGACGGCGGACAGGGTGCCGTTGTCGGAAGTTGTGGCCAATACGGCTCTTGAATCGCCCACGTTGGCTATAATCAGATGGTTCCTCTGCAATAACAACATAGAGTGATAATTAATTAGTGATGACAATTTCTGATCTGATTTACACAATTCAATCTGTCTCGATTTGTTGGAATGAGTATTACACGATTCGTAGTAATATGTGGCAAGGCAAGGGGTATTGGTTCCGACATGTTGTTATGGCTCACTCACTTTGTTCTTGACCAGTTGTAAGGTTATTTCTTATTTGTATCAATATCAGCATGTATTTCCCCTATTTTGACATTTATAAAAACATATTTTCATCTCAATTTTGTTTAAAACTATCGTTTAACTATTTAAATTATAAACTCAATTATTCATTCTATTGTATTTCTCATTTATTTACGAAATATTTTTCATTTGTGTTCTTGTAAAGAGCTAATTCTCAATATTTTTTAAATAACATAAAAAGTAAATGCCATCGGTATATGCCACTCTCTCTCTACCCCAAAACAAACAAGAAAAAACAGAGCTTTCAACCACCATTTTTTGTATGTTGTTACCTGTTTGACAATGGTGAGAGCAGTGGTGCCGCTGAAGAAAGTGTCGATCTTGGGATGCAGCTGCTTCAGCTGCTGATCAACGGCGGCGTAGGTCTTGAGATACGACTCCTTCCAGATCTCGAACCGATGCTGCTGGTTGCTATGGCGGAGAAGCAAGTCTTCATTTTCATTCACTAGCCCCAACTCCATCTCCACGTCGAGGGAGGATTGCAGAGTCTTCTGCCAGTTGCAGAGCAGAGATGGCGGGACCGATTCTCGAACCCTTTTCGCCACCACGTGTCCCCACGGCCCGTGGCCGTCAAACACCCCGCAGAACGTCATGTCTTCCTGGCACCCAAATTCCTGCAGCCGAATCGCCACAATTAAGAACAGGAATTTGTAGATGCAAAGATAGAACAAGTAAATGTTTGTGTAATGTATGATTTTGAAGGAATCATGTGATGACTTATGAGACTAAAATTTGCTTGTAGGAATTGTGATGGATTCTTGAGAGTATTTGGGTATATGCAAAGATTGTTAAACTGCACGAATCATTTCGAATGTTAGATGGGTTCGTATAGATACTTGTCAAAAACTTCGAATACATTTACGCTGACGGAGTTCGAACTTGAGATCAACAATTAGATGTGTTTCACACAATTCGATGGTTTGAAACATTGTTCGATTCGAACTTTGTGACCAACAATCGAAATTGTACCTCCCAAACGACGAGACAATCCTGATTGACGCCCTTCTGGCCTCTCCTGGAGCAAACGGATGAGAAATTGTTGGACTTGGTCGACTTCACAATCCCAGAGGAGCTCAGAATCAGCTCATTCCTTTTAGCATCCTTAGCCAGCTCCTCCGCAGCTTGCTTTCCGCCGCCGTCGGCGGCAGCGGCGGCGGAATCTTTCTCCATGCTCTTCGCTTTCTTCAACGACGACGATGTGGAGGACACCGTTCTCGCCAACCCGTTGAAGAAAGACGGGAACAGAACCATCTTCTCTTCTTATTATTCTTTTGATCACTCCCACCTATGATAAGTTTGGGAGAAGAAGAAAGGCGTTAGCTTTATACAAAAAAACGAAACTCATCACTCACAAAAGAAGAAAGAAAGCTCCGTTTTTTTGTCTCTGTTTTCTTCTCCTTTCTGAAACAGAGCATATTTCTTTGTTTCCAATTCCAAAGCCAACCCAATTCCAAAAACTAGACAGCCTAGCAATCCACGTCCCCCCAGTTTTCTGAAAGTGACGACGGGGGATCGGATCATTCCACCCCCCCCCCCCCCCCCCAAAAAAAAAAAAAAGGAAAGAACAGAGTAAGAGGAGAATCAATTTTACAGACCTGTGTTGCTCTGGAGATGAGAAACAGAGCACAGAAAATTCTCTTCTTTGTTTTGGGTACTTAGTGCTAACTAACTTATTTATCCACCTCTGGGTGGAAGGAAAGGAACTCGATTTGGGTTGATTGAGGCAAATTGGTGAATGGTTTTGCAGGGATGATTTCAAGTTGCTGGTTTTGCTGCTGCTCCATTTGCCTTTATGGGTTTGGCTCTTTGCGGTCTGTTTTTTGTTTATGTTTATGGACTCTGTTGTTTTCGCAGTTTTTGATTGTGGGAGGAATGAAGAGTACGTAATGTTTATAGCCTAGCTTTACACCGTAAACTCTGTGTGCTTTGTGGGAATGACGACAATGCCCCCAATAGGGGGTGATTAATTTTGAAATTAGTGATGAGATTAGGAAGACTGTGGACTAAATTAATGATTATTACCTTACTCTTAAGAAAATGTTGTGATGTACTAGGGAGCGAGCACTAAATCCAGTATATAACGAGAGTTTGGCCTAAAGTCGGGATCACATGGTGTTTGTCTAGATAGATCATAATGTTGAGATTGGAGGGGATGCGAAAGTTATTATTGATAAGATTAACGGGGGGTCATGTAAGATTACAAAGATGACATCATTTATAACGAAATTTATAAAGAGATTCACATATTGCTTACTCTTTGCTCGAGTTTACGAGTTCAATTTCTTGGCAAGTAAAATAATAGAGTAACTTATTTGGTGACCAGAAATGTCATTCCTTTATTTTCTGTAAAGTGTTGTTGTTTTGATTTTCGTGCTTGGGTTGATTTTTTTACGAGTGATCTTTCCGCCAAAATAAAAGGATTGATAAAAGATTGGAAGTCCAATTAAAACACATTGAAATATCAAATATGGTGAAGAATATGAGTTATAAGATGTAATTTTCAATCATCTAATTTATTAAGTGATTTCAGAGGCTACAAGTGTGGTTAACTAGAAATATAATACTATTTATTTTTTTGCAGATGATCTAATTCTTTTTGGCGAGGCTTCTTCCCAACAAGCACAAGCGATTCTACAATGTTTTGATACTTTCGGAGCAGCTTCGGGTCAGAGAATCAGTAAGCCGAAGTCAAGGGTGTTTTTCTCGACGAATGTCGCCGAAGCCAAAAGAGCAGAATTAAGTGAAAAGCTGGCAATACCACAAACGGCCAACCTGGGGCGCTACTTGGGGGTACCGGTCATCCACGATCGGGTTTCGAAGGCAACCTACAATGAGCTTATTGACAAGGTGAATAATCGGCTTGCAGGATGGAGGGCGGATAAATTGAGCATGGCAGCGCGGGTTACCCTTGCCCAAGCGGTACTCTCATCGCTCCCGTCGTACACCATGCAAACGTCGTTCCTGCCGGCGAGCGCGAGGGAGTACATCGACAAGAAGATCCGAGCTTTTGTTTGGGGAAGCACAGAGAGGGGCAGGAAAATTCACCTCCTTGACTGGGAAACGGTGTGTCGACCGAAAGAGGAAGGCGGTCTAGGCTTGCGCACAGCTACTAGATCAAATGAAGCGTACATAATGAAAATTTTCTGGCGGTTACTGACAGGGAAAGACGAACTATGGGCTCGGGGTGATTTGGTGTAAATAAATTCGGGAGAGGGAGAATGGATTAGAGCCAAGAAGGCAGGGGCGAATGTCGAACCTTTGGAGGGGAGTGATCCGCGTTTGGGACAAGATGGACGAGGCCACGGTCTGGAATATGGGCGATGGAAGAACAACGAAGTTCTGGACGGACAGATGGGTTACGGACGGCGATCCGCTGGTCACTCATGCTGCGGACCTACCTTCTGAAGTGCTGGACATGACTGTGTCGGAGTTCGTGCTCAACGGGGAATGGAACAGGGCCTTCATTGATTATTATCTTCCTAACGAGTTTGCTTTGCAGGTTTATTTGCACCCTGTACCGGCGGCACACGAGAGAGACATAAGATGCTGGAGATTCTCCTCAGACGGGCGCTTCAACTTCAAGACGGCGTATGAGTTCACGGCAGAGGACGCGGGAGCCCCAAACCACAGGCACCCGAAATGGCGAGCGATTTGGAGAGCTCCAGTCATGCAGCGGACGAGGACTTTTCTTTGGCTAGCTACCCATCAACGACTGCTTACTAACGTGGAGAGGAGACGAAGGCACCTTACAACAGACAACAGCTGCAAGACGTGCGGAGGAGGACCCGAGACAACCTTGCACGTGCTCCGAGACTGCCCTTTCGCGCGGGGAGTCTGGGCGGGGCTGCTTGAAGACGAACCAGACAGGGACTTCTACGGGAAGAGCTTGGAGGAATGGATGTTCCACTACTACACAGGGCGGGGACGAGTAGTCGATGCCACTCTCTTTGCAGGTACATGCTGGCTCCTGTGGAAGAACCGGAACAACTTCTGCTTCCAAGGTGAACTCCAGTCCTTTGCTCAAATTCAGTTCCACTCGGCCCAGCTAAGGCAGAGCATCATCCGCGCGTTGGAGAAGGAAACTATAGTTGGCGGAGCCGGGAGACTCCATACACCAACACCCATTTGCTGGCAGCACCCAGAGCCAGGGTGGACATGCCTCAACACAGATGGTTCTGTTAACCACTCTCCTTCGAGTACGGCGGCAGGGGGGGTCGTGCGAGGGGATGATGGTCGTTTCATTATTGCCTTCACCATGAACCTTGAGAGGGGGGGGGGGGGTTTCGATCACCAGTGCCGAGTTAGCTGGAATTGAGCAGGGGCTGAGGTTTGCTTGGGAGGCAGGGGCTCGGAAGGTTCTCTTGCAGACGGATTCGACTCATTGAGACAGCGGATCAGCAGCATATGCATTTCACGAGAGTTAAGCAGATCTGACAGCTACTAGCCAGAGACTGGCAGGTCAGCCTGAGTCATATCTATAGAGAAGCTAACGTCGTCGCAGATTATTTGGCCAATCTAGGCCACACTTATTCGGTGGGAACCCATAGAATCCTTGTGCCCAACAGTGCTCTTTCGTACTGGTTGTATCATGACTACATCGGGGTTGAAACGACCCGTTTGATTCCTCAGTAAAGGTTGGGACGCCCTTTTGCGTCCCGTTTTTCTAAAAAAAAAAAGAAATATAATATTATAAAAAATGTTCAAAAAAATGTAAAAGAATATATAAAATTTCATCGAAATAAGAAAACCCTCTAAACAAATTGATTTGTGGGTTGATTCGTCTAGTGTTGACCTTGCCCGTTTCAGCGGCTACCATGGAGAGAACATTTTAAGCAATGAAATATGTGAAAACTCATTTTGAGTAAATACAATTTATTAGTTAAACCTTTTAGACTTTCCAAATTATTAGCCAAACCTTTCAAAATACAAAATATTAGCTAAATATTTTGTAACACATCAAAATATTAGTCATTTGTCTGTTATCGTTGGTAATCTTGTAACTATTTTTTTTATTTGAAATACTAAAATTTAAAAATATTGACTGTTTTTGTTTACGGTATATAATATTATATTGAAATTTGTCCCAGTGCTCTTCTGTGTTCTGGATCCGCCGTTGAGACTATAACATGGAATAAACGATTAAAATGTGATCTTAGTTTATGGTTCATTGTCTATAACGTGTTAAACAACAATTACATGCGTCATATATACAATTGTATAGAGATTTTTGTTTAAAAAATCATACGCTCTTTTTTTTGAAACCCCCCTGTATAAAAGTTTCGTGAAGTCCAATACAAGTAAAATTCAGTTGAAACTCGCTTTGGTTACTTTTTTATCCGATTAACTTGAATAAAATGTCCATTATAACTTCTAGGGTATGCCTACTATGACATGCATGTCACGGTGACATGCACTTTTCGGTCGACCTATTGCTGAAGGCGGTCCACCGAATCGACTAATTTGGGCAGCACGAGAAAGCATTGCGGTCGACCTCAACGACCACCTGGTCGACCGCACTTAGTTTAAGTTGATATTTTTGGTCGACCAGAATAAAACCTGGGTCGGCCATTTCGTTGGCGTCAGAAACAACATGGTCGACCACCTAAGGTATATAGGTCGACCACTTGATTGCAGTCATTAACAAAATGGTCGACCGGATGATGAAAGAGGTCGACCAGATAGAAGATAAGTGTTCTATCAAAGTGTCCAATTAATTGACGTAAAATCAAGATCAAGTGTTGGTTTCGCGGTCGACCTAATCCGTTACGAGGTCGACCGAATACAAGAAAGTCACCCTATGCCCCGTGTCTTTTTTGCTTATGTATGTCGATTTGTGTGGTTCTTTTAATCGTATAAATTATGTTTCAAACCATCATAATTAGTCATAATTATAACAAGGACTCATCAATTCATAGCATAACAACTAAAAATAAAACAGAAATCATAATTGTTCACACATAAAAATAAAACTAAAAAAACAACAGAATAACACTCAACAATCGTTTTGACCACTAAAACACACAATATAAAAAATCATTTCTCCTACTCATCTCCCCCCTCTCTCTCATCCACATTTTCTTCATTGGTGGTGCTAGCATGATGGTGGTCGGATGTGGTGGGATGCATGTATCTTCCGCTGAAAGATCGCCACTCATCTCGCATCTCATTCACGGTCACCTGCATTGTGCTCATCTGGGCGGTCATTTGCCCCATGTAGTCGTGCATGCCAGTCATCTGGGTGGACATCTGGCCCATGTACTCGTACATGCCATCCATGCGCTCCCACACACGCTGTAAGGTGATCGGTGGAGTTGAACTCTGTGCCTCCCCCATTGGCTCGTCTCGAGCTCCTTCATCACCCTCATCATCATCATCATCATCATCATCACCACCATGAGCATTGTTTACTCTGACATACTCACCATTACGCAGCTCAAAGCCCATCTTTTTCAGAGATGAAACAGTATAGAACTCCTGCCTTGAGATTCTTAACCCCACCTCTTCACTTAAATTCATATTAAAATGCTCAAATAGCACAGTGAGGATCATCCCATAGGGAAGATTCCTGTTTGAACTTTCTGCAGCAGTAAGCATGTGGTTAAAGATTAAGTATGGCAAGTTCACCTTCTCGCTTAACAGTAGGTTGGTGAGGAGCTCCATGTCGAAGTAGGTGACTGTCTCCCGATGTCCACCCTTTGGCAGAATGTTGTAGGAAAGCATGTGGTGAAGAACTCTGGCTTGAATTGTCAGGTGGTTACTCGATGGCCTATTGCGCCCCTGAGCATCTTCCTCTTCATCAAGACCACATACCGTCTGGATTTGCTTGGCTCTCGTGAAATGCGTTTCATTCCAAGCACCGTAAGAATTGATTCTCTTCCCCTCGTTTGGAGCCTGAAGTACTTGCGCCAACACATTCTTGCTGATGCGCATCGCCACCCCATTCACATAGGATTTGAATGCGTGAATGGATCCATTTGCATTGCGCTCGTAGACGATGTTGTTGTAGAAGTACTGTACCAGTTTTGGGTAGTATGGTACATTGAGAGATATCACCTTCAGCCACTCTTGGTCGATGAAGGGTCCCAGAAACTCGTAATTCTCGAAATGAGAATACGCATCCGTCGTCAATGGCCTTCCCGGAGCCACCCTGCGGTTGTGCATTCTCTTCTCTGCATAGTTGTCACTTTGCTCCTTGGTCTGGAATAGTTTGGGATTGAACTCTTCCCATTCCGAACTTGAGGCAGCAGCTTTTTGTGACTTTCTTTTCTTATTTTTGCCAAACATTCTGCGATTAAACAAGCAAGAATACACGTTAGTCACATTTTCGAAATGAACAATACGCGGTCGACCACTCCATAAAGCGGTCGACCTCAGTTAGTTTAAAACGAGAATGGGTCGACCTCAGAAGAATCATAGGTCGACCTCAGTTAATTTAAAACGGGAATGGGTCGACATACACAAATTTTTGCCTTCATCGGTCGACCTCAGAAGCATCATAGGTCGACCTCGGCTTAATTGAAACGAGTCTAAAATGGGCCAAATCCTCGTACCAATTGAGTGCAAAACAGATCCGGTCGACCTCAGAAAAAACTTAAATCGACCTCGGAAAATATAAATCGATTGAAAGCCAATTGTGCTTTCAAAAGCCGTGCAGTTCAGGACATTAGACCACCTTGTAATGCACTCAAAGACACAATCGTTTATGTCTTCGAGTGCATTGCAAGATGGCCTAATCTCCTGCACTGCGCGGCTTCTGAAAGTCACAATTGCCTTTCAATCGATTTAAATGGCCCGAGGTCGACCTCAATATCATCACAGGTCGACCTCAATAAGTTTAGCACAAATAAATCGAACTTTTGCCTTCATAGGTCGACCTCAGAAGCATCACAGGTCGACCTCGGCTAAATTAAAACGAAAAGAAATGGCCCAAATGCTCGTATCAATTGAGTGCAAAACAAATTCGGTCGACCTCATAAATAGAAGAGGTCGACCAGTGTTAGTTTTGCACACATAATTCAAAGACAAAGGCAAATAAATCGAACTTTTGTCTTCCTAAGTCGACCTCAGAATCATCACAGGTCGACCTCGGCTAAATTAAAACGAAAAGAAATGGCCCAAATGCTCGTATCAATTGAGTGCAAAACAAAGTCGGTCGACCTCATAAATAGAAGAGGTCGACCAGTGTTAGTTTTGCACACATAATTCAAAGACAAAGGCAAATAAATCGAACTTTTGCCTTCATAGGTCGACCTCAGAAGCATCACAGGTCGACCTCGGCTAAATTAAAACGAAAAGAAATGACCCAAATGATAGTATCAATTGAGTGCAAAACAGATTCGGTCGACCTCATAAATAGAAGCGGTCGACCTGTGTTAGTTTCGCACAAAAAAAACAGAAATAAGATCGCTTGAATAATAAGGGCAGAAATCTCAACTCGAACTTCACAGGTTGACCTCAATATCATCATAGGTCGACCTCAGTCCATAAAACAGAAATAAAATCGATTTAAGGCCAGACGCGGTCGACCACGATGATGAACAGGTCGACCGCATCTGACGAACAGAAGGAAAAATCCCTCTTTTACATCTTTAGATTTTTTGAAAACAGAAAGAAGAAGACAAGAATCGACTCAAATGAAAGAGAGGAGTGAAAGCTATACCTTGTTCTTCTTCTAAGTGATGAGGATGAAGCTTTCTTTGAGTTTTTGGAAAATGGAGTTTTTGGAAAATGGAGAAGAAGATGAAGAAGGGAAAGGAGAGGAAGAATGAGTGGATGTGGTGGGATAGGGTTCTGATTGTGGTGTAGAATGGGTGGGGGAGGGTTTCTTAAATAGAGGATTGGGGGAGGTTTGGGTGGATGTTGCAAACAAACCGGTTTGGTCGGCCGAATTAAATACGCGGTCGACCTCACTAACATGTTCGGTCGACCGTGTATGTTCAGGTCGACCGTTATTTGTATGAGGTCGACCGTTTTATTGCTATTTGCCGCCAGCCTGGCCGTGTAGCTCACCCAGCATGGCCGTGTGAGGCCTCGCATAATTCCACACGACCAAATTGCAACATCACACGGCCATGTGGATTGTGTGTGTGCCCGTGTGGCTTTCTTTTTGACTTGCCTCGCGCCCGACCACCGTCCAATCAACCAACAATCAATTAACTCATAAATTATTAAGATAATTCGAAGAAATTACAATGCAATCACAGTTATTAAAATATAAATAAACTCCTAAACAACAATAGAAGAAATTTAAGATCCTTTTTTGGGACTTTGTTTCGGGCACTTAGGGCGAAAATGACCATATTTCCCACATTTCGAACACTTTCTTAAACTTTTACCCGATGCAGTTCGTGCTGACTTGAATGTCCCCTTGGTCTTCCCAATTTTTGGATCTTTCACACTTCGAAGGGGTGCTGGAGGGTTTGTCGATGTGGTGTTGTCCGTTCTCTCCCTCGCGAACTCAATTGCCCATTGAGTAAGGTCGTCCAACGATTTAGAGACATGATTAAAAGCAGATTCACTACCACACGCGATGTCACATAAACGCTTACACTTTAGAGCCAATCCTCCATGTCTTATCAGTCGACCAACTTTCTCTCCCACATCACCTCCAACTCCAGGATGACGATTTAGTGTCTTCGCATTTTGGGTCCATCGTAGCTTGAACCACGACGAGGGTAGTGCGGTGTACCCCATATTTTTTATTACTGTAAGCATGTGTCTGCATGGAAACCCCTTAGATTCAAATAATGCACACTCGCATTTTAGATCTTGATTGGACGTAGTAAATGTTAACCGCCTTATCCGATCTGGGTTCATGTAGTTCTTCAGTATGAATGTCTCTGTCCCATCTGATTCAGTTCTTCTCTCCGCTAATACATAAGAAGCCTCATTCTCTAGTTCAGAGTTGAAGATAGCAAATGTACGATGAGTGTAGATACTTTCAGCTTGCATTTCCCAAGTGCGAAGGGCATGCTTGCAGACCAACCTCGTGTGCCTAGAAGTATAATCATCCTGCACATCCGTGAAACGCATCCCCTCCAGTGCTTCATCAATGCCCTGAACAAAACGTTGCAAGCTGTATTGAGTTCCCACATACCCATTTATCCAATGGTTACATGACTCACATCGTGAGGTTGATTGGAGTCCACCGAAATAAATATCCTTCAAGTATGCCTCTGCCCACAGTAATTTGTCAGTGTACAAATCCTGCAACCACTTATTTGCAGACAAACCATGCTGACTAATCAAATGCTCCCAACGCCTCTCAAACTCCTCAATCGATATTCGTGCTTTCGCCAAGTAAGTGAATGCGCTAACAAACTCCTTATTATGAACAGCCGTTGTCGCATTTGTCTCAATATGCCAAATACAAAGACGGTGAGGCACTCCAACCAGAACAGTAGCAATGGCACCACGCATAGACTTGTCTCCGTCTGTGATCACTGAAGTGGGCATCTTAGAGTTCATACACTCCAGAAAAGTATTCAACAACCAAACATAGTTGGGGATTGTCTCGTTATCCAACTGGGCAAAACCATATATGATGTTACGGTGGTGGTGATTTACACCAACCATCATAACAAATGGTCGATTGTACCTGTTGCGCTTGTAGCATGCATCGAACGCCAAGACATCCCCAAAAAAATGGAAATCAGCTCTAGATGTGGAGTCCGACCAGAAGAGATTGCCTAATTCACCTTCATCGTTGGTTGTGTACTTGAAGAAGCTCCCTGCATCAGAGGTATGTTTACTTTGCAAGTAACCCAATGTTCGGTTAACATCTCCTATTAGATCGTCGTCACCTGTTCGGGATTGCTGAACACCATTGTCCAAATCCTTTGGAGTGTACCCCAGATTCTCATATCCTCCAACTATATTCTTCATGAACTGAACAATGTTGCGTTGTTTTATTCCTGACTGTCGCATCCCTATCGCCAGAGCCTTGTCTCCTTCACTCACATTTCGATGAGACCGAAGGAATTGACTTTCTTCTTCATTGCAGCAACGATGTGAGTGCTTCCTCTCAAACTTAGAAACAACCCACATTTTCTTATTCCGATCAAAGCGTACAGTATACGATGCCTTGCAATAATGTCTTGTCATCTTACGATGTTGTCGAGTCCGACCTTCTTTATCTATATGCATCTTATCTCTAGTCCCCTCTCTCGAACATACCATTGTCCTCCCAACTGCTACTCCTCGACGATTTCTCCGAAGATCTCTACGTCGAACGCTAAATCCTTTCGCTTTAGCATAGGAATCGTAAAATTTCTCTGCATCTTCTAATGTTTGGAACTCCATGGAAGGAATTTGTTGTTCATATTCAGTAGCTTCTTCATCATCCATAAATTCTTCTTCAGCACCCTCGGTTTCATTATCATCCCCAACCACTTCATCATCCGTATTATCTGTATCATCTGAATTATCCATAGCTTCTTCTTGAGCATCCTTAGGTTCCTCATCGAAGTTAACCTCATCATCATCATCTCTGTCATCTGTATCATCTCTGTTATCCATCCTGAAACGATCGCAATACGAACTTAATGTAAAAAACATACACAATTAGCTCTCGTTAGGTCGACCTGAATGAACTGTACGGTCGACCTTATTACTCAATAACAAACATGAGGTCGACCAGAATTTACTGAAAGGTCGACCTAATCATATAATTACAAAAGCACGGTCGACCGGATAGTAAGGGTGGTCGAACGGATGGTAGGAAATATTTAACCACATACAGGCATTAACAAGCACATACGAGACATACCTTAGCAAAGAGGTCGACCACTTATTGTTACGGTCTACCGGAATAAAAATAAACCGCCACCAACACCCGATCACAATAAGAGCGATGATATTACAACTTCACTCCAACAAATTGCATAAATCGAAGTACGATTAAAGTCTTCAGACTCACATCTATTTATAGATAATGTAGACGAATTCCTTATCCAATTGGTGAAAGATATATAAAATCATAATTCGACAAGGACAAGTACACAAAATCCTAATTGTACAAGGACATGATTCATTAAGGTCGACCTCTTTGCACAAATGGTCGACCGTGTTGGGTAAATGTGAAACAGGTCGACCTCTTTACTGAAATGGTCGACCATTGTTTATAAATGTGAAACAGGTCGACCTCTTAACAAGAATGGTCGACCGTATTTTATTAAGGCCAAACTGACGAGATTCCATCCATGTTCTACATGGTTTTTGACTTTGCTACGGTATCATAGGTCGACCTTTTGCGTCACGAGGTCGACCTGTGCTCTGCCTTTGGGTATGCCCACTTTGAGTATGTGGTCAACCACTTGTTCTAGACGATTGAAATCGTAAATTCAGTCACATCCATAATTGTATAACAAATCTAATAAACGATAAACATTCAAAATCCAAAATGAAACGATCTCGCAAATACAAATTCAATGTATGGTCCAAATAATGCAACATTGTAACTTAACGACTTCATTTCTTTGCTTTTTTGTTTGAACTCTGTCTCTCTTTGCCTCGTTCCATGCATTCATCTACTACATGCTTGAAAAGATTTTCTCGTGCAAGGTTTTCAAAATGTGTAGCCAGATACCATAGAATCTCCTTTCGCGCCGGTAATTTGTGTTCTTCTCCTATCTGCATTATGCCATGTAAGATTTCGTTACAACTAAAAAAAGTGTAAATTAAACAAGTTATTTGTTTGACGATATACTCACCACTCTATCAAGATCCTTGGATCCATAGCGCATCCACTGCATGACGTGCACACCACACTCAGTACTATTCCTTTGCCGTTGAACGCAAAGCTCATCAAAATTGAAATCTCCAAAATTTGGTACTCCTACATTGCTCATGCGCTCCGGTTTGAAAATATCATCCAAATTGGACAACTACACACAAATAATGAATATTTTTAGTTTCTAGCATCATACGTGACGCTTAACAGTCAGAAAATTATAGAAAACACTTACCAATTTCTTGCATAGTGCTGATTTACGCCTACGATTCGCCTCACTAGTTGAAGGTAGACTGTCAAGCAAAAATGCAGTTTTTTGCTGGACATTGACGAGATACAGAAACCAATGACGTGCTTCATCGTCAAGAACTGGCATAAATATCTAGCAACGAAACACTCACTATATGTTATAAACAGCGAATACAAACAAATGCACTTTCAAAATTTAATGATATAGTGACATTGACTAGACTAACCTTCTGGCATGCACCGACATTCGGCATAAAGACCACGCCATCATTCATCAACTTGTTACGAATTTGTCTGGTCTTCATGTTAGCGCGTACCATTTTCTGCAGCATGTTTTAGTTGAGATGAATTGACATGGTACAATATAAATAACTAGGTTATGACAAATAATTTGACATTACGGCTCTTACCGAAAACATATTTGGCAAATACCACACATTTGGCTCTTTCACATCATGTTTTTCAGACATTGTTAGTGCCCTTGCACACAAATCCACTACCTACCATCCAACAATCAAACACAAAATCATGGTAAATCGTAACATAAATAGTGCACAATTCATACGAAAGTCGTAGTAGTATAGTACTTACTGATGAGCAAACCCAGCTATTCTCGCTAATGACCGAACTCAAATAATGTCGTTGCACGTTTTCAGAAAAAAAAAGTCCACAACGGTCAAACTGCAAAAATCAAAATAACAGAAATGTCAATTGTGATTTGCAACGTACAGGTCGACCTGTTCACAGTCACGGTCGACCTTATTGGAAAAGCGGTCGACCTCATAACTGATCCGGTCGACCACACGTACTAAAAAACGTCTTACTTGTCCCAATTCTTGTCCCCAGCCTTCTCTTTAGTAACAACATAATACAAGTCTTCAACTGGATTTTGAAGATTTTTGGTGAATCCTTCTAGACCCTCCACTTTCATGACCTACAAATCATAGTTAAAATTAAAGTAACATATGAACACAAACACACATTATAGATGAATATGTAACGTAAACTTACCCGTGCTTTTCGAAAGGACTCTTAGATTCTTCTTCATCGCTATCATCACTAAATAATCCTTTTCTTACAAATTGATCCTTCTGTGGAGTGGTGTAGGAGTCACTTTCATATCGAGGTCTCTTGTACTTAGGAGAGGAACCCTTGCTGCCATTCGTTGTTTCACTCTGTCAAACATATAAACAAAACAAATTAGCACTAATGATAGTAATACTAATATCTTCAATCACATATGAATATACTTGGATACCTTTAAAATGTGCTCTTTCAATAAATCGTCTATGCTCTGGTAGCAATTTTCAGAGTCATCATGGTCTTCTTCCTCTTTACCAAAGTCAAAATTAGGTCCTTTACCATTTCTTCCGCCATTCTCCATTCGTTCTGCACTTATATCTTTGATAACACCTTCTAGCCTCTCAAACCCGTCATGCATCATCCCAGTCATATCTGTCAGTCGAACTGACAATTGCTCCACTCTATCACACATGGACTTCTGAAAGTCATTGACTTGTGTTTGACACACCACCAGCTTCTCTTGTGTGGCTTTCAACAATTTCATGATTTCACCCAAATCTTGATGCAGTTTCTCATCATGCGTCATTGTCTAAACAATTTCAAGAAAAATTTAAATCATAATTCAACTTCAAATTTCTACAATTGACCAAAAAACAAATACGTGGTCGACCTGACATAGTATTAGGTCGACCTGGAAGACAAATAGTGACTACCACAACCATTAAGGTCGACCTCTGTTATTCCTAGGTCGACCTATCCAGCAGGAAAATAACAATTAACAACAAAAAGTAAGTTCTAAATTAAACCGAAAAAAGGATAGGTCGACCAGATATTTGGCGCGGTCGACCTTTTGAAGCACAACATAGTCATACAATCAAAGCCAAAGTCGACATTCAGGTTGAATAACCAAAAAAACAGGAACCGTCGACCTTGAAACCCATTAGGTCGACCAATTGGGTTACCTCGCAAGTACAGAAATCCAAGTGTTGTGGCCTAAATTCAAATACGCAGAATTGTCTCGTCAGGTCGACCTGATTGACGTCACGGTCGACCGAATGGAATTCTGCACCCAACAATATATCAAATTAGCCGGTAGAAATCACGCATTAGAAAAGAAGACGACGAATGGTACATTAGGTCGACCTCACCTTAGCCCTGGTCGACCACTTCCAACGCGTACAACAGCAACTGCGAACGATCTTCTTCACAAAGGCTCTTAATCGGAAAAAAACCTAATTTAGACTTGGAGGCGTTGAAGGGGACTAATATTCGTATTTATAGAGATTTGGGATGTCAATGGGTCGACCCAATTCGTTTCCTTGTCCAATTGTGGAACCTTTCTGGTGTTGGAATCCATATCCAATACGGATACGGTGTGAAGGCGGTCGACCTCTTCCTAATGCGGTCGACCTGTTAGGTGCACAAGGGTCGGCCTATGAGATATTTGGGTCGACCTTTCATTCTGTTAGACCACCAAAGCGGTCGACCGTATTATGTAATAGGTCGACCGCGTCTTGGAATCCCACAAACATGAATTAGTCAATTCGGTCGACCGCCTTCAGCAATAGGTCGACCGAAAAGTCCATGTCACGGTGACATGCATGTCACCGTAGCAAAATCCTAACTTCTAAGTATCGTAATCCGTACAAAAACCTAGTTCATCCCTATATTGAATAGGCAATTTGGATTGTATCCTATTGGATTTGGAATTGGGTTTTGATTATATGATGTGATTAACTTCCAACAAAATGTCCATTCCAAGTACCATAAGTCAGTGGCGGATTCAGAAAATTTTTACAGGGGTGTCCTCTTCAAAAATTAAATTTAATTATATAATAAATTAAATAATTCATATATTGAAAATATCATACTTGTATAATTTGTATAAATTTTTTATTAAATAATAAATTAAAATTCATATTTTAAAAAAATAATATAAATAAACTCCCTGTCTGCACTGTTCAAAAAAAATCTACATATCCTACTAGACAATTCTTCACGAACTTATCACGTATTCGATTTCTAACCTTGTTCTTAATGTAGCTCAAAGTAGAAAAGACTCTTTCAACACTTGTCGTGTAACCATAAAATCAATTCAAAATTAAGGGTAGCGTGTACGTAGTTTAATTATTAGGTATTGAAAATAGTTGGGGATAAAGAAATAGCGTTTTACTGTTGCGTGATGTTTAAAATAGAATAACAAATGAGTAGCTACATAATTAGAATATGTTTGATAATAGTAGTGTCCTAGGTTGGAATAACACGGACTACCACTTATATTTTGTTAATCATAAGCAAACTATTATCGAGGGTAGGATAATCATTTTTTCAAATGGTAGGGTGTCCCGGATTATCAATTATATTTTGTATACCCATACGAAACTACTACCGGAGGTTGGATAATCGTTTCCCCAAATTTTAAGGGTGTCCCAGGACACCCCTAGAGGCCCATGTATCCGCCCCTTCCATAAGCCATTAACCCTTTTGGATACTTCTGGCAAAGGGGGGTTCAGTTTCCTCATATGGATGAGCCTGCTGTGGTGGAGTTGCTGGTGCTTCGGGAGGCTATTAGTTGGTGTTTGGAGTTTGGCTTGTCGGAGGTCCGGTTTGAGGGTGATGCCAAGGTGATTATTGATAAAATTAATCAATCCGACACAAGGGACAACCGGTTGGGTGCTGTGCTGGAGGAGATAGGTCATTATTTTCGCGCCCATCATGGGGTTTAGTGTGCGATTTGTAGGTCGGGAGAACAATAGGGTAGCTCATTCGGTAGCTAGAAAAGCCCTCTCTTTGTATCCGATTATGTGTCGCTCCTTTGATTTCCGGGCCTGACTGGTTTCCAGGATGTAACTATCTTTTTAATGATCAATATATGACCCAAAAAAAAGCCATTAACCCTTTTCCTTTAGACTTTAGTGTGTGTACGTGTGAGTGGAATATTTACCACTAACTAGTTCATCCCTGTAGTGCAGATCATAAAATGTTCCTTTTTATTTGTTATATATGACTATATGTCCAAGTTCTTAAATGGTTAATAACAAAAGATCAGTCGAATTATGAAAAGGGTAGTCTAGTCAATTCCCCCACAACATCCCAATTGGTTGGAAGGGTTAGTAGATTTGCGTCAGGGCCACCATCATCGAGTTTTTTTATCCACAAACAAACAATTCGTTTAGTTTAAGATTCCCATTGATGTGATTGGTTCGTATTGTTAAATTGCTTTTTTTTTATTCATTAAATTGGGAAGTCGGTCAACCACTTGCAAAAAATCCACCAAAATTGTGCTATCATGATGATGGGAGGAGATTAAATTAAATAATTATGGCCATGCTCATTCATGGTTGGGATTGTTCCCGATTAATTTTGTATTATCTTCCATGATTAAACTAATCACCCCCGATTGCGATATGGCGATTTGGAGCCACAATATGAAGGGAAGACAAAATAAATTTATGGCTTGGCTGCAATTGACGGCAATCTATATGAGATTCTTTTTTTGTTCTTCTTCTGTTTTTTCCTTTCAAACGTCACATAGTAATTATATTTTGTTTTAAGTTTCACCTTTGAATATTGGTTCGAATTGTTAATGTATTAGACTCATTCAAGAAAGGCCGTAAGTTCAAATCCGAATTTTTGATCACGACTTTTATAAAGATGTAGTTTTACTAGTTTGAAGGAATCTAAACCGAGTTTTGAATAATAATAATAATAATAATAATAATAATAAAGATGTGAAATGGATCAAGCGTTTGCCACCCAACATAACGAGGGCATAGCTACAATAAAGCATCCAATAGATCGAAGTATGAATGGACGATCCAACAGTTAAATTAACTGAAATTTCTTGACCAATTTGGATTAGATGGGTGATAGAGATTGGAATTATCTCATTGCACAACCCTATTACTAGAAGAAGAGGATAGTAGTAAGTTCTTATGGTACGTGGGGGCTGGATCCAGCGGAGTTCTTCATGGCCAGCTTTCTGTTTCCACGAGTTCTTCTTCTTGTCCTCTCTAGATCTCATCTAATGCAAAAGGGAATATGACGGGAGGCAAAACGATTATGATTGTGATAACATACCAATTGGTACCAGTAATTAAACAACGGTTGCTGAACTGTAAACATGAATTCTATCATAAATTGTGTTAAGATTTTACTACTACTACAAATAAGGTTGTCCATTTAATAGCACAAAAAGACCATTTCATCAACAAATTCGATTTATTTGTCGACTATTGTTTCTAGTTACCCAGTGTTTGTAACGTGTTGGTCATCCCTCCTTTAATTGTTACGGTTCACGTCAGTCTCCCCCTCATTCAGATTTCTGGCTCCGCCACTGCCCCATAACAGAGAAAAGTCTGACATTTGAGTCACCAAAACCACCAAATCCATGTCAATAAGTAAACATTACTTTTATGATTAGTGCAACTTAGGAAGAAGAGCTATCATCAGTCATCACACACAGTTTTCTTCCTTATTTTTTTTATCTTTTGGATATGGAGCAACGAGACAAGTTGCCACTTGCTTGTGGTGTAGTCAGCCAGCATTCTTCTTGGTGATGTCGACGGAGCATGTTTTTTCTCTTTAATGCGTGGATGAGAATGCAAGTGGGTGGATTTTGCTTTTGACGCAAATGCGCTGTGTGACTTAACAATGACAACAATAATATGCCAACTGTGTGGTAAATTTGGAGCCCTTTGTGGCGGCTTGCTTCGGTTCAGGACATTCCCTCCCCGTGGGTAATACTACAGCGAAAGGGTGCAAATCTGCAGCAAAGCACCAAAAAAAAAAAAAAAAACATGATGACTGTGGGGAAGAAACATGGTCGGAAGTGGTAAGTGATTTTCCGATCCCACTTGCCTAACTTTCCTTATTCATACTCGGCCTATAGTCTATACACCTGTGGGGTTAGGTGGATGACTCATTGAAAAGTATGTTTCTAGTGGGAGCTAATCAAGTTATGTCGATCGAAGTTATAAATTAGTTTGAAAACAGAACAATCCAATGATGCATTTTGTTGATATTTTTAAAGGCGTCGCAATGATATGTAGAATTGGATTCAAGTTGGATAGGTTAGGTTTCAAGTTACAGACTAGTTTGGTTACATATGAATCAAGTGATGCATCGATCGTTGTTTAGAGGTGTCTTACTCACATGTAGAATCTTGTTCGAGCTGGGATTATTAGGTCGCAAGTCAATCAGCGCACGTGTCATTATCGGTTAACTAGGTTGGGAACATGTTACGCTTGACGGGGGCATCAAACAAGTTCAACTCAGAATGTGGCAATCATGATTCAACCATTCTAGCTTCACGCTTCTAGACTTCTAGTGCTCAAATGCCATAAAGATAATGTTTTTGTGATGATGGGAAAAATCGGATAAGTTTGTGTATTTGGTGAAGCCTATACAACTATCGTGGTACTCTCACATGTATGGACCTATAATTAGTAGTGTTGTGCTGCTGTTACTCTCTCTCTCTCTCTCTCTCTCTCTCAAGTGTACATATAAAAATGGCTGAAATCAAAGGGCAATGAATGGCTACGGACCAAAAGGTGAAAAAAAGGAGTGTTTCGGGCTCAAAAAACAGCCCGAATGAAGCCCACCGCCATCTGGGGGCTGCCTTGCACCGCAGGGTATTGAGAACCCTAATGGGTGATGTGGTCAAAATCAATGGAAAACTTGAGAAGCATAATACTCGCTCTCGTTGAACACGGGTCTTAAATCTTCCTTGCACATGAAGTCCAAGGGGAAAGAGACTAGGTGCCCTCTGACCGCTTCCAGTCTCTCCGACGGGCTCGTGCCCTGGATGTCGCTGTTCAGGTAAGACTCGAGCGTCTCGGGGGCTATCCCTAGATCGATGGTCGTGTGCCCGCCGAGCTTCTCCTTCCACGACGACAAGCTGTGCCTGAGCGCCGCCCTGGTAAAAGTATGGCAATGTGGAGACAGATATCCAAATGTTAGCTCTTGGTGAAGTGAAATGAGAATGGAAGAGGGGAAAAAAAGGGGATCGAGCCGTTCGTACCTGGAGTGAATTAGGTCGTTGGGTATGCAAGAGAACACGTCTTGGTATATAGTGGTGTTCGTCTGTCAAAATCAGAATGATCGTTAATCAAAAGAGTTAAATGATACAAGTAGCTCCTAATAGCTGATGTGGACAACCTATTTTAACCAATACCAGATCAAACCAAAACGTATCAATCGATCTGATTCCAGCCTACATCACCAGAAAGCGACTCAAACCCTCTCTCGAATTCATATGATAACTAATTAGAGGATCTATGTAACGTATCAATCGTCCTCATGGTTACTGGCAGTTCTTTTTGAATCTTTCTAACGTGTAGAACAGAGTTGTCCAGAAATGAAACCCAGACTACAGATCAATATATAAAGTTATAAACTACCTAGCTTATGGATCTTACCCTTGCGGTTGCCGTCCATATGTCTCTGTAGGTTGTGTCAATCACCGGGTCAAGAATTTGTTTCATCTGTGAGAATATGGGGGGATAATAGAGGAGAGGGCAAAGCATAAGATGGAAGTACCAGCAAACTGAACCAAATGGCGCATTAGTTTCGAACTGTAAATAACAACTGTATAGGTATGTGCGCACTACTAACCTCTGCACCATTAAGACCTAGGTGCTCGGACCAAAGTGAGAGACGAAGGCTCTGAGAAAATTTACCGGCCTTCCATGGCTTCCCTCCCATCGACGAATCCACCAACTCCTTGTCCTCGATAAGTACGGCAATCTGAGGTTTACAATGGCAGCACGTTAGAATCTCATGGACAATCCCTTTTGAATCAAAACCGATCAAATCCTCGTCCATCTCCGTACAAGTTTTGAGTTGGCATGTTGATCATCTGGATGAGTTGGACTGAAAACTTGAAATAGAGAAGGAGAAAAAACCAACTCACCCAAATCTATAAATTATAAGTCTAACTGACGTGGATAATCCGTTCCCTTTAAACCAAAAAGGATCAAATCCAACCATAGCGCCACGACCCATATACCACTACATACCATTGGGTAGGGGTTTACTGGTTTTCTTTGATTTAAATGAGTCAATGTCTGATGAAGTTTCCTAATATAGCTAATTCGTTAATTTGGGTGCTATGACACGTCAATTTGGCAGAAAACTTGAATATGGAGTTGACAGAGAGCCTGTTATGCTAGTTGGTCCGAACTTTTATGACCAATTCGTTAAAAATCAAAGTTTAGTGGCTAATTTGATAGTGACGCTACAGTTCATTGATATTTATGGACCCAAACTATGCACATAGGCAAATGTTACCAGGGTTAACTCGTACACACCTCAGAATCTCGTGAACCGAGAAGACTTCTATCGTTGATATTAGCTGATCCAATAAGAGTTGCGCAATCATCAATGATCATGATTTTACTATGGACATACACCTGTAAGTGGTGTATTCAGAAATTAGAACCCTCATTAAAAGAACCTGGTGTTACTCGAGAAAGTTCATTAAACAGAAAGAACAAGTGAAACATGGTTTACCTGACTAGTGGCTACTGGACCACCATCTGAAAGTCGACCATGGGATCTAAGACCATAGAAGGAAATGTAATCTTGTGTTCTAGGACCGAGAAGCTCATAAAGATTATGCAATACTGAATGTTGTCCTTTGCAGATGGTTCGATGCTGCCAATGCATTATGGCTCTCACAGATGCAGCACCAGCATCATCCAAACCACCCTAATAATACATTACACAACAGTTAATTAATGTCGATACAGAATATTTATGTTTCGAAGCCAGAGGAGTGAACTGTCAGAAAATAAACCTGGAAACCTGGGATGAGCGGTATGATAATGATGACACGGAAACACTTCTTGTCTATGTATGCTCTCATTATTCGTCGATATAATGACTCTAGCACCCTGTTCTTTATGACGTCGTCTCCTGAAAGACCTGATATGAAAAATTGATTCTGGACACAGCCATCCAAGAATTAAGTAGAAGTCAAATACAATGAATAATTTCGGCTTTCATGCAAGTTCCTTACAAATTTTCGGCAACATAGAGCCAAACAGCAAAAGATCCTGTATCTAATAGGGTCCTACTTTAGTCCACAACTTTTTCATATCCAACTTATCCCCTTTTCTACAACCAAGTTGTCATCATCAGTTTTACCTACAACTAACATGAAACACTTTATAGTTTAATTCTAAACCAGAGGGTCAACTTTATGCTTCTCCCCAATGCTCAGGCCCTTTGGCTTTGGATAAGTTTCCAATTAGTTATTTTGGCACCAGTAAGTTGACCAAATGGTGGAACTATCATTTGTTGAAAGTTTCAATCAAACATCAGATTTGCCATACCTCAATATAGATAAAGTGCTCTGCTTTCTCAATAAGAGAACAGTAGGCATTGTGAATGCTGTCTTCAGTTTGGCTTGTACCAGCAGACCACTGACTTACACTCCTCATAACCTGAAAAATGAGTGAAAGAACATAAATTATACAGAAGTTGAACAAAGCAATATCTACTATATAATAAGATGTGAGAGAAGAAAACCCTCAAGAGTAGAAACATTTTTCACGCTGCAAAGACCACCAAGCAAACAGCCCCAGAGCATCGCTCAAACAAAGTTAAATACTGGTCCATCTTCAAAATATGTAAGTGAGAGTGCAAAGCCTCAGTTACTTTTATCCAACTCATGCCTTGGAGTGTCTTTACAATATTTTTTATTTTACCTCCACTTTTTTAGCTTAAGCAAAAAGTGTACCAACTGCATGAAGTAATAAGCACCCACCTGACAATGGCAAGATGCACGTGGGCCAACCTCCCCTTCTTCATCACCAAAACCAATCTGATCACCTCTCTCTTGAGTTTCCCACCACTCCAAATCAGAGGATCTAATGCCACCAGGTTGCGTCCACAAAACTGGAGAAATTTTCACATCTGAAGGGTCGTGGTCGTCCACAAAGCTTTTCATAGGCATATCTGGAGATAATGGTGCTACTTTGGCTTTCCGTAATGAATTGGAGGCTTTAAGAGATGCTGCTTCCACTCCATTGGACTTGGGGCCACCTCCAATAGAACCATCAAGTTCCTCTGGTTCTTGAGGTAAAAGCAATGGGATATCTTGTAAAGACGACCTAGCTGAGAAAGAATCTCTCCGGATTTTACCATTATCATCCGCTAGTCTGTTCTTGACCTCCATGGGAGATGTGTTGCCCATATAGTGCGGGATAACCATGTGCTGCTGAGGCATAAGCAGTGGGATTGCTTCCTCGTATGGAGCTTTACTTCTCTGGGAAAAAAGGAAGTACCGATGTTCAGACAACCACAGTAACATACTAACACATGCATTTTGCCTGCCTTGAATGAAGTATCTGAATAAAGAATATTGACCTTTGCATGGTTCCAACGCTGAACAAAGTGCCTAGCTATATCACGACACGGTGGCCCCCATAAAGCACAGTGGACATCATGCCAAGGCATTCTAGGATACTTTGTACGATCAAGTTCATCTTTCATTGTATCTTCCCAGGAATTTGGTTCTGATTCCCTGCAGAATGAATCACGTTTCATTTTCAGAGGCAATATTTGATTCAGAACCAAGGGTAGATATGGTAAATGCAATCAACTGACTGATAAATTCACTCTTCAATTTACTTCAATGTAGAACCAAATATAATATGATAATTATGTATCCATCTGATGTGAGACGGGCTTGACAGGATGGTTTGGAATTATAACCTCTTGCCTATCAATTTAGAACAGCTTTATTGAGAACTGGTAATCAAAACCTGGTGCTAAATCAGCCACTTTGGATAATTTGCTTGGATATTTAATACCCTATCAATTGAGACCAACTTTCTTCTACCTAGCAATGATTTAATGACTAGTATGCCACTTGGATCACTTGCTTTGATATTTTGTTCCTCTATAGAGGTAGACTAAGTGTTTCCTATACATTAGACTAAGAATAACCATGGGAAAAACAGAAACTCAGAAGCCAGAATCATACTTAGGAAGTGCAAAGATTAAACTACCTTGGGTTATAATAATCTTTTCCAGGCCACATAACAGGAGGGCAGTCACCCACTTTGTGTTCGCTTGTGTCATATCGACCAAAGCACAAGTCCAGTCCTCCGATAAAACAAATCTGGTGATCAATAATTACAAGCTTTTCATGGTGTGACCTGCACAGATGAAATGTAAAATATTAGGTGGTAATTACCAAGGCAACACTTCTATTGGCAAGAAATATATGAACAAAAACGAAAATGTTATGTCTGAATTACTGTCACAAGGTTTTCCAACAACACATACCAAAGATATACTCCACAAGAAAAGTGGTCAGGATAGCGCAGCACACGTACATTCTCATGAATGCTAAGGAGTTTTTTCTTGCTATAAACACTGTTGATTTTAAGAGCAAGAGCCACCTCTTTGTACATAAGAATGTAAATCTGCATCCACAAGATTTTGTAATATATTACACTCATTGAACTATTGATATAATTCAGAATCACATTGTCCAAGGAATCTCAGAAGTGTCAGTCAAGGCTCTCCTAGTCCTTGTACAGCAAAGAGCTCTGTTTTCTTTTACCCCCAATACTAAGACCTTAAACAACATACAGACAAATAAATTGGTACCTGAACACCCTGCTTAGCTTTAGCATCCAGCAAAGCATCAAGCCTAGCAGAAGCATGCTCTTGAAATGGCCGTCGTAGGTAGAGTTCAGGGCAAAGCCACCAGCCACAAATAAATATCTGCAAGCAAATTATTTATTAAGCCAATACATATTTCAAGTTCATAAATAAGGATCATACTACAAGATTGAACAGGTCAAGGAACGAACTTCTGATTTAGCATCCTCAATAGCTGAAGCAATAGCTTCAAAAGCTGCCCTTCCATCTATAAACCATTGAGCCTGACTACCATCATCAGATAATCCTCTGGGAGGAGCAAACGATCCAAAACGATGAGGATGACACCAGCCCTCAGGAGGCCTTAGTCCGGCATCGTTGATTGCAGCAACCCAATCCTTATTTCTTGCACCAGTTTTGACTCTCAACCTTACGCTCCGGTTGCCACTTGTGACCTTTGAAGTTTCGAATCATCTGTTAGCGCATGAAATTATCTTTACAATTTCATCATATAGAAATTACCTACTAAGTTACCCAAAGGGTAAGGAAGTCGAACGATTCTTCACTGAAAATGACCAGTATAAAAGGACTTTCTTTTTTCAGTGATTTTTTCCCTAGATAAAGCATTTGAAAACTGCTTTCAGATTGTTAAGATGGAAGGGAAAATCATTATTGAGGATGAAAGATATCGTTTCCCAGGTCTTCTGAAAGTCGGTAGAACATAAAAAGAATGCCAGGGTTGGACAAAGAATATTAACAATCCCTAGAACAAAAGCAAAAGAAAGATTGAGTAGAACCAGAATGATGTTCATCGTTCACCTAAGACGGAACGTAGATAATTTGGAACTAAAAAGGCGTTCTCGTTTTCTTTGGAGCACAGGAGAAGCAAAATCAATCGTACAAACAGATGGATGTTTCTTACCTTAAATGTATGTCGTAGAGGATTGCGTTCTTTTGTTTCTGTTGCAAGTGTCACTCGGCCATCACCATTCCCATCAGAGGCTGGTAGTACATCGAAAACGATTATATCCAAGGGTTTGGCATCAAAAGGATCAGCAAGCAGGGCCAAAAATCCAGGCTTGAGGACAGCCCACACCTGCACATAATAGTATGATACTACTTATTGCAAACAACCATCATAATTTCTCACATTGAAGATTCTTAGTCACACAGTAGAGAGTGCCTTTCTGCATGGTTAACAGTTATTAACATATGGGTAAGCTATTATTTGTAGTAGCCTGCTTAAAATAGGCATGACCTGCTCTCTGGACTGGATAATGAAAACTTTATCATAAACTTGAGCCAAACATTTTGTCATGAGCATGAATCTAACAGAGAACACATCAAAACCCCTCCTTTCTGCATACAAGCAGTATGACACATCAATTTAACCAAAAGTATAAAAAACAAGTTTGTATTACCTTCTGCCAATTATCATTACAGCTGCTAAACCAGCCGCAGGAACAACATTTCCTATTGTCCTCATTTGTTGGAATTTTTGGCAGATGCTTCACCATAATATAATCTTCTTTAAGCTTAGGTCCATATTCAGGGCAAAATGACAGCTTAGAAACCTCCAAAAATTTGCAAACCTGCAGTATAAGTTCCCAAAGGCAAAGTATTACTATCTGATGGAATTGTAAAATCTTATCATTCAGAGTACTCTTTCTGAGAAACGAATGCATCCCAAGAGAGCAGTATGATTGTATCCAACCTCTTCCAAGGAACATTTAAGGGAAAATGAAAGTTCAAGGTATCAACTAGAATGCCCCTAGAAGCAAAGAAAGAGCAGATACAAGACGAAACTGAAACAATAATTAAAATCCGATGAGTCATGTGACAAATAAAATAAATGAGGGGATCTGATGTGAAATACTAGCCCACATAATTTGGTATGGAGAACAGCACAACAACAATTCTACATATTACAAGTAGAAAAAGCATGGACAGGACATGAATGACTCCGACACTAAGGAATTGACATTATTATGATGCTAACATCACCGAGGGCTTATATCACTTATAAAAGAGAGGGTTCCAGATCCAAAATCCCTTGACAGTCACCACATGGAAATAATTTGACAATGAGAAAAAGACACATGACAAGGCCATGAAATTTGAACATGCTGAGATAAGCATAAATGTAATGCAGTAAGAATACAATGCACGATGCAGCCATACATCCATAGAGCTAAGATGTTCGACAACCATATATCAGTAACATGCATCTGTGCCATCATTCAGGCCAAAATGACACTTTGAATCCTATGAAGTGCCACAGATCAATCCATAAGCTTACAAAAGCTTACCTCTCGAGAGTTGACAATATCCATGTTCCCCAAAAAATGGTTGAGATACTGCTGCATTGATACCTTCGCTCTATCCGACATGGACTGCTGTCTTCCCAAGGACGGCGCACGAAACACATTCAGTGCAGCACTCGAAGGGACATCTCTGAACAGAAAACCCACCTATAAGAACTATAAGAACCACCAACCAGAGAGTAATCCAGAGAGCAAGGGAAAGACGGGCATCATATATGGCAGCTTCTAGTGGGTGGCATCTACAAAAGAATGGACAGCAGTTCCTTTTACCTGTTCTTAGAACTTTCATCCTGTTGCTGTACCGGAATTGCCTCGTCATCATCATCACCCTCCACCACTTGTGTATTCTCCCCCATCCCTAGATTTTGAAGCCAGTCTTTAACCTTTCATTTTGTGATCCATCCAAGCAAGAAACACATCAAAACTAAACACCTCCACAACCAACGTGCAGCAGGAAAACAAAATTTCAGATTCATAATACAAACACACAGCCTCTCTCACTCACCTGTTCCTGCTTCTCCTGAAGTTCCTCGAACAATGCTCGTTTCTTCAACGCAAAGTGTAAATAAAAAACATGCGCAGCCGTCTTCAGCAATTGCCACTTAAACTGGAAACACCAACGCAACATAGATAAATAAGGTAAAAGATCATCTGAAGCAAGAGAAACAATCAAATCCAGAATATCTATCACAGAACAGCTCCAAATTAAGTTACTAACACACAGAACCCGCTGAATGCAACGAATCGTCGCACAACACAATCTCGCCATTCATCAGAACCACACATTAGCTTTCGAAATTCAGCATAACAAACACGCAATTCAACACAAAATTTTGGTGAATTCGACCACCAAACAAACCGTCAGATGGAGAAAGCGAGAGAGATCGTTGATCGCACCTGTTTGTATTGAACCTCGATGGTGTATGACAGAAGGACGGGGCTAATGTCGCCGGCATCAGACCGCGAAACCTGAACGATGATAGCCCTGGGCAGCTCCTCGAAAATCCGCGATTGTTCGGGGACGGGGCCGTGGAACGAGAAGAACGACGATGACAACGCCGGCGCGGCCTGCCCCAGCGGCGGATGTTGCGGTGACTCCGACTGCATGTGGACGTACCGCGGGCCGCCTCCTCCTCCGCCACCGTCCATAAACTGCTGCGACGACGCCAAGTTCGCGCGTTCCACCTTTAATCTTCGGTTGTAAGCTAACGATAAATTCGGAAATCGGGAATGTAATTACAAGGCTAGGAATCCGATTAGGATGAGGAGAGAGAGCTCAGGTCGGTTTCTTGGATATAAAGCTTTCTCCCCCGCCGATTGAATGGGAGATTGCAGATGGAGACGGAGACAGGAACCAACGGGAGGATTGGAGGGAAGAACGAAGAAGGGAATGGAGTGGAAGAATGGGGAAATGCGCTGGGCGTTTCAAGTTAGCGCTATATTTTCATTTTTGAGATATTTTTCTCTCACTTTTTCGTATTATTTGTTTATTATTGCTTTTATTTGCTCGAATAAGAGCGAAAAAGGTTTCAAAACACAGAGAGAAGAGAACAATACTACAATAGGAAAATCGTCAAACTAGCCTTCAATTGTCGTCACGTTTACTGCGGAAATCTCAAAGAGGAAGCTTGGCCAGCTCGCCATTCTTCTCCCGGCAAACAGAACGACCGGTCACAACTTTATGCCAGTTGACGAATTCACCACTGAACTTTTGATTCTTCACAAATTTATCATTGGAATTCGAAAATAACTGCATCAATCAACAATTAATTCATGGTTATATCGCGTCGTGATCGTAAGATTTATCGTGGTGATTTTCAATCAACAGTTAACGTTAACTATCACCTCTTACATTTTCGTCCACATTTTTTCAATCATGCTCTCAATTTTAGTATTAACTCGACGGGCATGTTTGGAAGTTAGGATTCTCTAAATTGATGTATTTAATCAATGTATGTATTATAATTAGATGCATTGTTTCAATGTATGAATTTGAAAAATACATTGTTTGGAGATTGAATGATTTTGGTGGTCCTTCAAAGAATAAGGAACAAAAAGTAAGACAACAATCCCTCAAACACAATCTCTACTAAAAGTTGAGATTGACAATCATTCATAATGAATGATTCTGGCGGGCCCATCTGTTGTTCAAATACAAGCATTCTGTTTCATTTTAGGCCAAAAAAACGATGAATTCTTCTGATTACATGTATTGGCTAAATACATCATCTGAAATCCCAACTTCCAAACCAGCCCGTTAACATTAAGAACAGTCTCAATTAGCTCACAACATGAACCGTTCATTTCAAATGGCACAGGAGCTAAACCAAAGTTGTTACTAAAATCAATATTCAGTCATCGCAGACTAGGGATAGCAATGGGTCGGGTTGGGGCGGGTTTTGTCAACCCAAACCTAAATCCATGGGTATATCCGTCAAAAAAACCCGGGGTAAACTCGCTGGGTTAGAAAAACTCAAACCCAACCCAACCCGTTGGGTATCCACGGGTTCATGGGTACCCGTGGGTTTTTGTGGTAAAAAATTTACAATAACAAGTTTATTTCAAAATAAAAGTTTAACATCAATTTTCTCATACAAATTATTCATACAAAAAACACCAATCTAGAGCATACAAGCAAACCGCAAATGATCAATACAAATTGTTCAAAATTAAAGATAAACATCTACAAACAATAAGATTAATTGAAAACTTCTTCCTCGTCAACTAAGTTTCTTCACTCTTCACTTCATAATATCAACTTCATTCTAAACAATTAGAAAGAACAAATTATACATGTCTCCACAAACATAAAAAAATTAGTTGTTTAAGGAAGATATATTATTTGGAATATTAAATATACCGAAAAATTAATTATATGTGTTGAGTGGGTACCCATGGGGCGGGTTTACCTAACCCAAACCCAACCCAAACCGGTAAATAGTGTAGCGGGTTTAAACCCGAACCCGGCCCAAAATCCGTCAACACGGGTTTTACCCGCGTTGACCGGGTTGGGTCGGGTGGGTACCCGTGGGTTCGGATTTTGTTGCCATCCCTATCCCAGACAAAGCTAATGAGTGTGGTTTAGACTCAAAGGTTGCCCTTGCTCTATCTGAGCTGCCAGAAAAAGGAATGTCAAGTTGGCTTCACTTGACCCAAAGTTTGGCCCATGTACACCTAGATAAGTTGGGTTATCGTGCACTCTCTGCCATGCTCTTTGCTTATAACTGGTTAAAATAAATACTCGAAACGTGCGTAGTTCTATTTTCATACATTGTTGTGACAACACAACCAACAGAAATTAGCCGAAACTAATGAAATCGCTTTAAGTAACTTCCATACTTACAAAGATACAAAACAAGACCTAAAGAAGTAAACGTGTTTATTTTTTCCTATTTTCATGTTAGTGGTTGTACCTCAATTGTCATAACTCATAAGTGAATTCAACTGAAATCAGGACGATAACAAAACACTGCACCGCAATCACAACGACAACAAGTAATTTTATTCATGCAAAGACTCCACTTTCCCAACTTTAAAAACAAACTATCAATGGCAAGATTCCTAAATTCATTAGACTGATAATTTTATTCAGTATAAGATCCTCTGGAAGTAGACGATTCGTCTTGCAAAAAAGCAAATGCAAGCAACTGACCAATCGAAGCTACTTAACAATACAACCTAAGCACGGTTACAATATACAAATCAACATTATCACAAATTTCTAGTCTGATTGAACCAAACGCAACCTTGATGCCAAAGGGATAGACACAAGCAATCTCCATTCACACATACAACGACTTTCGCTATCATAATCCGACTCGAGCAATCCACCGATATCTCACATGAAAGTTCAAATCCAGAGAACAAGCCATTGAACATATCACATTCCACTGGAGAGGAAAGATATCACCGTCTATAAGTACCAAAATTTCATACTCTAATAGAGTTGGAAGGGAGATAATTCACCAAAAAAACATAGGACGATTCATTTTAAGAAAAACAGACTCCTAACCGGCAAAAGACATTGACATAGAGTCAGCTAGCTATTGGTCTCCCAAACAGAAAATTTTCACTTCTTGGCTTTCTTGCCTCCTCCCCTGCAAAAGTTGAAGCAGGCTGTAAGAAACCCTTCACCGGCAACTTAACAAGATGAATCATAGGAAAATTCTACATATAGGAAGCTCACTCGGTCGTCTGAGGTGCAGGTGTTGGTTCGGCCTTCACACCAGGTCCCTGAAAGTACACAAACAAATCAGATTATGATCATTCAGTCGCAAGTGACAGGTAAAGAACCAATCAATGGAAGAAGAAGGAAAAAAACATCAACTTACTTGTGCCAAGCGCTCTTCCCTTCTGGCAAGCTTCCTCTCCCTGCTGGCCTTGTTCTTAGCACGCTTAGCCTCAAACTGATCCGACAACGTCTTCTCCCTAGCCTTCTCGGCCTTCGACTTGTGGATGCTCTCCATCAGCACACGCTTGTTCTTGAACACATTACCCTTCACCTTCTGGTACATATCGTGATACATGTGCTTGTCGATCTTCTTGGCCTCACGGTACTTCCTCAGAAGGCGTCTCAGGACTCGCATCCTCCTCATCCACAGGATCTTGGTTGGCAGCCTAGCCTCCCGGGTACCCTTTCTCTTACCTAGATAAAGAACACCAACGAAATTCAGTTGGAATAAAGAGCCAAACAGAAAGAGCCAAGAGAATCACAAAGAACAAACACCGTACCATATCCGGAATGGCGACCCTTTCTCTTAGCCTCCTTCATCCTCCTTGCACGAGACCTAGAATGGATCTTCGTTGGCTTCCTGATAATGAAACCATCCTTCACCAACTTCCTGATATTCTGCCCTGCAATTTTGAAGAAAAAAGAACCCTAATTAACTTCAAACCCTAATTCGTAACACCGAGCAGGAAATGAGCTGCGATAGAGTGATTTCCCAGCGAGAACTACCCGTTAACGTTCTAAACAGATTCCAACACACCCTCGATCTAATCTACACAGCCATCTCCAGCTCGGGAGAGATGAAATGAACAGTAAGGAAATACGAGTTCGAAGGAAGAGAAGAAGAAACTTACTGGAGTTGGCCATGGAGATTTCGTTCACTTCGTTGGGGTCGAGCCAGACCTTTCCCTTCCCGCACTTGAGCACGCTGGCAGAGAGCCGCTTCTGAAGCTTCAACGAAACCATCGCTCCCTTCCCTTCTTCCTCTTCTTCCACCGACCGACGACGTGACCGCAGCAAACTGAAGGGTTTTCAGAGAGATGGCGGCTGAACGAAAGGTTTATTTATAGCTTCCAGACTCGCTGTAGGGTTATCGTATTTCGAGATTGGGCTGGGCCTCAGATTATGATGGAGCCATGGGCCTGTAAATGTTTCCCCAGTGGAAGGCCCATAATGCAAGTAAGCCCATTGACAATTTCGATGACCAATTTGATAATAGCCATCGGTTTCGTCTAGAAATATTCTTTGTCCTTATCCCTATCTATTTATTTTTTGCTTTTTTTTCAACAGTGAAAGAAAGTTTGGTGGCGAGCAATTTTCTCGCCGACTGCGATTTTTCCCTCGAAATTTTCCCGGAAAATTCCCCCAACCCTAATCCCTGCTCTGTTCCCGCTGCGATTAGTTACTACTTATCGGTATCTTTGTGGTCCGAAAAATGGTTATGGATCTGTCCTTGGTTGCCGATGCAGTCACAGCAATTGCCAGCGAACAGGGGCTAGGGTTTGGGCTTGCGAATTTGCCTCTCCCGCGCCAAAATTTCATCTCGATCAGCAACCTCGCGCTCTCCGATTGTCCCGCCGACCCGCTCGCCAGCGTCCTCCAAACCTCGGCGATCATCGTGGACGCGCTGGCCCCGCCTCCTGTGAAGCCGAACAAGCACCGAACTGCCCGCCGGACGCTGATCCGGAAAAAGAGACGCACCAAGCGGGGTTCCTCGACCGGCGGAGACTCGGATGATTTTGGGGTTTTCGGCGGGGACGAAGGCGGCAGCGGCGGCGAGGGTCCGTTCGGATTCGGCGGCGGCGGAGGGAGGTGGGGCAGCGGCGGCGGCGGTTGGGATTTTGGCAGGTTTGGTGAGCAGAATTGGGACGAATCGTCTTCTTCCTGGTGGTCGAGTTGCAACTTCGCTTATGGGTTCGTCTACGAGGTGGTATACTGGATTGCCCTGTCGAACTGTGTGCATTTTGCTTTCAAGAAGGTTGCCAGAATCATGGCGGATGGGGTTGGGAATGGTGAGCTGCAGCAGAGAGCAAAGGTTCATCAAATGGGACTGACTCCCGTCTACTGACCTCTGGTAACGAATTTCAGACTCTTGCAACTATAGGAGAGAATTGGGTGAACAAGAAACAGACATTGAACTAGTCTTCCTTTGATGTACATATTGTATATGGTTATGGTTATGGTTATGGTTATGGTTATCGCCATTGTTCCACTCTCCGTGAAAGAAAGAAGGGAGAAACACACATATATATACATTGTCATTATGGAATCCATTAGAGGGATCTGATCGATTTGATTTGTACATATACTTCATTTGCATTTAGGCCTTAGGGGAGTTCTGTTCATTCCAGTGTCGGGTTAATCTATTCCATACCTTATTTCTCTTCAAAGTTCAGTTCTTTAAACAAATGCTTCTAGTGGATCGTGGAGCCGGCTCACGTATGACGTGGTCATGTGAATAGTGACATCTTTAGCTAACCTTGAGGATCAATTGGCAATTAGAAAACCAGGGTTGTTGATCCTCTGTAGCTTTTGGGTGATGTAGGGAAAGAAGCCTGACTTGTGACTTATTAAGTGATTCATGCCATAATCAGTATATCAAAGCCATTCAATAGTTGGTGGTACACCTTCTGTCAGATTGCAGTTACCACTGTGCTGCTTCTTTGTTTCGGCTTAGTTGCTATGTCTTGAAGTGTATTACATTAGGCTAGTAGGTTGAGGAAGCAAGTAGTTCGTGTTGTTGGATAGCAGTCGGTTTCTTGAGAGTTCATTCATGGTGCTAGCTATGTTTGTGGGGGGGGGGGGGGGGGGGGGGGGGGGGGGGGGGGGGGGGGGGGTATGATATATGTCTATTATGTGACTATAATGAAGGATTCTGCAGAAGGGAATTCTCACTCACCATGCTGTCTTTCGTTCCCATGCGACTAGGTGTGATCGTTTTCTTCTCGTATCCATTAGTTTGCCCGTCTGTGGAGTTTTGATTTGTACCCTGTTCGAGGTGTGTTTGCTGCACTGCTTGAATGTCGGTGCGTATAAGACGCTCGTGTGTCGCCTTCCAGTTCTGAACTGAATGATGGTTGTCTTGGATTCTGAGTTCATCTAGATGGACATATATCTGTTAGATCGACAGACCTGTCGATTATGGTTTTGATATAACTAAAGTTTCAAGCCTCAAAGAGTTTCAAGACTCACTTAAAACTGGAGGTATGTATGCTTTTGGGTTGAACCGGAGGACTCTACTGTATATGAAGGAGAGAACTAGATTGGTGTTGTATGGTCTGATCTAATCTAGAATCAGACCAAATCTACACAAGAAACATATCAAAAGTAAAGGAAACATGAAGACCAGAAATCGCAGCAGGAGTAATAAACAGGCTTCATTTGATGATTGAAATTAAGTAAAATCCTCTTTTTAATCTGGCTTGAATCTCCATTTCATGCGACTTGATTGGGTGCTGACAGGATTGTTGCTCCCCCTTCAGCAAGTTCATCTCTTCTCCATATAATTCTAACCTAATAAACTAATACACCCATGTAATTTGTTTCATGATTATTCGGCTCAAGAACAAGAAGGATCGTGTATAGTTCTTGAATGAATAATGCCATAAATCAATCAATCAACGAAATTAAGGGGGTGAGTCAGCCATATAACTATATTTATAAAAGTACTCATCCGAAACCATTAAATCGTACAGTACCGTACGGACGGTTCAACCACAAAATACCAGTATCGGAGGCTAACCTGATAGACGGTAATTAACGATTGAACTACGAGTCAACCACGATTTTACCGTAATACCCTAATATTAACTTTTCGGTACGGTGTCCGGTACAGTTTCATAGACCATGTCCGAAACTGATTCGTGAACTTTGTTCACAGAAAGGAATTTTCCTGCTTAAGAAGAAAAATGTGGCCAAACTATGAAAAAGATATATTGGCACTTTGTTTAAAATAATTCCCTTAAATTTTCTTGTTCCCCACAACTACAAGAAATCTCTCCTCCATGTGGGTGGTTTGAAAATGACAAAATGCCAAATAAAAGGTCCCACTTTAGATACTAATTAATTATTTTTATGTTATGATTTAAGGGTTGTGTTCATGCATCTTCACTGCTGAACATAATTAGAAAACCCCATTTATTGCCTCTGCACTGCACCTGCTCTTAGATAATTAATGTGGCTAATAAATAATGTATGGGCACCTGAACATAATTAGTGCTTAATCATGATTGGTTTCGGGCTCGTGGCCTCCACACTTCGATCTTCACGGCCCCTCTTTCATCCAGCTTTTTTCTCTTACATCAACTCTCCATAGGAGATATAGTTACGGTATACGAAATTGTTTCATAATTCTAAGTCGTCAATGCGAACATGAGATAACCCCTCGTTCTAAGTTTATTATTCGTTTTCATGTTTCACAAACTTAATGAGATGATACAAGTCAATATTATTTATAAAAAAAATTAGTAAATTGCTGTATTTTTGTAAGTAAAAAAATTAAAAACTCTTTCAATAACCTGAGTTTTTGGAATCAATTGATTCACAATGTTATTGTTATGCGTTCAGAATCAATGTTTTATAACGTAAATAAAATAACAAGTGGTCGGAGTGCATCAATGGTGGATTTGATTATGTGTCGACATTGATGATGATATTGCCATACAACTTGTCATTTACTATTATTATTATCACTTAGACATAAACTACTATATGCTCCTTTTTTGGAAATTTTAACAGCTGAGTAGTCAAAACATGGCAACATTTCAAAGCTAGTTAGGTTTCAAGGCATATCCATGCACCTTGCTTTCCTTCTGGACAGTGGGGAGTAAAAAGAAGGGCAAAGGGTAATTCACTTGCTCTTTCTCACACATTGGCGGCTTTTATGGGCTAATTACTAGAATAATAGAATGATAATCAAGCTCATATTGACGGAGTGCTTAATTACTAATCATAATTTACTCGAATTATTTGAATGCTTAATTATCGATTCAAAAAAGATATTTTGATATAGTCACTTATACAATTATGTATTCAGATTACTTGTTATTATACAAATATCGTATATTTATGACATATCAAAATAATATCGTACACAGATATCAGACTCTCTTCATAAAAATATATTTGATCAAAAGGTTCATTAATCATTGCGATGATCGAATGGCAACTCAAAGGATCCCCTACTTCCTCTCAACTTGCAATTCATTTTTTGGATTGTACATATAGGATCGAGTCCAAATCTTGATGATGATGGGAGAACCTCCACTAAATTTCAGGTTTAGTGTTTATGTCTTATTTGTCGTCTCTTTTGCTCCTGTCCTGGATATATATATATAAAACTAACGACGATTACTAGTGCAATAATTACGTTGGAAACTAGTTTATTACTCTCCCTCTTGGCATTCTTTTTTATCAACTTGGAATTGGAAGTTATATATAGCATAGGTAATTAACAAAATGATTTGTGTTTCAATTAGTGAGCTAACTTACAAGCTTGGGTAGCATAGGTGATGGGAGTCTGAACCTAAACCATTTTAGAAAAAAATGGCATTAAAATGAGACCATTTTAGAATACACAAGTCAATAGGTTGGGTTGACAAATGTTAGAACTATACAAAAACAATAATATCATGATTCTAAAGTTGAATGATATTACGGCGCCCTACAAATAGCCAAATCAAGTAGTCTGATGTCAAGTTATTTTCAGCACATAACGGATGAACGTGTGACATCCTAATAAACGAAAATTTTAGCATATTGGCATGCTAACGAGAGGAGCTAGATACAGATCAAGCAGTTAGGAAAAACTTATATATATATATATATATATATATATATATATATATAACAAGACGATATAATTCAAAAGCTTAATTATATAATTATGACACACTGCACCGAAACAAAATAAGCAACCTGACGCCGAGTTAATTTCAACACGTAACAGAGAAGAACGTGTATTGCGACGTACCGGTGAAAAAGTGAGCACGAGGTGCGAGTGTTATTCGCATGCACTCATGATGAGTTGGCTACAGATCGAGTAGCTAGCTAACGAAACTTACCTATACCAGAATGGCATAATTTCGTATGTTAAAACTCGTTATTGCTTTCATTTTATCATTTTTATTATGTAAAACGATGGCATAAGGGTGGCAATAAATAACTTGTTAGAACTAGTTGACACCAATTCCATGAACCGACAACCGAATATGTAAACAATGATGGGCTATACTCTAATTCATTTGTACGAAGATAGAATCGACAAAGCGGATCCTTAGCTAGGTAGCAAGTTGGTGATGTCCGATTCTCGTCTCCATTCAATGAAATTCATCCTACATCTCGGTTGGTCAACGGTAAAAAAAAAAAAGAAGGGAAGAATGAATGACGATTTATACAGTAACTAATATTCCATCCAACTTCGAGTAAGATATTATTTACGTGCTGTTATGCTTAGCTCAACTATGCTTCAAATTGTCTTATTTGCAACTACAAATTGAATTTGTATCGTAACATTGAACGTATAAGTTCAATTTATATCTAACAAATATTGAAATGAAAACGGGCGGAAGAATAAGAACAATGAGTGCATTCGAGAAGAAGAACCAACTTTTAGCAGAAGAGCTCAATTCCAAAACGGAACGACTGTCAGCGTTGGACGACTCATCGATTCGATTGCATGGATATATATATATATATAACTTTGTTTCTTCACTGTGATGTGTAATACACACACGATTTTGCAGTTTGCAGCTATTACATCACTCGCCGTATAGATGTACGTATTTGTGACACAATAATTTTGTCTTGGCTGTTCTACTGTATATATTCGTACCAGAATACGGTGGCCGCCCCTTCCACTGGTAGCTAGTGGCTCGTATCGCGAGTTGTTGCTTCCCGACGAGAAAATTTTGGTTTGATATAAATTATATGGTTCATATATGTTTCGTAGGATAAGAGTGTTTGATGATATGGTTCATATACGTGTAAGTAATACCCATAAGAGTTCTATATTTTGATACCATATTATTTATATGAAATGCACAATTGCGACGTATTATAAATAGTATAAAGAAAATGTTACTCGATCATTAAATTGGTCATCGTTTATTGTAAAAAGAAAGAGGAAGCGCTCTTGCTGCTAATGTGGTAGGTTAGGTACGCTCCATACGCATAGACTCGACACGAGGTCGGGCCTATTCTGGAACAGATAAAGCCCATTGGAGTTTGAGCAATTCTACTATACTATATAGTATTGGTGCTTTAATGTACAACTTGAAGTTGTACCATAACATTAGTATTGGTGCTTTAATGTACAACTTGAAGTTGTACCATAACATTAGATGTACAAGTTTAGGTTGTACCATAAAGGAATTTGTATCATTATGTTATGGTACAACTTTACAACTTGAAGTTGTACCATCACATAAGGTACAAGTTTAAGTTGTACCATAAAAGAATTTGTACAAAAAGTATAGGTACAATCTGAAGTTGTACCATAACATTAAAGGTACAATTTAAAGTTGTACCATAAAGGTAAAAACCTATAGCACCAATACTATATAGCATTGTAAAATTCCTCTTGGAGTTTATCTACTGCAAGAATAGTGATCGATCATTTTTATTTTTTTTAACTACGAGAGATTCTGTTGGTCCAGTATCGATACCATTGCAGAATTAGAGCATGAACTTAATTAATTATACACAGAGTACCTTGATTAAACATTATTACTTATTTTTAAACAGACGGGGGATTGAAACAAGCGCCAGATTGCCCCCACAAACCCAAAAGACAAAATAACAAAAATAAAGCGGGAAGTATTAGAGTACCCTTAATACAGAAATATTAAACACAAAGCATAATACAAAAAAACAACAGACATCTAAGCTGAAACGCTACCGACCTTAATCAGTAGCCAAAGCCAGAACTGGTAATTGCTTCATTAACAAGTTAACCTCATCTCCATCTGTTTTTATTTATTCTTCATCTCTCTCTCTCTCTCTTTCTCAATAAGCCACCTGACGTGGCAGCTGCTGGTACTGGTTCACCAGGTCGTCCAGCATCCATAGGTCCACCGTCGCTTCTTCTCCGCCGCCTCCGATGACCGGCAGGATGCCCGCTGCCGCCTCCGGCTCCAGCCCCAGGAACGATTCCAGGCTCGAGATTTGCTCTTCCAGCTCGGACGGCCTACCCGGAGGCGGCTCGTTGTCATCGAATCCGAATCCCGGAAACGGTTGCGCCGCCAGCAGAGGAGGAGGAGGAGGAAGTTCGGCTCCGACGGCGAAGCACTGCTTCTTGGCTGGAGGTTGATAATCGGAAGATGCTGCTGATTCTTCATCTCCGCCCGTCTGCGGCGGCGGAGGGAATTTCGAGGCGGCGGAGATGTCCGGAAAATTGAGCTTGGCCTTGTCGCCGCGGATCCGCTTGGCGGCGCCGTCGTAAGCCAGAGCGGCTTCCTCCGCCGTGCCGTAGGTTCCCAGCCAGACCCTGACTCCCTTGTACGGATCTCTTATCTCCGCCGCCCATTTCCCCCACGGCCGCTGCCGTATCCCTCTGTACACGTTCTTCCGCGCTCTCTGCCGCCGCGCCTTTTTATCTTCATTATTATTATTATTACTCTTCACCTCATTATCTTCGCCTGCAAACGGAAAACCCGACCCGATTTAACAGCCGATCCGACCCGAACTGGAGAAACGTTTGAAAGGCCGTGAGAAGGGAAAATCGGAGATGGATTTAATTAATTACCTGGATGGTGAGGATTAAAGGTTTTGGTATCGTGGCTGCCGGGGAAGCCGAAGCCGAGGAAGTCGGAGAGCGTGTCGAGCTCCGACCAGAGCTCCTTGGCCTTCAACTTACGGCCGCTCTTCTCGTCGACGTAGCCGGAAATGATCGCACCGCCGCACATTTTTTTTTTTTTTTTGGTTGTTGTTGCTTGCAGGAGCAAGACTGAGGAGGAGGGTTCAGGAGGAGGAGGAGGCGGTGGAGTTATATAGAGAGAGAGTGCAGAAAGGAAACGGTTACAACCACTGGGGCAGAGGAAGACGACAATCAATCATGGGTCGGTTGCCGGGCGACTGATTCGGTCTGATTAAGTAGGTTTGATTTGATTATATTTTTATACTTTAAAGAGACTAAATCCAATTAGATTGAATTGGCTGAAATTGTTAGGTTTTGATTGGAATCTTGGAAAGAAACCTGAAAGGAATTAATTATTAAATATATTCATTTTATTAGTTTTAATGAAGTGTATAATATTTAACGAAATGAGATTGAATAATGCTTAATATGGATTGATGTTAAGAAACCAATTCAACCGATATCTATGCTGATACCAAACTAAATCGGTCCCAATACCAAACCGGGTTAGAAAATGTTTTCAGACCGGGTTGGGACATACTTACTCGAAGGTCCTAGCCCAGGCCCAGGTGGGGCTCACGTTTTCCTTCTGCACTGTTTTTAATTTTTATGATGACATACTTGTTGATCGGACGGTGGAGAGGGGATCAGGGGGGAAAAGGAGGTGAAACGGACGATGGGAAAAAGAAAAAGATTGAGGAAGAGGGGTTCGTGTGGAGGAAACGTGGCCGTCGGATGAAAGAAAAGGGAGCGAGGAAGCACCATTGGGACGACAAATGGTGTCCACGTGGCTGTCGGTAATTGGGGGAGCAAATTATGGGGCTGACCAGATTTCTTTTTGCAGAGTAACGCTCGTGAGCCTCTTTTATTATTTTGCTTTTTGGGCAGTCATTTCCGTTACTTAACTCTGTCGGGATTTGATTTGAGAGTAGAGTACACTTGTTGGGCTGACAGGGGGATTTCCAGACCCGCTGGCCCAGCCCACCGATTAGACTATTGGGCTTAATTCTGCAATTATGTTTGGTGGTCCCAAATTCGTATATCCTCCTCCTGCCTATGTTATTGTTAAGTCTGTTACAGTCATGCTTAACTATTTGTTTGGGATTGATTAGGGTTAAACTTGGGTGGAATTCAATGAGCAATTGTAGAGTGTAGACTGTTAGTCACGATGGATATTAGTAATGATATGGAATAGTAGAGACACGAAAAAATTGTATATCGATCAAGCTGAATTTCCAATTCCATTTTATGCAAGTCCGTTGTCGAATAGTAAATAAGACCGAAATTTATTCTATCTCGATGAAGTGAAGTGGCAAAAACAACGACACGCTCAGAAGCTCAAAATGTGTTTGATTTAGTCGATAACGGGAATTCGATCAAATTCATTACAATCCGAGTTAGAACTCGTATTGCAATCAAACTTGATGTAGAGTTTTCTTGTTGTTGTGCTTCCTTAATTTGCGTACTTTGTGTTTCTGAGTGAAACGGATCATTGTAAAAGAAATTAACCTAGAAAGTAAACAACATGCTATGAAAAGAAAATGTCACATAGATCTTGCCTAATTTGTGTTTCTGAGTGGACCGCTGTCAACACTGATGGCTCGGTGATTCCGGAGCTAGGAATTTCGACTGCTGGTGGCGTTATTCGAGGCTCTGATGGCAGGTTTATCAAAGCATTTGCTGTTAATCTAGGAGGAGGATCGATCACTCATGTAGAGCTAGCAGGGATCGCCCAAGGTTTGGGAGCTCGAAGAGTTCGGCTCCAGACGGACTCGGCGGTAGCTATTTCACTCCTGCAGTCTGACCAGGCAGTTAACCCCCATCACACTATGATCTCTCTGATACGTCAGCTTGTGGCGCGAGATTGGGAGGTCAGTATAGAGCATGTTTTCCGGGAGGCAATTATGTTGCGGATTATATGGCCTCTGTTGGTCATTCCTTACCTATCGGAGTGCACCTGTTTGACACTCTGGGGGCGGCTTTGAGTCATTGGCTGATGTATGATCTTATTGGGATACAAATGCCCCGATCTATTAATACATAAGGGTTAGAGCGCCCCTCTGCGCTTTGTTTTTCACAAAAAAAAAAAGCTTAAGAAATGCTTTCAAATTAGAGCATTGACAGGATAACTAACCCAAATTCATCCTTCAACAACATATATACAACGAGTTCTATATCCTGTCAAATTGAGATACCGCACACTTTTAGTAAGAAAATGTCACATAGATCTTGGATTGACCAGTTTTTTACTAGATGCACCATTTTAAGAAAAATTGGTAACTGAGATTTACCCATTGGATAACACTTGCAAAGAATTAAGAGAGTGAGCAGGGATGGGAGGGAGCAAGTTGCTGCAGGCTGCTGGGAAACAGCTAAGCTAGAGGTTTCTATAAAGAAAAGGGCTGCATTTGATTGCTTTCTGTTGGACAAATTGCAGATCCCCCCCACGCCTTCCTTCCATTCATTTCTTCAATACCGGTTCATGGCCTCTTCCCAAGAAACAAAAATACTATAAGTAGCTGCAACAGCCAGCAAGAGAGGATAGAAAGTCTTCACATACATACATATATGGCGTCATTTGTAGGGCAGCCATCTCCCCCTTCTCTCATCCAATTTGTCCTCTTCTTCTTCTTCCTCTCCACTTTTAGCAGTTCTCGTACTTTGTTGCTTCTTCTCCATTCCAAACCTTGGCCTCTCTGTATCGAGATATTTACATTTTCCCAGCAGCACGAAGGAATTGATGATGGTTGCATTTAGTAGCCTGCTGCTTCTTTTAGTTTGCTGGTGGCAGAAGGGGGGTTTGGTGAGAGTAAGCAGTAGGTGGATTTGACTGACTCTCTCTGTTGGTGGCATTTAATGGATGTGGATCCTATATGTAACTGTGTAGTGGGCACTGGGCAATGATTGTTTGGTAGTAGCTTTCTGAAGAGTAAATGTACAAGGAGCTAAATTCAGAGTAGTGTCCATATGTGGATGGAGAAGAACCTTATTGGGTTGCTCAAATGGATGGATTTCAAGAATCCATGATAGACCCGCCCTAGATATTTCCTCCTCTTCATATTTTATGTGACAAGTCGGAAGGTCGAATAACAAGCTGAGAGATTCTTTGAGTACCATAATCGTCGATCGATTTAATTATGACGACAATAGATGATCCGATGAGAACGGTTTGATCAATAATCTCACAACTTTCTATTTTGAAACATTAATCAGAACCTAACTCGCAACGACTATCGGCAAGCCTATACATATAGGATCATCAATTCAACCGTAGCAGCAGGCAAACCAAGGCACAGAGCCGGTGACAGAAGGGTGATTCAGCGTTTGTAGTCTGACCAACATTCCTCATATTGGTACTATTTTCCTGAATGACAAAACATTTGGTATTCGTATTTCTCTTATAGTGCAGGTGCAACAGTATACTCTTCAAGGAACCAAAAACTCTTGATGGATTGGGCACAACAGCAATCATGGAGTAAAAGACAGAATAGTGATTATTACAAACAGAAAAGCCTTGATTATGGAATTAATCTCCTATGGAAAAAAAATGAGTATTGGATGAAGATGAATTCTTGTGTCTCAAAGGCAAACAGAAAACGAGAATGAAAACAATGAATACATGCAAAAATCCACAATGGTAATACAGACATTCAGGCGGAAAAAAGTTCCCTTTCCCCCACAGATTTCATACAGAGGGGGCATTAAGTGTATCAATATGAAAAGAGAAGCTAGAATACAATGTAGTAAGGGCGTACTTTTTCTCTAGTCTGCCATTTTGGACAGGCGGTGGACAGTACTCCGCGCGATCCGGTTAAGTGGATCGATCTTAAGAACGGCCCTCAGATCCTCAGCTCCGAGCCTGTACTTCTCCATACTCTCGTATAGGAGTGCTCGCTGGACTAACACAGTTACGTTGGTTTCATCTCCTTCGAGCACCTGCCAGAATGTGAATAACAGCAAAACATAATTACTACAATGGCAAGAACACCGGGTTTAGGGAAGAGACTCTCATCGCTAATGTGAAGCACAAGAGACTCTCATAGCGAAGCATAATCCATACTGATTCGGTGTAATTGTGAACTGATGTTAGCAGTCTCAATGAACATGCTATTACAGGTGTATTTGGAAAGCATTGTTTGGTTTAGTCCGATTGTGCAAGAGATTGTGACAAATGACTCTTCTACAAAACTTAGTGGGCATCAATGAACAGAGGGAGACTTCCCTCAGTCCGAGATTTCCATCCGGAAACCTGACACTCAGAGAACCTAAAGATTGTATAATCATTGACAAGTAAACGATAAAGACAAGATGATACCTTTGAGCAGTCGGCAACGGCCTTCTTGTACTCTCCAACTTCCTTATAACACGAGGCTCTAGTCGACAGAACTTCAGCAGATAAAGCTTTATCTTTAGATTTTTCAAGAAGCACCACAGCCCACGACAACCACTTAATGGCATCAGCATACTGCCCTTGCTTTTGATGGTCCACACCCTTGTTCTTTGCAGCAGAAGCTGAAACCCCCGCAGGAGGTGGAGGAAGCCCTTCGAGCTCGGTAGTAGTGGGACCATCTGCACCATCAAAACCTGAATCCGCCCCCCAGTCATCAAGTTCCGAGAATTGCTGCCCTGCACCTGCTGAAGATGCTGGTGCAGCACTTCCTGCTGAAGAGTTGAAGAACATCCCAAGTGGATCACTACTTGCAGCCGGAACTGACGACTGTGTCTGTTTCTGAGCGCCAAAGTCATTGCTCGGCATTCCAAAGTCAAATCCACTAGAAGGAACTGAAGTTGAGCTTGGTTTTGAGGCATTCTGGAAACCCCCAAACGAATCTTTTGCACCAAACCCAACAGAAGGAGCTGGAGTTGAGCTTGGTTTTGAAGCGTTCTGGAATTCCCCAAATGGATCTTTTGCACCAAACCCACTAGAAGGAGCTGGAGTTGAGTTTGGTTTTGAAGCATTTTGGAGATCACCAAATGGATCATTGACATTAGAACTAGGTTTACTATTACCTTGCGGGGCAGAGTTAAGGCCACCACCAGATTGTGAAGGCTTCGAGAAATCAACTAGAGAAACGAACGGATCCTTGTTTACCCCCATCACTCCACCACCTCCAGCCGCCATTCCTTTCATGGAAGAACCACCAAGATTCGTACTCTTATTACCATTCACTCCCACATTACCAGCACTGGCAGTGCTAACATTCCTATTATATCCCCAACCTGCACCACTTTGGACCGAGTTACCACTAACCTTAGGCAATGAATCCGCCATGTTTCCCATGGAATAAGCGCTATTACTTGGCGCCGGAGTCACATTCTTCAAAGGGGCATTGCTTCCACTCTTATTCCCCTGCCCCAAAGCAGAACTCACCAGATCGCCAAACAAATTAGGGTTCTTCTCTGCAATCCCAATCCCTATCCCGGAGCTCTTAGCAGCTGAACCCGTGGATCCCCAGGTCTTGCCAAATATATCTCCAACCATCGAATTCGGCCCCTCTAACCCAGCGCGAGCTGGCTGACTCGCCGCCGCAGCAGGTTGGTGAGTCCATGACGGCTTCCCCGGTTGGAAAGCAGGCCTCGGTTGCGACCCAGTCGTGGATGAATACGAATACGAAGAGTAACCGGAGGAGCTCTGATTCCTCTGCTCGTTCAAGGGTTTAGAGCGATTCGATCCAAGACCCAGATCGAAATTGAAGGAATTCATCGACCCAGATGAACCTTTCCCGTAATTTGAGTTCATGGCGGAACCTATCTAGATTCAAACTAACGACTTCGGAAAGAGATACGATCGAGGAAGAAAATGGGAACGTACCGAGTGAATCCAGATCAGGAACGGAGAGACGGCAAGCTTTCCACCATTACCTTCACGGTTTACGGTGAAGAGAAAGAGAGCAGATCTGGATCACCGGTCGCCAAAAAGTGATCGGCGGGAAACCGGCGGAGAAGAGGAAGAAACGGTGGAGAGGTAAAACGGGTTCGTTTCCTTTTTCGGACAGACGGTGGGTGATTGAGCTCCGGTTGCTTTCTGAACCCTTTCTATTGTCGGCCAAAATGAAAATGGTTCGAGCAGTTAATGTGCTGTATATTGAAGGCTATTTCTGGAAACTCGTAAAGATAATATGCCACTTTTGGGACCATACGAAATATTTTGCATAAAATAGCGTAATAATACCGAGAAAATGATTGTGTACAATTTGCTAGCGAAATGCACAATTTCAGTCAGCTGAAAGATGTAAGAGCATTTTTTTAGATAATTTAGAAGCATGGTATGGTGTTGTATACAACTTTCTCAAACTTGTATTAGAACAATTTCATGGTTCGGTTCGGTCTCTAATATTAAGATGCAATCTCTAATGCGATTTCACAAACACAAGAAAATACAAGTGACTGACGTAAGAATAATAGAACTATGACAACACTAGCAATGAAAGAGGCTCTGTTTTGAAATGGTTCCTTGGCTTGAAAGATGATTCATGAGTTTCAAACTCAAAGCTAAAGATTGCCACTCTCTTGATTTGCATTCAGCTTGAATGTAATCAATGTATTAACAAGCATACCTAGACTATTGACCATAATAAGACCATTACAAGGATCGAAACTTTCGAATTTGGACTCCAAGTTTCAAACACTAAGTTGCAGACTACAAAGAACAGTCAAACCCCCCATTGAAACTATGGGGTCGTTTGCTTCAAGGATTTGGTACATGGATTTGGTACCAAAAAACCAACTATCAAGGATTTAGGTACAATCCTTTGTTTGTTTGCACCTTTTTTGGAGACCAAATCCGTGGGGCCCACGGATTTTAATGGTCCAAATCCGTGGACCCCACGGACTTATAAATCCCACATGTTGATGTGGGATTTGGAATATGGCATAAATCCTTGATGAGATTTTACCCATATATCCTCATGCACTTTTAATATTCCAAGGTTGCCCTCAAATTTAACTATTATACATTATAATTAACAATAAATGAATAATATAAACGTTCAATTAATGTGCAAACATGAGTTAGATTTTTTATATCATTTCTTGTGTTCTAGTTTTCTTTGACATTTTCATGGAACGTGTAATTCTCTGTTCTCCCGATTCTAATATATGTTGTTATATGTCACTTTTGAAAAGGATGACAAAGAATTGGTAATTGATTATGTTACGTTAAAAGTTAAAACGGAATTTTCTCGTTTATTATTATTGTCCATGTGGCAACATTATGCTTATTAGTATGTATTGTCCTTGTTTTGTGTACATATCATAAACATGTCAAACATATAGAAAATGATAGTAAGGTAATTTTGAAGTTTTGTCCTTGTTTTGTGTACATATCATAAACATGTCAAACGTATAGAAAAGGGCAGTAATGTAATTTTTGAATTCAAGTAGTAAATCCCACACCTTTAAATCCATGATAAAAACATCCCAACAAACAAAGGATTGTTACAAATCCATGATGCCTCAAATCCTTGATAAATCCTTGGGTTTTTAAATTACAAAACCCTCATTTTTAAATCCATGAAGCAAACGACCCCTATGAAGCTATGGTTTGTGAAGCAAATAGTTCCCCTCAAGACCTGGTTTGGTTAAACTGCTGCCCTTGCGGCAGCAGCTGCTGCTGCTGCTGATTCACGGAGAAGCCAGCATTTTGCGATGGAGATTGGTTCTGGCCAGCTCCGATAGATGGTGGTAGCTGCGACGTTGGCATAGGATCTCTCCTAACCTGCATTGTCTCCCTCCGACGATCATACCGTGGTCGAGGCCTGTTGTGCCTACTGTTCTGACTTTCAGTGAACCAATACTGCGGCCTGTGTATCACCTTCCCATCCACGAAAAGATCGCCTGACGACCACAAGAGGTTGTAGAAGCATAGATGAGTGGTTCATGTCTTACTATAAGAAATAAGTTCAATCAATTGTTGGAAGCAAACTCCAAAATACAAACCTCCATAATCTTTGTTAGGAACATCAAGGTATGAATCTGGGAGAACCCACAGTACTCCAGGCAATTCTGTATCCAAAGCAAAACAACGAACAAAGGGATCTCTCTCATATTAGTTAAATTAACATTCAAGAGAAGGCATAAGTAGGTAGCTATAATACCAGTGGCGTGGGAAATTGACATATCAAAAGCAGCCCTGAGCTAAAACCCAACAATTTCATCTCCTAACACTAGAACCCTAATCGAAGGGGGGGGAAATGCTAGTAGCTAAGAACTAGTACAAATGGACATTTCAGCTTATCTTTTCCCAACCAAAGCCCTGAGCTAAAACCCTGCAACTTCATCTTCCAACACTAGAACCCTAATCCCACAGGGCAAATGCTAGTAGCCAAGTACTAGAACAAATCGACATTTCAGCTTCTTTTCCCAATCAAAGCTCTGAGCTAAAACCCTAAACCCCCTTAGTTAAAAGGGCAAAACTGCAAAAGCGCTACCTTTAGCTTTGTAGGAGAGCTCTTCGGAGATCAGAGCGCCAAATCCAGTGTAAGTCTTGGTAGCAACCGAATAAATCTTCTTCTTCGCCTCTTCCTCACTATAACAACACAAATTAAGATTACAGGGGTTCGAATTGGAGAGAATGTCGGAAAGATTGCAATTCTATCTTCTTTTTTTTTTTTTACCTTCCGACGATGGCGGCGAGGGTATTGACATAGGAATTAATCATCTCTTCCTCGGAAAGTTTTGGGTCGTTGGGAAACTCCATCACGATTAACCAGTGCTCGTAGTCGCATCCGTCGAGCATGATCGTCTCCTTGGGCGGGCGGTTGCTCCAGTTCGGCGACGCGTCGTTCAGCGGCGAGTAACCGGACCGGGAAGTCTTGAATCGGGCGGGGACATTGAACGTCTGCGGCGGCAGCCGCGCCGGAGAGGATTCGTCGAGAAGAGACAAAAAAGCGAAGCGAGAACGGGAAGATAGCGAGGGGGATGAAGTGGATGGAGAAGAAGATGAGAGCGCTCGTGATAGAATCGAAGCCAGGCTCCGACGGGATGCGAGATTCGCCATAGCAGAGATTGTTGTTCGAGGTCGCCGCTTGCCCGCTTGCGGGAGAAGAAAAACCCTCAAGCCAGTGGAGGAGGACTGTATTTTGTGGTCGAATGAGTAATTTTGAGTACAAATTATCAAATGGCCACGAAAATACTGGTAAATAGCTAGCTTACTCATCCAAGTTAAATATTGTATTAATTGCACTATTGCAGTGACCATTTTATCATAAAAATAAGTATTTGACACATATTGCCAGACAAGGAGAAATTGTGTACAGTAGTGTAAAATGCTAGAGGGACTGATCGATTTTCGGTTTGCTGTTGCCTATTGAGAAGAAGCAATTGAAGGAACAACTTGGAGACCATTGAAGAAGCCTTTGATCTGAAAAAGTCCCCGAGGCCTCGCATCCCCATCTCCTGCGGTTGGTCTCAGGTCAATGTCGATTAGGTTAATGTTCTCGCAAGGCTGGTGGGTGCTGCACAACAACGTCACCGGCGGCGTCGGGGCGTCGCCGTTGTAAGTCCCTGTCACGTTCTTCACTTCGATGTCCTTCAGCTTCACGCGCGAAGGCTGTTCGACGAAATGCCCGACTCAGAAAAGACATAACAAAAGAAACGAAGAGTTGAAGTAACCGACTTCTTTACCTTGGTAATGTTGCAGGTTCGTGATGGGCAGTACTCCTGATCGATCATAACGGGGTTGGAGACATTGATCATAGCAATGTTCTCGAAGAGAATCCCCGTGGCACTCCCCGCCGGCGACCCTGGCCATGTCTTGACTCGAATCCCGTTCTGGGTTCCGTTGATTGTGCAGTTCTGGACTGTAATTCCTATCACGTCTTCTTCATCTGGGTACTTCCCTAGGCTTCCTATGCTGTTTGTAGAGTAAGCTAGAATCCCTGAGCATTGACTATGAGGGATGGTGGAAAATAGTTTTTGTTTGAATTGGGGATGAGATTTTACTTGCCTGATTCCGTGGCCAGGGCCACATTGAACATTGGAGACTGAGACATTGACACTCCCAGGTCCGATCGAGACACAATCGTCTCCTACTCCGATGGCTGACGAATCAACTGTTACGTTAACTGAACGACTAATGTGGATTCCATCCGTGTTGGGGCTGTCCCAAGGAGACAAAATGGTAACGTTCTCAACTCTGATATTGTTGCACAAGTAGAAACCCATGTGGAATCCCTTTCCATTTGACAGCGTTATGTTACTGATCGTCCCGTATGATACATTGCTGAACTTCAACGACTGCACCAAAACAATCCAAACATTGTTCAATTTCATTGATTCAGAAAAGACAAGTCCTTTTCAGTCAGTAATGTATGTATTATAGACATGTACTTACAGTCACCATTTCTTTGCACCTTGAGGACTTGGAGCAGCTGACTTGCTTCCATGCCTCTACTGCTCCCCTGCCATCCAAGACCCCATTTTCTCCATCGAGCTCGATTTCAGTCAAGTCCTTGAACTGAATCCAGTCCGTGTTCTTGAATGCAGAGAGGCTGCTTGGAGCTATCAAGCTCCCTCTGATCATTATCTTGGGAGTTCTGCCATTAAAGCAAGGACCTTGGAAGACTAATGCCCCGACGAAATATGTTCCCTCGGGGACATAGAACGTCGGACTCTCACTTCCATTGTGGTTGCAAGCAGCTTCCCATGCTGCCACGAACGCCTGTTGAGGTAACCGAAAAACCAATGAAAAGCTTGGTTGAAGAAATAGAGATAGAGATTCTGAGTGTGGCTTAACATACATTTTGACTTTCAGTCTGTCCATCAGCAACTGCTCCATATTCAGTGACATCGAATAAGGCTCCTTGTGACGATTCGGAGTAAGTTTCAGGAGATTCAGGCGATATCGCAGAGGGAAGAGGAGAAGGAGAAGGAGAAGGGGAAGGGGAGGGAGAAGGAGATGGAAGGGGTGTGGCAACCAGTGCTGCAAATACTGCACCAGATGTTAGTAGGTGAAAAACTGCTGCTGCGAGGTAAAAAGATGTCATCTTTGATGAGGGATTCAGGCGATGAGGGTTTCACGAACCCAACTTACCACCAACTTGATTTATACACTTACTACCTAATTTGAGGGCTATTTTTTTGGTGGGGACGGCAGTTGTCTTGTAAGTTCTCTTAACTGCTTCCAACCTATACATCTTTCTGAAACTCATTTCCTACCTTTATATTCTTTTAAGTTTTTGCTCATTTGCCAAGTGAGTAGATTTGATGAAAACAATAGGGAGTGTAATTTGATACCATTCGAGACACTGTTAAAGCGCATTTCTATAAGGGTCGAATTTGAGTTTCATGCCACTTCAGAAGCTGCTTAAATTCTTTGTTTATATTTGTGCGTTCTGAAAGCATCTGAAGTTTGAATTACCCTGGAAGTTATCAGCACGTTTGTTTTTCTGAAAATCGGGTTTGAATTGGTCATATTAGAATGTTAGTGGGGCTGGAGGGATGTGAAGTGTGAACCAACTGCCACTCTAGACAGTTACTAGGTTGCTTAAGTGTAAGTATATAACCGTTAGAACTTAGAACAGCAGAAGTGAAACGATCCTCGTTACTCTGAAATACCCAGAAAGCTTCATTGTTTGTTTCCCACGACGTAAGATTCAGTCGAATCACCCGGATTAGTCAAGATAAGCTGTCGTACTAGTAGTCAATCGCTCGCAACAGTAGTCCGTTCTTTCGTAACAGTTAATTATGTATAAACTTTTCTTCCTCTGTTTTCACCTCATCTGTTGTTTACACTTTACAGACATTAAATCAAACAAATGTTTGTCTTTCCACAGACTCACCGGCGGCGGAGGTGGAGGAAGGTTAGAAGAGAACAATATTTGGGAAGTGCAGGGGTTATATATGTTAGCAACTCTTGTTTATTTATTTTGAGCATGGGCACGGCGGCGGGAACTGGACGCCCTGGAAGCTCACTTTGGCATTGCTGCAAGTGGTGACGAACGGCTTCTTGCTTTCTCCGCTGTACTTGAGATCGACATTGTCGAACCGAATCCCCTCGCAAGGTACCTTCTCGCTGCAATCAAGCTCGATGGCCACGTTGGAGACCGTCGTCCCCCTTATGTTGTTGAATTGCACGTCGCTGATCCTCACTTGAGATGGCTGCAAGAACAGAATAACAAAGAAAATATGTCAGATTGATCGTCACAATCCAATCCACATTGACTCGATAAACATGGACACAGTAGAACCTAACAAGTATTGCTAGCATAATATATCACGATCCATTTCAAAACGAATTGAGCTTAACTTTTAGTATACACCGATCAGACAAAATGTTACATCCTTATTGAATTGCAAATCTAAATGCACCATGCCTAATGTTTTAGGTGACAATAATGAGGATCAAATGACATAATAAAACACATTAAGTAATGGCCACAAATATGGGTAAGATTGATTGATTAAATCTAATAGTTAAGTTTTAAAATAGTCTAGGACAACTTTAGCTATGAACAAATGGGTGAGAATTGACATCTTCAACTAAACAAATCAAGGTGATTACTTAAGAGCTAGATAGCATTACCCCTCCGGATTTGGGACCATAGTGTTGATCAATGATAATGGGGTGCTTAACATCCTCCATAACAATGTCTTCAAAAACCATCCTGGAGGCCTGGCTAGGAGGCGACCCGGCATAGGTCTTGATCCTTATCCCATTATCAGTGTTCTTCAATGTGCAGTTATTGACTGTGATTCCTCTGACGTCCTTCTCGTCGGGGTACTTCCCCAGGCTCCCGACGCTGATGCCATGCCCCGGCCCGCAGGTGACCTTCTTGATGGCAACTTCCGTGCTCCCCTGAATCGCAGCGACGCAGTCGTCCCCTGTCTCGATGATGCTCCTCGTCACCTTCACCAGATTGGACTGGCTGATGTGGATCCCATCCGTATTCGGACTATCCGCGGGGGCGATGAGGTGCAGATTCTTCGCCCTAACGTTGTCTGACAGGACGATTCCGATGTGGAATCCCATCGGGTTCATCGACGTTAACTGCCTCACGATCGTGTTCTTCACCCTGTTGAACTTGATGTTCTGTTACATAACAATGCAATCCACATCGATTAGCGTTTCAAAGTTTCGTTATTCTTTCGCGCGCGTCGAAAAAATGAGACCAACAGCAAAACCCGAGCTTACAGCAGGGAAGGGAGAGCAGGTGCCACCGCTCTTGCCGCAGTTGTTGTACGGCCACATATTCTGTCCCTGTCCATCAATGGTGCCTGTGCCACAAACAGTGAGCCCGTCCACATCCTCAAACGACATCCAGAAATCTTCGGCGTAAGCCGAGGGATCGTCGACGGCCTTCATGTTCCCGATGATCTGGAACAGGACCGGACCTTTGCACGGTCCGACGAACACCATCGAGCCGGCCAGGAATTCACCGGGCGGAATCACCACCCTCGATTTCCCCGGTGTATCGCAGGCTGCCCTGAACGTTCTGATCACATTCTGACAAACAACAACAACAAATTCTCACCAAATGTGCCACAGTTTTTTTAAAAATGTCACATTGGGACGGTATTTTTTTTTTTTTTTTTTTTTTGAAAATTTACCAAGGCGGAGTCTTTTTTGCCACCGGGTTTGGCGCCAAACTGGAGGACATTGAAGACCTTCTCGTTGGGGTCATGGTGGCCGGGATGTGGCGGCAGGAGGTGAGCGCTGCAGGAAGAAGAAGCGGCGAGGACGACGGCCGAGACAAGGAGAAGAATGGCGATGGCCGCCGGAGCTTCCGAATTCGCCATTCTATTTCTTTCTATCTATATCCCCCCTATTCCTCCCTAGATAAAGTTCTAATCTTTTTTTCTTCTTAATCTAATTGAGAAACGAAAGAAGAAAAAAGAAAAACGGAAGACTCTGTTTTCCTTTCTTCTTCCCCTGTTTTTTTCCCTCCAAAAAACAGAGCAACCTTTATACAAGAAAAAGCGCCTGCCTAATTTTGGGTCTCTGGGTCTCCTCCCGTTAAATTAGTTTGCTATGTATAGAACAATCAGAGTCGCCATTGGTCTCTGAGGTTAGGCATTTGTTTATTTCCATTTTTCTATTTTACGCCTTCCCCTGTCTAGGAGGAAACGGAATCGCTTCTTTGCGTTTTTTTCTGTATCGTTGGCGGGTATTTCGAATTTTATAATTTGCAGTCCGCCACCAAATTCTGAACCAGAATTTCACCAGAAGTTCTTCTCTGAAACAAATCTGTCTTGTTGGTTCGTTAATTGTCGTTCCGGCTCCGGAAACCTCGGCAATGCTTGGTGCGATGTCTTGTTCTTTTTGGAGATTTTTGGTCAACAACTCAAAAGAACAATGGCGATTCGCGGGAAGAGACATAACACGTGCGTTTGAAGAAATTTCAAATTCGGCGGGGTGATTTTCATTACAAAGAAGAAGGAATTAACTTTTTTTTTTTTTTTTTTTTTTTGCAAACTAAGAAGGAATTAAATTAGCACGAAATTAGTTTTTTTCCGCGGCGGACGGAGGGTGACGGAACCAGGATTTCCGGATGGTCGTTACTGAGAGTGGTTCAGCAGCGGCGGCGGAGGACGGCTTTTTTCGCCGCGAAGAGAAGTAGCAGGCTTTTGGTTCAAGCCCATATGGTAAGGACTGGCCCATTAAGTTGTCTGCACCGCAAGATTTTTTTCATTAGGGAAGAAAATTAATATTGCATCTTAATGAAGGGGGATGAGGATTCAAACCCCTATCTTGAGTTATTAGTTGTTGTTTGACACTATGGGGATTCAAACTCCTCGATCCGTTAATATTTAAGGGTTAGTGTGCCTCTTTGCGCTCTGTTTTGCACCCAAAAAAATGAAGTGGGAATCGGAATTTTAGAGGAAAGTCGTTAGGGTTTGAAAATATCTTACCACTGCTAATAAGTTTACTATTGAAGTATTGCTACAAAGTCACTGGATTACAAACCTGTTGGTGGTTACCGAAGTACTGCTACAAAGCCACTGGATTACAAACCTGTTGATGGTTATCAGTAAACAAATAACCAGTTGTTTGAGGAAAAGTTCAACCCCACGTTTTTCGTTTCCCCTTGATCAAATCAAAGTAAATTAAAATATGAGTCGATTTAGACTACACATACCTTTGTGGTAGACCCATTATTATCAGTTAGACATTAACCACAAATGCATTACTACTATTAAGTCATGAAACAAACAATAGAGTGCGAGTATCGACCATCTGTAAGGCCAGTTGGTTGCATATGATATACGCAACTTTCAGGTACTCACTTTTAGCCTTTAGGGTTGAAAATTTGACTGTCCCATCCCAGAATGGTCAAGATGTATAACTGACCCGTCTCGTCCCTGTCTCCTTCTTGATCGTGTCTGACCCTCAAGGGTTGGGATGGGTCGGGACTGGCCAGGTCAGTGGGTCGACCCTAATCAACACACTACTTTTTTATAAATTATGTTTTTACCCAAAATTATTTTCATTACAATTTAATACCAAAAATTTATTTTTTATACAAATAAGTCCATAAATTTTGATGGTGAGATTACGTTTTGGTAACCAAACTTTTTTATTTTTACAAGTTAGTATCTAAACTTTTAAAACTTTACAAAAAGGTTCAATGAGGTACGAGATATTTGTTGTTGCTAAAGGTCACATGGTCAAAAAGTGACCCGTCCCTAAATTATTCCGATCCTTATAGGATTAACAAATAACCCGTCTCTAATATGACCCTGTAGTCAAACTGACCCGTCCCGACCCTTAGAGACGGGACAGATCAGACGGATCAGCAGGTCTTCTGGATCAAGCTTTGACCCCCTACTCACTTTGATGATAGATAAGAGGACGAGGAAGAAAGATAACAAAAAACGAACACAAACTTAAAAACACCCGTAACATTTGGGGTGATAACTTGACCGGCTTGACGTCTAAGTAGGCCCTGTCAAGTGTCAACTATCTTCAGATTAAAACCTATGTTTATTCTCAGGCCGGGCCCTAATTGTAAAGCCCAATCCAAGGGAACTCCCTCGGTCCCTCCCATCCCGCGCTCCGCGATCGCAAGCCCATCGAACTTCTGCGCCGCCTCCTCGGAATTCATCCCCACCCAGCTCAGCTGTTTCTTCTCCCTCGCCACGGCCGCCGGTTGATCGTCGCTCCGATAGTGCTGCGCCGTCTCCGTAGCCGCCGTCAAGTTCACCGTTCCCACCGTCGACATCCCAGTCCGGTGAGTCTGGTAGCGGGCGGTGTAGTACTTGTTGACGTGGGAGAAGACTTTCCCCGATCTTAGCAAGCTTATTGTCTCCTTGAGGCGCCATGGATTGGAAGACTACTTTCAGTAAGCTGTGTTGTTTTCTTCTTTGGTGCTTTTGTGATAAGCTCTGGATTATATTCTTTTTTTTTTTTTTCAAGTGATAGTATATATATTCAGTTGATGATCAACAGATATGTACGTATAATTGTTTTAACTCAACTTTTTAAACCATCAAATTGGATTAAACTCGATCCTTACTTTTGTGGCTTGTTCAATAGACGAGATGTGCTGAAAACATGATTCAAGCTAAGGCAGGAATTTAAGTTTGTGATTAGAAGGACCGGGTTTTTAATCGCGTATAATGAATTCTCCGAAAATTCAAATCAATCGAAATAAAATTTGAATTAACTTGTTAAAGTTGAATAAAACATAGAGAATACGGTTGAACGTGATATTAAAAAGATATTAAAAGGTTTTGTTAAATTTGTCTACTTGGATAGAATTGTTTCAAATCTCAAAACTCATAATGAAATGAATATTTAAGTTAAAAGATTCAATCGATACTTTGTTAAAATAACCATTTTATTTCATACTACAACATCCCTTCCCTGCGTGGCCTCCAGCCATTGCACTGGCTCGAGATAGGGTGTATAACCATGGGTTATGCATCCATCAATAACCAAATCTGAACCCTTCATTTAGAAAATCCAGATCTAAGGATGGAAAATTAAGGACCATTTTTATGTTTCCTAGCTTTCTTAATCGACTCATATCTTTTTCGTTTTAACTCAGATTTTAATTTTTTTGCACAGATGGAACGAGTTCATCGTGCTCTACCAAATGAGAACAATTTTCAATATTTTTTTTAGAAAAAAAAATTCTGGCCTTCTGTACCAACTGCATACCATATGGTATCTTCTTCGTTTTTAATTCGTTTTTGAAAAAGTTTGCACAGAAGGGACGAGTTCATCATGATCTATTGGATCTACAAAATTCAGGGTGAACAAATTACAGGACCAAAAAATACCACACAATACCATACAATACCACCCTGGTACGGGGTGGTATTGTATGGTATCTTCTTCGTTTTTAATTCGTTTTTGAAAACGTTTGCACAGAAGGGACGAGTTCATCATGATCTATTGGATCTACAAATTTCTGGGTGAACAAATTACAAGACCAAAAAATACCACACAATACCATACAATACCACCCTGGTACTAGGTGGTATTGTGTGGTATACAATGTTAAAAGTCGTAAATGACAATTAATATACTACTACTATCATGTATTCAACCATCCTACAGTCTTGGTTTGTTCATACCACCATGGTACGTTTTTCAAACCATAGGTATGCTTTTATTTCAATACCAGTCAATACAATATGGTATAGACTGGTAAAAAATGGCTTGATTTTTTTTTTCCGAAAAATATATTAAAGTGGATATCATTTTGAAGAGCACATCTAATCTGATCTAACTGTGCAAAAAAAATTAAATTTCGACTTTAAATGAGTGAGAAATCGTCCGTCAAAGATTAAAGAGGGTAAAATTAAAGGCTTTCCAGGAGAGAGGGGATGCTTATGTCATGCTGACGTGGGCTGGTTACTAATGATTACTCACCATAAAGTTACTGACCTGATCCGTTCCCCATTGCACTAGCTTCACCATTATAAGATCAAACTTTCTTTTGCCAACACACTGTCTTGAAATTGTATGAGATTTTATTAGTGATTATTTCCCGTGACTAATATGCTGATATTAATTTATTCTTAATTATATGTAAGGATAGATCAACGACTTGACTGTTCTGACATTTACTCGAATTTAGTTTATTCGATTTTAATTAAGTTAACTTACTTAATTAGGTTCCAATCCAAATTTATATTCCAAATTATGATAAGTGATTTTTTATGTACTTGCGATGAAAAATATCTCCAAGGTTCGACCAATTTTTTTTTTTTTTTAATCTCCAAGGTTTAGGATGCTTGTTGGCCTTATCAAGTTTAATTACAGTTTTGGACATCAAAATATACCTTATAATTTGAGCTTTAATTATAATGCTTTTCGGCTCATGGTGCTTTGCGAAGAATGGGAATTTGTGAAGAATAAGAGCATAACCTCAGAATAGTGTTTGATTTTGAACAATCTTGATTTAGTTCGAGTTCTTGTGCTTCATGGCAAACTCTGACTTTTCCAATCTTGGCGAATAAGGGTTTTTCTAGTGATATTATTATTGGCCTATAGACTAAGACGTTAAAAAAAACACCGCATAAAATTATGGTGTATGGATACATTTTTTTGCACTACATACCAAGCAGTATTAAAGTACCTGCTTAACTAACAAAGACACATTTACAAATTTCTTTCTGAGCACACTAGCTAAATTATAACAGAAGCACACACACCAGCATCAAGAAGAAGAAGAAGAAGAAGAAAAAGCTTACTAACTTAAGACACACTGCTAATCTGATACTTAATTATCTTCTCAGAGCAGTAACACAGCTGACAAATTAAAAAAAAAAAAAAAGCTCAGTCACTCTGCCACAGCTTAGCAGGCTTTTTCTTTTCCCTCCTCACCTGAGCCCACTAAAAGCCCAACTGAGAAGAACGCTTCCTGCTCCTGGCTCCGTGATCCGCAATCACGAGCCCACCAAACTTCTGGGCCGCCTCGTCACACGTCATCACCGGCGGCTGCTGCTCCTCCCAGCTGCTGGCAGCCGGTTGATTAATGCTCCCGCCGTAGTAGTACCGCGTCGCCTCCGTCGCCGCCGGCACCTTTACCGTCACCGTCGCAGTCCGCGGCCCGTAGTAAACGCAGGGCTGCTGCTGCTCCTGGTTTTGGTACTGTGATGCATAATGGTAGGTGCGGCGGTATTGGGCCTGGTGGCGGCTATGGGCTTGGCCGGCGTAAAAGTGTTTGTCGATCAGTGAGAAAGCCTCGTCCCCAATCATCGCAAGCCTGTCTCCTTGAGGTGCCATGGATTTGGGGATTTTTTGCTAGGACTTTTTTTTTTTTAATTCTGTTTTGTTGGTTTGTTGTTGGTTTGTGATAGAAATGGTAACGGTTTGATCTTCTTATATAGGGAGTTAGAGTACCTGTTTATAACTGAAAGCTTCGGCCACATCTGTGTACTAAAGTGATCCAACTTTATCTGATTCTAGGCAGCAACTTTCATGGATGGGAGACTTTTTAGTATATCTAAAGAGTAAAGCTACTTCCTTTTTCAAGAATAAATTCCTGATAATTACACTAATTGTTTGTTAAATGGTTAAACCATTGTAACTTCAAAACCTAACACAGACTACTCGTAACAAAATGAACGTCTCTCGTAAGTCGTAACTCTTTTCAATTTTCATATATGGGTGAATTCCATAACTCTTGTATCTTGACCAATCCTTGTTTCTTTCCGTTGGTTGTTGACTCCAATGTTCGAACCCAAAATGTGGTGGGTGTTCTCATCCCTGCATTACTGCTGGGCCAATTCCTTAGGGATTAGAAATCCTTTTTCCCACCTCCATTTGTGAGTTGTATTTAGTTATTAAGATTAATTTGACTCGTCATTATACAAATTTCAAACTCACATGAAATTTTTGTTGGAGAAGGCGTGTTAGTATGTGGTATAAGTCTATTATTGAACCCCTCACAACAATTCAATTTATTAGATCAATCGGTTCTTGACATCGTGGTAGGGAAATGTTAACATAAATATGAATGGTTTGATATAGTAGTAATGAGATCAAGTTCTTCCAATATGGTGAACTTTGAGGTCTAGGTAAATCAACTAGGGTAACTTTTTTGCCTCTAAACTACTATAACATGAACCAGATATATACTGTACTATATAGGTGACCCTTTATTCTGGTTCTTTCTTTCGATTAGTCTAATTCAAGTATCGGACTTTGGCCAATTGGCATATCAATTCCTGCCTAAAACTCTCTTGCCTTTGGAAAAAAAAAAATCCAGTCACCATGATTTCCACATATCTATAAGGAAACCCCACCTGGGCATTCTCCACTCCCACCTTCCCAAGAATCTTTCTGCAAATTATTGTACTCCCTGGCTGAAAGATCTTCCATTTCTTTGCAAAGTTTCAAGAATCTTGGAAAAGAACCAGATGCCCTTTTATCCATCACTTCTTTGCCTTGATAGCTACTTGGGATTTGGAGATGTATCTGAAGCAGAAGGATATTGTGAGGTGGAACTTGGAAGGTAAGTTGAATTTTTTTTTACAGGGATTCTTTTGACAAAGGGATGCTACAAGATTGTGTTGCCTATATTTTAAGGGCGGTTTTGGAACCATATTCTTTGCTTATCTATATGGGACACCAAGGTATAGCTAGAAGGGCTTGGTAGGGTTGAGATTCTGTTTTCTGTTAGGGTTGATGATATCCTCCCTGCTTGAAACTGAAGGGAAAGGTGGGAGTAGGGGTGTCAGTTCGGGTCGGGTTCGGTTACTCAAACCGAAACCCGAAAACCTAAAACCGAAAATCACTAAAACCGAACCCGAACTTGATAAGGACTTGCGGGTTCCGGTTACCCGAAATCCGAAAAATCTTTATCGGGTTCGGGTTTGGTTAAAGCAAAACCGAAACCCGGAAACCAGAACGCCTAAAAATACGGGTTGAGTTCTATTCATTGGAGGTTTTTAGCCGGAACCCAAAAAACCGATAAGCAAAACCGAACCCAAAATCAAAAACCCGAAACCCAAAGCGAACCCGAACCCAAAAAACCGAAAATTTCGGGTAAACCCAAAAAACCGAACCCGAATGGACACCCCTAGGCGGGAGATACATATCTTCTCTACATATATACAGGTGGCAATTAGGAACTGCGACCACTAATTTACAAATGAAGTTATCGATTGACCACAAACAATTTCAAATTCATATCTTCACTAAAATATTTAATAAATTATTCAAACCGTCTCACAAAAAGAAATCATAATTTTTTTATTTCAAATTAAAAATTATGGAGCCAATCGATAGTGGATAACATAAAATCGACAACAAGATTGGAAAAATGAGAAGAGCAAGCATATATAAAATTAATAATTATGGTTTGATGGTCTTAGTTTATGTTAAAGTATTTTTTTTTCTAAAATTTTTTGGTTAAAATAGTGAACCAGTGGACCAGTTAAACCGTGGTGGTTTATCTGATTTTATGTTGAACCATGAAAAATCGTTTGGCCTATCAATAACCGTCCAGACAATAAACGGACTGCTATCGCAACTGGTTTGACGATTCTGCTGGCCCGTCCGTTGATCCGGTTCGGTTCTTATAGCAATGCTAACTATTGACTTATTCCCATAACACAATTAAAAATATTCATACAATTTACTTGAAGGATTCATAATACATGCAAGATTTGAAAAGAGTTCCTTAAGAGGTTTGCCGTTGTGCCTGGCTTGGCTCTTTCATAGAGCTCTTCTGCTGTTGTCAATTGACTCAGGATTCAGGTTGGACATTCATGGTCTTAGAAAACCCACCACAGCAGCTTCTATATTATTTTCCCACACGATGATTACACAAACACTACAGAACAAAGCTACTCCAAATGATGATTTACCAACAGGAGCATGCATACCAGCAGAAAATTACACAGCTTTCACACAGCATATGAATAACTTAATCATCATACAAAATCCAATACTAGCCACTTGGTTTCCTCCCCTTGGGATAGCTCACAATAGCCTTGCCGCCATAGATCTGTGCTGCAAAATTGCTGTCAATTACCAAAGCAGGAACTTGGTTTCTTTTCCTGGAAGGGAAGTACTTGTCTATATCAGCAAACCCTTCTAACCCAGCTCTTCCAATAACATCATCTTCCCTCGTCCCACCACCGCCTTTTCGGAGCTTCTCCTCCCTTCCATTTCTGCTGAATAACTCTGCAGCCTCATGCTGTGCCATCAGAAATCTCTGTAAGGAGGATTAATTTCTGCCTTGGTTTGATGCTTTCTTGAGAAGGGTCAGTGCTGTTTATATAGAAAAACTGCTGAAATGGCTTAAAGTTCATCATCCATCCATCCATCAATGCCCTCCTTCCCCTGCCTAATCGTTTTGGGGTTAAATCACAATAGGAATAAGTCCTTGTGACAGCAGAGACACGCAGAGAGCAAGATTAGACGCCATTCACCAGCAGCTAGCTTAAAATTGCAGAAAGTATGCTCAAACTGCATAGATTCCTGAAATGAAGGTTGAAACAAGATCACATGCATGATGGGAATTTCAACGTTTTTTCCTCTTCATGTCCTCATTCCAGTCAGGAGTTTCCAAAGGGTTCCAGAGAAGTGAGAAAGCACATTCAATGTCTGCTCAGCTTGGAGGGATGAGTGAATCTAATGCTAAGTTGGTTACTTTCTTTGGTTGATTCAACTTCATCCTTGGGTTCTCAATATTCTGTGGTGGGATGGTATTTAAGGCTTTTTTTTTTGTCAAAGATTCTCTCTACTTATTTCAGCATGAGCATTCCGAGTGACATCACTGGCTATAATGTCATCTCCTCCTCTTTTCAATTAATATTTTTCTTCATCTACTCACCCGTTCAAACAATTTTTAGAACGAAGTTAAAAGAGAGTAACGCCCAACTAAATTGATGTGGTTGAATCACATAGACTTTTAGTTGTTCGTTTATCAAAATCCTGTACATAATTAAAAAAAAATTATAATGGTTTGTTAAACTTATATATGTTCGACCAAAACTAAAAATTTATACAAAATATGATTCAACAACATCAATCTCGTGAATACGCTCCTTATTCAGTTTCCTAAACTAGCCCATTTAAAAAAAAGAAGCAATTTACAATATTGAAGTTTACACAAATCCATTAGTTCATGATTCTAACTATTAGTATTGAATTCTTTTGAAATTCAAATACAAAATTTCTTGATTAAATCATATCAATGCCCTATTTTTGCTTGAGATTGAAGACAAGAGAGACTCCAATCTGGTGTTACCGGGCCAGGTTGTTGACTCTAAACTAGAAAGGGCTGTGCAAGTCCATTGTAATTGGGCCAATTACTCGTTTCCTTTTCCCGGGCTTCCCGTTCAATTATGTAGACCTTGCATACTTAAATGTTTTGAAAGGGCTCAGTTGGACTGTAGTTTTTGGGCCTGACCTGCTTTAAATTTTTGGGAACTGCCCGTCTGCCCGTGGCGGCAAACAATGACCGGATTCGGTACCGGCTACTGTCAGTTTAGGTATATCCGTTTACATCACTGTCTATCCCGTTTACACCCATTGTACCAAGCCCCACGGCAGCCAAGAGCGAGTGACACCCACTCGCCCGCTTCACACGACTGGCTCTCTCGTCAGTAAAGAGTTCGTTCAGCGCGTGAACAGTACGCCTCTCCACATTCACCTGGCGCTGCACAAGATTGGTTTCATCGGCGAAGCCATAAATGGAGTCTGGAGAACACAACTAATCATGAAAATGGTTCAATCGTCAACCATCTAAATCGAACTCTCCTCCATCTTCTCCACTCTTTCCATTTCGATCGGGGGAAAATTTTGTCCGCCATGTCTAGTCGGACATCCGATCTCGTCGGCGAAGTCCAGGCAGGTCATCAGTTCGATCGCGCCGCCTTGTTCCGCTACGCTGCGGCGAACGTCGCCGGTTTCCCCGACTCGCCGCCTTCCACCTTCTCCGTCAAGCAGGTCTCTCTCCCTCTCTCCATCTAATTATATAACACCTCTTCGCTCCGGCTGTTTCCGGCGTATGCTTGCTGAATTTCGAGTGTTTCTGGACTGCTGTTAGTTTGGGCATGGGCAATCCAATCCGACGTTTCTGCTGGAAGCCGGCACCGGAGCCTCGTTGAAACGCTATGTGTTGAGGAAGAAGCCTTCTGGAACTTTGCTGCCGTCTGCTCATGCCGTCGATAGAGAGTACCAGGTCTAATAACTGATATAGTTGTAGCTTGTTTGAAGCTCGATTTGCAGTTTTCTGTCAAATTTCTCAAGATAAGCTAGTGTTTGATACTTCGAATTATTGATTGCCTGGAAGGTTCTTCGAGCTCTGGGGGATAATACGGGAGTTCCTGTACCGAAGGCGTTCTGTTTGTGTATGGACCCGAGTGTGATTGGAACTGCGTTCTACATCATGGAGTATTTGGAAGGCCGCATTTTCATTGACCCTAAGCTTCCGGTGCCACAATCAATCATTCTCTTTCACTTGTTTGATTCGAGTTTCGTTGCATTTGCTTTGAATGTATTGTGATTTTGTGGCGATGGATCATTTGTTTGGTTTAGGGGGTTGCACCTGCCAGCAGGAGGGCAATCTATCGAGCAACTGCTAGAGCATTGGCTGCTATGCATTCTGCGAATGTGGATGCAATCGGTTTAGGGAAATATGGACGCCGGGATAACTACTGTAAAAGACAGGTGAGTGAAGTTACTGGATATGAGATATTTCATATTGGTGACTCTATCCTGCAAGGGTTGTGAAACTACTTGTGTTTCAGGTGGATAGATGGGCTAAACAATACATGGCATCGACTGGTGAAGGGAAGTCTCCAAGATATATCGGGATGTTCGAACTTTCGGATTGGTTGCACAAAAACATTCCTGAGGAAGATTCTTCAGGGACAGCAACAGGACTGGTTCATGGTGACTTCCGTATCGACAACCTTGTGTTTCATCCCTCTGAGGTATTTTGATGCTTCTGTTATGGATCCTAATTAGATGGCAATGGCAATGCCCATTACTGTGATGTTCATCGAATCTTTTATAGGGAGAGATGTTGGCGTCTTACTGTATCTGAAGGCTATCTTTCATGAATCATTGCAGGATCGAGTGATTGGTATTCTGGACTGGGAGTTGTCCACACTTGGGAACCAGATGAGCGATGTTGCTTACTGCTGTATGGTACTGTGCTACTATCTACCCATCTACTAAAAGTAGAGCTGATAAGTTGTTGGTTTATAGAGAATAACGAATTTCATCGTGCTCTTCTCATTTAAGTTGTTTACTTTCGGTTTTCCTGGGCAGGCTCATATTGTAAACATCGACCTTTCTAACGAACAAATTGGTAAAGGATTGGAATACGACCTTCCTGAAGGGATTCCTTCACAAGTAGAATATCTTGCTGAGTACTGTGCTGCATCGGTAAGTCCATCATAACTCCTGCAGCTAATGTCTAAAATAGCCACTATCCTACCAGATTGAGCTAAGTTAATTTATTTGGATAATTGTTTCTCCAAATCTGAAGTATCTGAAATGTAAAGGAAGTATGAATGTCATGTTAAGCCTGTAGCTGGAGGATCTCTCCAAGCGATCATGTATTTTGTTTCTGTTGAGTTTTGCTGTATCATAAAACTATTGAAATGTGGCCATGTAGGGAAGACCATGGCCTGCCAGTAACTGGAAGTTTTATGTCGCCTTCGCCATGTTCCGTGGAGCTTCTATCTATGCCGGTGTCCATAGTCGATGGATAATGGTAATTATGGGAAGAGAGACTTCTGTCTTGTTTCAAGATGGTGTCAATTTGTTATTAAATTGGCAGTTAAGAAGTGATATATTGGTGTCCTGATGATGCAGGGTAATGCTTCTGGGGGTGAGCGTGCTCGCAATGCTGGAAGACTGGCCAATGGTCTTATAGATGCTGCTTTGGAGTTTATATCCAGGAGCTCCGTGCTTCCTGAACGCTCGCCATATGGTATGGTCTGGCTGTTTTGATTGACCTGGAATTTTGAAGTTTCCGTATGCATTTACATGATGTGTTTGCTTCTCTATGATGCAGATCCAGCCGCTCATGATGCTCAAGCCCTTATGTCAGAAAGTGGGAGGTTTGTTCCTTCAAGAAAAGTGCTGGAACTGAGGCAAAAGATAATTAAGTTCATGGAAGAACGCATTTATCCCATGGAAAATGAATTCTATAAACTTGCTCAGTCTCCCTCACGCTGGACAGTCCACCCTGAAGAGGAGAGGTTGAAGGAGCTAGCAAAGAAAGAGGGATTATGGAACTTGTTTATACCTGTAGACCTCTATCCCTTCTTTGCTATTGTTTCATTTTTCTACTCAGTTCTGTTAACTTATATTTTGAAACCCACTGATTCCCCTGTGCTTCTTTTGCAGTTTGATAGTGCTGAAAGAGCAAAGAAGCTAATATTCGATGGGAGCAATACTTTTCCCTCAAGTGATGGTCATCATGATCAATTACTTGGAGCTGGCCTCTCAAATCTTGAATATGGCTACCTGTGTGAGATCATGGGTCGTTCCATATGGGCGCCACAGGTTTTCAATTGTGGTGCCCCTGACACTGGAAATATGGAGGTAAAATTTTCGAACTTTCTAATCCTTTAAAGGCAGAAAATGATTGATTCCCGTGTTTGATATCCATTATCTTCCCATTTTTCTAAGTCAAATGCTTCTTTGCATGTGCTAGTTGCCCTTAAACAGTCTTCTCTGTTACTTATTTGCATCAAACCTTTCTCTAAGGTCTAATTCTACGTTCATAAAACAAAAAAGTCGCTCCCTTTCTTCTTCATCATCATTTTCTCCTCCCTCTCTTCTTTGCTGACAGCTAAAGCAGTCAGTACTGGTTTTGTCTATACTCTATAGTGCTCTTAGTTACTAGCACTTTGGATTCAGAGCCTTAAAACTTCTGTGTTTCTTACAGGTATTGCTGCGGTATGGAAGCAAAGAGCAGCAACTTAAATGGCTTGTCCCATTGCTTTTAGGGAAGATCCGTTCAGGATTCGCAATGACAGAGCCACAAGTTGCATCCTCTGATGCAACCAATATAGAATGCTCCATTAGAAGGTATAGCTTTGTGATGATTACGATTAGAAAGTGGAAATAAGCTAAAATAAGAGATTTTGTGCAATTTGGTTAATAGAGAAGGAGACTCGTACATTATCAATGGGACGAAATGGTGGACGAGCGGAGCTATGGATCCCAGGTGTAAAGTTCTCATCGTCATGGTTAGTCGTGTCGATCATCATAATACTCAATTAAGCATTTCCTTCAATGCTCGTAACTAACACAATCTGTGCGACCATGTGCAGGGTAAAACAGACTTTGGCGCAGCCATTCATAAACAGCAGTCCATGATATTGGTAGACATGCATACTCCAGGCGTACAAGTGAAGAGACCGCTCGTGGTGTTCGGCTTCGATGATGCACCTCATGGACACGCTGAAATCACATTCGAGAATGTGAGAGTCCCCGCAGAAAACATCCTACTGGGAGAAGGACGTGGGTTCGAGATTGCTCAGGTAAGTTCTCTTGTTCCTTCAAAGCATAAAAGGAAAGGAAGATCTGAACTTGCTGCTTCACTTCGCCATGTTAGATGATAACGAGCACCTTAAACGAACTAACATAAGAGTTAGGGCCCCAAAGCTTAATTATTTGATTGACCTAACATTCCATAATATCCCTGAGTAAACACAGAGCTTCTTTATTGCAGGGGAGGCTCGGTCCAGGAAGGCTGCATCACTGCATGAGATTGATAGGGGCTGCCGAGCGCGGAATGCAGCTGATGGTCCAGAGAGCTCTGGCCCGAAAAGCGTTCGGGAAGCTCATTGCTCAGCATGGTTCATTCCAAGCAGACGCTGCACATGTATGCCAGAAAAACTTCTAAAATTGTTACTACAATCTTCATCTCATCTCTCTGCCTTTCAGACTCTTTCTGCTAAGGTCTTAATTAGAGATATTGAATGTTCCAACTGACGTAATACTATGTAGTGCCGGATCGAGCTGGAGAAAACCAGACTGTTGGTCTTGGAGGCAGCTGACCAGCTTGATCGCTTGGGGAACAAGAAAGCTCGAGGGACAATCGCCATGGCTAAGGTAAAGAAAGCTCTTTTTGACTTTGTTTTGATTCTGACAAATCATCATTTTTTCTGGTTTTGATTTGACGAACTATCATGTAATTGTGTGGTAAATTGGTAAATGGTAATAGGTGGCAGCTCCCAATATGGCGCTGGTGGTACTGGACCGGGCGATGCAAGTGCATGGCGGGATGGGCCTATCATCGGACACGGTTCTGGCGCATCTTTGGGCCACAGCCCGGACGTTGAGAATTGCTGATGGGCCGGATGAAGTGCACTTGGGCACCATCGCCAAGTTGGAATTACGGAGAGCTAAGCTTTGAGAGATCGTATTGAAATTTGGACCACTTGATTAATAATAATCATCACAATAATTTATAATTATTATAGTAAGAGATTAAAGCCATTGTTACTTTTGGTCCCCTCTCCTTCGATTTCAATAAAGCGACATACTGAACTAATAGATACTGTAGATAGTGTGTGGTAATGTTGTTGTACTTGTACCTTCAGCAAAAGAGTAATAATAATCTGTTTTAGAGCAATCTCTTGCTACCTAAGATTTAATAAATTCCACAAATTTCCATTTCATCATTATCATCAAAAATAAAATTTTAAGTTCTTCTAAGCTAAAAATAATAAAGAGATATATAATCATCACAGACACTCCAATCTACAACCTGCAGACCCAAATTAATATAATTTTGAGTGTTTAACCAATGAGATAAATTCTATCTGATGTTATGAACCACAACAAGATTACTACTCATTTCATAAAACAGTTTAACACCTGACCTTTAAATGTGATCTTTTACTTTACCGGTTAACCCTCTACTCAATCATAATAACATTTGTCAAAATTGGACATAAATTAAAGCAACGAAAATAAATATTATATTTTGTATCTATCATATAAAATTATGAATAAATAAAAATAACTTATGTTTAAGTTTTTTTTATGATATGCTCAATAGAAATTAAAAATGTTTGAACAAAACCATAAATGAAAAATAAAATTGAAATTCAATTACTATCCAAATTCCAACACTTGGTATGTTCATTTAAGGTTGAAAAATATGATAAATCAAAGTACAACCTTTTTTTTGTTATATCACACCGACAATGTAGTATTTTTCAGTACTACTATAAATATGTTTAATAATGCACTCATATATAGTTATATACTAAAGATAACAATTTTTTTATGTGTGTACTGCATTAGTTATTAATAATGTTATGAATTCAAAATGCTAACATGCTAAGTAAAATATATTATCACAATCACGTAACATGTTCCTACACCATAAATTATTAAAATATACATACTTAGTTCACTCATATGCCACCATAATGTACGGTAATTCCTACACCATAACATAACTAAAATATATCGACAGAGAAATTTTACAATGCTATATAGTATTGGTGCTATAGGTTTTTACCTTTATGGTACAACTTAAAATTGTACATTTATGTTATGGTACAACTTCAGATTGTACCTATACTTTTTGTACAAATTCTATTATGGTACAACTTGAACTTGTACCTTTATGTGATGGTACAACTTCAAGTTGTAAAGTTGTACCATAACATAATGGTACAAATTGTTTTATGGTACAACCTAAACTTACACATTTAATGTTATGGTACAACTTTAAGTTGTACATTAAAGCACCAATACTATATAGCATAGTAGAAGTGCTCATATCGACATACTATTTTTTTAAAAACATATCATTGCAAATGTCATTTTTTAGAATATACATGTTTGATTTTTTACCTAAAAAAAATATGGAAACCAAGTTCAAATGAATAAGACATAGTACGTTAAAATTAATGTATGAATGGTTATGCATTTGTATTTAATTTTAAGGTTATGCACATAAAGTTCTAGACAAGTTTCACAACCATTACCTTTTGTTTTTTAAAAAGGTAATGTCTATTTTTTATTCAAATCTTTTTTAGATTCTTTCATATTATCCAAACTTATCGAAATACTAAAAATTAGCCAAATGTTAACTTCCAGTTAGCAATTTTGCTAGTAATATTGACTTGGCAACATGATACTAACTTGCAAAAGACACATGAAGGTCAACATCTTAAAATTTCAGTATTTTAATTAATAAAGAGTTACAAAATTATTAACGATAAACTTAAAAATGGCTAATATTTTGATGCATTATGAAAGATTTGGTTAATTAATAGCATTTTAATAGGTTTGGATAATATAAAAGAATCTGAAAAAGATTTGGATAAAAAATAGACATTACCCTTTAAAAAATAATGAACTGGGCTTCGGTTACCTTTTTTCATTTCAACTTTTCTCAAGTCAAAACTGTTCGCAAAATTTCTTTTTATTTTCTGCCTTTTTTCTCCATAATTATAACTCCTTTTTGCATACAAATGTATGTCAGCTCTGCTCAAGCTCGGTCATTCGTAAATACGTTAAAATTAAATCATCCTTCGCATTTTGCTTCTACTTTATTGTTGGTCAGTGAATGATTAGAACAACTTAGGTCACCACCTTTTCATATACATATGCATTTACACTTCACTCAAGTCGCTTCCGTTCCTACATTCATTCTCCATATATACCTATCTGGGTTGGGTTTTCATGATTTAGCACATAATCAATTCTTAATAGCAATGTTTCATTTTCCAGTAAAAATCCATCAATTACTCCAATCTAGCCATCAATTAATTTGAGTTTTTCGTTAGAATGTCTAAGAGGCAATTCAATTGCATGATGCAAAGATAAACCTTAATTATTATTTTTTTTTGTAATTATAATGATGACGGGGAGTAAACTATAAGGAGGAACATTATAGCTGTCGTTACTGCTATTTTCTTTAGTTCTTTTATTATTGAATTAATATTGTTTGGTATTGTAAAATGGAGAAGGAGTGCCTCTATGGCTAAGTTTTGTTATATCAGTGTCAAAAGGTTAAAGGTAATTCACAATTATATATGTATAATTGGTAGTATAAGACTACAACTACACCTTAATTACATGCTCATGATATGCAATAATATCTCTCTTTCATTGATCTAACCCATGTTTATTTCTTACGTGCTTATTTATCAACTATGTGAATTTTTCACTCTTGGATCTCATTCAACTACACGTTAGTGTTGTTCGGATGGTATTTAGAAATACAAAGTGCATCATGAAAAAAGAACTATGTACAACAATGGTATCTTTTGACTTAGTTGTATGAGCGGCAAGATAGATCACTATTAAATGATGGACATGGATTATACGTATCGATTATGAACCAATTTACCATCGATTGAGCAGTCAACTACCACTAGAATATTTAAGTACTAAGTTTGTTAAGTTATACATTCACCAAGTGGAGAAATATATTGAATTAAATCCAATTTGATCATTACATAGGATAATTTGATTTATCTGTGTGAATTTGTATCACGAGGCTGAAAGAAATGTTAGACGCTAACAATATTTGGCACAAACATATAGTTGCACGGAAGGCAAAATTAATGAAAAGTTATGGATAACATATGAAGTTAAAAACTGTTGGTCAATCAAAGAGTAAATGATCGTGAATATGATTTTCAAAATGGTTATGAAGTACTGACTCATTGTTTTACATGATCATTGCTTCTAGCCACACTCAAACTAAATGTGGCGACCCTTTTATCAGACAAATTTTGAATTATAAATAACCTTAATAAGTATATACAAAGAGAAATAGTTGTCTACCATTATTGTGAAAATGACAAAAAATAACACATACCGTCCATCGGGCGGGCACAAAACTAGTTATAATAATAAGGGTTAATACCTTATTCTGGCCCGAACTATGATCATATAATCAACTTTGGCCCGTGGTTTCAAAAATTAACATCCTGGCTCGAACTTTGCAGCATACAGACTCATTTGGCCGGGAGCATGATTTGACCGTTTGTTTGGACGGCCAGCACTGTTGAACGTTAGTCAACTGTACAGGTCACCGCCATGTCAGCACCAAAGAAATAAAAAAATCGAATTTCATTTTTCTTTTATGATTTCCTTTACCTAATTAAAAAAATCAAAACAAAATAAAATTATTGTCGGACACCCACCACCTTATCCCCTCGCCACTTTCCTTCTTCTAGCAAAACCAAAAAAATCCCTAACCCTAACCATTATTCTTCTCCAAAGCAGACACCGGACTCCCCTAAGCCGTCAAGCTCCGATGTTCCACAACGAATCAATCCATCTTCGTCATTGACCTTCGCCAACCCTATCCAACGCCCAACCATCATTGTCGTCGTCGCCCTCTCCACAATCGCGGCCGACGACATCTCCATCTGACAAACCCTCACGATGCCGATCAACCTCTCGGGCATCTCCTCTTCCTCCTGTGCCTCCACCAGGAACCCATACCAATCGCCATGCTCGTCACGCACCCCAGCGCCAGATGCAGAATCGCGGTGGTGATTGTCGAGATTGCGATATCAACATCTATCTCCAAATAGTTCGGCCACTTTGGTAATTGCAGGTGAGCGCCTTCCGCAACAGGCACGCGCTGTGATTCCTGACCGTCTTCTTCACCACCCAGGGTCCCTTCACGACGCGATTCACGACCGTCCTTCACCCGCTGGTTCCGCTACTCGTCATCATTGTTGACGAATTTGTGCAACAGGCTCCCCGCTGGTTCCGAGCTTTCCTCAACTAGGTCGGCCTCCCGGCTGTCTCCAGGCGTGATTTCGCCGGCGGGAAGCTGGATATCAAGTACGAGGAAGCTAGAGCAGAGTCCGAGGCAAGGATTCGAGAAGCCATGTTCTTCCAGATTGCCTCCGATGGCTGGAAGAAGAAATCGAGCTATAACGCCTCTTCAGTGGACCCCAATGTGGTTAGAGAAATTTGGGGGAAGTAAGGAATCAAAATGATTTTGAGAGAGGTGATGATTTTTGTGGAGGAAGAAAGAAGAACAGAGGTAGAAGGTTTTCTGGAGGAAGAAAGGGGAACAGAGGAGTGAATTGACAGATGAGTGAGGCAGATGAGAGATGGCGATTTCTTTCATTAATAACAGTTTTCTTTTATTATTATTAATGGTAGTTGATAGTTTGAGTTTTATTAATCTATTTAATATTTTATTAATTTTTAATGTCTACATGGCATCCACATAAGCACAACATGCTTATTCACTAACGGTCAACACTATTGATCGTCTAATTTGACGGAAATTGACGAATCGGGCCAATTGAGTCTATATGTTGTATAGTTCGGGGCATGATGTTAATTTATGAAACCACGGACCAAAGTTGATTATATGGTCATAGTTCAGGCTAAAATAAGGTATTAACCCTAATAATAATTCATCATGATCAAAATCAAGTTTTTATCTATTTTGCATTCACTCACTATTGAGTCTTTGTAAGAAAGATTACTCTATCTTATCTCTTCTTCAACAACTTCCTCCGTATCCATGAACTACTACCTTGTACTACAAGCTGTAAGTTCGGAGAAAGAAACATCTCTCATTCAAACATGGAGGGGAATAACTCCCATAACATCCTCTCGAAGAATCGAAACCACACCTGGAGTGTTAGAGTCTGAAACCACAACCAACAAACCATACACTAAAAATTTGATGACTAGTAACGAGATAAGCTTATATCCAATAAAAACAAAAAACATACAAATATCTCGACCACTTTTCGAACTTGAACCAAACCTAACAGTGGGAAGCTGGATTTGTGAAGTCATGGAGAAGGTAGATGATGAGACTCTGTGTCACACCCTATCATGTTCAAGTTTCCTAACGCATAGGTTTCATGTGAAGGAGTTTAAATATGTATGATATGATAAATTGATCGTGGTGTTCATTAGGGTTATGGCATCTAAAACTATAAATCGCTAAACAAAATTACCACTTGTACAAAAGAAATGGAGTAGTTGCTACATTGTTACTCATATATATGTTTCCCACTGACTGAGTCAAAAGAGGAGGAAAGAGTTACTTAGATGCAACGATCAATTAGAATATTAGAGAATTTCATAGGGGTGATTATACATTTAATTAAGTTGTTTGCTGGGGAGCGTTTACATATAGGAGTCGAGGGATGCATGCGTATGTGTTTAAATATGCTTGTAGCGAGCTGCATGTATAATTTTTTTTGCATTAGCGGGAGGCCGAGGCCGAGAAAAAGACACAATTGCATGGGGGAGGGAACAGAGAGGGGAGAGTGAGCTGTCACCCGACGAGGGTGGGTAACTCCCATAACATCCTCTCGAAGAATCGAAACCACACCTGGAGGTGGATGCCCCAACTCATGCATACCATAGGGGTAGACGAGACTGTGCTTCGAGAGCCAGTCCGCGACTCTATTCCCTTCTCGATATGTATGAGTGAGGCGAACCAACCAATCACGACTAAGTTTCCTGCGAATAGCTGCAAGGAGAGTGGCATAGGGGTGTACCGGATCATGTCTTGAATTGATGAGTTGCAAAGCCAGCTGAGAGTCCGTCTGAACCTGACGAGCACGACAATCATGGTTCCAAGCCAAATCCAGTCCATACATGAGAGCCCAAAGCTCGGCGTGAGCGGCGGTGGTGCTCCCTATATTTGCCATGTAACCTGCAATCCATTGCCCCGTCGAATCCCGGAGGACACCGCCCGTACCTGTTGGACCCGGGTTACCATTCGAGGCGCCGTCGATATTGAGGGCGCACCATCCTGCAGCTGGGGGGGTCCAACCTATATCAGCCATAACCCTGTTCGCCGGGCGAGTTCTGTTGCTGGGGAGGGAGGGAGGAGCTATCCACGCAGCATGCCAAAGCTTAATCCTGGAAATGATGGAGTGCTCGAGGGAAGGGGGAGAGAGAGCAGCACCCGGTCCCTGTAAACAGTAGGTACACCGGTTCTTCCAAAGAAGCCAGATGGAGGTGCCGAAGAAAGGTGCCCACGTTACCCCAGACTCCAAAGAATCAGTACTCAGCAGATTGGAGCGGAGCCAATCTTCCTGGCCGGTGCTGAAGAAAGAGAATTGCCTGGCGCTAGGGACGTGGCGAGTCCAGAAAAAAAGAGCTGGTGGGCAATCTCTCAGTAGATGCAGAATAGACTCCGGAACCCCTGTACAACGCTGGCAAGACGGGTTCGGCGCGATCTTTCTGGAGAAGCGGAAGGAGTTCGTGGGGATCCTCCCCCGGCAGACGAGCCAAACGAAATTTCGCACCCTTTCCGGAACAGGGAGCTGCCAGATTGTCTTCCACAGCTTTTCATTCGGGTCCGCTTGGTTCTGATTGATGAGCGTGTAGGCTGATTTCATAGAGAATCTCCCGTCGGGGGCGGCGTGCCAAAAGAGCGTATCCTCCTCCGTAGAGAGGGTAGCTAAACAGGCAAAAGCTCGCTAAACAGGTCCGTGCGCCAGCTACCATCGCTCGTCACGAAATCCGCTACCACCGCGTGCTCCAACTCCTCCGGGATCTGGTTGAGAGCTACGTCCTTCAATGCAACTTGCAAAACCCACGGATCAACCAGAACTTAGTGCTTTTCCCATTCTTAATGTTCCAAGCGCTGCCCTTCTTCAAGAGATCAGCAGCTTTCGTAAAACTGCTCCAGGTAAAGGAACTTCCCTGAGTGTGACGCAGGATATCCAAGTTCTCACGTTGTCTTCCATACTTGGATCGCATGACCTGGCCCCACAGGTTATCTTTTTCGTTGATGAGACGCCATCCACCCTTCGCCAGCATTGCCAGGTTAGCTTGTCTAGTCGGGCGGAGACCAACGCCCCCTTGGCACTTTGGTTGGGTCATCTTATCCCAGGCTACCAAGTGGAGCTTGGTCTTATTCTCCTCATCGCCCCAAACAAAATCCCTGTTCACTTTATCAATACTATTGCACACACCAACCGGGATTAGCTCAGTATTCATATTATAAACAGGAATAGAAGCAGAAACCGACTTAGCCACAGTCAACCGGGCTGCGAAAGACAAGCGCTTAGCTTTCCAAGGCGCCAGCTTCTTCTGGATGCGAAGGAGGAGAGAGTGGTATCTATCTTTAGTAACACGCCCATGGATCGCAGGGATACCTAAGTACTTTCCCAGGTTGGCCTTCAGAGGGATGCCCGCTAGCTGGCTCAGACGGTTCGCTTTTGGTTGACCAATGTTGGGGGAGACATACAGGATGGACTTCTGGTAATTCACTATCTGCCCCGAGCTAGCACAAAAGTCATCCAAGCAGCGCTTAATAACTCGGACCTGTCTCGTCTCTGCCTCTGCAAAAAGGAGAAGATCATCTGCAAAAAAGAGGTGAGTGAGAGGAGGACCGTTGCTTGACAGTCTAATAGCTTTCCAATGACCGTTTGAAACCAACTCATCAATCAGGTGAGAGAGACGTTCCATGCAGAGAACAAAAAGGTAGGGTGATAGAGGGTCTCCCTGGCGGACTCCCCGAGTTGGGGCAATTGGCTGCGAGAGCTGGCCATTCCACAAGACGCGCATCCGGTTCTGCTCAACACAGTGCATAATTCCGCTAATCCAGGTGCTGGGGAGGCCCACTTCTTTCAGAGTATCCCGGAGAAAGTCCCAGCTGCATGTATAATTAGTGTAGGGAGAGGTGTAATATATATAAATTAAAGATGGCTGGAAGTAATGAGAGTAAAAGTCACCCTTGAATTTGAGAAAGACATGCACGTGAATGGGGGAGTTGGGAAATCTTAAGTAATTTAATCACATATTATTTACACTTAAGAATGGGTGGATTAGGTGTGCATGATTTCCTAGACATATATAAATGAACGATTCCAAGTTCTAAAGGGGTTACAGTGGTTTGATTAGTATTAAATGAATTTAATTTCTATGAATATAAACACAGGGAAGGCTAGCATGGGTAGTTGATTTGGGAGGTTGAGTGTGAAAATTTTTCGATGTTTTGATTCAGCTGTTGGTTACTTATTTGCTAGCGTATTAAATATGTCTATATGACTTAAAAGGAAAGGAGCAAGCAGGCGAATACTCACGAGGCAGGGAAATTGGAGTGTAACATCAAAAGTAGTGAGTAAATCTTAACCTAATGTTTATATTAATACGAATATGTTATTTGGGTCATGAAGCGGCCCGAGTACAACGTGTATGATGGCTTGGGAAGACTTAAACCAATTATGATTGAATGTCAAGTGTGGCGTGGTTATATGATTGCATGAGATGAAACGATTGAATGATACTATGATTGGATGAGGTTACTGTATTGTGGTAATTATATGATGATGTGATGATATGATAACATGATTGTATGATGATATGACCAGAAGGTCATAATACATGTTATGTGAGTGCTAAACGGTATTATGTGATGAGTATATATGAAATGTGAAATGGTATTCAAGGCAGTCAAGTTAAAAGAATGGCGAGAAAGGTTGCCTATTGTGAATGATACGAGATGAGATAGAATGACATGTGAACCATACAAATCAATGTGACATGAAATGGCCTTACGGCACACAAGTGATACATTGAGTTGTGACTAACTATAAGCCTTTGCATGATCACCTAAAGCAAACGTAATGGCGCCCTGTCATGCACTCATTACAAGTGAAAAGAGGCTTCAAGCCTAATAGATAAAAGAGTTATACGAGAACTCCTTTTAAGGAGTAATGCCAGGCCTGGCTACGAGCTTATGAGATATGGCACGTTGTGCCCCACGAGTTAACGAGTTCATGAGATAAGGCACTTTGTGCCCACGAGTTTATGAGATTTGGCACTTTGTGCCTATGAGATTACGAGATCACGAGATTACGAGTTCACGAGATCCCGTGCATGACTTGGCAAATTAAAGAATAAAAGCAACTGAATCCAGCTAACTATATGTATGATTGGATGCTGATTCATTGTTGATTTTGGATGCAACATGAGTATGTGAATGCCAAGCTTGATATTTGTCATCTTTGTGTGATATATGACTGAGATGGAAATATTAGTATTTTCCATATTTGAGGTATAGAATGTGAACCCTTACGCGTGGTATTTAAAGGTTTATGTGTTTTATATGTCATATTAAGTGATATGAGGTACATGTTATGATGATCTCCTATGATGAGTAGTACAACGATTGATAAGGAAACTGTGGCATAAGTAGTAATGATTTACTAATTTCATTATGGTAGTGCCATGAGATATCGACGTGTATAATGTTATGAATCTACAATACATCCCTTGATGTGGTACGTGTTGATGGAACTGTAAAATATGAAGGAAAATTTCGTATGGGATATAAGAATAATACAAACCATATGCAACACTAGGTATGGTAAAGTAAGGAGAAACCTTAAACAAAGGATATATGAAATATAGGAATGACCCATAACGTATACGTGATAGATCGAGTGAACAAGGGAAGAAATTTCGTATGAATCTACATAGGTGAGATCTAAGTAAAGTTATTAAGTGATTAGATATACATTGAGTATAATGGACGGAAGACACTCCGAGTCACAACATAGCCTGATATCATTTTCATATTAATATTTATATTAGGTTATTATTTACTCATTGAGTGACGTCTCACCCCGTCAATATTTTTCCCAGATGAATAGCTAAAATGGGTGAAGACCATGGGACGAAGCAAGTTAGAGTTTGACATGATGAGGTGGGCGGAAGGCTGAACTCTCCACATTGTTTTACATGAGCTATTTGAAGATGGGGTTTTCCCAGAAAAAAAATGAACCAAGAGTTTGAGGATTTTTGTAAATAGTTGATGATGTGCATACATTTTTATGGGTTTTAAATGGAGAAGAGCAGTTGGGTGTTACACTCTGGGTCAATTTGGGATGGTGCTTTGGGCAATTTGGAATGAACGCAATAACCAAATGTTCAACAACAAGAAAGCAGAGGAATGAGAGATCGTACACAAAGCGATTGATTACTAGGAGAAATTCAATTCACTTCATATGAAGGAAAGCTCAAGTACAGAAGACGTAGCTCGTACCTGGGAACCTCCGTCGACGGGATGGATAAAAGTTAATGTGGATGCTGCTGTGCTCGTGGGGAAGGAATTAGTTTCGACGCAATGGCACGCGATGAGAAGGGTAAGTTCCTGATGGCGACACTCAGAGATTGCCTTCGGACTCAAAGCAATTGCCTTCAGACTCCAACAGGCAGAGATGAATGGCTTTGATTCAGTGGTGGTGGAGACCGATTGACAAACCACATTTCTCGCATTGCAAAAGGCAGAGCAAACGAGAACGAAGACAAGGGCTCTCGTAGTCTCGTTCGGGAAGTGAGGGAAGAGGCGGAAATGATAGGCTCAATACGCTGGCGTTTTGCCAAGCGAGAGTGCAATATGACGGCCCATATGATGGCCCATATTAAATGTAACTGGAAGGCCAGGACCGTTGGGTCACGAGCAATGCAATCAAAATCGCGATTTAAAACTTAAAAACTTACGCTTTTACACTTTTAAGTCACCAAAGCGCTTCTAAGTAAAATCACACTTTTCCCTTATAAATGTAGTCAAAATCTACGCTTTAAAACTTAAAATCTTACGATTTTACGTTTCTATGTAGAATCACGCTTTTGACTGCATTGGTCACGAGACCACCACCAGTCTTCCTCCTTCCTCCTTCCCATTTTGGACAAGTGATTATCTAAGACTACCCACAACAAACATGGAAAATAAGGGAAAAAAGGGGGAAATCCCCATAATAGGATAGCATAAAAAGGAAAAAAAAGGAAGCGAGGAAGGGAAAACCCTTCGGTAGAAGTTAAAAGAAGGAGGGGAAGGGGGACCACACGGGTGGGAGGAGGAGGGGAGGCCGGAGGGGGGACCATTTTTGTTTTTTGTTTTTTTTTAAGAAAATATTTGATTGGTTTTCTGATTGACTTTTTAGGAGTTTATCAATCGTACCAATGACGCCTTGAAAACTCGATGGCAGTTTATCAACCATTCATGTCAGAAGTGGTATGCGACATTGAGGGAAGCAAATGCTAATCCACCGAGCGGAACTAACCAAGTAAATGTGGTTAGTCAACTTCTACAACATCTTTATTTAATTAATGGTATAATTTTAGTTTTTAAATTTTTAATCAAGTATATTTTTTTCTAATTAATTGTTTACACCCGTCACGCGAAAGCTATTTCAAGGAGGACACGAAGAAAGACTGGAAGTTGGAAGAATGTTGGCAACTAATCCAAGAGTGACCAAGATTTATGCAACAATTTTATGCTCCTGTTGCACTCATTCCCCCAATGGATGGATCTCAATCGGCTATGTCAAGTATGAACCTGATAGCCCCGACCTTCATGCAGTTGCTGCTCCAAGAGTGCTCAACCGTCCCGAAGGTCGAGATCAGCAGAAGAGGAAGAAAAAGGAGGTGGTGAACCTGCCGGCATGAAAGATTTTCAAAAGAGTTTGACGGACATGGCAGCAAGTTCGGCAACACATGCAAGATTGGCTGTCGGTAGGGAGGAAAGGGAGAAGGCAAAGGAAGCAAGGGGAAAAAGTAGGTACGAGCGAGAAATCATGCTTCATGATCTTTCTCAATTGGATCCTCAACAAAGATCACGGTACCAAATTCAAAGAGATCAAATTATGTTTGCGTACCAATCATCACCATATTATACACCATCTGGAGGATCTTCCAGTAGCCCATTTGATGACACTTACACCCCCGACCAGTAGTCTTTAAAGAGTTGTTTGATTTATTTTTTATGTATGTTTTATTTTTAGTGTGTTTGATTTAAGTACTTTTAATTTATCTTTGATGTATCCTTTATTTTTAGTGTGTTTACTTTAAGTATTTCTCAATGTATCATTGTTACTTTTTGTTCAATATTCAACAACTTTCTTTATTAAAGTGCACCACTTAAAATGGAGAATACATTGATAACAAAATGGAAAATACATTGATAACAAAAGCACAACAATTTGACATAAAGTAAACTCAACACAGGATACAAATTCAAGTAATTAAAGTGCACAACTTAAAATTAGAGTCACAGCATATTTCTACTCCCCTCCTCCTGCTCTTGTCCACAAATGATCAACCAAATCCGCTTTCAGTGCATGATGCCCTTCACAATTACGAATCCTATTATGCCTTATCATGTATTCCATGAGAGTTGGAGTGTCATGATCCGGTGGATCTAATGTGACATCTGGATTAGTCTCATATTCAAAGGCCTCCACATGTTCTTCTCCAAACTCATTTCATTGGTCTTCAACTATCATATTGTGTAGAATAACGCAAGTTAGCATAATCTATCCCAATGTTTGTACATCCCAATATCGCCCCGGAGCTCTAACAATGGTCCATCTTTCTTATAAAATGCCGAAAGCTCTCTCAACATCCTTGCGGCATGACTCTTGCCATTTGGCAAACAATTTCTTCTTCTGGTTACTAGGGTTGCTAATGGTTTTCACAAATGTAGACCGTTCAGGGTAAATCCCGTCAACCAAGTAGTAACATTGATTGTAAATGTTACCATTTACCATATAGCTGACTTTTGGAAGATTTCCTCTGACTGCTTCATCGAATAATGGGGAGACTCCAAGAGTGCTTATGTCATTGTTTGATTCGGGACTTCCGAAGAAGGCATGCCAAATCCATGTGTCATATGATGCTACAGCTTCCAGGACAATTGTTGGCTTCCCCTTGTATCTAGTAAATTGTCCTTGCCACGCCATTGGACAATTTTCCCACTCCCAATGCATGTAGTCGATTGTACCGATCATACCCGGAAAGCCACGCCAATTGCTATGATGAAGAAGGCGGCGAAGATCCTCCACATTAGGTGATCGTAAGTACTCAGAACCATAGATGGAGATAATGACATTACAAAATTTACGCATACACTGCAGTACAGTGGTCTCACAACTTTACGTGAATGTTAACGATGTCGAGATGAGGATGCTTGCTCTTGGAACATGAAGGCTCCTGCCATCGCCATCAGCTGTTGACGATCACGGTCAAGCTGACACTCATACTCCCATTGCCTAGCATCATCTTCCTGCTGCCTCATCAGCTTCTCTATTAGGGGAACTCATGATGAAAAAGAAGTTGTGTGTGTTGAGAGAATGAAGAAGGTTGAATGGTAGGATGAATGGATTGAAAAAGTTTAGCCTTCATTTGTAGAAACACGAAAAGATTCTCCAGCAATAATATGACAACTGCATGAACAGTTGATTTTACCACTCAATATGATTAAAGCTGGATACAAAATTGATGGCACCACTCAATATGAAAAAAGCTGGATGAACCGTTGATGACACATGTCATTCTAATTAAAGCTTGTCAAAAAGTTGATGGAACCACTCATTTTCTGAAACATGTGATGAGTCATAGTCTCTACAAATTATTGCGATTTCTCATTGATGACGTCATATTTAATTAGCGATAAAAAAATTATGTCCAAATTAAAAATATATATCGAAATGTTCATCTTAATTAATATTACCTATATAAAAATAATGAATAAATTATCAAAATAAAGTTACCATTTCAACTCTAGATTGATTTTGCAAAAAACAAACCTCCTCAATATCTTTTTTGCTACCACCTACTGTGGTCAAATCCTTCCTCCATCCTTTTTTCTCATTTTTCCCATCCATTTTCCCCTTTTTACGTAAAAAATTAAAATTGAAAACAAAAACATACAAATATCTCGATATCTTAGCCGTTTAGGAATTCAAATTTTAGTCAATTATTTTGCAAAAATAAAAAGAGCAATTTCCCACAAAATAGGAGGGAAATGAGAAGCAACTCAATTTTCGGTGCAAATCATTTTTGAAACATGAAAACAACCCCAAATATTTTAGAAATATTGACTAAACTCCCTTTCTCTCCCGTCCTCCACCTTCTCCTTTTCCCCTCTTCTCCCCCACTATATAAAATAAAATCCCATCTCCATGCGAAAAACAGAAAAAAAAAAGTAAATAACAAGAACATTCATTCTTAGCCAAAAATAGAAGCCAGAGCCGCCGAGGGGCCAATTTCCCGCCGGGGAATAAAAAGCAACAAGAAAAAAAAGCCGCCCCTACCGAGCTCTGCAAATAAAACCCTAAATTACTTCACAAATTATTAAAAAAAATCAAATTTAATACAATTATTCCCACATTTCCCCCCGCTCCACCAAGATGGGCGATGACGGCGACCAGAAGAAAAAGATCGCCATCATGGGCGTCTCCTCCATCCTCCTAGTCGCCATGGTCGTCGCCGTAGCCGTCGGCGTGAACAACAACCCTAAAGACAGCGACGGCGGAGGCGACAAGGGCACGTCGACAAGCACCCAAATCTCCACCACCTCGAAAGAAGTGAAAGCCCTGTGCGCCCCGTCCGTCTACAAGGAAACATGCGAGACCAGCCTCTCGAAATCCGTGGAGAACGCCACGGACCCCAAAAAAATCGTGCAGGTCGGGTTCGAGATCGCGGTCGAATCCCTGAAAGACGCAATGAAGAACTCGACCACAATCAAAGAGGTCGCGCAGGACCCCAAGGCGAAGCGCGCCGTGGAGATCTGCGAAGATCTCATCGAGACCGCCATCGATGACCTGAGGCGGTCTCTGGATGAGCTGGACAATTTTGACCCCAGCAAGGCCTACATCCACATCGACAACCTCAAGACGTGGCTCGAGGCCACCATCACATATCAGGAGGTATGTAGGGACGAGTTCGGGAACACCACGGGGACGTCAGGGGAGAAGATGAGGGAGATCCTCAAGCTCTCTGGAGAGCTCACAAGCAACGGTCTGGCCATGGTGGAAGGGTTCAGGAAGATCCTGAAGTCGTTAGACTTGAGCACGATCAACAACAACAACCGGAGGCTGTTGGGCGCCGCCGGAACAACAGGTGCAAGCAGCAGCGCAAAAGCACACGGTCGGAGCCAGCTGAATCATCTGGCTCTACCACAGGAAACAGGTAAATTTTGATTAAAAAAAATATAATAAATGCCCATATGTCTACATTAAAACTCACTTATTATTTGGGCAGCATAAGCATTATTATTATTACTAAAAATGCAATTCCCAATTGAAATCATTTACATTAAAAAAAAAAAAGTGACACAATTAATTTGAATTTCGAGCTCCGCCGTTGCAGGAGTGGATTTGGATTTCCCGTCGTGGGTTACACCGACGCAGAGGAGGCTGTTGGTCAGGACGCCGGATACCCTTAAGCCGGATATCGTTGTAGCTCAAGATGGGAGCGGTCAATTTAAGACCGTTGCCCAGGCGGTTCAAAGCATTCAGAAGAACCATAAGGTTCCTCTCATTATGCATATTAAGGCCGGCGTTTATAACGAGCAGGTCACTGTTCCCAGGTGGGCTAATGGGCTTATGATGATCGGTGACGGTCCGACCAAGACTAAGATCACCGGCAGGAGGAATTTTGCGGAAGGGACACGTACTTCGGATACTGCCACAGTTGGTAAGTATTTGTCTTTTTTAACTATTAGGTCTCAATAACTGCATTTGTCGCGCGAGAAGTTCAATTATGAGTCATACATCCTCTCAAATGAAAGATAACTCGTAAAATTGAAGTTTGCACAGTCAACAAAATATCATGTGCTTAACAAGTAGAGTAACCGGGACTCATACATAAGACTTCTAGATCAGAGAACCAATTAATCACAGTAACTCGATTTATCAAAAGAGATTCAATCATTAATCATATACACTTATTAACATAAACATTATCTCACGTATAAGTATCAAACACTTTGACAAATGAATATATCTGAAATAACTTTTTTTTTTGTTATGCAGTAATACTGGCCCCAGGGTTCATAGCAAAAGACATGGGGTTCGAGAACTCGGCTGGAGCCATCGGCCACCAAGCCGTGGCCTACCGCTCCCAATCCGACAACTCCGTCGTCTTCAACTGCCAGTTCGATGGCTACCAGGATACCCTATACCCACAATCCAACCGACAGTTCTTCCGTGATTGTGTCATCTCTGGTACCATCGACTTCATTTTTGGGGTTGCTCGCACCGTCCTCCAGAACTGCACCATGATCGTCAGGAAGCCCTTGGACAACCAACAGTGCATCGTCACCGCGGAAGGGCGGCAGGACCCGAACGGTGACTCGGCCATTGTGATCATGAATAGTCACATCCTGGGCGACCCGGCTTACTTGCCCGTCAAGGACAAGCTCAAGGCGTACCTCGGGCGCCCGTGGAAGGAGTACTCGAGGACTGTGATCATGCACACCGTGATTGACGGCATTATCGCCCCCGAAGGGTGGTTGCCGTGGCAGGGCGACTTGGGGCTCAAGACACTTTGGTATGCGGAGTTTGGGAACACGGGTCCCGGGTCGGTTCAGACGGGTCGGGTCAATTGGCCTGGAATTAAGCACATTGGGCCTGCAGAGGCTGCAAATTTCGCCCCCGGGAAGTTGTACGTGGAAGGCGATGATTGGATTACGGCTACTTCTGTGCCATACACTTCTGGGATGAATAAATAAGTATTTTTTTGCTGAGGTTTTTTAATTTGTTTTTTAGTGGGGAAGTGTAAAAAAAAAACGAAAGACACAGTTTTGTTATTTTGTTTTTCTTTGATTTTCTCTGTGGTAATTTGACCACTGTAGGGAAATTTTTGATTGAATCATGTATAGTTATAAGTCATTCAATCGAACCGAAAAAAAGTGCAAAAGAAGTTTCATTACCTACCTTTTTTTTGAATACCTAAGTTTTTGTATACTCATTGTACTAATAGTTTTTGAATGATAAGATCATATGTGGCTCATACAAGCGAAAATGAAGCTTTTTTGTTCTAAGCCACTAAACCAAAACCAACCCTAAATATGTGTCTAAAAGCTCAACCACTGAAATCTGAAGAGCGAAATATGTTGATCTTCGTTGGACGAATAAACACTTTCATAACTTCATGTTTTAGTGGTTGCATAACTTCATTACCTCTCGCGGGATAGCCGCACGTCTCCTTTTTTTAATTCAAATGCATGGTTGTTTCTTTAGTAATCTATTTTTTAATCCTCCCTCTCTAGTCTTTCGTGTGTCTTAATTTTTTTTATCAGCTTTTTTTATTTTAAAAATAAAAATCACCAAGTGGCATCCAAAATGTGCAATCCATACCAAAAAATCATACAAAGTAAAAATATATAATGTACAAACAATATAATGAAAATGAAAAAATTTAAAATATGTGATTTACAAATCAGAATATAAAAGTTTACAAATCATATAATAAATATATACAAACTAATATCATCATGTATACAAAATAAATTATAACAATATATAAATAAAAAATACAAAGTATGCGAACTATATCATAAAAGTATACAAAACAATATTAAAAACTATATGAACTATCATATAAGTATACAAATCAAGTTAACACTATATACAAAGAATACTAAAAATACTATAGAACTTGAAGGTACAAACCATTGTACAAAATAATATTACTTTCATTAATAATAAATAACTACAAAGTATGCATACCATAACATAAAAATACACAAATTAATATTACACAAAGTATACGGACCAGATCACAAAAATATACAAACCACATCATAAAAGTATAAAAATAATACTAACATTGTATACAAAGCATACAATCTGTACAAATTTCAACTAATTACAATACAAACCAATAATACAAAGCATAAATAAGAAGTATACAAACTTTAAAAACATGGTAGAAAAAAATGACAAAACTTACAAACATTACAAAAGAAATCGACAAACATTACAAAAATAACAAAGCTTACGAACGTTACAAAAGAAATCGACAAACAGTACAAAACATACTAACCATACAGAATACCGCTACTTATAATACAAACCGGTAAACTAGTATTACAAACCAATAAATACAAAGTATACAAATCTTAACATAAAGTATACAAACTAGAAAAATAAATATTACAAATTATAATACATACAAATTAATCATATAACATTACAAACATAATAAATAAAAATGACAAACAATAATCATAAACAATACAAACATAATTGATATAAACATTACAAACTGTAGTTACAAACATTACAAGAATGTGACACGCAAATGTGACAAAGTATAATGAATGTGGTAAAAAAAAAACATTTGAAAAGATATAAAATAAATGTCATTATTTATATTGTAAAAAAATATTTTTATGCAAAAATATATGAATTCAAAATTGGGGGGTGGGGGCGGGGGTACGAACCGATAAAAAAAAATACACGGGGATTGGAGAAAGACGAGAAAGGGTACCAGTGGCTTGGTTCGATGAAATTTAAAAAATTAGTAAATTAATAATAATTAAATAATTCTCTTAAATTGCGTTAGATCTGCTTAGACTTTAAGGGGGGGGGGGGGGGGGGGGGGGGGGAAATAAATAGAAAAAAGAAGTTGTAGAAATTGCTAAAACGTGACACCTATTTTTTCTCTGTATGCAAGAAATTTCAGAATGGAGGAAAAAAATCCAGATTAAGATGCGGACAATAACACCCACATAAGGAAAACAAAATCCAATCACAAATTTTAAAAAAGAATACGTACACATCAAGATAGGCAAGACAGCGACAGTGATGATCACTAGAAGAAGATGACGAAGAAACTAAAAACAATAACATTCAGGTAAAGAGCAAGAGTAGTCAAGGGACCAAATTCTCACCCAATAAATTTATAAAAAAAAAAAAACACCCCCAAATACAAACCCTAATCACACATTTTAACAGAACAAACGAATTTATTCAAATTCATACCACATTTCCCCTCTTCGTCAAGATGAGCGACGACGACAACAATAGTTACCGAAAAAAGATGACGAAGAAGATGTTCATGATGGCCATCTCCTCCGTCCTCCTTGTTGCCATGGGGTTCGTCGCGGGTGTTGCATACAGCAACACCAACAACAACCACTCTAAAGAAACCGACATCTCCACAACCAGCCGAGTCGTCCCCGTCGCGCCAGCTGCACCGCCGGTGCCACAGATCATACAAGACCTATGCAACTCATCCCTCATCAAGGATAACTGCATGACCAACATCATGAAATACTAGGGTAACATTACAGACCCTAAAGAGCTAGTCAAGCTAGCGGTGCAACTAGCATCAAAGTCTTTAGAAACTGCACTCGAGGACGCCGAGCCCCTGAAGGCGACCACAACAGACCCCATGGCGAAACGAGGCCTCGAGATCTGCGACATGAAGATCCATACCGCCATGAATGACCTAAACCGGTCTGTGGCCGAGATCGACAAGTTCGACCCCGCCACGGGGGACAAGTCCATCGACAACCTGAAGACCTGGCTCGAGGCCACCCTCACGTTTCAGGAGGTCTGCGTCGACGCGTTCGCCAACACCACGGGCCCCGACGGGCACAAGATGAGGGAGATCCTGACACTGTCTGGCATGGCGGCCTGCAACTGTCTGGCCATGGTCGACGGATGGACGAGGATTATGCAGAAGACCAACCCCAGTGCAGCTGCACCGCACAGGAGGCTGCTCGGTGGCGGAGCGTCGACGGGTACAAATGATTTCCCCGGGTGGGTCACGCCGACGCAGAGGAAGCTGTTGGCCTCTGCGCCGGCTGACATCAAACCAGACATTACTGTGGCTCAGGATGGGAGCGGGCAGTTCAAAACTATTAATGATGCCATCAAGAGCATCGGAGCGAACTATAAAGTCCCCTTTGTGATCTATATTAAGGCCGGGGTTTATAATGAACAAGTCATCATTCGTAATGAGCTTGTTGGTATCATGTTTATCGGCGACGGTCCAAACAATACTAGGATCACCGGCAACAAGAATTATAGGGACGGGTTTCAAACTCAAGATACCCCCACAGTTGGTAAGTATTTGATTTTCTCTATGATTTCAACCAAAATTTACCATCTATTACACCGTGAATCCAAATGTGCAACACTTTCGAAACTGTTTGATCCCAATAACTTAAAATTTTGCATCAATTTGTTGTGCTTTGTACTAGAAATCATTTTAAAATTGAAACCATGAAATTTGTATTTAAATTCGTGGCAGAGAAAGCCTAGTATGACCTAGTAAAGATTTCATGTTCAAATTCATTTTTGCTCATTATCATCTTGACCTTCTTACTATGCTCTTTTTATTAAAAACACATTTTATGAACCCTATGCACAGCGGTATTGGCACCAGGGTTCATAGCCAAAGACATGGGATTCGAGAACACGGCTGGACCAGAGGGCTTCCAGGTCGTTGCCTTTCTCACGCAATCCGATTACTCTGTTTACTACAATTGTCAATTTCACGGCTACCAAGACACCTTGTGCCCTCTGGCATATCGTCAATTCTACCGCGATTGTGTCATCTCCGTACCATCGACTTTATCTTCGGTGTCGCTCGCACCGTTCTCCAGAACTGCACCATAATCGTTAGGAAGCCCATGCTTAATCAGGAAAACATCATAACCGCGGAGGGGCGTCAGGACCCAAACGGTTTGTCAGCCATTGTGATCATGAACAGTAGGATTGTGGGCGCACCCGAGTACTTGGCCGTCAAGGATCAAATTCCAACATACTTGGGCCGCCCGTGGAAGGTGTACTCAAGGACCGTGATCATGCACACTGAAATCGACGACATAATCACCCCCTCAGGTTGGGCCCAATGGGATGGAGACGCGGGCCTTACGACGTCTTATTACGCAGAGTTTGAGAACACGGGCCCTGGGTCAAACCAGAAGGGCCGAGCCACTTGGCCCGGGATTAAGCACATTCAGGCTCAAGAGGCCGAGAATTTTACTCCGGCCAAGCTATACGTGGAAGGTGATGATTGGATCAAGGCTACTGGTGTGCCCTACACTGCCGGGATGAGTTAACTAATAAGCAATTTTGCGCATTACATTACGTTTTATTTTTATTTTGGTGGGAGAGGGAGGTAACTGTAAAATAGAGTAAGGGTGGAATTTTTCTTATTGTTATAACTTACAAAAAAAAAAAAAATGGTGATCGTCGTCTTGGACAAAGCATCGATCGGACCATGTACATCCGACCAAAGAAAAGGAGCATCGAGTATTTTGGACTAAATTGTATATTTTGTAATTCGATTTATCAACTTGCTTTTTTTCTTTGTTACTAATAAATTTTGTCTTTTTTTTTCATTTGTCACTAACTTTATACATGCATTGCACTATTGATCATGTTCGTGCACTTCCATTAAATTTGTCCTAAATGTCAATTAACTATAATGATTAACTATTAAGTGGATGACGTGTCAATTAAAAATATAGTAAACAAGAAAAATAATTTAATTTTAATAGTTTGTCTCTTGTCATAACATAAACATCGAGATATATACATGTAGAGAACACTCTCTGATCCACTCTCAAAACACAGGAATTCTTTAGCTCCACATAGAGAAAGAGAACAAAATTGTGACTGAAGACATCGACGACGAACTTCTATTCCACGAAACCCAACTAAAGGGTTTAAACTAAGGAGTGAATGATCGTGGTTACCCCATATGTGAAGATACCATGATCAGAAAATCGATGTCTACAATTGAACCACTAGATCCACTATCTGGAGTTTCCTCGCTAGTTTTTATGCTTAAGTCATTTTTGGATCATTAGATCTTATTCCAACTTGATCTAGGACAACTTCTTGGAGTGCAAGTCACATCTTGAAGGTTCTAGAAGAGCGGAGACCAGGGTGGCGAGTTGGATCGTCTTTCCTCTTGTTTGTTCTGTTTATGCTTAAACTTGGTTAACATGCTTCTCCTTGTCTCCTTACTCTTCATATGAAATTTGGGCTCAATTGGACGACGGCGGGCTAGGCCATTTTTAGGTTTCTCCCTTTTAGGCTCACGATTTTGCTCCATTCTGGTCAATGACAAACTTCACTTCAAAATTCGTACTAAATGTACTTGTATATGCAAATTATGAAAAAACTACCCAAAATGGCACTTTAAGTATAAAAGCACACCTATGATCTGTGAACCGCACTTTGGACAATAATTCATATTTTTGTAGCAAAGAACTAAAAAGCACCAGTTAGAGATGGATATAGATTGAAAGGAGGTAGAAAAAATAACATTTTACAATTGTCAACAACTATTATCGGGCTTGCAAGTCTAAGCGATTCAATTAAGAATCACTAACAAAGACTAGTCAAATCAACAACTCGAGCCATTGCAATTAAGGAAAAATTTTGGATTCTTAAGGGAGATTGAAAGCTCACTTGGATAATGATCCTTTAGCTATAAGCTAGATTGAGATGGATGTAACACTAGGCTTCTTAAATTAATTTCCACAAGGAGATTCCTCAAGTAGCTATGGCTCACGTTTAATGCAATCAAAGCCCTTTGAAACTGGCTAATTAATTGAGAGAAATGTCTCTTCACCCAAACCAACCAAACAAAACTCTGACAGTGACACACCATTGAATCTCTTTAAATTGGTTCATCCACTTCCAATTTAACCAATGCATGATCAATTGACTGAAGTAGATTTCTATCCTTTCGGTCAAAAATCATTTCAGCCAAGAGTGATCAAAGATTAGGCAAACATGATAGACCATCAATTAGGTGTTTAATAGGTCAATTGTAAAAGTCTGGGTTCACAATCAATCATAAAAATATAACTACATCTAGCTAGGGTTCCTCATATTAGTTGAAAGAGAGGGCTAGTTAGCTTAGTGAGAGGGGAGTGAAATAAATAAGAGGAAGAAATTAGTAGCATCATGCTTGGAATGTTCTTCTCCTCTTCAATCTCCACTTCTTAAATCTTGAGCTCTTTGGACTTAAATCGATGAAAAAACTCATCCAAGGATGGCCTAGTGTTTTCTTTTCAAAAGTAGCACTCTCTTATCAAAATCGTGATAGATAGATATCACCAGTTATTTATATCCCTAACAAACGTGAACAACCCCATACAATTTTACGCCTTTTGAGACAACTGATTTACTCTTATGATTCGTTGCATGTGTTTTTTCATCCGACGACCAAAGAATTACTTATAAGAATGATGCTTACACCTATCCTTACAATAGTCATATAGATCACATTACTTGTTGTAGGAGCTAGGAATAGTTCAGCCTTTTCTCAACTTGGAATATTAAGTCAACAATTAGTTACGTGATTCTTGTAATATAAAAGAAATTTTCTAGTTTGACTTTTGTAAAAAATTCGTACATAAACATCATAGGAAGAGTCTTGTCATGTTTTGAAATTAATGTTGGCCACTAACTTAAATCATTTTTCAAACTCATGGTCTTGCTTTTTCACCCTAGACTTAGACAAAACTCGTGTTTGTATGGATATTTTTCTGACAACGTTCCTCGAGACTTTGACGTTCTTTCTTCCAATTTTATCGGATGTTCCTCAATGGTCAAAATTTTAACGTGTTTTAATTCTGAATAAAATGTCTCCACGAACCGAATCCTAATTATCCGAGAAACCATTCAAATTTAAACCTTCTCCCTCATCCAAATGCAATTATTCTCCAAATTTAGTAATCACCCCTAATTACCAAAAACGAGTTGACCAACTTCACCACCTTCTCCCTCCCATATAAACAAATCACTTCAAATTCTCAATCCAATCCAGAGTTTAATAAAATTATCGAGGGCCAACACTACAGATTTCTCCTCTCTTCAATAAGGCCCTCAGGCTCTGGGTTCTTCCGATCCAAGCCTGATCAATAGTAAATAACAATAAAAAAAAAGTGTAACAACATTATTCACTAAGTAGCAATAAAAAATCTCTTACCGCGACATAACTGTTCAAATTGTAAGAGTTACTTACACAAATTAACTAGCTAGGTTATACTTTTGCACCATGGGGGACTCCGACGACAGCAGCAAGAGGAAGATCGCCGTCCTCGGCGTCTCGTCCTTGCTCCTCGTCGCCATGGTGGTCGCCGTCACCGTCGGCGTCAACGAGAAAGTCGATGAACGCGGCGGCGGTGGCACCACCGCCGAGTTGTCCACGTCATCCAAGGAAGTGACCGCCCTCTGCCAGCCGTCCACCTACAGGGACACGTGCGAGAAGAGTCTGGCCAAGTCCGCGGAGAACACCACGGACCCCAAGAAGCTGGTCCAGGTAGGGTTCGAGCTCGCGGCGGACTCCCTCAGGGAGTCCATAAAAAATTCGGACACCCTGAAGGAGATCGCTAAGGACCCAATGGCGAAGCGCGGTCTCGAGATCTGTGACGAGCTGCTCGAGACCGCAATCGAGGACCTCGGGAGGTCCGTCGACGAGCTGGGCTCGTTCGACATGACGAAAGCCTATGTCCACCTCGACAACTTGAAAACGTGGCTCGAGGCCACGGTCACGTTCCAGGAGAACTGCAAGGACGGGTTCGTCAACACCACGGGCCCAGCCGGGGACAAGATGAGGGAGATCCTCAAGACGTCCGAAGAGCTCACCAGCAATGGGCTCGCCATGGTTGATGGGCTGGCTAAGATCTTCGCGTCGTTCAAGTTTGGTGGGTCCCGCAGGCTAATGGAGGCCCAATCCGAGTTCCCTTCGTGGGTCAGCCCGGCCCAGAGGAGGCTCTTGGCTGCCGATCCGGCTGGCGTCCAGGCCGATATGGTTGTGGCCCAAGATGGAAGCGGGCAGTACAAGACTATAATGCAGGCCATCGGCGCCATCCCGAAGCAGCACAAGATCCCTTTCGTCATTAGGGTGAAGGAAGGAATTTACAAGGAGACAGTCTTGATCCCCAAATCTGCTGAAGGCATTGTGATGATCGGCGACGGCCAAACCAAAACTCGAGTCACCGGTAACAAAAACTTCGCCGCCGGTGTCCAAACCTCTGACACTGCCACCTTCGGTAAAATTTCCACCAACTCTCTCTTTCAAACTCATCCTTTTGAATTCCATTAATAAGATTTAAAGTTGGCAATTTTTTTATCCAATCCATCTAGAGGTGTGCAACAAATTGGTCTGCATCGTAATCGTATCGCATCGGACCAAGCTAACATTTGGACCGGACCATAACGAATCGAATAATGTGATTTGATACTTGGTCACATGAAATTTATAATTACTGAAGAAAAATTGACCGAATTGACATTTGGGTCGCACCAAACGGGATCGAATGCACTGTTGCTCCGGGTCTTTGATCCTAATATGTATTTCACTATTAGAATGCGGTTCTCATTAGTTTTATCAGGTTCGAACCAGATTGGACAGTTGCACGCCCTCAACTCAAACCATTAAAATATACAATTACTTTAATCCATTTTGATACAAATCTATTTGGATTGGTAAATTCGTTGTTATTTGAAAAGTTATAGTTTAGTATCTATGTATTTTATATTCTATAATTTGATATCTAAATTTTATTTTAATGAAAATAGATTTGAAAATTTGAATTTTGGTACACAATTTTTTTTTTATTGTGACATATTAGTACCTAATTAAAAAAAAAATTATATCCGCCCAATGTTTAGATGCCACTGAGATTTATGAATTCAAACACCAATACATTTGATTCAAATCTATCCATCCAATCTACCAAACCGAATCAAATCCATTTGTCACCTCTAATACGGAAGGGTTTGTTATGCTGCAGCTGTGGTAGCACCAAGCTTCGTAGTCCGCAACATGGGCTTCGAGAACACTGCCGGAGCGGAAGGCCACCAGGCGGTGGCCTTCCGCTCCAGGTCCGACAACTCCGTCGTCTACAATTGCGCCTTCGACGGCTACCAGGACACACTCTACGCCCAGGCCTACCGCCAGTTCTACCGCGACTGCACCATCACGGGAACAATCGACTTCGTCTTCGGCACAGCCCGAACCGTACTCCAAAACTGCAAGCTCATCGTCCGCAAGCCGCTCCCAAATCAGGCCTGCATCGTCACCGCCGAGGGCAAGAAGGATCCCAGAGGCGACTCTGCCATCGTCCTCCAGAGCTGCCACATCTCCGCCGACCCGGCCTATTTCCCCGTCAGGCACACCAACAAGGCATACTTGGGCAGGCCGTGGAAAGAGTACTCGACAACAATTGTTATGAATTCAATTTTGGATGACTTGATTGCTCCTGAGGGTTGGTTGCCGTGGCAGGGAGATCTCGGGTTGAATACTCTGTTTTATGCAGAGTTTGAGAACACTGGGCCGGGCGCGGCTCAGGGCGGTCGGGTCGCTTGGAAGGGGATCAAGAAGTTGGATGCGACTCAGGTTGAGAAGTTTACTCCTGGGAAGCTTTATGTTGAAGGAGATGCTTGGATTAGGGTTACGAATGTGCCCTATGTTCCTGGGTTTATGAAGGCGTAAAGGAGGGGGAAAAAACAGGGGAGGAATGTGAATAGAGGGGTTTGATTGTTGGGGGTGGTTTAAGGCTAATTAATTTAATTGATTAATAGTGTAAATTGTAAAGTTTGATTAGCTATTATGTTGTGTTTGTATTGAAGCTAACTGAAAAAAAAATTGTAGAACATATAAAGGAAATAAAATGAGAAAAAAGGAGAAAAGAATTGACTGAATGAATTTCTTGACTCGCTTTGTTGTTTATGTTTTTTTTTATTTATAATTCCTCGTGATGCTTTTATTAAGTAATCAAAGTAGTATTACAATCTGCTTCTAATAATCAAGAAATGAAAATAGATGATTTGTTGACTCAAATTTAACGATAAGTTTCTCTCATGTCGAATAGGGATGACAACTTTGCCCATACGCATGGGTTTCTTACTATCCAACCCAATTTGGTTGGGTATGAAATCCAAATAGATGGATATGAGTAGAGTTTGATGGATTTGTACCCATACCCATTTACTTTGGGTTGAGTTGGGTTTATATCAAATGGATTTGGGTTTGTACCCATGCCCAAATACAAATTACAGTTTGGTACCCAAACTTAATAGATATGCATATTTAGTACCTAAATTTAATTTTTTTTGCATATAAGTCCTCAAAATATCGATGGAAAATTACGTTTTGGTACCTAAACTTTTTTGGTCTTACATTTTGGTACCAAAACTTTTCAAGTTTTACAAACAGGTCCAATTTTTGCATGTGTAGTTAAAACACCCTCAAGTAAATGGATATCCATATCCAACCCATACCCATTTAGATTATGGAAACCCAAACCCAAACCCATCTATAAACCCCCAAATCCATATGCACTTCACCCATACCCAACCCATTATCAATGGGTCTACTTGGGTTTGGGTATAATTACCCATGGGTGGGTAATTTGTCATCCCTAATGTCGAAGGATGTGTTTATAAGTCTCCTCCAAAGGGCGATACTTGGCAGCAACCTAGGTTGCAGCCCGTAGCTGTTGCCAGGCCAGATGGCGCTTCTTGATTGGGCTACCATTAATTTCATTTTTTAATTACTAATCATAATGACGGAGGAACGTAACGGTCAAGACTTCCGTTATTTCCATTTTTCATTGGGATTAACGGTAAGGTGCAGCAGCTCTCTCCCAAATATCATAGCTTGCATGAGTTACTTTTTACTCAACCTTTTGATTTAACTCTTTTTGTTGCAAGAAGGAAAGTGTTGACTTCTGATATTAGATTTGAAGGTTCAAGAACATAATTTCAAATGAATTAATTTTTGTACAAAGAATAAATCATTCATGATTCAAAAAATGTACGATAATATGAACATACTTTCATGGTGGAATACATAGTTAAAAAATGTATGGTTCAAAATATATTAAAATAGATATTATCTCAAATTACATTCTTTTAGTGAATTTGAGATTTTTATTAATATTTTGTATTAAAATAGTGAGAAATTTGACAAGTTTTATATGTAACTTTACCTATATTTCACAGATGATGGGTGCTACAATTCCTCCTAGTAGGGTTGATAATCGATTTGATTCAGTTCGGTTATAACCGGAACCGTTTAATTGGTTCTCGGTTAATCATTAAACACTTTAAATTTATCGTTAATCGCATCGTTTAAATTAGCCGGTTAACCATAATCGTATAGTCGGTTCTCGGTCATTTTGTCGGTTAGCCGGATAACCGTTAACTAAGTGATTCGACAAGGTTATACCAAAATAACCGATCGATAAACCTAACCAACAGAAGAAGATAACCGATCGATAACCTAACCAACAGAAGACCTCCTTTTTCAATTGTAAATCTTTTTGTGATTTTTCATACATAGGCATGTGTTCTTTTCTTAAGTTGTTATCATTGAATAAAAGATAATTCGACATAGATATATATCAATACATAATCAACTCAATCCAACACAAGTACACAATAATACCATTCTACAGTCAAGCCTTATTAAAGAAGCATACAACGATAAGAGACCCATCAACAATTACTCAACTCGTAAACCCCACATATTACATGAAAGTAATGTTACTGATTGTTGTCGAGCAACTGTACCCAAGTCTGAGATTCTACTGTTCTCATTCTAAAACTCTTTCTTTAAATTATTCTCATTTGAGTCTAAGTCACTATTAAAACTAGGATAGGCAAGAGGTCTTGTAATCTTTCAAACACTTTATTATTCAGCCTACGTTTGGGGCTCATAGAGCTCTACTATTTTTTGCCCTAACTATGAGGATGGTCGTAATCGATTAGTCGGTTAACCGTGCAACCATCGGTTATTAACCATTTAACCATCAATTAGTTATTAACTAAATTTGGCTACCGGGAACCAACCATTTATTATTTAATCGATTATCGGTGTAACTGTTAAGCACCAATTCCAGTTTGATTATCGGCTACACCGTTAACGGGATAACCGTTTACCAACCCTACCTCCTAGTTTCAACGTAGCTCCTACACCGCATGGTGTTATGCACGATAAATAAATATACTTAACAGTTAACACAATCTATTATATTTCACCAAAGTTTACCATAAGTTACCATCCTATATAAGGGAAATATATTTGGTCCTAAATTTTTTGGAAAATTTGTAAATCATAATAGGTCATGTGTACTCGTTTATTATATGTAAAATTTTAGCTAAAAATGAAAGTGGTACTAAGTGGTTCAGGGTGGTACGAAATCATTTTTCTTGAAATTATGTTCTTAAAACTTCAAATCTAATATCAAAAGTCATCACTTTCCTTCTTGCAAAAAAAGAGTTAAATCAAAAGGTTGAGTAAAAATTAACTAAGGCAAGCTATGATATTTTTTTTGGATGGTTTTGGAGCTGCTGCACCTTACTGTTAATCCAAAAAAAAAAAAATGGAAATAACGGAAGTCTTGACCGTTCCGTTCCTCAGTCATTGTGATTGGTAATTAAAAAATGAAATTAATAGTCCAATCAAGAAGCGCCACCTGGCCTGACAGCAGCTACGGGCTGCAACCCGGGTTGCTGCCAAGTATCGCCCCTCCTCCAAATACAAAAGGGCACTCGATCAGCGTATTGTTCTTCCTCGTCTAGATATTCTTCCGTGTAGTTAGAATTTTGTGTAGGAATCGCTAAAGGAAGATCATGGCATTTGGTGGAACAAGTAAGACCATAACTCTCAATCACCCCTATGTCATTCTCTGGACTTTTTGCTTTCTGTCTAAAAAAAAAACGATAGGTTGAATTAGTTGTATTGTGCGTGTCCTTGTTCTCTCAAAGCTCCATACTTGTTGGTTTGGAGCAAGTTGCTTTGCAATACGGATACTCAGAATCTTGTGTTTGTGCGTCGTGATCCATCTTGAAACTAAAGCATGCATGAATACATATTTTCATTTATTAAATTTTAGTACAATGAATACTTAGAATTCGATAATTTATCGAATGAACTTTTGAATAGTTGAAAGATACGATGAATATTTATAGGTTATTTAAAATATTTATATATGAATATGCACGATTGAGATAATAAAATGAACCTTACAAATTAAGTTTATCAAAATAATACAAATTATTATAGTTGTACTAAAATAAAATTAGCGCACCATATACTTGATTTTTAAAATATTTATATATGAATATGCAATATTGAGATAGTAAAATGAACCTTTACGAATTAAACTTATCAAAACATAACAAATAATATTTGTTATTAAAATAAAATTAGTACACCATATACATGATTTTTAGGTTAAAATGCGTTTATGTTAATCATATACATTATAATTATAATAAAAATCTATTGAGATTTTAATAACGGTTAACATAATATTAAGTCTTTGTATTTTTATTATACCATCTTTACCCTTTTTAATGAGAAGGAAAGACCGACAAAAGAAAAGAAGATTCGGGAAGGAAACGGACGGCCATCAATGATCAAACCCTTTCCGTGTCAACTACTCAAACTAGCGAGCAAGAAACACGTCATTCCTTACCCGTTTCGCCTTTGTTTTATTGGTTCTCCACAAACGCAGTTAGGTCGGCCAATTTCCCCTTCTATAAATCGATTCCAATCCTCGCGTTTCTCCATTCACCGATTCACAATTCAATTCAATTCAAAACTCTCTCCACAATCAAATCTTCGATTCAGAGCTTTCTTACCAGCTTCTCAAGGTAACATCCGGACCCGATTTTCCCATTTTTCTGTTCCTGTTCGTTCAGTTCTGCTTCGTTTGTGTTGAACGTTGGATCTGGGGATTGATTAGCGTTCGTTCTATCTGTTAATTAGGGCTGTTATGATGACATTCTTTTGCGGTCAATTGTGATCTCTTAGATGGGAGTTCGATTTTTGTGTTATCAAATTTAGGGTTTCGGTTGGATCCTGGTAATTTCGATCGCGAGTTATTGAACTAGGGTTTCTCGTCGTTTGATTGAACAGATGCAGATCTTTGTCAAGACCTTGACGGGAAAGACCATCACTCTCGAAGTCGAGAGCAGCGATACCATCGACAACGTGAAGGCGAAGATCCAGGACAAGGAGGGAATCCCTCCGGATCAGCAGAGGCTGATCTTCGCCGGAAAGCAGCTCGAGGACGGCAGGACTTTGGCCGATTACAACATCCAGAAGGAGTCGACCCTTCATCTCGTTCTCCGTCTCCGTGGAGGCATGCAGATCTTCGTCAAGACTTTGACCGGAAAGACGATTACTTTGGAGGTCGAGAGCTCCGACACCATTGACAACGTCAAGGCGAAGATCCAGGACAAGGAGGGTATTCCTCCCGATCAGCAGAGGTTAATCTTCGCTGGCAAACAGCTCGAGGATGGCAGGACCTTGGCCGACTACAATATCCAGAAGGAATCCACCCTTCACCTGGTCCTCCGTCTGAGAGGTGGTATGCAGATATTCGTGAAGACACTGACTGGCAAGACCATTACTCTTGAGGTCGAGAGCAGTGACACTATTGACAACGTTAAGGCCAAGATCCAGGATAAGGAAGGGATCCCTCCAGATCAGCAGAGGCTTATCTTTGCAGGGAAGCAGCTTGAAGATGGAAGGACTCTGGCAGATTATAACATCCAGAAGGAGTCGACTCTCCATCTCGTGCTCCGTTTGAGAGGTGGTATGCAGATTTTTGTGAAGACTTTGACTGGAAAGACCATCACTCTTGAGGTTGAGAGCAGCGACACCATTGATAATGTCAAGGCGAAGATCCAGGATAAGGAAGGGATCCCTCCAGATCAGCAGAGGCTCATCTTTGCCGGGAAACAACTTGAGGATGGGAGGACTTTGGCTGACTACAACATCCAGAAGGAATCCACCCTGCACTTGGTCCTGCGTCTAAGGGGAGGGATGCAGATTTTTGTCAAGACCTTGACTGGAAAGACCATCACCCTGGAGGTGGAGAGCAGCGACACCATTGACAATGTGAAGGCCAAGATTCAGGATAAGGAGGGTATCCCACCAGATCAGCAGAGGCTCATCTTTGCTGGAAAGCAGCTTGAGGATGGAAGAACCCTGGCGGATTACAATATCCAGAAAGAGTCTACTCTTCACCTGGTCCTGCGTCTCCGTGGTGGCTTCTAAAGTGTCTCGTCTCCCTGGTGCTGCTATGGCTCCTGCCATGACTTGCTGAAGGATTTGGGTTATCTTCTGAAGGATGTTTTAGTTTCTGGTTGTCTGTGTGGTAGCCAAATGGACCCTCAGTTTCAATTTGTTTTAGTTTGTCCAGTACTTTGTTGGCTTTGGATTGTGAACAATCTATATTTCTGTTTGTTTAATAATGAAGTTGGGGAGTATGTTCGTTTCTATGGATGCATGTTCTCTACCTCTCTCTTGTTTGCATGCCAAGGTTTGATGATATCTTGGTTGGGCAGCGGCGACCTGCTGGCTGCTACTATCTCTCTGTTTCAAATTTCAGTGGTATGCCGCCAGGGATGAACCATGTAGTCCTTGCATCTCTACACTAAGCCATTTATGGTTTCAAACTCCGATCGTGGAAGACATCTGTCTTCTTTGATTTCTAGTAATAGACTAAAATAGTGTAATACCAGCTGACAGCCTGACAGGCCTGTGCTGTATTATTGAACGACTTTGTATACTGTATAAACCATAACAAGTAAGATCAAAATTGGTAGAGAAGTATATGGTAAAATCAAAACAAAAAATTGATAGAAAAAATCAAAATGTTGATATAAACAAGTAAGCTGATAAGAACAGACTTCACAATATTCTACATAAGAATCCGAACAAGAGCGTAACTACAAAATTAACAAAATGAGTTCATTACTTCATCCGTCTTTCTTGTTTTCTGGGAAACCAATTGCTTACGCCACAACCAAAGGAAGGAGGGACCACCGATTAATTGCGAAGGAGGAACACAGCAAGTTATCAATGGCGTGATAGATTTGATCGGCCCGCAGCTTCAACGACGCCGGAGAAATCGCAGGAAGTGACTTGTGGTAGTAGTTTTCACTTTTCAGCCACTTGGGTTGGCTTCATTTCTCCAGTCGCTTCACACTTCCGCCTCCTTCCCTCTCTGCTTTCTCTTATTATAAAACTACCCACTCTGCAAGATTGAATTTTTATGCCCACCAATCTATTCTTTTGCAGGATCAAGCAATCATCCAATGGAGAATACCGCCTCCGACCCGCTGAAGTTGAACTTCACTGATCCAGCCAAGTACTGGACCGACGCCATTCCCATCGGCAACGGCCGCCTCGGCGCCATGATCTGGGGAGGCGTTTCCAGAGAAACCCTCCAGCTCAACGGTATCCTTCCAGCTCCTTTTTCTTCCCGCCATTTTCTTTTGTTGCCTGATGTCCCGACTTCACCGTCTTCTTCTGTAGATGACACACTGTGGACTGGTGTTCCTGGAGACTACACCGATCCAAATGCTCCGGCGGCTCTGTCGGAGGTCAGAAAACTAGTCGCTAATGGTCAATTCGCTGACGCTTCTGCTGAAGCACTCAAATTGTCAGGCAAAGGCTCTGAGGTAGCATTCATCAATCTTTCCTTTTTTAGTTATCTGCTTGAAAGTTGAAACCTTTTGTTAGGGTTTTTTATTGTTACTTCCCTGGCTGTCAATTTGAAGGTCTACCAAGCCCTTGGCGACATAGTACTGGAATTTGATGCTTCCCATAAGAACTACGACCCTAAAACATACCACAGGGAGCTGGATTTGGATACTGCTACGGCAACTGTGAAATATTCTGTTGGTGATGTTGGATACACAAGGCAGCATTTTGCTTCCAATCCCCACCAAGCAATCGTCACAACGGTATCTGGAAGCAAACCGGGGTCCCTATCATTCACTATTTACCTGGACAGCAAGATGAATCACAGCTCATATGTCGAGGGTCAGAATCGGATTGTACTCAAAGGAAGTTGCAGGGGGAATCCAAAGGGAATTCAGTTCACTGCTATGCTGGAGTTACAGATTGGTGGGAAAGCAGTAATAAGTGTTTTGGATGGCGGGAAGCTGAAGGTTGATGGAGCTGATTCGGCACTTTTGGTTCTGGTGGCTTCATCTTCGTTCGATGGGCCTTTCACTAGCCCTGTTGATTCCAATAAGGATCCCACTTCAGATTGCTTGAACTCGTTGACTTCACGCAAGAGTTTGGGTTATGATGATCTAAGAGCACGACATGTCGAAGATTATCAGAGTCTCTTTCATCGTGTTTCGCTCCAGCTTTCTAATGGTTCCACCAGTGCTTCAGGAGTATCGACGGCAGATAGGGTGAAATCCTTCCAAACTGATGAGGATCCATCCCTGGTGGAGCTTTTATTCCAGTATGGTCGATATTTGCTTATCTCATGTTCTAGGCCTGGAACACAGGTAGCTAATTTGCAGGGAATATGGAGCAAGGATCTGTCGCCACCATGGGAGTATGCCCTCTTTTTCTTTCTTCTTTTTCAAGTCATTGCTATTACAATCTCTCTCTGGAAGTGCAAACATTTCATTCTAGAAACCGGCTCATGTTCTTTATATTGTTTGGATAGTGGTGCTCAACATCTCAACATCAATCTACAAATGAACTACTGGCCAGCACTGTCTTGCAATCTCAAGGAATGTCAAGATCCATTGTTTGACTACCTGTCTACCATGTCGATCAATGGGAGTCGAACTGCTAAAGTAAGTACTCGAATTTTTCCAAGGATCAGTTGGCTTTTACGGCTACATGCCTTTGACGTGCTTGTTTTATTAAATGAATGTTGGCAGGTGAACTATGGAGCTAAGGGGTGGGTTGCACATCAGATTAGTGACTTATGGGGAAAGACATCGCCAGACAGTGGAGACGCCGTATGGGCTATGTGGCCAATGGGTGGTGCTTGGCTTTGTACACATCTGTGGGAGCATTATAGTTACACAATGGATAAAGTAAGTCGGTCGATTCTCAATGTTTTTCAGATGGATTTTTATATTTACTGCAGCATATGTGCACTCAACAGATTTGGATTGTTCTTGCACCTTAGGAGTTCCTGAAAAACAAGGCATATCCTTTGCTGGAAGGCTGCGCAAATTTCCTACTAGACTGGTTAATTAAAGAGTCGGGAGGAACTCTGGGAACTAACCCATCAACTTCTCCTGAGCATATGTTCATTGCCCCAGATGGGAGGAAGGCTAGTGTGAGCTACTCAACAACTATGGACATGTCAATCATAAGAGAAGTGTTCTCTGCAAACCATATATAAAATTAGTTTTGAATTTGGCACTTGTTGGGAAGCCTTTCTCACTTGTTTGTTTCCTACCAACTCCTGCCCTTCCCATGAACAGGTATTGGGAAGAAAGGACGACGAACTTATTCGGAAAGTCCTTGATGCTCTACCCCGGTTACGGCCTACGATTATTGCAAAGGAAGGTACCATAATGGAATGGGTAAGTGTGTCTAATCAACATTTCCCTTTCAGAAGCTTGGAAGCTATTAATTTTTTCAGTGTCTTGATGTAGAAGATATCCTATGTCCTTTTTACCCCGCAGGCCTTGGACTTCCAAGACCCAGAGCCTCAACACAGACACCTTTCTCATCTCTTTGGACTGTTCCCTGGCCATAGCATTACTCTTGAGGATGCTCCTGACCTCTGTATAGCTGCGGAAAACACCCTGAAGAAGAGAGGTATGTGTCTACCTTCCAAATTCATGATAATCATGGTTCAAATAAATAAATAAGTGAGAGACTGATGACATGATTGATTAAGGCACATTTTGTGGAAGATGGAGGCTCATACTTGGGTAGTATCTGCATTATTTTAAGAAAAAGGTCAAAATGGGATCAATATGAGTAAATTTTATAGATGATAGAGATAAGATGGGTCTAGAACGAGATGAAATGATGTGGGCAGGACCGGAAGAAGATCCATGGCTTCATATTGCTCGCGAGTCGGAGATCCGAACTGTCTTAACAAGAACACAGAAAACTTTTGTCTTAGTTAACAACATACTACAAGATGTTCCCTTTACACCCATTGTTTCTAACTGAACTAAAAACTAACCTTTGATACCTAACATGTTTTTGTACTTCACAATTTATCAGGTATAGAAGGTCCAGGGTGGTCGACCGTGTGGAAAGCTGCACTGTGGGCTCATCTTCATAAACACAAGGAGGCATACCAGATGGTAAAGCATTTGTTTGTTCTGGTGGATCCTGCTCACGAAAGCAACTACGAAGGAGGACTTTACAGTAACTTGTTCACTACTCACCCACCATTCCAGATTGATGCCAACTTTGGGTAAGCTGCTAAACTCTGTTGCCCTGTAATGTGCTCTATGTTCATGACTGATTTTGGATACCTGAGCTTTTTCCGCTTTCCAGTTTCTCTGCAGCAATCGCTGAAATGCTGGTTCAGAGCACGCCGAAGGACATGTATTTTCTCCCTTCCCTTCCTCGGGACAAGTGGCCTAATGGCTGCTTCAAAGGATTAAAAGCACGCGGAGGGGTCACAGTCAACCTGTGCTGGAAACGAGGTGATCTTTATGAAGTTGGTCTTTGTTCTACAGAAGGGAATTCTGAACTGAGATTACATTACAGGGGAAGGACAGTGAGCACAAGCTTACTGTCTGGTCATGTTTACACATTCGACAATAGCTTGACATGCATACAAACCAACCCCCTCCCATGAGTAACTCCTTGCTCAAATGTTGTAGAATAAATGATTCGGGGCTCGACCCGGTAATGGTTAATACTTAATAGAGTCGATGGGGTAGGATTCGATTACTGCAGTTTGCTGTGTTGTTGAGATGCATACAAACCTACCCTCAGGTTGCTCACAATGTCGACGGACCCGAAAAGAAAGCTCCATCTTTTTTTTTTTTTAAGTTGCTTCAGTTAGGAGTCTGCATTGCAACACTGCAAGTGTAATCTCTATTTACAAGTTCCACATTAAGGGAGCTGCAAAATGAGTGATGTCTCCGGCCTATCCTTTTCTTTCTTCTGGGTTGGATGATAACGGGGAGGGATCAGATGCTCCTCGAAACTTTTCTGTCCTCTTTAAAAACTGCTGCTATCCTGCTGGTTTGTGATCTGAACACAGCTTGGTTATGCTGAATGTAAGATCTGTCGTTGCAAGGTGCTTTATCGCCTGTTAGTTGAAACAGTTGAGCGAGCCCATGCCCAGTTCGGTTCCAACAGAGGACTAATGGGGGTTCCGGAAAGGGAACTAGAGCAGGCATGGTAATCTGTAACAAAAACTGGGTTAAAATAACATTTGGATGTTGTACCTGGTTCTGCTTAACAGCTGAGATAGTAGGGAGCTCTAGTTGCAGCAAAATTTATGGACACTCTGAGACGTGCTTTGTTCATATATTCTCTTTTGTTCTAGTAACAAGGTGAACTTTAGGAGTGTGCTCATTGACTGAATGAACCCAATAGGGTAAAAAAATAAAATGTGGCTGCTGGGATTCGAGCCCAGGTCATCACGGCCACAACGTGATATTCTAACCACTAAACTACAGCCACTGTTGGTTTACAAATTCGACTATAGAAATAACTCTACAAAAAGATACTCAACTTCTCCCATTCAGCCGAAGACACCAAAAGTCGAGAGACCCACTACTGCAGTTCCGCTTCCGCTTTCCCGCTTCAGTTTCAGTGGTCGTCCATTTGAGATTAGATGGAGACGAAAATCGCGACGTGTAATCAACGAAAGTCCCCGGAGCACAGAACCGGCGACAGGCTCAGCTCACTGCCGGACGAAATCTTATCTCACATTCTCTCTTTCCTGAAAACCAAGTACGCCGTCGGCACCGCCGTTCTCAGTCGGCGGTGGAAGGATCTCTGGACTAGGGTTTCCAATCTCGATCTCGACTACCGCTTATTTTACCACTACCCGACTCCGAACAACAATGGCGCATCGTGGTGGGAACAAATTTCAGAGGTTCGGGGGAGAAGAGAATTGGGATTCGCCCGATTCGTCGATGGGGGTTCTCAGCCGGCACAAGAATCTCAATTCGGTAAACCGTTTCCGCTTACACGTGATGTCAGATTTATCGTTTAAGATGGAATTGGGGTATGAGTCTCTGCTTGAAGAAATAGATCTTAGAAATAGAATGCAGGAGGAATTTGAAGGAACGAGTTGTGGCTTTCAGCTTCCGGGGAGCTTCTTCAGTTTGAAGAATCTGAAAATTTTGAAGGTCAAGGGTGTTTTAGTAGCGAATACAGAGGGTTCGGTTGTTCTCCCTAACCTAAAGATCTTACACCTTGTGGGACTACCGACCATTGACTGTGAATCATTGAATAGGCTCATTTCTGATTGCCCTGTTCTAGAGACTGTTCTTCTAGTGCTTTGCAACCCCTTGTTCTTCGATGAGAAACGCATGTTCATTGCTTCATCGCGCCATCTTTGAAGAACTTGACTATTGTCCATCGTGACCGCTACACTTCCATTGGGATTGAAGCACCCAATCTAGAGTATCTTGATCTTCAACTTGATCTTCACCTTCAGCCTTTTACTCCCGTTACAGAGTTGCGGTTTCTCGGAGGGAGTAGAGTGTTTTCATGCCTTGATTCTGGTGTCGGTTGGTATTTTCCGGAACCCAGCTAGCTGACGGAGGCCATTGTATGATCGAGTTGTTCAACCAAATCTCCAATGCAAAGAGAATCTGTTTGTTTAACGGGGCTCTTGTAAGCATCAACATGACTTGTCACTCTTTTTCTTCCCCTCATTGATTCTATATTAGTTGTTTAGAACTGAGGTTGTGTTAATCCTTCTTCTCAGGATTTTTTTATCGGTTCTCGAAGATGAAGATTATAATGATGATAGTGTTCAGTTGCCTGTCTTCCCCAATCTGACACATTTGACAACTGATGCACCCTATCTGCAGCGCAGTTCTGCACGCCTTGCTGAACTCGGCATCCAAACTACAATCTCTCGTCTTTCACAAGGTGAGTATGTGGTTATTTGCTGTCTAGCTTGGAGGAAGTTGTGGTAGCTAATTTATCAGTTGAAACTTATACGAGACTAGTACCTTATCTGCTAAAGTTTGGAGCTGTACTGAAGAAGCTAACTGTGGAGTTGAACTTCTTTTTTTCGTCTCCACGCAACAAACCGTAAAGCGCTTGCCTCTTTGTTGAAACTGCCAAGAAGATCAACCGCATGTGAAGTTCTTTTTCTTCACGATGGCAAGGAGATCCACTTCGATGACGATGAATAGACCTTTGACACCAATGTGTTGGCTCACAAGAGCGGCTCGAATGATGAAATTACGGTGACTAATAAGTTGTGGTCCGGATGATGGTGTTCAGCTGCCTGTCTTTGCCAATTCTGACACTTTTTGCAATGGCTACCCCTGGAAGCAGCTGCTTTCTTCACTCTGTGCTCAACTCGGCCTCCAAATTACATTCTGCTGTCTGTCAATGACCATTGTCGTTTGCTTTTGTGCGTAAGCGAGTAGCATATTTACGTTGAACCTGTGTCCTGACCCCTTCCGACTTGTCCTACATACATATTTATTATTCGTGTTGGACATGAATTTTTCTTTCGCTCGTCTCAATCCGAGACCCCATTATTGAAATCATCATTTAGGGTCATTAGTCTTGACATTTTATATACAGACGATTGAACATTGACATATCTGAATCGCCTTAACATATCCGGACCTGTAACCCTCGTGTGATTATCCTTAGAACTAGGTATAACGAGTATGAATATTAGTGTACCTGGCTGCCTCATTTCTCATGTGCATTAGTCTTTATTTTCATGCCTTTCAAGGTTTTCTGATGTAGCTTGTATACTTCCATTCCATTGATGGAGAATAAAGAATAGTTTTGACTACTAATATTGGTTATTGTGGTATGCAATATCCATTATATATTGGATGTATTGGTATGCAAATTATTGTTAAACCATAAAATTTTGGGATGCAAACTATAAATTATTAATTGTAACAAAATCACAAATTACTAATACAGTGTTACTAATTTGCTATTAACTTATTATAAATGTTAGTCAACATTCTTAATGACTAGTTGGAGTATTATTTTTGCGGGTTGACCCGCGACTCAACCGCACCCATCCGTCACCCACCCAACCCAACCTGCAGAAGAATTTAGGTGGATTGCATGTCACAATTATTCAAACTCACTAATAAGCAAGTGAGTCAATTTGAAACCAAAACCCACCCAACTCGTTCATTGCCCACCCCTACGTGAAATTGTAATAAAAAAAGATGATAGACTTATTCACATGGTTGTTGTGACAATGGTAGGTCGGCCAATAAATCGGGTTCAAACTGTATCTTGAAATGATAAAACAGTTGGAATGTACTCACCATGATTAATATATAATTTACTTTTGACTTTTAAACAAAATTACGATGTTTTGGGTGAATTTGATTGATAGAAATTAAAAACAATTAATGTTAATAATTTTCTACTTCCACACATTTTTTCCTAAAACGATATTAACTGACATAAACCGATTATACTATCAGTCCAACTATCCTACTTGCTAAATCAATAATTTGATTTGACAACCTTGCTTATCCACTGTAATTGATAGTATGTATGGGCTTTCAGCTCTCTTTCTTTCGGGCTAAAATTTACAAGGCCCAGCCCAATTACGCAAACGACAAACAAGATGAGGCGCAAAAGAGCCGAGATTCAAGACTCAAGGAGAGAATCTGACGAGCAAGCGGGAAATTTTTTGACGAAACGTTTTGAATTCCCAATTCCCTCTGGATTCATTCACTGAGAGAATCTCCATGGCCGTTGCTCACTGAACTAGCAACCCTTTCGCTTGCATTTTCCCACGCTTTCTCGACCATTTCCCCCTACCCAATCGAAATTTCACACCAAAGTACAGGTATTGATTGCCTCGGAAGTCATTTCACGTCCCGCCGGCGTACCCAAAATCCTAGGGTTCCGAGGGTTTCACATGAAGCCGTCCCAGCGGAACGCAAAGCTCTACTCTTTGAGTTCAAAATGAGCAACCACAAAGACGGTGCAGGCGAAATAATACATACGGTTCAGGCTGAGCGAGACTTAGGGGCAAATTGGGAGGTCGATCTTGCCAAGAAGCTCGAGGATTACTTGCTGAAGATTTGCTCTGGTGAAATTAGGGGAACCGAGGAGGACGCTGCTCATATCTCCATCAATTTCGCTGAAGGTTAGTGTTTTCGAATTGGTTTGCTGATTTTCGTACCTTTACTTTTGGGGGGTTTTAGTTTGTGGCTAGGGTTTTCGTTTTCTCTTGATTCATGTGAGCTCTGGTGTTGAAAGATTAGGTGTTTTGTTGTGAAAAATGCAGCTGCTTTACTCCTTCAGGGTTCGGTTCAGGTGTACAGCAGGAAAGTTGAGTATTTGTACAACTTGGTTCTACATGCGTTGGACTTCCTCTCTGAGAAGAGGTGTGAATCTTTCACCATTGTTATGAAACAACGCGTGTTCTCTTCAATTGGTTTGTTTCAACGACATGTCTCGGTAATCTTGTACTTAACTACTCTTTTTTAGGCAGCAGGGACAGTCCGATGATGCTTCTGCCGAAAAACCTGAGAAAACTGCTTCAAGGTCTACTAATGATGACGAAGAAGATCAATTTTGGGGCTCAGATGACATCCCAGGTATGTTTTTTTTCGCATGTTAATCTATTTTCATAAAGTTATAACTGGGAAAAATAAGCTTGGACAATGGGAACTTCTGTTTTGTAGTGGAACCAAGGAATTGCTTGGAGGCTTCTACCAGTAAAGATGCTTCCTTTTACCATTTCACAAAGCCACCAGCTAATCTAGTCGTTCTTGAGGCTGATTGCTTGGAGACAGGTGGCGATGGAGGGGAACTGGAGTCATATCTAGTATGACATCTCTTTGCACTTTTTTTCTTTCGTTTGTAGATATCCTGGAGCCAAACAGTCGTCTAAAGCCCCGTTCCATTTTTTTGTTTCTGATTGTTGTAGTTAGCCACCTGCGATCTCTACCGGGATTTTGTCCTGTTAGATCCTTGTGATGCTCCTTCAGTAAATGACTTCTTAGATAAGGTCACTGGAAATGGTCCGGCATACAAGCCCCCCTCAGTCCGAAAAACTGGTCATTCTTCAGCAAAACGATCACGGAGGTCATCCCTGGGAAAGAACCATGATGCTGCTTTCAACTGTTCTCCTATTCCTGACTGTGGCTTGCAGGACAATAACTATGATGTGGGTCCTGGCCCTTCAAAAGAGGGTAATTTTGGAGCTGGTGATCAAGGGTTCACTATGGATGATATGGATTCACCACCTGGAAACTTGGATGACTCAGATTTAGACGATGAAGAAAATGATCCATGGAAGCCTTTGAATCCTCATGAACCTGGGAACTTAAAAGTGAAACCTTTCAAACGAGGTGATTATGCAGAAAATTCATTTTCATTTCTTTCACATTCTTTTGACTCTACCAAAGTTAAGCAGTTTGTTACATTGCTTGTGGACTTCTCTGCATTAGCAGTACCCCTAAGAAGGAATATGGGGAACTCAACAAACTCCTCAAGTCCGATATCTATTGCTGCATTTTTTCCTCTCGCAAATTTACATGGCCCAATTAGTCCCGAGTTCAAAGAAATGTGGGAAGAGAGACGAAAAAAGCTTGATCAGCTTGGGAACTCTCAATCACAATCTAACCCTTTATATGAAAAGGTTGGTTTTCTGCCCAGAGATAGCATACATCTGTAAAATCATTACTATTATTGATTCTCACCTGACTTCCGTAATCTAGTTACGGGAATCACTTGCTGGTTTAGGGAAGAAAACTGGAAACTCCAGTGATAATGTTGAGAGCGACAATTTGGACAATGGTGATGATAATGGTGACCCTGGGTTTGATCAATCTTATGGTGAAATGCCCGAAGCTACATATATGGATGAAGATTTACCCCATCAACATAACAAGGTTTGTCTATTGACCAGCTTTTTTGGCTTGTAACTTCTAGTGACTCAACCCCTGAGAATTCCTTTTCGATTTATTCTCAGGATCTTGATGGTGGTACTCGCTTTGATACCGATGATTACTTTGAACAAGGAGAGCCAAGTTCCCAAGCAAGCTTAGAGGATCTTTGTCGCTCGCATCTAGTAAGCGGAGTTACCTTCTAATTGCATTTAGTGTATCTTTTGTATGTTGGTTGTTGCTGGGGTTGTAGATGTTTAAAAATTTCTTTTTTCATCTTTGTGGTTTTCCAGGATGCGCTTCTTGCTAACATAGCTGAATCTGAGAAGCAGACAGAACTAGCTGCTCGAGTTTCATCATGGAAACAAAAAATCGAGCAGAACCTTGAAGTGCAAGTAATTTTTACTGTTCTTCCCTTTCTTGTTCTTTTGATGTTCTATACCCACTATAATATTCCTCATTGCTGGTCAATTAAGTCACCTGAACTTACTTCAATCTCCCTAAATTGACTGTTGAAGGTTTATCTCTGATAGGATTCACGACCTCCATTTGACATCCATGTCTATGGTGATAGAATTCTTGACAAATTTTCTCTAGAATCAGAAACTGAGACCATCAAATCCTTTGCTGATATTGTGATGGGCCAAGAAAAGCATGATGTCGCCCGTTCCTTCTCTGCTATGCTGCAACTGGTAGTTACCTGTTTCCTGATCTTCTTAACCCCTTGACTTTACACTTGCATAATCCTTATGTTCTTTTGTTATGATAAATCATCCAATTATGATTATCCGATACTCAACTGATTTTCAGGTGAATGATGGAGATATTGATCTGGAGAAGAAGGCTGTTGCTGATGGGAACTCATTCTGTTACACTTCTGTGAATCCATTCCACGTTAAACTCCTCAAAAAGGATGGAAGGCAAGCCCATAGAAACTTTAAGTTCTCCAAAAAGAGAGTCAAATCACCACTCATGAAAGCACGGAACAAGGAAGCTGTGAAGAAGCTCCCTAGAGATAGATCTCCGACTCCAAAGTCACCGTTAGAAAATGGATCACCGACGAACTCCAAGTTCGCTTCAAAGCTTCAGAAGAACAGTGGCAGAAGGTGCACTCCAGAGGGCAAAAGGAGAAGAAAATCAAGATTAGTCGAACCAATTGACTTGCATTCCCCCGTTTGATGCACCAAACAACTTCTTGCTTGCTGGGAGCAAATTCAATCTTTCAAGCTGAATGGCTTCGAACAGCAAACACAACATAAAGGTGCGAACTTTTTCATCACCTTTCCACCCTATTGTAGATTGATACTCTAGTCACATAATTCTGCGATGTCATCTGTAATGTATTTGGGTTTAATATAACTTATGTTTAGGGATCCACTCCAAAATCTCTGAGGGTTCTTGTAGTAACGACACTTCGCTAACTACTAGAAGCCTGGATTGAACAATGGTTTTCTTTTTCCTTACATGAGTCTGTAATAACATCAAGCTGACCATTTGACTCTCTGTTGATGACTAGAGGGTTAATGTGAGAACTGAGAATTGTGTCGAAGTTGTTTGTTAAGCTGCATTGTTTATGGCTTTGACTATTGACTCTGAAGAAAGAATAGTAGTAGCTTGAAGTCTTCCGAGCAACCCTATTTTCAGGAGATGGCGTAGAGAAGTAGGAATCTGGAAAAAGGGTATAGAACTATAGATATCAAATATGTCAGAAGTCATGATGACTTTCTGTTCAACTAGTGCCTGCTGCAACGACTACATAGCGCAGAGATCTTTTTATAGTTTAATAAGCATAGAATATCAGTTTGACTTTGACAAGAGGAAAGGAACCCAGTTTATGATTATGAAGCAGTTTCATCTTTCGTGTGATTTGGGTGGGGTAAGTGACTTCATTGGATTATGAGTGGAGTGGGAGCTACGTTAGCTGTCAATCCACCTGAGATCTCGAGGTTGAAGATCAGTGTTAATATTACTAGATTAAATCCTTGTTTGCGGCCGTAGAGATATTGTTATATAGTGGTTGCTTTCTGCATGTGAAACGTTGAAAATGGGATTTTGATGGTATCTGTTTTTTTAAGCTTCACTGAACTATTTCAACCGCGTAGTAGTTAGTTACCGAGGTGGTAATGGTGAATAACGTCAATGATATCACACCTTTATTTAGATGGTGTTTAGTACATGTCTCGACCCCATTTGTTCCCATTACTGAGTTAGTCCAAAGGGGAGAAAGTGAAACCAAGAAAAAGAAGAGGGGAAGAGTTTTGTATTGGGGAAAACGTGTGGAGGAACGACAGATGGAGATGGGACAGACCCACCTTCGTCTGTGTCTCTCCCAAATGACAAAGGTGCTTCTATTGGAAATCCATGTTAATGGAGGCTTGATTTTGATTGATTGAAAACTGATTGGTTGGTTGGTTTGGTTTCAATTTGCCAAGCTGTGGGAAGTGAGAAATCTAATCATTCCATCATCATTGATCAATGTCACCCTGTTGTCGTTGGCCATTGTTGTTTTAGAATATGAATTGCCATTGTGGATTTGAGTCGATTGTTCGAATTTTTTTAGCCACTTCGGTTGAGAGTCACTCGGTAGAGTTGGAGTGGTAATGAGTCGGGTTGTGGTGGGTATTCTAAGTCAATATTCACCCTGTTGTTGTCCACTGTTGTTTTAGAATATGAATTGTCATTGTGGATTTGAGTCGATTGTTCGAAATTTTTGGCCACTTCAATTGAGAGTCACTCGGTAGAGTTGGAGTGGTAATGAGTCGGATTGTGGTGGGTATTCTAAGTCAATATTCAACTCGTTTGGTGTTGGATACGATATATGCCTTGCTCATAGGGCTCATAGGGTACTATTGACCAAATGATTATAAATGTGGAGACATCATACTTATTTGTTCATACCAAATTTCATACAACGCTATAAATAAACACCAATGAGTTAGTATGTAGGATAACTGGATAAGGACTAAAAGTGATGTTTTAGTCTCTGGTTGCGGCCAAGTGCATATTTAGTCAAGTTGTGGTTGGACCCATACTCAACCCAACTCTGGAATTGTCGGAATTTGATCATACCTTACCAACCGAAAATGAGACATGGAATCACAATTTGATCAGTTCAGATTAGGGATTGCAAAATAATCAATTACCATAGGTATCTAACAAAATATGAATTGGTTTGGTTGACAAAAATCCAATAATTGTTATTTTGGGTGGGTTTCGTCGAACCAGACAAATAGGGTAATGGATTTGATGTGGTTTTAGTATTTTAAATATCCGCATCGAATCCAGTCAAAAATATGTAACAACTATGATTTATTAGATTCACTCATTCAACATTTCGATCATCTATATCCCAGCTTATGTTGAATATACAATTGTGTCTGTGCTTATACGATGAATGTTTGGAGTTTTCTAACTAGCATTGTATTCACATGTTTAACCTTTTTTTCTTTTGTTTAAGTGTGTTAAACTAACATATCAAGCCAACATCACATGTTTCATTGGGAGTACTTTAACAAGCCGACTTTAAATCATTTACAAATCGTCTTTTTAGTTTGGAACAACTTCCTCTCTTACCTCTTTCTCTTGGACCCTTGACCTTTTGACTAATTGGCCGTCGATCAAAATAATTAAATATGGTTAGAGGGTCCAATTAATCTTTGATTAATTTGATTCGATTATCACCCATTTTTGTAACTACATGGGATGTTAATTATTTTTTTAATTATAATCAGCATGGGATATTAATTATTATGTATGTAACAACCGGCCATCATGAATTGAGCAATGAATCATTTTAATCAATAATGCACGAACAAGTTGTGCATAATTTAAATTCAAACCGATCCTAAAACCTCCAATTTTTGGCAATAAAAACAGCTAATTGATCCATTGATTAGGGAAATGTAGGTTATAACAAATTGGATAAACGGCTCACTCTTCTTCCATGGTTCCCCCCACGTTTCTTCCTCCTTGGCTCCTTTCCCATGTCCGATGGTTCTGTTCATGCGGCCGTTCCCCCACATTTGACTAGTCCAACATTTTCCTTGATTTAATCGATACCCATTTCCAAACCAACCAATATTCATAGGTAATACAACTAGGGGTGTCTGTTCGGTTCAACCAACCAATATTCACAGGTAATACAACTAGAGGTGTCTGTTCGGTTCGGGTCGGTTCAAAACCGAAAACCCGCACTAGGAACTAGCTGCAGACTTGAACTCGAACCCGTGAACTGGTGGTTTCGATTTTTTGGTTACCCGAACTCGAAAAGGGCGTTGACGGTTTCGGTTTGGGTACATGCAATCCGAAAACCCAAAAGTGTTCAAGATGAAAACTGTCGGTTTGAATCCCTCTCCCCCGCTTCCTTCCAAACCCCTATCTCTTCCTCTTCTTTTTCTGTAAATCCCTTTCTCGGGAAGGAGCTCCAGCTAGCTTCTGCCACTCCTAAAAATGGAAAAGTCTATCGAATTAAATGGGTATTTTACATTTTGGGATTTCCAACCCTCTCCACTTTACTTCCCTGTCCTTCCTTCTTGATCGGACTTCTCACCAACGAAGGGAACATCAAATTCAACGATTTTTCCTCCACCAACCGTCGCCGCGTGTCGTTGGACTCATCGGAGATGGTTAAGATCGAGATCTTGGTTTTGGCTGATATAAGAAGTTGGAAAATCAAATCCCCATTTTCGTTCTGAAAGAGATTTAATTTGGAGCTTGAACCATCAGGTGCTGATTTTCTGACGTGAAAGCTGGGTTTGTGATGAATCGAATCCCCATTCAAGTGCTGCGAGAGATCTGGGTTTTTGGCGAAACTAGGTTTGGCGACTGTCGCCTCTCCAAAACAGCAACAGGGTGTCCATCAACCAGCATTCGGATTTTCGGGTTCTTAGCGGGTTCCGGGTTTCAGAGGAGCCGAAACCGTTGCCGAAACCTCAGTTATAAGGTTTGGTTTCGGGTTAAACCGAAAACTGAAACCAGTCGGACACCCCTATACAACACCATACACGAGCTAACGACGACACTTATAGATTACAAAACACGAATCAAGTTTCTAGTAGATTCTTCAATGCTAACGTCTCCAACTATATCTTTATCTTTTGTTAGGGGCTTAGTACGTGTGCTCCTTTCGGCAGCAATTTTTGCTCTCCTTAAATCGGAAAACGCAGATTCTAATAGCATGATGGCGCCTCATCAATCTCAAACCCCGACCTTCAGTTAGACATTTATCTCAAAAACAAATACAACTTTAGAACCTGAGCTACGCTAAATGTGATTAAATAACATTTATCTGATTTCGATTTGGTTTGTCGATAACAATATGCTAGATAGTAAGCTAAACAACCTTTCATATAAAAAAATTGTGCCCAAATTAAGATCTTGGAGACTAAACTAATTGCTGAAAATCGGTACATATATCATATATGTATTTATATTTCCCGTATTTTGAATAAATAAAATACATTTTCTCATAATTGAGATTTAGAGAAAAAAGAAAGAAGAAGAAAAAAGCTAATTGTATGTGTAATTTCTCCCCTATACATAGATCCAGGTCAAACACGGTAACCGAAGGCATTCTTCCTCTACCAAATTCCACGCTGGCCTCCACCGCGTGCCACGTGTACATTACATTCCCCTCTTTTCCCGCCTCGAGACTGCCGCGCCCCGTGACCCGGAATATTCGCCGCCCCTAGCAAAACTAAAAACTAATCCGCCACGTGGCCAACGTAACTCGTCAACTCGGAACTCGCGACCCGCTTAACTCACTCTAGACGAACCCGGCCGAGTCTCCCCCGCCGCCGACTCGGGACCTCGCTCCAAGTCAAAGTCGACAGTATCCTCACTCGCCGCCGCCGCCGCCGCCGCCATCGACCCGCCGCAGCTCGTCGGGATCGGCGTATGGGGAGAAAGAACGTACCCGTTGTTCGCTCGCCAGTCCCTGCTCAGAATCCGTGTAAACGACAGCATCCGGCTCATCGGCGACCGGAACCCCTGACTCGCCGGCGACTCCGGCACCGCCCCCGCAGCCGCCGAAGAAGACTCTTCCCCAAAATTCCTCAAGGGAACCTCGATCCCCAGATCTCCCCTAAATTTCCGTCCACCAACCGACGCGGAAGGCCCAATTTCAAGATCCCGAGTCGAATCGCACAGCTCCACCATCTCCACCGCCGGGACCGGCTCCACCGGCGAGCGGCAGAGCGGGCAGGTCGAGTGGGAATGGAACCACATATCAATACACTCCGTGTGAAAACTATGCCCACATTTCGGCAGCGTCCGGCCGGCCTCCTTCTCCTCGAATTCCGACAAGCAGACGGCGCACTCCATCAACTCCGGCGCCGCCGTGTCGGCGGCGGAGTAGACGAATACCGGGAGCGATTTCAGGACGGCGGCGTCCAGCCCGCGAGACTGCGCCGGGTTGGAGGTCGCCGCCTGGTCGACGTAGAAGACGAGGTTCTGGCGGCGGCTGCGGCGGCGCATCTGGCGCCGCCGCGCGCGGAGGAGGTACCAGCGGGCGTAAAGGTGGAGGCAGATCATGAGGATGACGACGAAGAAGAGGACGACGATCGCGCTCAACATGATCTTCCCGCTGAGCGCGTAGCTCCGATCGGAGAACGAGGTTCTCGAGCCTGGCGAATCCATTGCTCGGATCTGGCCTCAAAGTTCGAACTCAGAGTGTGGTGGATTTTTCCGCGGCAGAGAAAGTCCACGAATTGGGAAAACGTGGGAGTGAGGGTGTGGTTATGGTGGGAAGGGGAAAGTGAGTGGGGAATATTTTGGTTAAGTAATGGGAAAAAGAGTTGAGCTTGAGAGGAAGAAGGAGAGGAAAGTTCTTTATGGGCTGCTGTAGTGGAGAATTATTGAGAAGGGTCGGGCGCCATGTTTGACGCGGAAATGCTTATTCTACTTATCTCCTTGATTTTCTCTTCCTCCGACTCTTTGGGTTGTGATTACATAAATGTCCCTGCCATGTGGAAATGGTGGGTTTGTTGTGGGCTTGCAATCTCGGGCATTTGGTTTCATATAAACGAAACCTAAGAAAACTTACTTTTCATCTTGGACTCTGAAGTGCAGCGTTGTAGAGCCCACAATAGATGGATCTGACCTAGACCATACATGCAGCCCAAATATCTTAAATGCGAGAACGAGTTATGGGCTTGAAGGCCGAATGAACGAGCCAGACTTCACATATAAGCCCAACCCAACAGCTGACATGTATCCTTCAATAGCAGTAAACCATCCACAGTGGTTTACTCCATTTGCTCTCCTTTTTTACTGCAACACACAAAAGAGTTTCAATGGAATAGGTAGAAAAGGAGAAAGTTTGAAAGAGAGCTACTAGCCAAGTTGTTTGAAACTGTTGATTTGACACACGAGAGATTGTGTTTCGTATTTGTTTTTGGCAATTTGTGCAATTAATTTTTTAGTAGCATATGAGTCGGTCGAATCTGTATGAGTTTAGATTAGATAATTTGTGTGATTTTTCGACAGTTCGACTATGCAGTCCTTGAGATAGATCATACGCGTGTGCCACTATCGATAAAAAAAAACGAAAGAAAATTTGAATTTTAAGGCGAATTAAATTAGTGTTGATTTCATCATTTTACTAGATAATTCAATCATTGTTCTCATATATGTAATATTGCATTTTGTGTCAGTGTTTGATTACTTACCCTCACAAAGAGATAAAATATAGGGTGAGGAACCAATAACTTGTTCAAGTTCATGAGTTTTGCTACATTAAGAAGGGGTGATTATTGGGGGAAAGGTATTGTAGCAACTCCCCCCAAATTGGGGAACTCCATTTGCTCTTGTTGAGTTGGTTTATCTCTCTTTCCCTTCAAAATGGAGCACCATTTTCTCTCATTATTTCACTATACTCAACTTTTCACTCTTTCTAAACTTTTCTTTCGTTCTCTAAATTTCTCCATCTATTTCACTAACTTAGAGAATATGTAAATATTGTTAACATAAATGAAAAAAGTTAAAATCACATGGCTATATGCATTTGATCCAATAAGTTATACTCGTTTTTAACACCAAAGTAAGGACACTCAATAAATGTACTCAACACCTGACTTTGACTATGTGATGAATACTAAATTTCAAACAATTGTCACTAATGTCACAAATAATAATTATACTTCTAAATCATAGATAAAACATTCCAAACATAACAAATATTGAGAATAAATTTCAAACAATTGTTCTATTTATGAATGACAATCTCTATATGGGCAACAAAACCCTTTAGATACATACGGTTTAGTACGATCATTCAAGTTTAGGATCTCATACTCACGTCAATGTTGGCTCATTTAAAGACCTCCAAACAACTCAAAGTTCATTAGATACATATGCTTTAGTGTTAGTAAAATTTTAAGTAGAGGTGTTCAAACGGATTGGTTACCATGGTAACCAAATTAACCGGTAGCATTCAGTTAATTTGGTTTGGTTAAACAATTTAGCCTATTTGGTTTTGGTGGTTTGGTTTCAACACTGCTAACCAATGAAACCAATTAACCAATTAATGATACACCTAATATACAAAGTTATTTATACTTCTATGCAACCAACCAAACCAAACTTTCATGATTCCCTATTTTATTTCCATGTGCACAACAAACCAAAGCATTATAGGTCAAAAATTAAATGGGTCTGCCTATTTACTAACCCAAAACATTTTGGACAGCTACTAGACTTTAGGATTACGTACAATACCATCACAATCACCTCAAACTATGTATAGTTTAAGTGTTTTGTTGGAGAGCTTTAACTTACTGATGAGTGGTATTGGTATGTATTTGATATTTATGTTAAGGGTTTGTTGTAAGCTAACTATATTAGGTGCAAAGATGATGAATGGTGTATTAACTCGAATGGTTAAGACATTTTATTCTGTGGTTAATGAAATTTAGACTTAATTGGTTTGGTATTACCACGGTAACCATTTGAAACACCCCTAAATTTTTAAATACCCCTATAAGCTGAAAGTCTGGCTGCACCACTAATTATCATATTAACCCCTTTTGTTCTTTCTCACAAGTTGTGATATATGTAGCTTTTTAGATAATCATTACATTAGTCAAACCTTAAAACTCTAAAATAAGACCACAATATGCAATTACGCGGTACCAAATTACTCTAAAATAAGACCACAATATGGTCAAACAAACAATCAAGTTCAATTCTAGCTGCTCAAATGACGCATATATTTTATATTACAATGTTTGCTAAGCTGAGCGGTAGGTGGGAGATCCAGACATAACGCAAGTTGTTATTTATGTAAACGTCCTGTCTAGCTAGCTAGCTTATTCGTTCGATCATCCCCAATTTCGGATTAGAAGATATTAGCCAGCTAGCTTAGCATGGTTCGTCTCTTTGATTTCAAGTCAGACAAGCACTTCGTTGCTTCCTCCGACGGAACTAACCTCAAAGTCTATCAATTGAGCCACCCTATTGCTTCTCCTTCTTCCATTCGAAAGACTCATTGGAGGGAAATCGTCAGTATCATCTGTTCTCGTGACGATGCATCTGCTGAGAGCCAACTGCAGGAGCACTGCTATGACGGGTTGCTGTTCTTTGATGGCCATGGGAAGATAGAGGGGCGGGAGGCGTTGACCAAGCTAGCCCAACACCTCACACGTCTACACTTGATGGTGAGCCCCGGAGGATACTGTTTCCAAGATGCCGGCGAGCTAGGTGAGTACAAGGACTTTGGGGTTCACTACCTGCGATTGAATGATCAGTTCGATTGGTCTCGTCATGGCGTTAACCTCGCCACGGCGACCATCGTGTGGCCGCGATTGAAGTTGAAGTACGTCGTACCAAAGCAAGGGAGACCAGCCACCGTGGAGGGAGGAGTGAGCAAGGAGAAGTATGCCGAGTTGAAGACGTTGGTGAAAGAGAAGGACAAGGAGTTGGAGAAGTTGAGGGAGGAGCTCCAGAAGCTGCAGAAGCTGAGCGAAGAAAGAGACGAGGAGTTGCAAAACTTAAGGGAGGAGATGGAGAAAGCAAGTGAAGCGAAGGATGGCGAACTCGAAGAGCTTAGAGAAAAACTATCCTCAAGTTTAGCCGACATGGCACGCGTCAAGGAAGAACTAGAGCAATGCTGTGAGAATTCATGGTCGGATTCAGCTAGGAAAAGTACATTCTTCTTGGCGAGTCAGCTCTCAAAGAACCAGGAGGAGTGGCAAATCCACTCAAGGCAAAGACGCCCCGTGCCACCAGAAACGTTCCGATGTGGAGGCATCGATATGTTCTCTGGGTGCCGTTATTTTTACGTGCCCAAGATGAGGGATGGACAGCTAGATCCATTTTATGAAATAGTTTTTTTGGTGGACGAGGAGATGACTGCAAGGTCGTTGCTGCCGCCATTGGTGCACGTCGAAACTCGCGTTGTTGGGCAATTCGACGTGAACAATTGGTGGTTTACGAAAGCACTTCATCCCGAAGGTGGGGTGACGATGTTGGCGTACTATGACGGTCATCGGGATCACGTTCGGGATCACGTTCGGCTGCCGTATTCCAAGAATGAAGATTTTTATGCGGACCGGAGGTTTTTCTTTGTTCGTATCGGCAACGAAAGAAGATTGGCCTTCGCCTATCGAGTATAGATCGACCATTGTGACTAGGATCAAAATGTAATTTAATCTTCGGTTCGCAAATGTATTTTTTTTTTTTTTGGATTGAAATTGAATGTTTGAATCATGCAAGATTATTGTATCTCGATTCTCGAACCCCGTAACCTGTAACCGCTTGTTGGTATAAATGCATGTACCAATATAAAATTTTGGATCGGTGCAAATTTATAAGGTTTAATTAATTCTTTAACATGCATTTCTCGACCCGTAATGTATAAGTATGAAGCTGGGCATCTTGAACTCTAAAGTCTAGCCTGGAGCCTTAAATGGCTGAAATGCAATAATGGGCCTGAAAGTCAGGCCGAAAATCCAGACTTCAATTATGATCCCAAATTCCCAACCTAGCCCACGTTGATCCGTAAACACCATTGTTGTGGTCTATGGAGATATTCGCAGCCTGGGGTGAATTGCAAACTTGGTCACTCATATTACTCATTTATAACACTTTAGCCACCCAAATTAAAAATCATTCAAGTTAGCCACCAATACTACATGTTTATGTCATATTTGGTCACTTGTCGTCTAGTTCCGTTAAGTCTGTCCTACGTGGCAGTCAATAAATAGGTTTGACCATTAAAATGATGACGTGGCCATTAAAAGTAATTAGTTGATAAATTTTAAATTTTATATTCTAATACAGCTCACAATTTTCAATTACAATATTATTTATGATAAGAAGTTAGCTATTCCCACCTTCTTTCCGGCTCCCCAGTTCCCCAATTCCACCATCTTTGTTTCCACAGACCCACGATTCCATCCCAAACCATTCAGCCCATCAGCACCGTAAACCGAAACTCCTCCACGCCACCTTCGGGAATTGGAATCTCCGTTGCTTTATTGTCCCCCGCGGCGTTCCCGGCCAGTTCCAGAACCTGAAGAACCAATAAAATCACCAAAACACGACGGTTGGTTTCTAGATCTGAGAGTTTTCAGCGATTCGATTAAGAAAAGGAGTGAGCGCATCGACACTCGCAGGCACCGCGTCGACCCTGGCAACCGAAATCCTCTTCTCTAAGAGCTGGATTTGGAGCTTCAGCGACGAAATTTCGCTCAACAGGGACTCCTGCTCGCGAAGCCACCTCTGCTCTTCCCAGAGCCACCGATTCTCCTCACGCAGCCCCCCGCTACTCTTCGTGGAGCCAGAGAAGCTCCTCGTCAATGCAACTGTGAATTAGAGCTGGGACCCCATCAATTGCACCTTCTGTTCGTCGTCGTTGGGTTTAATTCGTCGGGACGATTGGGAGGATCGCGGTTTTGCGACGGAATGCTTGGAGCAACGGTGGTGGGGATTTTGCGGAGGAAAAAGGATTGGTTGATTTTGCGGCGGGATACTTGGGTTCGTGGGTTTCAGATGGCATGGAGGCAGCGGGAGGGGAGGGCGACGAAGTGCAACGATGGAGAGGGGAGGGCGATGCCGGTGGGCTCGCTTTATTAATATTTTATATTGATTAGTTTTTTTTTTATGAAAATAAATATTGATTAGAATTTAGTATGATGTGGAAATAAAAATAATTTTTTTTATTATTTTTAATGGCCACGTCAGCATTTTAACGGTCAAACCTATTTGTTGACTGTCATGTAGGACAGACTTAACGGAACTAGACGACGAGTGATCAAATATGTTATAAACGTGTAGTATCGGTGATTAAGTTGAATGGTTTTTGATTTGGGTGGCTAGAGTGTTATAAATGAATAATATGAATGACCAAGTTTGCAATTCACCCTCGCAGCCTGGAAAGAAAATTAATTATAGTCGTTTATGATTGAATTTTCTTTTCTAAAATCTGATAGAATATTTTACTGAAATTTTTAAATGAGCGTACCGCAAATCCAAACCAATCCGTAGAAAATTCAACAGGGGAGAACAATAGGGTAGCTCATTTGGTAGCTAGGATAGCCCTCTCTTTGTATCCGACTATGAGTCGCTTCTTTGATTTTCAGAGCTGGCTGGTTTCCAGGTAGGGATGGCAATCATACCCATCGCCGCGGGTACCCGACCGCCTCCGACCCAGTCAACGCGGGGAATCCCCGCTTTGACTGGGTATGGGGCGGGTATGGGTAAAACCCGCGAAGAATCTGATGGGTATGGGGCGGGTATGGTTTTAGGTGCCCCCGCCCCATACCCATACCCATACCCAACCCGCCAACCTTATTTGTTATATGCTAAAAATACAAGTACCTGTTTGTAAATTTTTAATGACATAAAGGGTAAATGAAATAAATATAGATGACTAAAAGATAATTTCTCTTATCAAAACCCTAAAGGAAACATTAGCTCATTCCATTCTAATTTCTCACAGCCGCAGCCGCTCATTCTCCCAATTCTCAAATTCTTTGCTGCTGCTCGTCGTTCGTCGACTCCCGCAGCCGGCCAGCCGTCCCACAATCGATTCCTCCAACAGCCTCCGCCGCCGGTTCTGAATCGGGACTCCGTCGAAGTCGCCGTCGTCGGTGGCCGCTCCATCTCCACCTTCACGAGGCCGCACTTCACGTCGGCGAGCCGCTCCATCTCCACCTTCACGAGGCCGCACTTCCCAGGCCACAATCGATTTCCCTGGCTGGCTGGCTCCACGGCCCACGCACGGACGCACAGCGACACGTTTCTTCCTCTTGACAGCTCCACGCAAAGGTCAGATCCACGCCGCTAGCTCCATGCACAGCTCCACGCAAAGGTCAGCCACGTTTCTTCCTTTGGGCAATAGATTTTCATTGATTCTCCTGAGGCTTGAAAAATCAAACTGAACCCCAGATCAAAACCAAGTCCCCCACCGATCAAATTTCGTCAGTGAAAGGTGCATTTTTTATGGAGTACTATGAGAAAACGAAATGGTCAAATCTGGATTTGAGGTTGCAAAGGAAGCTTTTTTTTTCTTTTAAGAACAAATATTGAAAATCAGTTTTCAATTTTATCTCTTGCTCAATTCAAGCGTAAGAATAAAATTTCTTAAAATCAGCTTTTGTTTTCAGTTTTATTCATCAGAATCAGCTTTTGTAACTCTCGTGGTTTCAAAAGCAAGCAAATGTCTTGTGACTTGAAGTGCATCTAAATCTATTTTGTTTTGTTGTAGGTCTTGCACTTGATTCAGATTATGATTCTGAAGATGAATGATGTCCAAATTTGTCTCGACTCTTGAGTTTAAAGTATGACCATATAAGGACTATTTCTTAGTGCTTTGTTTTCAATTACTCTTTTCATGTGTCTAATGCTTGATGATTTATTTTGTGTTTGTAGGTATGGAGAAATGAAGAAGGGATTTATGTAATGCTTTTGGGAGAGGCAATGCGACTTTGTGTGTTTGAACTTTGAAGTAGTCTAGTAGACTTTGATCATTTAGAGACAATTAAACAAAGTATTGGATGTTTTTTCGCATTAAGAACGATTGTACCTTGTTGATTTTATAATTTATTTGGTTGTTTTAGTGTTATAATTGAAGAATGCATGTTGTTTATTAGGTGTAGAAGTAATGCATACATGGGGATGGGTATTACCCATGGGTACCCGAAACCCGCGGGTATGGGGATGGGTATGCAAATCCTCCACCCGCATGGGTATGGGGCGGGGATGGGTATGGGTATATGGAAATGGGGATGGGGATGGTTTAGGCAAACCCGCCCCAAACCCGCCCCATTGCCATCCCTATTTCCAGGGTGTAACTATCTTCTGCTATGATCAATATATGATATCTTTTGACCAAAAAAAAAAATCCAAACCAATCCAATTCATTGCCACGGTATTCCTCCAAGATGCAATGACCATCCGTAGAATTGACCACATTCCGCGTTATAAATTGAACAAGGAAAAATTAGGATTACCGAATCTGGTTGAGTCGCGGACTAGGTCGTTCTCTTTAAGACGTTCACAGCACTGCCTCGTAATTCACACAGCAGACTATCAGTCAGTCGCCTCCGGGATAAAACAGTCATTCTAATTTGCTGCTCATCGGTTTTTGTGCGAAAACCGGAGCTCTATGAATTCACTCTCTCTCGTATGTTTATGCTCTTTTGATATGTGTTTAGAAAGTTTAGAGCCTCTACTATTTATAGGAGGAGAAAATCCGGAATACTGACAATTCCAAGAAAGTCACTGAACTTATTATCATGCGCGGTTTGACCAGAAAGAGGATAACACAACAGTGCGAGTAAAAAAAGGGGAAGTGGAAATAGGGACACAACTTTTCTAGCACGCTTCCACTTGGCCCCAAAATTTTATTAATAGCAAAGAAGAAGCCGACGGAGGAGTGTCCGGTGTCCCCTACACTCTCCAGAGCAGTTCCGGCAAGGCAACGGCAGGCAGCTGCCGCTGCTGGTGCGCCATTAATCATCTTCATTGAGGCATAATCTTTAAAAGGAAAAGCTCACGAGAACTACCTCAGTAAAAAAAGGATGCTTCTCTATCATTTGGACCGATGGTCAAATAAGTGATTTGATCAGTTGGTTCCTTTTTTTTTTTTATCTCTGTCTGCGACGGTGAATTCAGGGCACTGCGCTCCCACGTTGTTTTGTCCTTGATTTTATCACAGAGGTATAATTATGGGTTAATATTTTTGTACGGACTGAACTTTGACCAAAATAAACATTCTGGCCAATCTTTTTGATCTATAACATCCTGGCCCGAACTATACACCAAAATAAACAATTTGGCTAAATCCGACTTTTGACCGTTAACCTGGACGGTCAAACGCGTTGACCGTTAGTCAACGTGCCATGTCACTGCCAAGTCAGCATAAAATATTTAAAATAATTCACAATTTTCATACATTCCCTAATTTTATATTATTATAAATTAAAAAAATCATCTAATACCTTAGTTAAACCAAAAATAAAAAACGAAAAAAATAAATATTTATCAGATCTTATGACTTGGCAGTAATGTGGCGCGTTGATCGTTAGTCAACGCGTTTGACCGTCCAAGTTAACGGTCAAACATCGGGTTTGGCCAAATTGTTTATTTTGATGTATAGTTCGAGTCAGGATGTTATAGATCGAAAAAATTGACCATGATGTTTATTTCGACCAAAATTCAGGTAGTACAAAAATATTAACTCTATAATTATACACAATCCCACTAATTCTTCCCCTAGTAAATGTTCCCCTGCCACAATAATTCTGCCGCGTAATTACCTTTCCTTAACTCATCACCATAATTCCTTCCATACCTCATGCCCATCCAGACAAGAGGGGCGTGCGTTATAATAAATACCCATCGCCATTAAAATAACTCAGTTACAGTCTTACACAGAAATTGGAAGAGACAAGAAGAAGAAGAAGAAACCAAACCAACCGTTGGATAAATAAAATATAAAACGACCCTCAGAGCTCAGTTCTAGCGAGTAGGGTTTTGTCAAGTTCCAAACCAACGGGCCATTCCTCCTTCCCTTGACCTTGAGCCACTTACCCGAAAGGCCGAAACCCATATATAAAAGCTCTGCTCAAAAGGAGAGGGGGAAAAAAAAGGGGTAAAGCTAGAACAGAAAAATGGCAAGCAAAAGCAAATCCCCTGTTTTCCCCATGCCAACAGAGCCTCACCACTTCAGCGACTATGGCTTCGACCCTCAAATCGACTACTTCCAGGTAAAATCGATCATCACACAATCACCCATTTCCACAAAGTCTCCATCTTTGTCAAAACCTTCGATCTTCCTACAGAGAAAATCCATTAACCAACGATTTCTCTTTCTTTGCTTTACTCTGTTTTCCCCAGTTCTTAGAAGAAGCGAAGAAGCACAAGCTCAACTCCACCACCGCAGCAAATTCCATCGACACGCTGCACTTCAAGCTCCAGAAGCCCCTCTCCAGAGACGAATCTCTGAAGGCGACCCGGTCCAACAAGGCGAAGATCAAGAAGCGGTGGTGGAAGAACGCGCTGGTCTTCTTCAAGCTGAAATGGGCTCACACCAATCCCAAATTTAAAGCCTTTGAAGCAGAGGAAGGAGAAGGAGATGATGTTCACAGAGCCAGGGCTCGAGCTCTCCGTGCCACGATGTCGGGACCCGTTTATTACATAACCGAGAGCCGAAGCGGGTCGAACACGCCGTACCGGACGACGACGAGCAGGCCTGCCTCCGGCCCTCTCGCCGGATCTCTGTCGCCGGCGGTGAAAGGGGACATCGATTTGCCGTATGTGAGTCTCAGGGAGCTTAATATGGAGCGGCAGCAGCAGAGGATGTCTACCTCTGCCTTGCCCATTTACTTGGTCACTTGAAAAATGCTGAATCGGTTTCAATTGGGAAGTCTAGATTAGTTTCTTTCCAAGATTGGTGCCCAGTTTTCCCCCTTTTTTTGGTTGGGGGAAAGGGGGAAATTACAGATTGCTGTCGCCATGGTCTTTTCCCTTTCCTCTGTTTTCTGGGTTGCTTCTAAAATTGCTTAGGAAGAACAGGGTGTTTGATTTTTTATTTTTTTTACCTTTTGTGGAGGATGACTGAATCATCAATCTCCACTTTTCTATGTTATCTTTTTTACCTTTTCACTAAGTAGTGATGAGATTGATTTGTTGTTGTTAGTTGGTAATGGTGATGAATGATCATAGAGTGTGAAATTTGTGCATCAAGGCACCAACTTTGGTGGTGGTGTGTTGTTGTTTGTAGTGGTAAATCTTTTTATCTATTTGTTTGTCTATCTATGCTCACTATATTATTATCATAAAGTGAAATGGGTTTTTTTCGGGATGAAGCACAGTTTGCAACACTATAATTGAAACGAATGAATATTATAGTACAGTCGAAAATGATATGAAATTATAAGATAATGACCTTGAATTACTTCATTTTCAGAGGCTTTCACTCTTCTCTTTAATGTTGGGATAGTGTAGTTGTTGGAAATTGGTTGTTAGGTAATTGTTAATTATCTATCTCTGATGGGGCATGTGACCTCTTTGTTAATGGAGGATTTGATGGATCTTAGGAAGAGTAATCTCATTTGTTTTCATATTCTTAAATCTTCAATTCAAAAGTAGCTATGATATATTTGCTGAATATTTTGAAATCTACAACGGTCCTAGATGATAAATTATTAGGTGTGATTTTGTCAGCTAGTGTGCAAATTACACTACATGGGTACGGTCAGCAGAATCAAGCTGGATTTGGTTCCCCTCATTTTACCTTGCCTTATTGTAGGGTCCTTCACAACTAACCGACGAAAGGAGAGCCTAACTACCTAAAAGAGAAAAGTTCCATTAAGCATCAAGAACTTTGTTAGTTTAAGCAATGCCATTGCTCCCTTTAATGATACACTTTTTGATCAAGTTAGATTAGCCACTCATTATGTGCTCTAACATAAGAGTACAACATACCCCATTAGACCAAATCAATCCCGAGCATCCATAACTGCGTACTTCTTCGAGAATCGAACTATAATTTTTGAGCAGTATATTCGTGATGAGCGCATCATATGTGGGTGACATAAGTTCGAACCTGCTGATTGATTAATAAGAAGCTATAAGTACGATATTATGCGACGTCTATCCAAATTCCCAAGCATGATGGACATGCATCGCCAACGCGACAGAGGGAGCCTTTGAGGAGAGGACCCGACTTAGCAAAAAATTGAGTATCAAACTCTTTAAATATATACGTTTTAGCATGATTTTTGAAATGTAGGACCCCATACTTTTGCCGATACTACCTGATCACGTACGGATCTCAATTAACTCGAGTTTTTTAACGACTCCGGTCCATTCAAAGTCTAACTAGCATAGCCCCCACAAAATACCGTGCTATCTTTGCCAACTGATTTTGGGGCAACGGTTCCCAATCACTTCACAAACTGAAGAGAAGCACGTTGTTGTTTTTGCAACTGGCAGAGACGGGAAAGCAACATAGATCAAGCAAGCTAAGGAAGCGTCGGTTTCCACAGAAAGGGATGGCGTGGGGGAGCAAGGGAGCGGCGTTTGCCATGTGCAGCAGAAGCATTTGTTAGCCTGTTCCATTAATTTCTCAACCCATTTCGCCATCTTATATGTGACCGTTTTCTTTTGTCATTTTGCTTGCTTTAAACCTCCATTTGCAGGGAGAGGCTGCATCTGATGGACGTTGATAATCGGCTTTAACATATTGAATTCTTGGACTTTATGTGATTATCCATGATATGTTTAAGTCGATTGGTGTTATTTTAGGGCTCGCTAACCCGAAAATGGTTGAAAAACCACTACTGCCTAGTGCCATGAGTTTGATGTATTACAGGTGAAGAAAGCACAAAAAAATGAGAAATTGTACGGGCAAACAATCGGGCTCGAATCATTGGTGGAATAACAATTGGACCTATGAGGAGCTTAGTGCGTTGAAACTTCTGGACCGGGACGAAATTAATGAGACTGAGAAGTTTAATTAAAGGTGGACTTAAAGCCCACAAAAACTTGATTTTGTAGGCGAGAAGTCTTGGGTGGAATTAATGGGCGGAACAGCAGGTGGGCATTTGATTTTTGGCCCAGGTCCGTGGCAATTGAGAGGACGGAATCAATTTGGAGAAAAGCGAAGGCAATAAAAGGCTGAAGGTCTCTGGTGGCGGAAATTTGAGGAGAAGAGAAAGGCAGTGGGCAGCGAGCAGCGAGCAGCGAGAACAGGCAAAAAGCGACGAGCAGCAGCAGGCGATTGAGAATTTCGATCGACTTCTTCAAGGCTTGAGCTGATTTCAACGAGAGCGATTAATTGGTTGGATTCTCTGAACCAATTTAGTTGTTTTTTTTGTTGATTTAGAACATGATGAACAAAACCCTATCGATTTATCTTAATTTCGTCATGAACTAAACCCCAATTTCTGGGGGAAACACCATAGGATGTAGCTATTTCTTGATTTGATGGATTGATTCATGATTCTTTTCTTCCAATCTCTATTGCATGAAATTTCTTAATGCTTTGTGTTGACTGGCCACCAATACAACGATTTGTAGTTAATTAGGTTATTAGCGACAGTGAAATCCTATTAACCGAGCCTATTTCATGTGACATAGTAACTTATCGAAGCGACAGTGGATTAAATAAGGTGCTATGCTGTCTTAAATAGGATATCGATCTTCAGGCTATATAGTTAATTCATTGAGCTACGACAGTAGGATTTGAATTAATTGTTTAGTACGTAGTAATTCCCGACAGGGATAGCTAGCACATTCGTGATATCCTGGCTGTAGAGATATGGATTAAATTGATTGGAATATGTGAATTAATCTGGATAGGATAGGTAGTGAATCCCGGTGTTTCTCCCAGAGCTTTCTCCCATTGATTTAAACCCGACACTTTAATTTGCTTGTTTAGTTAATTTTGCTAGTAGTTAATAATCTCATTAAATCATTTTCACCTATAGTTTGCTCTATTAAATCGGTAAATCTTAAGGTTGTACCAGTCCCTGAGAGACGATACCCGGACTTTCCGGTTTACTACAAGATAGGAATTGAAGCTATACGCTTTTGCCCTATCAAGTTTTTGGCGCCGTTGCCGGGGACTGCCATACCTTATTTTTGTTGATTTTTGTGAGTGAACTATTTTGATCTGGGTGTTAGTGTGCAGAAGAATTTTTCAGGTGTATCCTCCTCGTGCATGCCAAGGAGGACGACTGGCAATTTACTGCCACTTGATCCCGAGATCGAGAGGACCTGCCGACAGAACAGGAAGCAGGTCAAGTTAGGGAAGCAGCCTACCACATCCACAACTCCTAGGCCTTCCCTAACTCAGAATCGTCAACCGAGAAGGCAGGTGACGCCACCTGTCATCCCTACACCACCGCCGCGTGTCATCGAGCCTGTCATCATGGCAGAACAGGATCGGTCGATCAGGGCTCGTCTGAATCGGAGGACTGGAGCCCGAGCTTCATGTGTTGTCATTCCGGCTGGGGATGCAAACATGGAGATTGCCCCAGCCTTCATCAATATGATCACTAATGGGTACACCTTCTCAGGGGCCAGCACCGAGGATCCTCATGAGCATCTTCGCCGGTTCGCGAGCATTTGTGATACTATGAAGAGCCCGAACGTGTCTGATGATACAATCCGTCTTCGGATGTTCTCATTTTCTCTGCTAGGGAATGCATCACACTGGTTCCAAAACTTAACACCCCGTTCCATCACGACATGGGGTCAGCTTGAGAAGGTATTTCTGGATAAATACTTCCCACCTGCCTTGGCAATGAAGAGGCAAGAAGAGATTGTTACTTTTAAGCAGACTGATGATGAGAGTCTGACTGAGGCATGGGAGCGCTACAAGGGGCTGTTGATGAGATGCCCAAGCCATGGTCTTGAAGATTGGAACGTGATCATTATTTTCTTCAATGGAATCAGAAGGGAGTTTCGAGATGCCCTGAATAATGCTTCTCGAAATGGTTTCACAAGCATGGAGGCACCAGCAGCATATGATCTGGTAGAGAAGATCTGTTCAGAAGCCACTGAATGGGGTAGTGAGACCAGTATTCGAAGGAGAGGAGGCTTGCATGAGATAAACAGAGTTGCGAGTCTAGAAGCCAAGATAGATGCTAAACTGGATTCCAAGTTTGATGCACTCGAACGAAGGTTGGCCAAGATTGCTCTGGGTAGACAAGAGGAGGTTGTTTCATGTGAACTTTGCGAGGGTCCTCATCACAGGGATATGTGTCCACTGAGAGCTGCTCAGCTGGAAGATGTCCAATACATCAATAATCCGCGAAGTCAAGGCCAGGGTGGTATGTATTCAAATACATATAACCCTCAATGGAGACATCACCCCAACATGTCATGGTCAAATAATAATCCAGCTGGTGTTCGAAACATCCCACCTCCCGGTTTTCAACAGCAGCAGCCTCAACCAGAGAAGAAGCCCCAGCTGGAGGAGTTGATTTTGGCTCATATGCAGAAAACAGACAATAATTTCAAGGGTCTGGATCAATTTGTCACTCAACAGCTAGCCATCAACAATAATTTACAATCTTCTATGCTAGCTATGGAAAGGCAAATAGGCCAGATGGCTCAAACTTTGGCAGATATGCAAGGCAGGATTCCTGGGACATTACCAGCAAATACTGAGAGGAATCCGAAGGATGCCATGGTTGTAGCAGTGACATTGAGGAGTGGAAAGGCCTTGGAAGACCCTAGCAGCTCAAAAAATGCACCAGAGGCAGAAGAGGAAGCACCGGGAGAAAGATCTTGTGCAGAAAATGAAGAATCAGCCTTGCACAGGCAAAATGAAAGCGGTTTGCCTGTGCAAAAGCATGCTGCCCGTGTACCTCAAAAAGTGGAAAAATTGAAGAATGAAGAGGTAAAGCCTTATGAACTTCCCGCCCCATTCCCTCAAAGGTTAATGAAGCCCATGGAAGACCCAAACTTCAAGAAATTTGTGAATATCTTCAAGCAACTTCAGATTAACATACCCTTGGCGGAGGCACTTGAACAGATGCCTACATATGCTAAATTCTTAAGGGAGTTGTTGACAAAGAAGTGGAAATGGGCTGATCTAGAGAAGGTAACCCTTACTTCTGAATGTAGTGCTGTGATTCAGAATAAATTACCAGAAAAGAGGGATGATCCGGGAAGCTTCACCATTCCATGTGTCATTGGAGGTACAGAATTCAATAAATCACTTTGTGATCTTGGAGCAGGAATTAATTTGATGCCATACTCAGTCTACAAGAAATTGGGATTGGGAGATGTTCTAAAGCCTACTCGGATCACTCTCCAATTGCCTGATCGATCAGTGAAAATTCCAAAAGGAGTGGTGGAGAATGTATTGGTGAAGGTGGGAAAGTTTATTCTCCCAACAGATTTTGTAATCCTGGAGATGGAAGATGATCGGGGAGTGCCTCTAATCCTCGGCAGACCTTTTCTAGCAACCGGTGATGCACTCATCGATGTTGGGAGAGGCAAGTTGACATTCCGAGTAGGTAAGGAGGAGGAAATTTTTAATGTCTTTCAAGTTGACCATAATCATGATGAATTTGAAAGTGAAGCTCGAGAAAGGAAAAATCCCTCTTCCTGTGATAGTGGACCATCCGAAGAACTATCACCTATCCTATCTGCTCAGATTCTGAAATCAAAGCAAGGGCAGAAATCCTTGCCAGGTCACCTCAAGTATAGATATTTGGGTAAGGATTTCAATATTCCTGTTATTATTCCTTCTTCACTGACATTGAAACAGGAAGAGTACCTGCTTGAGGCGCTGCAGTACCACCTACGCCTCACTAAAGGGTCTAACATGCCAGCTAAGAAGGTCATACCCAATTTTCGCACACCTGGCCCTGCAGAGGTGACTCATATGCTGGATGGAGGTTATGCGTTCTATCATTGCTCGGGAGGGTACGCTGGATACCTTTCCATACCCATTGGTTGAAAGCTCCATAAACGTCAGGCTGAGGACGTTAAACAAGCGCTTCTTGGGAGGCAACCCAATGTAAGTTTTCTTTTCTTTATTTTTTATTTTTAGTTGTGTCAAACCCGTGCATGTTTAGATTAGGAGTTGAACATTAGGGACAATGTTCCATCCTGAGTGTGGGGTGGCGAGTCTTAGTGTTTGTTTGTTCCTTTTGTCATGTGGTCGGTAAAAAAAAAAACAAAAAAAAAATTGCCATTAGGTTGAGCACAGCCAAACTGCATGCAGTTTGCCTGTGTAAAAAGCAGTCTGCCTGTGTAAAAAGCATGCTGCCTGTGCAAAGCTAATGGCTAAAAAACACCTAAAAATCAGAAAAATCAAAAACAAAACCTTGTACTCTTGTGGTAACATGATGTAAATGACCGTGATGCCTTGAAAATGAGTTTGTGCTTGAAGGAAATCATCAAAATCACCCCACTAGTGTTGAATTGCATGGTTCTTCACAATGAGCTTAAATGTTTTGACTGACTTGATATGCTTGGAATGAGCAACTCTTTTAGCAACATTCTCTTTTGGGAGGATAGTGTAATGACTTTTGGTGAAGTAGTTAGGTGGAGAACATTGACCATTCGATATGTTTGGATACCGTGCTTACTTGCATCAATTGTGAGCTTTTGATTTTGCAATGAGTCTCTCTGTTTTGAATGTTTTATGATGGGGTGAACTGTATCTTTATAAAATGAGAAAACACTACCTGACAAGTAAAATATAAGAAAGTTGCCATAACAATTAAAATGTGGGTAAAAATGCCAAAATCGTGTGAGGCAATCACTCATTGCACATGGGGATGAGGAAAGATTCAATTGAGAATCGGTTCGCGACCGTACGATGTTGCTTATCAAGTACGATCCCCAGTAGAGTGAAGTGCCATTAGAGTGTGAAATGACCCTCCACACGGACCGAGGATAAGGAGTTAAAAGAAGCCCTTATGCGAGTGCTAAGAAGCAGAAATTGCTCTTGCTCGGTCACAGGTAGTAAGAAACAAATCCCACTTGTACTAAATACGACTTCTCGGCAAGCAAAAGCAGAAAGAGAGAAAGCCTCTCCTTGTCATAAAAGGTAGTGATGTGCTTAAAATTAAAATCATGTTTGCGAAAGGCGTCCCCCGTTAGTTTTTGAGACTCATGCTTAATTAATTGTTTATGATTGGTGTGAGTAAGCCAGACTGTCCTCACGAGATATGCACCTCACTGATGTGGTTAGATTCTCCTAATAACTGTTGCACCATAAGTTGTTAATCACCCGCTACTGACGACCTGAATTGAGTGTTGCTATTTGAGTTTTTGATGGATTTGAGTTAGTCAATGGTAATGGTTGCAAAGAACTTGAGTGTGGGGTGATAGGTATGACCATCAAAGCACAACTTGTCCGTTGAGAAAGAAACTACTGATTACAACAAGAGTACAAGGAAATTTTGTGTTTTGTTTTGAGTGTTTGAGTGTTGAGTCTGTGGTGTGTCATTGTTTTGGATGGTTTTGTGTTTGTGTTGTTTGAGTCGTTGCTTAGGGACAAGCAACAATTGAGTGTGGGGTTGTGATAATCGGCTTTAACATATTGAATTCTTGGACTTTATGTGATTATCCATGATATGTTTAAGTCGATTGGTGTTATTTTAGGGCTCGCTAACCCGAAAATGGTTGAAAAACCACTACTGCCTAGTGCCATGAGTTTGATGTATTACAGGTGAAGAAAGCACAAAAAATGAGAAATTGTACGGGCAAACAATCGGGCTCGAATCATTGGTGGAATAACAATTGGACCTATGAGGAGCTTAGTGCGTTGAAACTTCTGGACCGGGACGAAATTAATGAGACTGAGAAGTTTAATTAAAGGTGGACTTAAAGCCCACAAAAACTTGATTTTGTAGGCGAGAAGTCTTGGGTGGAATTAATGGGCGGAACAGCAGGTGGGCATTTGATTTTTGGCCCAGGTCCGTGGCAATTGAGAGGACGGAATCAATTTGGAGAAAAGCGAAGGCAATAAAAGGCTGAAGGTCTCTGGTGGCGGAAATTTGAGGAGAAGAGAAAGGCAGTGGGCAGCGAGCAGCGAGCAGCGAGAACAGGCAAAAAGCGACGAGCAGCAGCAGGCGATTGAGAATTTCGATCGACTTCTTCAAGGCTTGAGCTGATTTCAACGAGAGCGATTAATTGGTTGGATTCTCTGAACCAATTTAGTTGTTTTTTTTGTTGATTTAGAACATGATGAACAAAACCCTATCGATTTATCTTAATTTCGTCATGAACTAAACCCCAATTTCTGGGGGAAACACCATAGGATGTAGCTATTTCTTGATTTGATGGATTGATTCATGATTCTTTTCTTCCAATCTCTATTGCATGAAATTTCTTAATGCTTTGTGTTGACTGGCCACCAATACAACGATTTGTAGTTAATTAGGTTATTAGCGACAGTGAAATCCTATTAACCGAGCCTATTTCATGTGACATAGTAACTTATCGAAGCGACAGTGGATTAAATAAGGTGCTATGCGGTCTTAAATAGGATATCGATCTTCAGGCTATATAGTTAATTCATTGAGCTACGACAGTAGGATTTGAATTAATTGTTTAGTACGTAGTAATTCCCGACAGGGATAGCTAGCACATTCGTGATATCCTGGCTGTAGAGATATGGATTAAATTGATTGGAATATGTGAATTAATCTGGATAGGATAGGTAGTGAATCCCGGTGTTTCTCCCAGAGCTTTCTCCCATTGATTTAAACCCGACACTTTAATTTGCTTGTTTAGTTAATTTTGCTAGTAGTTAATAATCTCATTAAATCATTTTCACCTATAATTTGCTCTATTAAATCGGTAAATCTTAAGGTTGTACCAGTCCCTGAGAGACGATACCCGGACTTTCCGGTTTACTACAAGATAGGAATTGAAGCTATACGCTTTTGCCCTATCAGACGTCGTTTTCTCGTCCAGTGTCAAGTGGTCACACGATAGATAAGTTGCCCACCCTGACTACTATGAATCTGGCTCACACACTAGCTGTCTCGATGTGTGTAATCAGTCGGAATGCTAATCCGATCCATGAGTCGGGAATCAGATATGTAGTGAGAGATGAAACTTTAATTTCATTCGTCCTACTCGATTTGTTTGATTTGTTTTGTGAGTGTATATTCGTCCCGTAGGAAGGGCGAGACAAATGTGTGTACTCTTCTCAATATGATCTATCCTTCTTCTTTTTATTTGTTTTGTCTAGATTATATATAATTTTACTTAAATTAATTAGAGTTTTAAGTTAAATAAAAATCTCAATTTCTAGAATAATCTAACTACATTTATCATGTCATAGTTTGCATGCATAGCATAGCATATTGATTGACATGTCCCGATCCAGCGGCGGATCCAAGATAGGATAGAGTAATGGGCCACATTTGAAAAGAGATGGAGAGTACTGGGTTCAGTCGCGGACCCAGGAATTTTACATAAGAGTGTCCTCTTTCAAAAAATAAAGTAAAATAAAAATTAAATAATTAATAATTAATAAAAATTATATTCTTCTTTAGTAAGAAAATACCCAACTCGTACAAGTTAAAAAAAGTTAATGATGTATTTTCATATTCTAAAAAAATTATAAAAAATACTTGGTGTCTACACTGGTCAATAAATTTGTCTCGGTATATCCTACTAGACAATCATTCACGAACTTACGCATATTTGACTTCTAAATTTGTTCATGATGTAACTCAAAGCTGAAAAAACACTTTCAACACTTGTCGTACAACCATAAAATCAATACAAATTAAGGGTAGTTTGTAATTAGATTAATTGTTAGGTTTTGAAAATAATTAAAGATAGAGAATAGGGTTTTGCCAATGGGAAAGGTTGTAGCCTAATGGAAATTATATTTATCAGTAATAGTAGTGTCCCGGGTTTGAATTACCCAAACTACCACTTATATTCTCATACGCAAACTACGAACGAGAGTAGTATAATCGTTTAAAAATTTTAGGGTGTCCCAGACTATTAGTTATAATTTTTTTCGTCTACACGTAAATTACCACCGGGGGTTGGATAATCGATCTTCCAAAATTTAGGGGTGTCCCAGGACACCCCTAAATGCCCCCTAGGTCCGCCCCTGACTGGGTTGTAACCCGACGAGCACTGAAACGAATACCTAAAATTGAAAATTTACGGTTATAATTTTTTTTTACACGTGCTATACTAGCTCCGGATCGAGAAAACGGCTAGACAGTGGCCCGGGGCGCCGCCCTGAATCCGCCACTGCCCTAGATGTATTTGGTTGGAATGCATTGTATTAGTCATTTTCTTGTGCTTGGCGTGCAACCTAACTGCTGATCGATGGATAAGTAGCCGGTATAAAGTGTATAACATGGTGTTTACGTCTATCTCATCCAACCAGAAAGTAAAGATTCAACATGCACTAACAACACCTAACCTATCCTCCCACTGTAAGCCAATGGAGTGACCTGGTCTTTATTCTTTTGTTGGAGAAGGGAGGGGTGGAGAGGGCACTAGGGTTGGCTATACGGTCCGGTCCGGTTAAATTGGACCAAATTGATTCGGTGTCAGTCCGGTTTTTCGGGAATATAAGGACCAAAGATTTGATTGGATACCGTCCGGTCTTGATTCGGTTCGGTCCCAATTTTATCTTGATTTTAGGTGTTGGGGTCTCTTATCCGGTCTTTATCCGATTTTTTATCTCAAATTTAAGCCCGAATATGAAATTGCATTGTTTGCTACCCGTTCCCAATCCGGATTACACGATCCGGTTTCAGGTAAAACCAAACAGTCCGAAACCAAATAGCCAGCCCTAGTGGGCACGGCACAATATGCAAGTTGGCCGAATCTTGTAATGACGTGCGGCGTATCTCATCCCGATCGACACTGGCCGGGAATAAAAACTTGCGCGGTGAGCAGTCAGTTCAGTACTGAAAATAAATACTGATCTGATCAGCCAAATCGAATATCGTTTGACGTATTGAACTACTGAAGGGGAAAAGGTCAATCATCGGATCCCATTTTCCAGCCATGTTCTGGCGCATGGAGGTGAAGTACTAAAATAAAATGTATATAGCACAGGTGGCTAGAAGAAATGTATATAAAACTAGTGTTGTATCCGGCCCGTAGGCCGGTTTGTGGTCATTTGAGTATTTTTTTTAGTTAAACGTAGGTGGTTCGATTTAGTATTGTGCACTAGTGGTACAAAAGAGTACTTTGATAGTTTATGTTTTTTTACTTTTTAGTGCCCGTTAACTTTATAATTTTATTGAATTTGTATTTCATTTTATACTTAACTATAAGAAGTTTAAGTTAGACAACAAATGAAATGAAAAACTATCTGGAATCTATATTCATGCCTTGAGATATTAAACATAACTGAATAAAAAAAATCAACAAAATTTTTTATCTTTGTTATATGTGAATAATGAAGTTTTGAAAATTTTATTACTATTTTAATTTAAATATAGTTGATTGTCATCTATTGAAATAAAAATTAAATAATGTACATAATATTACTATAGATGTATTACATTTAAATAGTTTAAAGATACAAAAATTCGAGGAGAAAAAAATGTGATATGGAAATAGATTATTTGGACAATTATGTAAAGCAAATAAAAAAATATTAGTATAGATGTATTAAATTTATATTTTTGAAAGAGACAAAAATGAAAAATATTAGCAAAAGAATATTTTGACTTGAAATGGCCCTTTTAAGTTATTCAATCATTTGAACTTTAGGTATCATAATTAAAACTTAACCTTTAACAATATGCTCATATTTTTAAATATTTTATTGACTATGTCCTATATTTTCAAAAGCGGAGCGATTGTCGGATGAAAAATTTCAATGACTCATGATTAATGGTTTATCATTATACAACTATTTTTTAATCGTTAATGGAACTATTCAGATGTAAATAACAACTTAGTTAGGTTGAAGAATCATTTAAGTTATTCCATTGGACCATATTTTACGTTTAATAATTTTCTAATAAAAACTATCTTGACTTTAAGCAATTACATAGAGTAAAAAAATTGATTTTTTTTTTGTTTGATCTAATTTGACACAAATATCGAGTCGGTACGATATGGATCGAATTATTGTTTAACCTACGACTAAACATACGATCTTACCTTTCAAAATTTAATGTAAAAATTAGACATGCTAATTTGAAAATTAAAAGAATTTAAAACAATATAAATTGATTGTATTTTGCCAAGATTTCCCGTCTTTCTTCCTCTTCATGTTTGCCGAAATCACTGTGAAATTAAGATTCTAAACTTTTGAAGGTTGATGCTTGGTTTATCTGTTTAACGTAAAACCCTAATGCGGAAAAACCTATTCCGAAGGAACCTCTTCCCAAACATCCACGCCACAACGATATATCATCTTTATCATCTCAAAATCCAATTCGCAAGCATTATCTCATTTAGGAGTTAAACAACTTTAGATAGTCTCTGTTTTTTCCTTAACCACGCAAAATAAATCTACACAGAGCAAAATTCAAATAATTATTATGTAGCATTTACCTTAAAACAAATCTTCTTTTTCCTTAATCCTAAGCGCATTTACTAAAAAGAAAACCAAAAGTCCAATAATAATGAGTGACCCTTGAGTGTTTGAAAAATTGTCAAAGTTGCCCTTCCACCAAATAAGGAGAACCAATCAAAGTGTAAGGTGGCAACAATGACATAGAGTGAAGTGCATAATATATTGTGTAGATAATAAAAACTATCTTGACTTTAAGCAATTACATAGAGTAAAAAAATTGATTTTTTTTTTGTTTGATCTAATTTGACACAAATATCGAGTCGGTACGATATGGATCGAATTATTGTTTAACCTACGACTAAACATGCGATCTTACCTTTCAAAATTTAATGTAAAAATTAGACATGCTAATTTGAAAATTAAAAGAATTTAAAACAATATAAATTGATTGTATTTTGCCAAGATTTCCCGTCTTTCTTCCTTTTCATGTTTGCCGAAATCACTGTGAAATTAAGATTCTAAAACTTTTGAAGGTTGATGCTTGGTTTATCTGTTTAACGTAAAACCCTAATGCGGAAAAACCTATTCCGAAGGAACCTCTTCCCAAACATCCACGCCACAACGATATATCATCTTTATCATCTCAAAATCCAATTCGCAAGCATTATCTCATTTAGGAGTTAAACAACTTTAGATAGCCTCTGTTTTTTCCTTAACCACGCAAAATAAATCTACACAGAGCAAAATTCAAATAATTATTATGTAGCATTTACCTTAAAACAAATCTTCTTTTTCCTTAATCCTAAGCGCATTTACTAAAAAGAAAACCAAAAGTCCAATAATAATGAGTGACCCTTGAGTGTTTGAAAAATTGTCAAAGTTGCCCTTCCACCAAATAAGGAGAACCAATCAAAGTTCAAGGTGGCAACAATGACATAGAGTGAAGTGCATAATATATTGTGTAGATAGATGTAGATAAGGTTGAGGGTATTAATGACTCATTGGTTAAGTTTGGGATTGATTGTTGAACTTCTACAAATATATTATAGCAGAGTTGGGGACGGTTTTTCAGCATTTTCGAATTTTTTGCAACGATAGCGAAAGTAAGAAATGTAATTGTGTCTTCACAATCATTATTTATTTTTCATACATAAAAAAACATAATCTCGGGATTCAAATTATGGGTTTTTCAAACGAAGACAACAACCATTACCAGTTACATTAAAGAAATATTTTGTATTGTTTTAAATACAAAATCTGAAAACCTAAAATCTAAAAATTGTATGACTTTTTCACTATTGTTAGTTTGCCCACTAACTCTCACAAAATACTTTCTTTGTTTTTTGATATTTTAATTTTTGTTATTTTAATTTGAGTTTAATAGTAAATTTAATTTATGTCCTCTTATAATTGGAGAATAATTTTAACATTGCAACCCAAATATCATTGATTCGAATATTGCATATTGAATGTGTAGAAATGTAGAATTTTAAAATTGGTATTAATTTTTATAACTATTAATGCAACGATATTGTTATGCAAACTGTAAGTGACCAATTTATTGTAAGTTTTGGTTTGGTTAATCATTAAATGCTAAATTTCTTGATAATATGGCCTGATTGAAAAATGGGTCAGTTTAAAAGAACACAATTTATGAATACCAATTTTTATAGATGATTTCAATAAGGTAATTGACTAGATGTATCATTTATAATTACTTAGTTTAATATGAAATAACGCAGTACAAGACAAATCATGAAAGTCGGGTAGGAGTTTTCATGGACGCGTTGACGGGGTCATGTGCATTAGCAAGGTAGGTACCACAAGATATATTTTATTTTTTTGTTGAGTGAATAAGATTGTCCTTCAACTAAATATAGAGTATCTTGGTTGATAATTAATTTTTTCATTGCATAGAGTACGGATGGAAAATGTTATTTTCTTACTAATTTTGTTATTGTATTGTGCAGAATACTTTAAGGTTTAGATATTGCTATATATGTATTGTTTCTCAAGCAAAATAAATAAATATTGACTAAAGGTTATCATTATGGGTTTCCTATTTATGCTATGCTTTTTCAGACAAACTCTATTTTTGTTATGTCAATTTTTTTTCCAACCATAGACAACTAAGTATTTACATCATTAAATAGACAAGTTATGAATAGTTATTCACAAGTGTTATAACCAAGGTGTGTGGCACCTCTATCAGGCGACTGGTTGGACTATGTCCGACCAAAGTCCCGCTCCAAAACAAGGCTCTACAAAATCAAGGGTTTGATCGTTAGAGAGGGAGAAGAAGAGAGAGGCAAGGGGGAGGGGGGGGGGGGGGGGAGATGCAAGGAGATGGTGGATGTATATTGAGATAGATATGTTTTTTCTATGAAATTTGAATATTTGAGTTTTTAATAGATATAAGTTAGTGCATTCTATTTCAATCACTAAATTTCTATCTATTGTGTAAATATATTTAGAAAAGGTGTAAAACAACTCAAATGAATTGGACCTCAATCAAACCATTAAACTTCAAACCACTTGCTTGACCGACTCAACGACTTAACCCGGTTTGACAACTTTGGTTATGACCATTAAGATTATAATGTTCACCATAGATGAAAAGTTATAAGAATTTCGGAAATGAAAAAATAATTTTGATGTCACCTTGATGTCATACGAAATTTAGCATTTCTATTAATTTAAAAAATTTAAATACACATCATAAAAATATTGTGTTCAAATGAAATTCGAACCAACGGGCCGGACAACAAGCTAGTTTTGATAATGAAATTCAGTTTAGACTAATGGGAGTGGGAGCTTCTTCTTTCGGGACAAGCAAGGCAGGTTTTTTTATAAGGGTGATATAGGTTTTTGTCTTTTTAAGATTAAAGTACTACTCAAGGGATTTGAAGCTGTGACCTCCAAGTTCTAGGCTAGTAGTATTACCACTAGGCCAAGCCTTGTTCGTAAGGTCGGTTTCTTCGTAGGCGTTTCCTCCAAGAGATGCAAACAAAGTTGCACACCATTTGGCCCATATCTACTTGGGCTAGGCCCAAATTCTGTTATGGTTTGTACAGTCCCTCGTGTTGCTTTAGTTGATATTTGTGTCGAATGTAGTAATGGCAATGGGGCGGGGCGGGGCGGTTACCTCAATATTCATGTCTCGCCTTATGCTATTACAAGTCGGGCGGGTAAAATCCGTGCAGATATGGGACAGGGCGGATCTACCCACTCTTACATGTTATTTGAAAAAAATACGTACAACTTTTAGTTTTTACGATCAAATAATTGAGAAAACACTTTATGAACGAAAAATAATCATAATAGAATGGATAATTGAGTCCAACAAGTTGAAAGATAGACTCTAAGTTGTTGAAGAAAAATCCAAATAGGAGCAATATGTATTGACATTGTAGGAAATTGAGATATAATGGGTTAAAAAAGGGTACGGGCAGGTCGAAAGTAGACACCCATGCCCCGACCGACGCTACTGCAGGTCAGGTCGGGTAATACTCGCGGGGCGGGTTCAAATTGCCATCACTAGTTGAATGATGCAATGGGTTGCTGTCTACTGAGCGTGTATAAAAAAAGTTACTGGGCCATTCTTCTGGTCGTTTGGATCGGGTAATGTGATTTTTTACTGGCAATGTGATATTTGACTCTAAATAACAAGAAATTTTACAATGTTTTAAAGCATTTGTGATTTAGTTTTTGTTTTTATGTTACAACTTGACCTTGTACTTTTAACGTTATGGTACAAATTCAGGTTGTATATATACTGTTTTTTATAAATTCCTTTATGGTACAAACTAAAGTTGTACATGTATGTTATTGTACAATTTGAAGTTGTACCATAACATAAATGTTCAAATTTCATTATGGTACAACTTCAATATGTACATTTAACATTTTGATACAACTTCAAGTTGTACTTTATGCACCAATGCTTTAGAGCATAATAGAAGTGCTCCTAATTAACTACTTTGGAGAAAAAAGATGAAACATTTTGCAAATGTTATTATTTAAATAACACAAACATGTTATTTGACAAATATTAAAACGAGGTTTGATATTTCCAAATTAGGGTTTCAAATGAGTCAAGCTACTCATGAGCGGTTCGACGTTCGGCTCAGACAAAACATGTTCTTCACTCGGCTCGTTACTAACAAGCCAAGTTTGAGCTAACCCTTGTTCGACTTGCAAGGCTCGTGACCCAGCTCGATTCGGTGACTTGTTGAGCTCAACTCCTGAGCTAGCTTTATTTTGAGCTATAAATTGACTCGACAATATGGCCAGTGATGGCAATTTCAACCCGCCCCGCGGGTATTACCCGACCTGACCCGCAATGGGGAGGGTATTACCCGACCCGCAATAGCGTGGGGCGGGACATGGGTATCTACTTCCGACCCGCCCTGCCCCGCCTCGCCCCATTCTAAACTCATTTTATCTCAATTTCTTACAATTTCTATACATATTTCTCCTATTTTGACTTTTCTTCAACAAGTTAGAGTCGCTCTTTCAACTTGTTAGACTCAATTACCCATTCTATTATCACTATTTTTCATTCTTAAAGTGTTTTTCCCTTTGTTTTATCGTAAAAAGTAAAATTTATTTGTATTTTTTTCGAATAACATGTAAGAGTGGGTCGACCCGCCCCGCCCCATAGTAGCATGGGGCGGGGCATGGGAATTGAGGTACCCACCCCGCCCCATTGCCATCACTAAATATGGCTAGCGAGCCACCTCAACTAGAAACTTATGAGCGAATAGGTCAATAGCTTATCATTGGATTGTTGATGATTCATAGGTTTGTGAGATAGCATATCTCACCACATATTGTGTTTAAGAATTCGAGCACATTATCAAATATGTCTCATGTATAATTTAAAAAAGAAATTATAAATCATAGATTTTTCATACTAATTACTATTAAATAACATGATATGAAAAATTAAAATTATGAACTATATTACATGAATCCTTAGGTTGAGCCAATCTCAAGCTAATTGATAAATCGAGCTCAAGCAGAACCCAACCCAGATAAAAACTCGACTAGTCCCCTTTTCCTCCTTACATTAGTTATGAATACACTATACAGGTTTATCATTATAAAAACGAAAAGAATTACATAACGTAAAGACTAAAGACTAGAAAATATCATTAGCCTATTCAAATTAGTTTCTACTTTAAACATGTTGCATTGCATACATACATGCGCTGGAAATTTGTTTTGCTTATGAACTTTTTTCGGGTAGTTATCATAAATTGTAATAATTCTTTGCATTTTGTACAAAACGGTAACAAACCTTTGTTTTTGTACGATTTGGTAGATGGCTTGGGATGGTTGGGTTGTTTGGTTAAGTTTTATTATTTTATTATTAATTTTGATGATATGGACTGCTGACCGGACTAAATTAACAGAATTTTGGATGGAGAAACACGGAATGACCCTTATGTTATATGCTTAAACTTATATTATCAAATCATGCAAAAACAAAGGTTTGTGACCATTTTGTACAAACGTAAAGGTTTGTAACATTTATGATAGACTACCGAACTTTTTCCGATTCCTTTCTTTTGGGTTGGACTCCAAAAGTAAAGAGGCCCACTTTCCTATTAGACTAAGCAAGGAATCTGGACCAACCACCCAACCTAATCGCTAATTATATAACTGCCTCCACTAGTGACCCACGATTCGATCCAGAAAAAAAAAAAAAAAGCCCGCCATTAACTTCCAAACCTCACTGACCACCGCTTCCAACCACCACGTGGCAGCATATTATTGGACGGTGCTCTAGCAGTTATTCCCCGTCACGTCACATAAGCTTAGGTTTAAATAGATCTATGCCGTCCGGCGATAACTCTTTCCCGGGATCAGTAGCCATCGCTCTCGCAGCTATCATAATCCCGATCCTCCTCAGCATTTTCGCCCGGAATCCCCCAACTTTCCGGCGTCCAATCAATCCCAATCTCACGGTCAAAGACCCTGCCTCCGTCGCCGGCATGGACGGGATTCGGCACCGGAATCTGACCCTCAACGGGATAAACGTCCACGTGGCGGAGTCGGGCCCGGCCGACGGCCCCGTGGTCCTCTTCGTCCACGGATTCCCGGAGCTCTGGTACTGCTGGCGCCACCAGATGGCCGCCGTGGCCTCCCACGGCTACCGCGCGGTGGCGCCGGATCTTCGAGGGTTCGGCGACACCGACGCGCCGGCCGATCCGGCGAGCTACACGGCGCTCCACGTCGTCGGCGACCTAGTGGCGCTGATCGACGCGGTGGCGCCGGAGGGGCAGAAGGTTTTCGTCGTCGCCCACGATTGGGGGGCTTACATGGCTTGGTATCTGTGCCTTTTCAGGCCCGATAAGGTCAAAGCGCTGGTCAACATGAGCGTTCTGTTCAATCCCCGGAGCCCTAATCGGAAGCCTCTTCCGACCTTGAAGGCTTTCTTGGGCGATGATTACTACGTTTGCAGGTTTCAGGTACTGTTACTCTTGCTCTTCTTCTTCTTCTGTTGCTGCTGCTCTCTCTGTGAAATGTGGCGCCATTGATTGATTGCTGCTAGATTGATTATAAGGCACTCGCTCTTGATTCGTATAGAGTTCAGTAATGGAGTCTGTAATTTAAGGGGTAAGATATGGTGATTGGTACAGTGTGGTCTCGGTTTCAATTCGATGGTACCCACAAGGGCCACAACCCACTTGAAAGTTGAAAGATTTAGATAGTTCTGCAATACAATTTCCTTGAATCAGGCAGCATTATTGAGGTCTTCACATATTACACTTCTAACCGTATACTTGTATCCATTCGTTCTGATAATTCGAGTTGTTCATATTTCATCTGACTCTGATCGAGGAAAATGGGTGCGAACTTTGGTTGGTTTGATCTGTTCAGGAGCCGGGAGTGATAGAAGCAGAATTTGCAGAGCTAGGTACAGAGAGGGTTCTGAAGGAGTTCTTTGCTTACCACACCCCAGCTCCTCTCTACATGCCTAAGAGCAAGCCATTCGGCCACTCGCCGGACGCGCAAATCGCACTGCCGCCTTGGCTGTCGGAGGAAGATCTCAAGTACTACACCGAGCAGTTCGAGAAGACGGGCTTCACCGGAGGATTGAACTATTACCGGAACATCGACCGGTAAAAAAATGGTCCAACAATGTGTTGTTTTTTGTTCTTTCCAAATCTTCTGTGTTGAATTTGGGGTTCGCCTTCGTCTAATCGTCTTGGTTCTTTGCTGCAGGAACTGGGAACTGACCGCAGCATGGCAAGGGGACCAAGTGAAAGTCCCGGTGAAGTTCATCGTCGGAGATCAGGACCTTACCTATAACACTGGGAATGCCAGAGATTACATTGGCAAAGGGGGGTTCAAGAGGGATGTTCCATTTCTGCAGGAAGTGGTCGTGATGCCTGGCGTCGGCCATTTTCTCAACGAAGAGAGGGTCGGCGAGATCAACAGCCACATCGTCGAATTCATTCGCAAGTTCTGATCTGATTCTTCCGTCGGGTGATCTGAATCGTGTGCTTGTTGTATATACTACCTGAAACGTGTTCAGTGTGGTTGAAAGCTTGTCGGCAATCCAACGCCTCGGTTGTGAAAAAAAACATCTGTAACTTGCGGGTACAGAATGTGATATGTCTTTACTTGCAAGCAAAGTATTGCATATAAATAAAGGAATCTACATGTGTTCACAGAAATCTCTTCTTCTAATCCCCTTTTGCAAGGAAACATTGATCAATTGCTTTCGTGACCCACGTTCTGATTCCGCCTAATAATCGCAAACTTTGCCACAGAGAACCGAGTTAGCAGGTCCTTATCAATTGTACCTGAAAAAATTGGAGATGCCGTCCGGCATCGAGTTTCTTCATCGGAAAGTAGTGATACTAGCTGTTGACGGCTATTATAATGCCCATTCTTGCTCGTGATCACCAGCATTTTCTCAGCGTCCAAACATTCTTCCTGCTACATGGACGGGCTGAGTCAGACCCAGCCAGCGAGCCCAGGATCCTCTTCCTCCAAGGAACGGGTTGTGATGGAAGGCGTCGGCCATTTCTTCGCAGCAACCACATCGTCGACTTCATTCGCAAGTTCTGGTTTTATCCTCCCAAAATGGTAGACGAATAAGGTTATTACACAGAGCAAACGATTCATCGACAGACAATACAATACGTTCGTTTTTCTTGTTATACAAGCAAATGATGAATGATTGTTCTTATGTTCCAGACTTTGCAAATGTAGCTAATTTGACGGCCATAGTTTAGCCATCGTCTGCAATCGTATCCGATGTGAACTAAATTAGGAAGATATTTGCTTCATGATCAAGGCTTTCACCATGGTTCTTTCCCTGTTTATTGTGTGGATGTTCTATGATTCAAACATCTTCTCAGGTTGGAAATTCACCCACACTGTTCTTCTCTAGAGATTCAAGATGCTGCAGAAGAGACATACTTGACAGAGCAGGCAGCAATTTGCCTGCCAGACAGACACTATGGAGGAGAGGTGATGGTGATCAATTTCCGGGCCTCTTGCGTTTCTCGCAGTTGAACTGGACATCAACTAGACCCGTTATTCCAGCAGTTACCTTCTGACCTGGTTTCACTGGGCTAACACCTGGAGGAGTGCCTGCCACAACCAGCAAAGGGCACCCATTTATTTCTGTAACTCATGTTAAAAGTATGATGTCAGCATTTCGGGGGACAATAAGATAGCTAAAAAGTAAAAACTCTAAATTCAGGATGATAGACCACCAGCAACTTATTGGCAGATCTGGTATATATCAGGCCAGAATCCTAGTGGCCTTTAATTAGAAGCTGAAAGGGAGATTGGCATAAGCACAAACATGGTTATAGAAACATGTTTCAAGTCTAATGAAGTGTGGGTGTAAGCATGTACTACTATGGACAAAGCTCAAAGACCAGGATCAAAAGAACACTAGACCAAATAAGAAGATAACGATCCTCATTGACTGCTGCTTAAGCAATACACGACAGGTTATGAAGAGAACTTTCCAAAAAAGACATCTTGACAAACGTTGGGTTCAATAAAAAGGACCGAGTTGTAGTTCTTACTTCATACGACCATGAAGTTTACCAAAGGGCATCTTGACAACAGTTCCACTAATTTTTTGTGAATCAAAGAATGAAGCGAAGAAAACGCTGAAAATACCTGTTAAAATGACATCTCCCTCGAAAAGGGTCATGATTGCACTTATGTAGCTGATGAGAAATGGGATCTTAAATATCATATCCTTTGTGGGCCCTTTCTGTCTTATCTCGTCGTCAACCTTGACTCAAAACATGAAGACAACTGGATCAGAAAGACCGTTGAGAAACCCTAAAGCAATCAGGAAAAGAAAATTGTTTCACACCTTCAACCATAGCTCCAAGTTATCAGGATCAGGTACAGCTGACTTGGGGAACTGCACAAAGTTCATTGCGAAGAGGTCATTTTGATTAGCGAAGAGGTCATTTGGCTAAGCAAAATGAAATACAATCACATACATAACAAAAGCAAGCCAGAAGATGAAATCGTCAGGAAACTGATGATTGTTCAGAAGAACACTAACAAATCCATTTCCAACCTTTAATCAAATACTTCTATGATTATATCTATTTCATACTAATAGCTAGAAGCTAGGCATTATTGCGTCCGTTACCATTCACAAACCGAAGAGTATATCAAAAGGTAGCAGCGAGTCGTGTATTTCACATTCATATAGCTAACTCCATGGCAATTTCACCTACTAAGACTTAAAAGATGCGAAACCATGGAGATTTCTTCATAGCTTACAATGGAACTGATAGGTGTGAATGTATCCTGCCCCTTGGCTACAGTCCATGGAAGTCCTGCTGACTGCAGAAACCAGAGAGAGTCATGGCAACGGAACTGATTAGAAGACATTCAACAGCAAGAATTCAAATGGAACAAAGCAATTATCTTCATCTCTACCTTGGCAGAAGCTTGGATTTCTCTTGCAGTCATATCCAGCGCAAGAGCATAACCTGAGAGAAAGCAATACCTCATATGATCAGAGTCTCTCTCGCCATAAATCAAACTCCGAATTTCACAGAGACGGAAAGAACTCGCATCAAACCTCCAATGTAATCCATGGCGGAAGCCTCCGGCACATCGCGAGCTTTCTTGCCGATGACGACGGCGAGCTCCACCTCGTGATGCAGCGATTCGAGAGGATGCGGGATCAAGATCGTGCCTCCGTTGTCCAAGTAGGAGGATGTAGGTTTCAGGAACAGCACCGGCTCCTGCGAAGCGAGAAACGGAAAAAGGCGAGCGGGGGTGCCGATTAGCTGGCCGACGGGAGAGCGAGTAAAAATTTGAGCTAAAGAGGGGAAGGAATTCAGTTAGAGACCTTGGGGACGGCGTTGCCGAGTTCTTTGGCGTGAGCGGCGTAGTTGCGGCCGACGCCGACGATCTTCGTGCCGACTTGCAGTAGCTTCTGCATTCCCAACGCTGCCGTCGCCATTTCCGACTTTCGCTTCGCTCCAAGCGATTTCAGAATTCAGAAGATGCTTCCTTGTCTGTTATTTTGACACATCATCAGCCGTCAACTCTGATGGCATTCCCAAATCGACATTGAAACGCACCGTTTTGTAGACTGGAAATTGGGTAATCACTAATTACGATTAGGATTTAGGAGCTTTTTTGTTTTACTGTTGAGACTTGACTCTTGTGAGAGGGTGTTTATGCTAACAAATACATAATTTTCTAGTGACCAGTTCGATTCCAGCTAATAACATGAAGAAAATAACCTTATAACAAGTAATAATGATGAAGACAAAATGATCAATGTGACCTTTGAACTTTCTTAGATTACAATTCAGTACATAAAACAATATATTGGACCAAACTTGTATATGAAATTTTCTTTTTAATCATTTCAATACACTAACCTCTTTTTAATAAGAGCTAATTGTATCACGGCATATGTAATACTAGAAGATAGCAAGTAAAGAAAAGGTGCTGCTTAGTATATAAGATTATTATTATTGTACAACATTACAAGTTTTGCCCTCCCTGCTGCTCTCACTGCAAGCAACTTGGAGCGGCGAGGCAAGAGAGAGTGTTAATAGGAAGGAGCAAGCCGAGTGATCTAGGGAAGCAGAAGAAGTGCAAACCAGTCTCTAATCATCTAAGCTGCAAGATGAACAGCTCAGGTTTCTCAATCAGCCGTTTCCACTCGGAGCAAAATCTCGCGACTGTAGCCCCATCCAGAACTCTGTGATCTGCTCCTATATTCACCTGGAAAGACAGTGGAGAGTCGGCATGAACGCATTAAACCGAGCTATAGACATGAATCGGCCAACAACTGTTTTAGCTTGAACAGATGGTGGTTAATCAGCTTACTGTCATGATCGATGCAGGGTAGACATTCCCCTTTTCATCGAAATGAGGAACTTTCTGGATTCGCCCCATTGCAATGATGGCAACTTCAGGCAAGTTGAGGAGGGGAGAGCCGAACTTCCCACCGATCGCACCAATGTTGCTAAGAGTCACCGTTCCACCTGTTATGTCTTCGGGGCTAAGCTTGTTAGCCATTGCAAGCTGTTGCAGGCGGGCGAGTTCCATGGTTATCTGCATTCAATCATTTCAATGGATTTAATTACAGCTTTTCGGTTGTCAACCTTGCTTGTACACCAACCATTTAATGAATGGGAAGAAATAGTTTGTTTTAGAAGAAGTAATCATTTCATTCGGTGAGTACAGATCTATGTGATGTACTTTCATGGCAACTCGGTTTAGAATAGTACAGTTTTACCTAACAGAGAAAGCTTTCTGACTAGTGAGCCAGTCAGCAAAGAGAAAGAAATGACAGGAAACGAACCTCGAGGATTGAAAGGGACTGAACATTCTTTATGTTTGGTACCACTAGACCGGATGGAGTAGCCATGGCAATTCCAATATTGTGGGAACCTAATGTGCCAGTGGCAATTGTGAACAAACAATAAGTTATTAGTAGAGATTGCCAGGAGAAAGAAGTGTAAGAATTTCAATTGAAAGGAACTACTCACTACTTAACAGCACATCCATTAAACTTAACCTAGCGAAATAGCATGCTCTATTTCCCTCTGTAGTCTAACAAGTTGCCATGACAGCATAATTTGTAGAAGCCAAACAACAACAGTAATTTCTGAGAAGGATAGGGCCAATCAACCTTTTAGTATGACCTCCATAGCATCCTCGTTGAAGGAACTATTCACCAAAGGGTACAGGCTTAGGGCTGATGAAAGGGCCTTGATTAATAGTGGAAGGAACGTATGCTTAACTCCTGGATCGGTTGTTTGTTTCTGAAAAGATGCTTTGAGTTCCACTAATGCATCACACTTGATATCTTCCACGAAATAAAAATGTGGAACTTTGGCAGCCATAGACATTGTTTTCACCATTGCCCTCTGGAAGCCCCTGAAGAGGAAAAAAACCAAAGGGGATTTACTACAATATTGACTGATTCATAACTATCCATACCAGTGAAAACTAGGTGAATTCAGACATTACCTTAGCGTAACCTTCTTATCATTGGGATTCTCAATGACTTCAACTGATCCGAGTTCGTTCTGAAGATGGTCACCCAAAGGAATCCCGGAAGACTCGATGATTCCTTTCTGAGCAGCATATTTAAGAATGTCTTCTTTCAGCACCCTCCCTGATTTCCCAGATCCTTGAATACCACTCAGACTGATACCATACTGTTTAGCAAGATGCCTTACTGCTGGCGTGCACAAAACACCACCGCTTCCAGTTGTGTTCAAATCAGAACCAGATGACAACTCACCATCGAGATTCCCACTCACCTTAATCGGAACCTGGGAGTCAACTGACTGCACAGGAGCCTGCGATTCGTCCACCACCATCTTGAGAAGAGTCTCCCCAACCTGCAATAGATTTTTCCCATGTGTTTAGGGATCACACAACCGACATGAAAAAACAGAACAGCCGTCTCAAGAACCCACCATGGAACTGTGCTACAACCCTTGCTCAACAGAATGGTTATAGTTCCCAAGAAAAGCTTTGTCAAATATATCAAAGCCTACTTGAAGACCTCCAACTTCAATTTTGGAGACTGCAATAAGCCAGAGTGGCCTTGTTGCATTCACAGACAACCAATCACAATGCGCAGCAAGCAAGTTTTACTACGAAAATCGGTTCAATTAAAGGCGAGCCATTCAAGTAAAGAACTTCTCACCTTCACAATATCTCCAGGAACATAGAGCATCCGAGAGACTCTTCCTTTATAACGGCTTGTGATTTCAATGGTGGCCTTGTCACTCTGAACTTCACAGAGCGGCTGAAACTCGTCAACTTCATCCCCCTGGAGAGCCAAACACTCATTCCAATCCAATTCAACAAATTTTGAAAGAGAGAGGGGGAAAAAAAATGAAGCCGGCCGCAAAGAACCTGATCGATCACTCACCTCTTTAACAAACCACTGAAGCAATTCACATTCAGCGATACCTTCGCCGGTTTGCGCCAACGGCACATCGACGGTCCCGTCCTCCGGAGGACCCGCCGCCGCGCTGCCGGAAAAGCAACGCCGCTTCCACCGCCAACAAAGCACGACAATCGAAATCAGTTCAAAATTCTCAACCAAACAAAAAAAAATTCCACCAGCACAGAAACAGAAACTCGACCAATCGAAGTAGCAAACTCACTCCGATGGAAACGCCTTCGCTGGAGGCAAATCCGGCCGCCGCGTTGCTGGGACGAGTGGGTCGGGACGACAGGTGACTAAGAAACGGAAGCCCGTAGTGGCCGGTGAAGGCCGCGGCCGGAGGCGGAGGAAGAGGATTCTGAGCAGCGTGAGAGGTGAGGAAGCGGCGGGTGACAGCGGCCCATGCTCGTTTCCGATTGAGGATTCTGATCGGAATCATGATTGAGTTGAGAGAAGGAGCAGCTTCAGCTAAGTCAAGTAACAGCTGCTGAAAACAAAAAGAAAAACTCGCGGTTTTTGGGAAGAGTGGACTGTGGCAGTAGACGAGTTAATTATGACCAGAGTAGAGAATTAGGCAATTAGCTTCTTTTTTTTTTTTTTTTTCATTTGTTGGAGGATTAGTTGTTGTGAAATGGAATAAGAAGGTGCCGTTTCTTGGAGCCGAGCGGATGAAGAGCTTGCCGTTTCGGATTCCAGATCAGGTCAACAATTTTCATACTACTGTTATTATATGATAATGATATGACCTGGAGCTAGGTCACGGCAGCAATGTGATATAATTCATAATTGAGAGTGGTCGGTATCGGATAGTCCGGAACTAAATCGATTTTTGGACCGGATCTCACCAAACTGAATATAGTATGATTTGATATTTGGTCCCGTAAATTAATAAATTTAAAGAAAAATTAACTAAATTGACATGAGTCGAACGAAATCATATCAAAGCGAATTGCATGCATTATAGATTCGGTTTTTTTTATCCTAAGATGTTTTAACTCTTTAATTGCGGCTCTTCGGAATTTAGTTCAGTCCGACCGAACCAGTATACACCCCCAATATGATTATTTGCAATTTTATTACAAGTGATGTAGTAAAAGTAGATACATAAAAGAAAACGTAGTAAAAGTATATTCTTATACAATTTTAATAAAATTCATATACAATTTAGATAAAACAAGTAACTAATAAAGCAGATCAAGTAGGACAACAAATTCGAAAGTCATCCCTAATAGTAATAACAAAAGCATTGTAGATATGTCATTACCGTCCGCACTTAACTTTTTTAGTTGATCAGCGTTGAGGTGCGGGACGTTGTCCAGGACTCCTCGTGGCCTCTTTGTCGTATTTTATCTGCAGGACATCCACGTGTGTTGCTGTCTTGCTGAGATACAAATATATTGCGGTTAATTAACACAATTCAGAAGTAGTCCTTATAAAACATTAAAAAAATGATAAAGTAGTCGTTTTTAAAATATATATGGTGCCTTCTACGGTATCCCGGTGAAATCCAGGGTACCGCATACCTTAAGTATGAAAACACTATCTAGACCTTGAATTAGCAGGATTTTTGGGCATTATACTATACCCTAACCCTTAATGAGTGAACCCTAGGTCCTAATTATCTAAATTATAAACTATAAACTCTAAGATGGTGCATTGACTTTTTGCCTATATTTGGACGAATCATAACCGCCGATTATTGTTTCTAATTAAATTGATCTTGGGGTATAAGATTTAGAGAATTGAGACCTAGATGTTGATCTTTAAGGGTTAGAGTATAGTATCATGTCCGAAACATTAGTCAATTCAAGTTCTAGATAGCGTTTTCTTACTCAAGGTATGCGGTACCCCGGATTTCACCCTGGGTACCGTAGAACTCCCCATATATATATATATATATATATATATATATATATATATATGGTTCAGGCTAGCGTACGCCTGACGTACGCTATACACCTGTGTTCACACATATTAATTATTTTTAATTAATTATAATTAAATTAATAATTATAATTACAACCATACCTATTGATTTATTTTTCAATACTATTTAGTCCCACGAGTTAACAAATTAACGAACATCCCAATTCAACTTTGCAATTAGCCCAACCTAATATCACAAGGCAATTAAAACAAAATCAAAACAACATAACCTTCCCTTTTGCTATTTTTTCCGGTTCGGGACCTCTCCTATAGATTTAGTAGGCATAGACACCAATAACAGCTTGAACAGAGCAAACAAACCCAGAAACTTAAAAACTAAAATTAATTCAATCTTAGTAGATTTTAACACCGTAGAAGTCGATGGACGATTCGATAACCCTTCCTTCTCCTTTTCACCTCTTAGACGAACTCCCCTGCAAACTTTAACACAAAACAGAGCAAGACTAGAGACAAGAAATAAGTGAGCGCTGTAGATCCATACATGTTTTGTTGCATAGAAATAAGCTCTGTACAACATTGATGAAATTCAGGTCGTGAAATTTCAAAAAGAAGATACATGATACTAAGTGAGAGGTGCATATTCATACATGTTTTATTGCAAGAACAGGGGAGGTGAAGCAAAGGCGCAAGGAGGTGGGGGTGGACTGAAAGGCATATGATATGATACTAAGAGTTTGGAATTGACCTTTGTTCCAAAATGGGAATAAGGACAATAAAGTATAAATATTAAAGACTCAGAAGAAGATGCTACAGCTGAAAGAATCGCGATCGTAGAAACGGAGACGTCGCCTTCTCGAATCATCGGCAGAGACGCGTCGGAGAGTTGGAATCGTCATCGAGCCGACGCAGCCCACCGGTACCCTGTTGTGGTCGTACAATCGTCACTGGAGGAGGAATTTGAGTCAGCGTTCTTGGGACGTTGTGGAAGGCTCATCGCTTCACCAAGGTGGATACGATTTCTCTATGGCGGATAAGTATTTGATTATCATTGGATTAAAGTTTCAGTTACTCTTTTGACAAATTGGATGGAAGGTTATAAATAGAAATTTGGGTGTTTGAATCGTAACTGGAAGAATGAAAGTTTATATAATGGTTTGTTAGATGATTGATTTAAGTACGATGTAGGATACAATTTTTTGTATGATTATAACGTACACAAAAAGATTTGTAGTGGCTGTGGTTGTAATTAAAATTTAAAATTAATTTTATCAGTGTGAACACAAGCGCATAGCGTACGACAGGTGTACGCTAGCCTTTGCCATATATATATATATATATATAACTAATTGGGTAATTTTTTTTTTTTTACGAAAGTTGGGTAAAATAACTCGAGTACCACTTAAGTTTGAGAAGTGGGTAGATATATCGCTTAAATTTGAATAGGTCGTCGGGTATCATTAAAGTTATCAAAATATGCATCCGTATATTTTTCCATCCAACCCAAACTTGTAATTATTTTTTGATACCGAAAACTTTTACAAACATTCAAAGAATATTTCAACAAGTTTTATCTAATATAATAATTAGAAAATCTTCTAACATATTATTACTAGAATCTTTAATCAAAATTTTCAATAAAATATATAAATTAGTAAAAATACTAAACGAATATCAAGGAGAATAATAAATATACTAGAATATAGTAATAAATATTTAAATCAATATAAGAATATCTATTTTAATCCCCTAATTCAATTAGAAGCACCATTAGAAATAGTTAAAATAGAATCTAATCGATCATCAATACATAAAAATCAAAGAAGAATAAATGGAACACAATAAAAAAGAATTAAACATATTGCACTAATTGGAAAAATTTAGAACGGAAAGAGATGAAAAGTAAGTAAGTAATAAATGAAATATAAAAGCTATAACATTCGGTAAAAAATATAGAAAAGAAAATATGACTATAAAAGCTACAACATTGTTTAGTTACAACATTCATGAAATAATTCAATTATTAGAACACATAATAATAATTGATTCTAAATTTTATTTTCAAAAATTGATTTGGTACCAAGTATTCAAAAGAGGATTCTAACTAAACAATAAAAAATAATGTTTTTTCATAAGTGCAAATAATTTTTTTACAATAAGAAAAGTAGAAGGACCAATTATGAAATTTAGAAAACAAAATATTTCAAGAATATTCTGTCAACTTTAATGGAATGTACTTAGCAGTAAACTAAAATGGTATCAGATGCACATATAATAGAGTTCGGTGATACCCAACACCCTATTCAAACTTAAAAGATATGTTTACTCCAATTTTCAAATTTAAGCGTTAGCTAAGGTATTGGGGCGTTTTTTAGATGGTCCAGCCCATCTGCAACCTTGCATATATAGAATGGTTCTCAGCCCAAAAGAGGATGAGCTTTCTTTCTTATTGGGTTTGAGGCCCAAGCCTTGACTTTGTACCTTGGACCTTTTACTCGAATCTCTGAATCTGTGCGAGAATCATTGTCAGGAAGCTTATCCTTGTCATGATAATGATCTGCTTACCTGAAGAAAAAGTGAGTGGCACTCAGAGCTGAAATCTTGAGAACGAGAATCACCTATACAAAACGGAAAATAAATAATGACACTTGGAGTTAAAAACTTTTAGACACAACAATCACCCTAAAAATACTAGTTATTCTTTGTTCTCTTTCTTTCTCTTCCCCACTTAGACCTACATGTCACACATATTCATTCATTCATACTGAATTGCAGACAAAGAAGCTCAATCTTATATGCAACCAGCTGGTCCCCGAGAAAAAAAAGTTTGAATTGCAGTTACATAATTCATACTTAAATTTCAACCCGGAGGGTCTGAATTACTGAAGTACAACAATTAATAAGAAGAAAAGAGAGCAAAACACAATAAGCTGCTGCAAGAGAAGACAACTGCAAAGTGAAAACACACTTGTTGATCTCCTAGCTTGTAGCTCTATAGCTTCAGACTACATGGTGAGATGTTCAATCACATTTTCCTTTTCTGAGACCCAAAACAAAAAAACTCACAATTTACAACTGAAAACTTCTCAAAACAGTAATGTCATATCCAAGGTGTTCACACATAGGCCCCCCTTCAAACAAGTTCTTCGTGGCTTACTGTGTTCAATTTATTGTATGGAAATTATAGTAAATCCAGAAGAAAAAACATCAAACTCTACGAAATCTTTTATTTATTAATTCGATTGTAGATGACTAATGCTCTCATTAATAGCGCTCACAGAAAAAAATTAAATGATTAGGCTATGGTGAAAGGAGACAATACTAGCAACCATCACGATATATATGACGCGATTATTTCGGGATAATTTTTAAGGAATAATATACGGCAAAAGGACTTAGTGTGGAAATGACCAATGGAGAAAAGGGAATCCACTACTGGGGGAAAATAAAAACAGAAACAAAACTGATACAGGAAAAACCTACACAATGAAAATGCAACATGTGGAGTGTACTCTCAAATGGCATTATGTTAGGCTTGTTTTCACCAATTTGAGGCTGTCTGCTCTTTCATTGGTATGGGAAATGAGCAGCAAGCAGTCCCCCCCCCCCCCCCCCCCCCCCCCCCCCCCCCCCCCCCCCCCCCCCCCCCATTATTGCTGGTCTTAAAACAAAGAAAGGGTCAAGAAATGTACCTTACAAATGGTGTCCCTAGCAAACAAGCTTTTTTTGGAGCCATTTCTGAAGCAATCGAATCAAAGACTTTCACCACAGAGGCATCTGCAGTAAAGCCTAGAGAAAGGCTACAAAACCCATGGATCAAAATTTGGCCGAATGAATTTCAACCAGGAAATTTTACCTGTCGTAACTGATAAAGACATAAAAACAACTGTTAACCTTTACACACACAAGTACAGAGATGGAGGATGATAGAACAAAGGCATTTTCGTTTTATGCATGCTTGAAGGGAAGAAGATACTTTCTTTTTGCTTCTTTTGAGCTTGTCCAGGTTCTTCAGCCATTAGCTTTATCAGAACCAATTAGATGTTTTCTTGCTATTTCCTGTTGTTTGGAAAAGACAACATGGGTTTGTATTGATTGCGTAAAAGCTCCATAACCCGGTATCGTGCAAAGGAACCATGACCTTTCCCAAGACTGGTAACAATTTTGGTAGAAATTATTGCTAAGCTACAACTTATTCTTCGATCAAAAGCTAACCAGGCTAGTAGGTTTAAAATTTTATACAGACACAAACGATCTTATACTTGAATCGCAAATTAACATTAAGACTTCTCAATATTTAAAATCGTCTCGACGATTCCATATATCATTGTCTACCAGAACCAGTGTAAAATGTATTCTAGTGGGGATGATATTATAAGGGCAACAACTTCTTTAAGCACCATAAGATAAGGTGAGTCCAAAAGGCAGAAAGGATGTGTATGATCATCAACCGGCATAAGATAAGGTGAGGACAGGACCAAGAAATGTGGGCAATCTTAGGGAAGAAAAAAATGGAGATACGCTCAAATATGATGGATTCCATTCAACAAAGTTGGAGCAGGTTGACAATTTATACACATTAAGGGTGGCCAGGAAGTAAAACAGAGCAGGCGCGCACAAGATCAACAAATTAGTAGCAGCAGAAGCAGACAGAATTCTGAGTGCTGTATCTAGTAAGAAACTAAATAATTTTTTTATTTGTAATTTATTTTATTTTTGATGAATTTATTACCAGCAAGACCAGCATACACGATTCTTTTTTCATCAACTTCCCGTTTGACTTATATTAACAATAATAAAAAAGAGAAGAACACTCAAGAATTTGCTTGTATGTTATTGGTGCTTTTCGCATATCTACTTATGCTCATTTTCCTATCTTGCTTTGGACTCATATGGAGGAAGAAGACATATGGGTGGCAACCAACAGCAGAGTGGGTCACTGAACAAAATGCACCAAAGTTGGTCAGCCATTGTTGGATGAGAGGGATCTTGTTTTGAGCTTTTCTAGAGAGAGAGAGAGAGAGGGATTTGGTAGTTTTAATACAACAGTAGCTAGCTAATAGTTGGTTCTGGGTTCTTACCTAATCAGTCTTGCCCTGACTCCTATTCATAAAGAGCAAAACTTGAAGGAAGAAAAACCAGCATTAGCAATGGATAATCTTGGTGCTAATTCAGTAATTCACCCTAACCACCACTCTTTGAGATTAGTTGAAAATGCCACTTGGAACTGGCTGATGGGAGGTGTTACCACACATCTTAACTATAAGGGACATGATAGAGGGAAAAGGCAAAGGGTGACTTGAGAAATGGTCATATTTCCCAACAGAAAGAAGATATTATCTAAAGTGTTGGTCTAATTATAATGAGTGATGCGATTGATTAATCTTCCATAAACATTTATTGGTCTAACAAGAACGCACATGCATGGTCCCTTCTAAGTGTGACAGGAATGTGATCATTCCCCTAGTGATTAGTGTTGATTCCTCCTATGACTATTATTAAGCTTATACTAAATCAAGGATTTTTAACATGACAGCATGTAGCACACTGATGATTAGCAAACAAAAAAGTGATATTTTAACCAACAGAATCATAGATATGATAATAATGATATAATTGAAATTAATTAGACAACCCATAAGCACAAATCACTTTTTCTGTCAACAAGTGGCATCAAGTATTAGATTAACAAACTGAACCATTCAAGCAGCAGCATAAAACATATGTTTTTGTGGCCATCAATGGAGAAAATATAACTTCCACAAAAAAAAAAAACTCATGTCTAATAGTGCAGGACATGGAAAATCTTGAAAAGAGAAACGAAATCGTTTTAGCAACCAGAGCTTAAGAAGGAGTTAACTTAAGGTTTAGTTACCTCCAGATAAGTACAAATGACAGTCTAGAAAAGGGAGTCTAATCCTTTTGAAACAACGGCCAACTACAGCTCCAGAAAATCAAACTTCCCTTTCGGTTCCAACTTAGTTTGACAATCAACTTGAGCAAACACTTTTTTTGTCAAAGTTGAACAAAACTCATTTTGAACATGGAAGAAAGAATGGGGATTTTTTTACAGCATTGACTGGTAAGAGATTTACCGATATACACCATCATGTGAGGCATGCATTATATCCTTATAAAGGGATGAGCTACCTATGTGGACATCGTAGTAAGTTTGATTTTACTAGCCAGATACTTTTCCTTTAGTACCACTTTCAGTTACTTTTTGACTCTGTGGTTAAAGTAAGCACAAACCCTTATCTAATCGTGGGCTAAACTACTAGTAAATTAAAGTGAGGCCTACACTGAAGAAGCTAGCGTGGAAGAGAGCATCGTATAATTGCAACTTTAATCATCAAAGTGAGAGACGAAAGAGACTCCTAATCTTGAGTATAAACCAGCCAAAGCCAAGCCAAGCTTATAAAACAAGAAACATAGCAAACTGAAGCAAGAAAATTTGGAAAGGAAGCCTAGCTGTAGTACCTTTAATAGACATGCTGCGTGCCGTCTAATTCGAAGCCTGAAAGGAAGGGTCTTTTGGTCCTTTGCATCGTGTGGATCCACTGAAAGGAAGGCGTTTTCACAGTCATGTGAGGTTGAAAGGACTCTCTGGCTGCCTCTCATGCAAACTCTACTGCATTGCAATCCCGTTTTGTGATGTGGACTCACCCACCCTCCACCTCGCAGAGTCCCACGGCTGATTGCGATTAAAAATATACCTTCCAGAAAACCTCTTTTTTTTTAAAAAAATAAAGGGCATGTCAAGCAGATTCTTCAATGGGTCAGGATCTTCTCTATGTGCTGCCTTGATTCCGTTTCTCTTCGCAGCCATGAAGCAGAGTAGACGATTATTCTGCGAAATGAAATGAATATTTCAGTAAAGAAATAAACATGAAATGAACAGAATGTGTGGTGACTAAATAAACAGAACAGGTACTCTACCAACAGCATCAATAGCAATACAGGAAAGGCATACTAACACTATACGACGGGAGAGCAAAATACGTAGATTGAATCATGTAATATTTCTACACGCAGGGAGAGAACTTTTCAGGTAGTAACATGATGAGCACAAAAGAGGGAAGTGGATATGTTGGTCTAGTTTAGGCAAAATGACAAACTGTGATTTGAACAGCAAGAGGCTTTTGGCGTGGCATTCATCCCCTGCATCTGTATATTACTTGCAAGTTATACCATTTACTCACGGTTAAAACAAGGTCTAACTTGACTTATACTGTTTATACACGCATCACGTCTTCAAGAACACTTCGTGGGGGGTTTTTTTTCCTCCTTTTTAAACATTCTTTTTATCTTTCACTTTGTGAGAACTATAGCGTTACACGTACAGTAGAGTGGCTGCTTTCTAACATTCGTTAGGGAACAGCAACTGACCATACTGACATGTCGCAGCTTACAAAAATCTCACTTCCTTGCTTCCTTCCCCACCTTATAATAAAGCCTACCCGTTCATCACACACTCACTTAATTTTGCTTTGTCCCTCCCTCCATCTCTTCCCATCTCTCTCTCTTCTCTCTAACTGAAAGCAAAGAGAGAGATCCCACCATTACGAGCAAGCAACAACAGAAACCAATACTAGCCAAAAACAAATAAAAAGATGGATGCAGCAGAGAAATCCCATGGGTACCCGACAATGCCAGAGGTACAAACAATATCTATCTATAAAACAAAAAGGAAGAGATGGAGAGAAAAAAAGGCTCCAAAAGGGAAAAGAAGATTGTAATATGTGTATCTTTTTTTATCATCATGTTCTGTGTCTCACTGGCCACTGCAGTTTGCCTGTTCTGACATTTGCTTCGGAAAATTTTCTACTTTTAGGTGGCAGAGGAACTGAAAAGAATGACCGATATAGGTTTCCCCATAGCAGCCATGAGCTTGCTGAGCTATCTCAAGAACATGGTCTTAGTTGTGTGCATGGGAAGGCTTGGAAGTCTCGAGCTAGCTGGTGGTGCCTTGGCTATCGGCTTCACCAACATCACAGGCTACTCAGTCCTCTCAGGCTTGGCTACAGGGATGGAGCCACTATGCAGCCAGGCGTTTGGTTCCAGGAACTCATCAGTCGCGTTTCTCACTCTACAGAGGACAATTCTTATGCTGCTTTTCGCCTCGATACCTATTGGTTTGCTATGGATCAACCTTCAACCTTTAATGCTCACCCTCCAGCAAGATCCTGATGTAATCCAAGTTGCAAGCTTGTATTGCCAATTCTCCATCCCGGATCTTGTTGCTAATAGCCTCCTACATCCTATACGTATCTATCTACGCAGCAAAGGAACTACATGGCCATTGATGTGGTGCACGTTAATCTCCATTCTCCTACACTTCCCTATCGCCATAGTCCTAGCTTTCACGCTGCAACTCGGGGTAGCCGGACTGGCAATCTCCACCTTCATTACCAACTTCAACGCTATATTGTTGCTGCTATGCTACATGTATTTTACTAGTCAACCCAATGAGTTTTCTCCACTCGAGCAGGACCAGCTTTTGGTTCATCCACCACCTAAAGCATCACTTACTTCTTCATTAGGCAATGAGTGGAAGATTCTACTTAGGCTCGCCATCCCGAGTTGCATAGCAGTTTGTTTGGAGTGGTGGTGGTATGAGCTCATGACGATCCTAGCTGGCTACTTAAGTAAACCCCGAGTTGCTCTTGCAACCTCCGCTATAGTAATACAGACAACTTCTCTTATGTACACTCTGCCTACTTCACTGAGTGCTTCGGCTTCTACCCGGGTGGGGAATGAGCTCGGAGCAGGCAGGCCAGACAGAGCAAGGTTAGCTGCTGTAGTAGCTATAGGAGTTGCTCTATTGAGTTCGTTATTTGGCTTGCTGGGAACCACACTTGGGAGAGAAGCGTGGGGGAGGGTGTTTACAGAGGACAAAGAGGTCCTAGAATTGACCATGATTGTACTGCCTATAATTGGGGTATGCGAGCTAGGTAACTGTCCACAAACAACAAGTTGTGGGATCTTAAGGGGAAGTGCTAGGCCTGGCATTGGGGCAGGGATCAACTTCTACTCGTTTTACTTGGTGGGTGCACCGGTGGCCGTTGTCTTGGCCTTCGTTTGGAAACTTGGGTTTGTGGGTCTTTGCTATGGTCTTCTAGCGGCTCAAGTTGCATGTGCGGTCTCAATTTTGGCAGTAGTATACAAGACAGATTGGGAAAGAGAGGCAATGAAGGCCAAAGACATGGTGGGCAAGAGTGATAACACACTGGCACATGAAGAACAAACATTTCTTAAATGTGAAGAAGGTGTTGGCTTCCTTATTAAAGCAGCCGAGTCTGAAAAGTGAGGGATGACCATATTTTGTCGCAAAGAAAACAGAGGAATACGACATTGAGCTATATTTTCATTCTGATGGTGGATTATTGTATTGCAAATGAATCCAGTTCTTCATCATTTCTGCAATTTTAGTCCATCCTTTTATGATTCTCCTAATACTACTGTTAATCACAATCCACACAATGCAGGAACTATCTATCTCAAACACCACGTTGATAAGAGTTACCGAAAGTAAGAATGCATAAACAATTAACAAGTGATCTGAGACAGGATTGACATGCCACTAATTATTCCAGAACACAAACAACATTACAGGATCATTCATGGACCAGAACATGTTTGTGAGAAAAGAACATGCAGGCATAAGTGCAAACCGAACCACATGGCATCAAATGCCTAACAACAATTTTTTTATGAACACAATCTAGCTTCACTAAAATTTAGCATACATGTGCAAGTTTACAAACGGCTAATTTGGCATCCCCAGTATATTTTGCTGGAATAAGAAGAGATATAAAACAAGGCAAAAGAACATGTGCCCTGCACATGCAAATGACATTTCACTATCCTTATCAGAATCAGTACTGCTACGAATATCACTGTCCAAGTCTCTAACTGCTGCATTGAAAGATGAAAGAACTCTTTAAGATTACTCTTTGAGCAATCATATTTCCTCACGTTATTCATTTGGGCTTCTTTCCCTCATAAGGTACCGCCACTGCCCTAATGAAACCTAATCAGTCGACTCACTTGACAACACAGATAGTTCTACCAAACTTCATTTAAGAGTTTCTGTCCTTCACTATGTCCTGATTTATTAACAAAATGGCCTATAGAAGCTCCAATTCTGAGAAAATATTCTATTTGACTGATTAAACCAGAACCCGCCTAGTAAAACGTTGTTGAGCTAGACCTGAAGGGAGTATCCCCTCCATTTGGCAACCAGTACTCCCAACTTCTGAAGTATGTTGAAGTCTGTTCCACCCTATATCAACATTGGTCATGGTGAAGGACAGATTTGGTTCACTCATGAATACCCCCACGTTCACATATCATGAAGATACCAACAAACATCGGCCAACCCATATGGGAAAGGTCGATGATCACCCCCCTCCACCCCCAGTCAATTTGTTTGCCCCAAACCCAAACAGCACGTTTTGTTTCCTATTCTAACCAACCCACAATTCTGGCTCGTCGAGGTTCTCTATTTTGCCTATAAGGTGAGTGTTTCACATGTTCTTTGGCTCAATCTCATCTAGACGTCACTACTCCTCCCCACTAGAAGCCACTATAGTCAGATCTTTCATCCAAGAAAGAGAAGTACACGAGTAAATCTAGTCCAAGGAAAATAGCTCATAAAGTCTCATTCAGACATTTCGTCGAATAGTTGGAAGTTTTAGCTTGTGCTGCTCGTAACCAGAGACAAAAAGGTAGATATCGGACGAAACATAGTCACACTGCTAATCGATAGTCCAAAAACAGAGGAGCTGAGACTTTTTGACAAATCCAATCAACAGTCGGTTCATTCATGTTCATACAGCGGAACGGGAAACAGCAAGCAAACTAAACTACCAAAGGATCGATCAGCCACAAAACGGAAGTAGCAGTAAAGTAAAGCGTTTACACTACTGACCTGATTCTGGCGCTCTGCACCGCTTTGATAGGCGTCGCGATCAGTGAGAATCGACGGCGGCGACGGTGTACGAACAGGTCAAAGACTGCGATTCTAGCCGATGTTCATTCCGAACGCGTGATCGGTGACGCATCTTATTCTCTCGACATCGAAGCAATCCGCCGAAATCAAAAGAGATCATCGTCTACTTCTAGGAGCCGAGTGGACGGAGTTCGTTGGCTTGTTATGGCCTCCTCGCGCCAACGGCGAAATGTGAAGCGGCGGAGAGAAAGCTCAACGCGGGAAGTTTCGGGCATTAGCCCGACGTCAAATATTGCGTTTCAGTTTGACTTTTGATGGGGTCAGTCTTTTGTGCAAATCAAAAACTGTTGGTCAATACTCAACCTCCAAATTCCAATCCACCAATCAACGAATTTGTCCAAAATTCTTTCTTTTTTCTTCTTCTTCGTAAAATCACTTACAAGACAAGTTTACAAGTATATGTTAAAAAAAAAGTTTACAAAGTATTACTGTAACATCCCGAACCTTTTCCCGACAAGAAACTGTCCGTTTTGAGCCTCTACACCCGCACGGTTTTCGACTTGGGGTGCAATTTAGGTGACTTTCCATAAGGTCACCCATTCTTGTTGTACTCCACACCAATGGCGGATCCAGAACACAGAAGAGCATTGGGCCGCATTTCATTAAAAAATTAGAACCGTAATAAAGCATTATAATTTTTTTTACAATATAAATTATACACGACGGTATTTTAATTTCGCGAATGCATCAATAATAGAGTCCACATCCATACCAATAGTATACATTGTTTTAAATAAAATACTTTAGCAATCGGCTAGAAATTCATCGTTCATTTTGTTACGAAATCAGTTTTCATATGTTTCATTGTTGACAAGGTTTTCCTTGTAGTAGTTGTTGATACGAGCAGCGTCAACACTAGATAAATCAATTGTGCATTGTGTGTCCATACCTATATCCACTAACTGCTTTAGTAAATTTTCAAGGGAACAAACCTCATATTTCTTATAATCCTTTACGTTTTCTAGATTTCATTTTTTTATAGAAAAAATAGTCTTTGGAGCTAGAATTTCTAGGCTAAATTTATAGTAGTGATTTGAATATGTTAATCTGAATCATTTTTCTAGTTACACCCAATCTGATTATAAAATAACACTAGGCCGAATAACTAAAATCGGAAAATTCATAAACACTATACTAACTCCGAATCCAGGGGAGGGCTGGGCCGGGGCCCGGGGTGGCCACCCCTTAGATCCGCCGCTGCTCCACACTGAGCACGTTTAACTTTGGGAAACTGTCCGCTTTGGGCATCTACACCCGCACGGTTTTCGACTTGGGGTGCAATTCAGGGTGACTTCCCATAAGGTCACCCATCCTTGTTGTACTCCACACTGAGCACGTTTAACTTTGGAGTTCTCACGAGAACTCCTCTATTTCACCCCAAAACGCGTCTCGTCAGTTATAGGTGGTTTCCTACTTATGAACCATGGATCTCTCCCGTGCTTTGTCGACGTGGGATTTGCCTAAGGTGTTACAATTATTGACAAAAAAATACACAAATATACAATCAATCATGTTGCTAGGAATTAAGCAGAGAATTTTTCTAACTATTTAATAGACTATCCTATTGTTATTCCTCCTCCAATATGATCTTACAAAAGACATTCCGATCTCCCAAAAATAAGAGTTTGTATAAATTTTCCTTATATAAGAAATATTGGTTGGATAATTTATTCTTAAGAAATATAATGTGTATTTTACCATATTAACATGAAATTATAGCAAATGATACAAGCTAATACTACAAAATCATTAAGCATTTACTAGAAATTTGTAGATCTTCACAATTAAATCCTCTCAACCATCTCAATTACTACATTGTCAATTGTTGGTTAAGGGCCTACGGTGGCAGATTGGCAATGAGAGGACTGCCTTTTTGTTGACTTCAAGTTGGGTCACTGCTTTGCACCTGCAGGCTCCTATTTGCAATCCCATTGTGCTCTCTTAGGGAGGTGACCCGAGGGTCGAGGATGTAATAGCTTCTGGGGGCGGTCGATGGTGTGATATCAAGCTTTCTCATTAATTTGATCCGCCCACGTGTTGTGCCATCAAAACCATTCCTCTCCCCCGTTAGGATCTAGAGGATAGACTTATTTGGTATGACATCGGTGATGGGATTTTCACTGTCAAATCTGCTTACCATCTTGCTGTCCTAGTGGATAAACAGGGTGGAAGATGGCGCACTACTGCGGGTTGAATGGATCGGGCAAGCTGAATTCGATTATGGGATGTCAATATCCAGCCAAAGTTGAAAGTTTTTTTGTGACAATTATTCCACAGAATCCTTCCTACAACGGAAGCCCTTAAAGAAAATAAGGTTTAGGTGCTTCCTAGATATCCGGTTTGTTGGGATGAGTCGGAAACAATGGAGCATTTGTTTTTCGATTGTTTAGTAGCGAGAGCTTTATGGGATCACTCATGACTTGATTATCTTGGTCAAGGGCTGCCTAAGCATAGGTTCCAACTTATCCTGAAAAAGTCGATGAACTCGCTCCATCAACATCATTTGTTTTTGGCGGTTGTCGCAATCCTCTGAAGGATTTGGCGATCCAGGAATTGAGTTGTCTTTGATGGCAAACAGTTTGAGATCCCAGCCTTACTGCGGCAGTTCCATCAGCAATACCAGGAGTGGGTTAATTTTCCAGTTTCTGATGTTCCTCGGCAATCTAACCCTCCAACTCTAACCGTGTTGGCTGCAAACCCTAATGAGGTTGTTTGTTAGTGGGATGGGGTTAGAAGCGCGGATCCCATTCGGCGGGTGGTATGACTATAAATAACCAGGATGAGATGATCCTCATGGATAATGTGGTGCAGTTTCCTAGCATTGATGATCCAATGGTTATTGAGTTACTTGTTCTTCGTGATGCTATTATCTAGTGATTGACGCATGGTTTTTCGGAGATCCGATTTGAAGGCGACACCAAGGTGATTATTGATAAGATCAATCAGGCGGATACTCGGGATAATCGGGTTGGCGTCATCCTTGAGGAAGTTGTGCGTTATTTCACAATCTACGCTCGGCTTAGTCTGCGATTTGTAGGTCGGAGTAGTAATAGAGTAACCCATTTGGTGGCTAGAAAAGCCATTACATTGTACCCATCTGCTAGTTGCTTCTTTAACTTTGCTACCTAGTTAAATTCCAGGATGTAATGAACTAATCATTTATATTTCCACATCAATATATTATTTATCTTTTACAAAAGTACATCACAATTTGCGGACCTAAAGTAATTAGTGGGCTTGCTTAGATTTAGGCTTTTGGAGCTTCCACTACAAGAGGCCCGTTGATTAAACAACAGATACGACAGTATGTGCTATCCATGAAATTACAAACGATAATCCAGCACAATGGAGGGCAACTCCGTGTCTCGTTAAGGGCTGAATACGAAGCCTGCTTATGCCATTAATGTGGGCTTAACCTACAATATGCAATGGGCTTTTAACACCTTCTCACCCCACTTTGTTTTCACGAACACTTCTCAACTTTTCCCTAGATTGGGGAAACTGTTTCTCGAATTTAAGGAGCACTTTTCTTCAACTTTGTAGGGGGAGGGGAATGGTTTTTTATAAGTGTAAAAAAAAAGTGAATGAAAAATAAAGTATTTTTAATGGCTAAATTACACGTTTAATCACTCAAATTAAATAAAATTTTCATGTTTTCCACTTAAATTATTTTTCTTTTTTATTCGCCACTTACTTTATGAATCTTTTCACTGTTAGTTACCGGCCGTTACACTCCGTTAAATTTTTCTTACGTGGCAGTCAACTATAAAATTTGACCGTTAACTAGATGAGATGAAATTTTAAAATAAACTTAATTTTCCACTTCATCATCTCACTTACTTTACCTATATTAATTATTTAATAAAAGTTAATTAAATTAAAAAATTTATGTGTTCATTCTCTGGAGCCTTGCAGAATTTCGAATTCCTAGGATAATTTTGACCGTTAATTACTTTATCTTTTTTTTTTAATTTCCATGTCATCTAGTTAACGGTTAAATTTCATAGTTGACTGCCACGTATGATAAATTTAACGGAGTGTAACGGCTGGTGACTAACGGTGAAACGATTCATAAAGTTAGTGGTGAATAAAAAAGAAAAGTAATTCAAGTGGCAAACGTGAAACATTTACGTAATTTGAGTGACCAAACGTGTAATTTAACATATTTTTATTAATAGAGGGTACTTATTGAGATTGTGAGCAATGTTTTTAGTAAAAATGTAATGTGAGTATTTTGAAAAATGACTGAGGATATAACTTTAAGAATACATATTTTAATAGGCTTAAAGTTTGAAAATTGAAATTTTTAGTAAGGTGGATTGTAATTGTATATCTAAATAATTAGTGAATTTTGGAGTCAATAGTTCTTTTTGCTTAAATTTGAGGAAATTTTTCAAAATGTGTTTGTTTCAACCTAAACATAAATTTGTGGGGAAATTGAAGAAAAGAAAAGTGGAAACAAACACTACCGAAGTCTAAAATCCCCTTATCTCATGTTATGTGATGAGATCGTATTTTGATTTCGTAACTACTTCTGTGAAGTACTTGAAGTTGAAGGCTAAAATTTAAAATGATAACTTGTTAGAAAAAATACAACCGTTTAATTAATTAATTAATGACCGAGAGAGTGAAATTAATACAACAATCTATTATGTCCTTTTCAAAAATTTAGTAAATAACGTATAAAAAACAAAGAATGATATATTGTGAACAATACCACATTATAACAATCTTAACCGGACTTATCAACAAAATCAAACTTAACCCTAACATTTGCATGATTAGAGGGTTTTCATTGCCGAGTGTGTGGAGGAATAATGATTGATGGATACACAATCCTAACTTGAAAGCAGTTTAAGCCACAAGGAAATCGAGAAATGGTAAAACCTGGCTTTGGGGAATTGTCATGGCCTCATCGGATGCCACGCCGCCATCAGCAAACTGTCTGGGGAAAAAACCCCAAAGAAAGCTTGGAGAAGCAAATGGATAATGCACGACATTTTCCAGTCTTTACTAGTAAATATGTTATACCATTTTCAGGATAAATCTAGAGTATCACGTACTTTTGGTAAGAAAATATTCTCTAAATGTTAGGATACGATAATATATTGTACTTTTGATGAGCGAACTCCATGACCTAATACTCTAAACCACGCACCTTAAACCCTAAGCTAAGATGGTACATCTAGTATTTTGAATGTATTTCGACGACTAATTAGACTTACTGTATAATACCTTGCCATAAAATTCAGTTCATTCAAAATCTACATAGTGTTTTCATAACCATGAATTATGAATTACAATCCTATCACATTCAATCTCAATTTCATTGACTCGAAAGGTGGTAATTAAGGCTACAAGTAGTTAATGATAAGTTGTCATCGATCCTCCTAAATATTCGATTTTAATCGATAATATGTGAATCATATGTTAAACCAACGCCACCGAATAATGGTAGAACTAGAACGGGAAGCTATCAATTTCCCGCTCTTACACCCTAAAGATAACCGTAAGTTGGAAGTGCAGGCAAAAGCAAAATGGCATCTGGTTTTTCTCAAAAGGACGAGTTGAAGGGGAAACATTTCCGATGCTGAGAGTTCCATTCAACTTAGAAAAAGTAGGTTGGCTTGGTATTTTCATTTTTTTTTTCTCCATCTCAATCACAAATCACAATTAATAATACAACAACTATATATGCCCTTTTCATCTTTTGGAGTGGTGGAACATGGGTTCTACCAACAACAAGCATCTTGAAAACCATGCACATGATGGTACCCTAGTAGTCGCTTCTCAGTTGGGGAACTCTACGATGCATTTTTTTACACTAATATTGATACAATTGATCGTAACGATTGTTCGTGCAAGAATTCAGTAAATTAGATTTGTATGAATATAATTTTGAAATACTGATAAGAAGATTTAATTTGATGATTGAGAGAAAACTTACTATCGAAGAAGTACAACATTCTAATTTCTCCCTCATTCTCCATCTTCATCCTTAGCTCTGCCTTTCTCGACCTTGCTGCTGAAATAATCGACTTCCTGTAGCTTTACGATCATCTTCATTCCTTTACAAATACGTTGGTATCCATATCGAGACACTAGTCCCAGGTCGTTGCAGAGTCTTATGGTGTCGCGTCGTCGCGCGAACCGTAGACAACACGATTAATTACATGGAAATCCAATGAATTTATATCATCGTAAAATTATATAGCGAAAGTAGACTAATATCCATAGCACGACAGACTGATAATATTATAGCGGTCGCCTATGTTTTCCATCGTGACATTTTTCGATAGTATTCTCTCCCTTACGTTGTTGTCCATTTCAATCTTTTTCCAATAGCATATTATGAGTGTCTATGATGTGCATGCTAGGGAATGCGATAGAGCCAAACATCAAATATGTAATCAATTACATAATATTGGCTAGTACACTACACACGCAATAAATGGGTGAAAACCTAAGTAAACCCTAATTTGCATGAAGTGGATCCATCGCAGAGAGTCGCGACAAATATATAAATGGATCTATCAAAATGTTGTACATAAAATTAATTAATTAATTTTTCGTACTATTATTATGATTTGGAGAGTTGGGTATAACATCAGATCATAAATGAAAAAGAGGGAATTTCGTAAAATTGACTAAGCAAAAGGAACTCTCTCCCTTTTTCCCCACTCCTCCCTTCTTTTCTACAATAATGCAAATAAATTATCAATAATTCTTCCTTCATGAGAGCTATACCACCATTAATTATGACTGAGGTGAAAGGTGAAAACTACATTTTATAGCGACGGGAGCTATAACGCCATTCCTTCGCAAATGCTGACTAATAAATAAGGGTGGTTTTGGAAATTTGGATTTGGGAAAGGTGTACTTCAAGAATATGTGTATATAAGAATGTGTAATTTTCGATAATTCATTGTTTGACGGAATATATACATTCTCATAATACAACATCTAGAATGGACGAATAATAAGCAAAGACTCTAATAAAAGTGTCAACAATTGGTTCGTGATATTTCAATCATTCTAATTGCAAGAAGATATTCTACTGATAACGACGAACTAATGTAATAAGGAAATGGTATACTCTTCTTGTTTTCCCTTTTTCCCAAACTACTCAAGTTATGACTTAATGAACCATATCAATTGACACTGTACCATTGCCTCATTCGTTAAGAGGTTTCGTAATCTATGTGTGTGGTTTATGAAAACTTCGAGTTCATTATCGGTCTACTTACGATTTGAAACGGTGAGACAAAATTATAATCGAACGGACTAACATCTAATTAACCCGACACCATAGCCTAATCCGTTAAGTGGTTTCGTATATTGAATGTGCCATCTATGCAGATTCCTAATTTATCGTCGATCTACTTTGAGTTGATATGGCCAACATCAGTGGCGGATCTAGGGGGAGGCCTTCCTCGATCACGATCCAACCCTCCTCTATGGGTCCAAAACTGATATAGCAAAATGAAGCTATGCTATTGCGTCCACCCTTCTCCGCTTCTTCTAGCCGCATTATCCAATTTTCTATTCAAATGCGACCCAATTTTCTACTGTGTTTTGGATCTACCGTCGTATGACGTGCCTCCCTCGAGGTTGAAGATCGATCTTGAGTTATTGAGTATTTAGTGTGTGTGTTTTTTTTGGTGGGCTGGAAGCCAGTGATCATCGATGAAGTGATAGCTAGCCAACGATTGAAAAGCCTGATTTCGTTTTGCTTTTCTTTCAACTTTCTCTCCAGCTCCTAGCTAGCTAGCTACCACGGTCTAAAGTCTAAACATATATAGATTCCAGGACCGTCGATCGATCCATCTCCATCATATATAGTTGTACAAAGTCATCATCGTCCAACTACTCTGCAGCTATTCCTATCTATCTATTTGACCATTCATCTTCGTTCATGAAACACCTGAGTTAAACCGGATCGATCGGACCACTTACAGTCAAATACAAGACTCATGATCACTTGTAACATGTAGCAGTTGGCATGTGTCACAACGAAAGTGGGTGAGATCGGTGACGACACACATAATTTACGTGGTTATAGTGGTACGGACTACATAATAAGACTGTAGAGAGGAGAATGTATTCATTGTTCGGTAGAAATTAGGACGAAATTGTGAGTTCACAACTAATTTTAGTCGCATAAACGATCAGGGTGCTAAAGAAGCGATTTACACGGGGAAATTATCCTAAACACTTAACGGGAAAAAAAATAAAAACAGAGCCCGGACAGAAAACATACGGACGAAGTCAATGTAAGGATTTTTTTTTGACAAGGCATATGTTGCAGTACTTAGGAATGATGATCGATCGATTCTTACTGTTTTGAGATTTAGTTGGCAATGTGCTCGCTGAGAAACTGTGCTATCATGACTCACATAGCCCCCGCACGATAAATTGCAAAGTTGATTGATACATTTGCACCCAAATCACAAGTGTTAGCGATATATGGATAGTTTGAACCGAACAATCACACCAAAAAATTATATGAAAACGAGCTGAAAATAGTGATAAAGGGGTAGCTAGGTAGTCGGTTCTATCATTTCACACCGACCGAATCGCACTACAATAACAAGCGATGCGACTTGCTAGTTTATTTCCAAACACACGTCACGCCATTTACTTTTTTTTTATGTGCACAATTCAGTAAACTGTAAATGCATTATGATGTGGTTTCACCGCACGGCGACGGTCCACTCCTGCTTTTTGACACATTGCATGTTTCAAACCTTAATTAACGAACCCAAAGACCAACGATTTCCTTTCTTTACGTTTTCTCCAAGGTTAAGTATATGGATAGATGCTAATCGTGCAAGCAATGAAGCAAAGCAATGTTGCCATCAAACAACCAAAATCAAGAGTGTGGAAGGGAAACGAAAGCCCTAACCCTACAAGTCTTCCTCTGTTTTACTCTTCTACATTCGACAATATGAAAGTTAAAAAGGAAACCAGAGGGATAAGGATCGATCTGGAGCTGTAATTATTATTACATTAATTAACCATAATTAGTGAAAGCCGTGAAGTCTTATAATTCATGTTGGCACGCAATTTACCGTTTACACTGAGAGAGAGTGAAGTCCTCTCTGCCGTTTTTGTAAGTGGTGTCATGTCACGTTCATATCAGACATTATATTTGGGCCCGGCCCGGCCCGCGCAAAACGATAAAAGAGGAGAAGAATAAAAATTAAATTGAAAAAAAAAGAGGAAGAAAAGGAAAAGTGTTCCTGTCAATGTGGGCCTTGAGTATTTGGGACACGTGGCCCAACATCTCCTGTCTTGATTATCGAAAAGGGCCAATCTAAAGATGGGGCCCAAAAGAAGCTGAGTTGTTCCGAGGTGGGGTTGGGCCCCACTCTGGCAGTTCTGATTGAGCTTATCGTTTTCCGATCAACTATGTTGGGGTTTCTTGGACCACGGTTGCTCGGTTTTTGTCATTTACCCCATGTAACGACGCCGTTTTACCAAAATTTTTTTACCAAAGTCATCCAATAAAAAAGCATAATTGATTCATTAACCAAGCATGGTAGTACACTAGTACTCAATCATATTGGCCTCAAGTTCAAGCATAAACAACCGTAGTTTGAAGTCTCTCTATGACTCTATCATGTGTAAATGCGTATCATTGTTGCTACGAGTGAACATCAGTTGTTTCGGTATAGAATATGAATCGAATCGAGATGAGAACCGGATAAAAAAGAAAAGAAAAATGACGTACCGTAATCGGATCAGAAGCATACATGGTTCATTTGATTTGATTCCGACCAATACAATTTAGTTCTGACTAGAGGTGGCAATTAGGACCCAAATCCATGAATCCAATCCAATCCATCCACCAAATTATCCACCTAATCCAATCCATTTGATCCAAATCCAATTGGATTGGTGGATGGATTGGATGGCAAATTACGATTTGGTACCTTTATTTTTTATATTTTACATTTTGGTACCTAAAATTTATATTTTTATACGAAAAATATCATTGGAAATTTACATTTTGGTACCTAAAATGTTTCATTGTGACATTTTAGTACCAAAACTTTCCAAATTTTACATTTTGGTCCGAACCTTGGATGTCATTTGAATTAATGGATCAATCCACCAATTCATTTGATCCAATCCATGAATCCACCAATCCATTTGGCCCATAGATCCACCAATCCGATCCAATTGTCACCTCTAGTTCAGACCCACTTTTCCTTCCTTTATTTTTCTTAATGGGACATTTTTCCTTCGTATTTAAAATAAATGATAGAATCCAAAGGGTGGAGGGGGGGTGCGGCGGAGCCGGCCAGCCGGGGACGGTGCCAGCTGTCGCGGTGGCGATGGGCATAGCTTTGGCGTGATATTGGTGATGTGGGTTAAATAAATCTGAGTGGTGGGATGTGTAAATATTATTATTTACCTGGTGACTGAATGCAGGAGGGTAAAGGTTGCAAGGTGGAAGGACTAGATATATGCATACACACTATGGCTGCAGACTGTCATTCCTTTTCTGTGGCGACACGTACCCCATGCAACTCCACACATTGCGCCAAAACCCTATTCTCATAGATGCAGCCAAACAGCTGCAGCACCCCATTTATTTACCCCACCAACAATATATAATTCACAGATTAGCGGGGGAAAAAAAATCTAAATGAGGTGGTTGATTTGAACCGTATTATTTGAATGAGGGGGCTAAATGCTTACGGATTAGTTTATTTTATAAATTACGAAATTTACATGTAATTTTATCTATATTTTACATTTAAGGAGGTGTTGTATACTATAACTCCTCATGAGTTCAACCTAGTTCCCCCACTGCACATGACTAGGTGGTCGATTATTACTGATATGATTGTAATGACCATATTAAATAAACGAACTTTGCTACGGTGACATGCATGTTATCGTAACTTGCACTTTTAGGTCGACCTAATCTGTCGTTTCACTCTGTTGCTAGAAGGCAGCTTACTTCATAGCAACTTCAAACCTTTTGTTTGAAGCCTTACAGATATCCAATATTTCATCCAATGCCTTGACTTTGTAGACAAACATACCTACTTTCATGTGGTAGAGTCCCCTGGACGCGAATCTCATCCACGCTTCTCGAATTGAGCTCCAAAGTAGACTTCACAAACACTTTCCCCCAAACTTGGCCATTTTCAGACAGTTTCTTAGTTTTGGCATAGCCTTTTGATCAGGTTAAAAAAATGGTCCTCTGGACTTCCTATCGAGCTCCCAAGCACTTCAATGTGTAGAGGGACACTCCAGCTTCAAACCAAGTCATTAATCTCCAATTTTCATCGAGCCAACTGTACGATATGAATCTCCAAAGTAGGCACCATGAAACTGTTTTTACACTGAAACAACATATTCGGTCGACCTAATCCTAATTGAGGTTGACCTAAAGATGCAAGTTACGGTGACATGCATGTCACCATAAGCGCACCCTAAATAAACTCATTACATTGTTCACTACGGTGATTCAGTATCGCGACAACTAGAGTATGGAACGCCGCGGTTTATCAACACTCAATTATGGAGATATGTGGGGTGGTTTGGATTGGAAATCATATTCCTACCGAATTAATTTGACTTAATTGTTTTGTTTTGAGACGATTTTATCAATTTTACTCGTTTGTTTGTCGATAGAAAATTCGAATGGATCAATTTGGCTTGAAAAATTTCAAATGAATCTGTTTCGAGTCGATTCCAATTGTCTGTGCACGGGCATCAACTTCAATGCCTGGCCGGGATCATTTTGATAAAATTTGGTAATCAAAGTCAGTTTTTAATTTCACCCTAATGTATAATACGAGAATCTTCATGTAGTTTTTCTTTTTGCCGAATAATTTTAACAGTATAGTATTTAGGGATGAAATCAAGTGATCCCATCTAGATGGATGATATGCTAGAAATAATTTTCTACGTTATTGAGTTACAAGTTGGTCAACTGATTTGGCTTTTTTGTGTGTGTGTGTTGGGGTACAGAATTTTTATTTAGTGTTACACTTACATATGCTGTGGGCTGTGGCTAATTGATTAAATCATCACGTCCCATCGTTTTCATGAAGAAACCTTGGGGCAGAAGCAATATATTCAATATTAATTAATTCGGTGGCAAGAAAAATATTTGATTTATTAGTTCAACTTGTCCTCATTCAAATATTTGAAGTTGTTGGGATATATAATCTCCATCGCGCATCGAATTATCTTAGTGCTTGGGTATTTGGATTATATATATGACAAAAAAAATTTGTCAAAGGTTTTTTTTTTCCCTTCTCCTAAATCCTAATGATTAAATAGATAGCTGAAACTGATGGTCGACTAAAGAATGGATATCGAATTGGGTTATCAATTGAGTCAGTTCAACACGTTAATCGCTTCCAAGCAACGCGATTTTATTGAATTTTATAAAAAAACCATCATTAATGTTAACGAACAATAATCCACATGTAGTGAAGTAGAAGACCCGGCGACATTCATCCGCTCAAATTGGTGTGCGCACGGATCAAGCTAGGTAATAAACGAGAGTGACGTTGATAATTAAGATCACCAGCAGATAGCTATTTGAGGTCAAATTAGCAAAACTAGCTAGGGTTGTAAAACTATTATATTCATACCTCTTACCCAGTGCAAGAGAATGATATAAAGACTCATTACTGTTATCTTTCAATAACTCAAAATATAGGACTCATCTACTACGCAATATGACATGAGAATCGTTAATCTACAATAACTCTCGCATTTTGATCGATCTTCATTTGACAACTACGGATGGTGAAAGAAAGACGATGTAAAATGTATTTTTTAACCATAAACTCAAATTATCATAATGGTAACCGTTGATTCTCCTCCGTAGTATTGGAGTGAAAATGTGAAATAAAGTATCATTTGGAATTTTGGCACTGTTGACTAGTCGAGCTAAACCAGGACAGGCGGGCGGATGTAATGGCTTATCAGGGTCAGACAGCCAAAAGGTATAAAAAAAAAAACGAATTGATCAGAGATAGCTAGACGACAAATCATCGGTGCTTTCATTTTCCCATGATTAGTAAGACGTAAACCATACAGTTTAGGACAAATGATCCAACTCATAAGGGTTTGATTAGGAAGCGATTGATCATTAGTCAAGCTTTTCCCAATATCAATACCAAACGAATATTTTGTGTGGTATTATTAAGTAAAATAATAAAAGGATAATCAATGTATTGCTAAATGCACTATAATCACTTTTTTTTTCTTTTCTTTGGTGATAGGGAATCAATACGAATACCCACTTTTTTAAGTGCCAAATATTAAGAAAAAAGTAGGACAAGACATACTTAACTTAAGTATGGAGTTGCCACACGGCCACTTCAATTGATTTCAAGTTTGTCAATAGAGTATGTAGCATATGCATACGTGTGCGATGGCATTGAAAACTCCTCTTTAATGTTCATCATTATTCAATCCCTTAACATGGAAGGTGTTTTGGTCAATGGAGCTGGATTTGAATCGTGGTGGTTGCTCATAATTCGAGTTGTTAATAGCATTGTAAGATGAGATTCTGTATAATTTATTTACATTTTTTTCCCCTCGACAAAAGGTTATTGAGTTTGAATATTGTAGAGATTGATCTCTCTTTTATGTGTAGTACTAATGTGGGGTTGCAAGGATCTATGATTTTTTCGTTTGGTTGTTTAAGACCCTGATATTATCTTAAGAATATGTTCATCTCAGTAACTCGACTTATGATAAGGAAGATGATGTTCATGAAGATACTAGCGAAGAATAGATAAATTATTGTGTGTTTGATACAAGTACAACAACCCTCTATTTATCGGACCACTATATATGTTATGCAACATGATTGGACACGATGCTTTCTCCAAATGCACGTTACATCCAATTACATACGCAAAAATTGTAACCAGAAGGATATGCCATACACTTTCATTAGGCATATATGCGTTGTGGGTTTAATTAGGAAACTCAGACCTAGTTAGAGACACAAATATTTTAACTCGAACTCTTATGTACTATAACCTCTATGCATTTATATAATTTTAAAGGTTAGATAAAACATCAAATATGATTTTCGAGTCATCACATCGCGCGAAAGACGCTCATACACATCTCTTCGTTATTTCGATTCGGGACAATAAGGCCCCAAACAACATTCCTTGGGATACATGATAAGTTTTACAAGATGTTGTCCTCTATTATTTACCCAACAATGACTCCCTTGCCCTTACACCCCCCACTAGTATCCATTATTCATCACACACACCTCTCCATTCACCACTCAATGATCGAGAAATTAGACAGAACAAGTTTAAAACAGGACAGGACAGGACGAGACGAAAGAAGAAATCATCAACCCGCATTTTACCCATCCACCAAAACAGATCGATAATTAAGTAGCTAGTTAGCTCCAACCAAAAATTACCATAACTAAATGTGACCATTATGGCCGACGAGCCAGCCAAAAATTTTGCCCCAAAACATTTACTTCCCCTCCTCTTTCCCTTAACTCAAAAACTCATCCATTGCCTCCTTCTTCCAAAACCAAACCCCGTCTTCCATTAATTGCCTCCAGTTCCCCCGAATTAATTATAGAAGCTCCCCTCAAACAATAATTACCGCCCTCTCCCGAGAGTAGGGATGGCAACCAAACCCGAACCCACGGGTACCTACCCGACCCAATCCGGTCAACGCGGATAAAATTCGTGTTGACGGGTTTTGGGTTGGGTTTGGGTTTAAACCCGTTCACTATTCATCGGGTTGGGTTGGGTTTGGGTTTAGGTAAACCCGACCCGTGGGTACCCGCCCACACATATAATTAATTTTCTCGGTATATTTAATATTTTAAACAACTAATCTTGTTTATGTTTGTGGAGACATGTCTAATTTTTTCTTTCTAATTGTGTAGAATGAAGTTTGTGTTATCGAGTGGAGAGTGAAGAAACTTAATTGAAAGGAAGAAGCCTTCAATTAATATGTTATTTATGGATAATTTATGATTTATTTCAATTTTCTTGAGTTTTCTAGATTGCGTTGAACAATTTGTATAGTTAATTTGTGATTTGCTTGAATTTTCTAGAACAGTGTTTTAAATATGGATAATTTGTATTGAGAGATTGATATTTGACTTTAATTTTGATAGGAACATGTTATTGTAAATTTTTTACGACAAAAACCCGTGGGTACCCATGAACCCGCGGATACCCAGCGGGTTGGGTTGGATTTGAGTTTTTCAAACCCAGTGGGTTTTACCCCGGGTCGTTTTCACGGATAAACCCATGGGTTTGGGTTTGGATTTGGCAAAATCCGACCCAACCCGACCCATTGCCATCCCTACCCGAGAGGTAAAAAAAAATAAAAAAGGTAAAAATGGGTAGGGGGTGTACGTGGCGGTTAATAAACACTAGAAGTCAAATCGTCCTCCCCTGCCCCAATCGTCCTTTCTACCACACTCTCTCTCTCTTCCTCTTGCTTCCTATTTATCCCCTCTTCCCCTCACCTCCTCTCCCTTCCAAAATAATCAAAAAAGAAATATACAATTCCTCTTCTCCTTCCTCTTCTTCCTCTTGCTTTTCTTCAGTCTCTTCCATATAGCTTTACACAATTATAATAATCCAACAATACGATGTTGTGAGATTGTGTGAGTGAGAGAGAGATATGGTGGGATTGAGTATAGTTTTGGAATCACAGAGAGCTCAGCTGGTGATCAACAAATCCTCCATGATCGCCAACAACAAGCATTCTTCTTCTTCTTCTTCTCCTCCGCCGCCTCCCGCCGCCGCCGGATTTCTGGAGGTCTGCTTCCTCTGCGGGCAGAGGCTCCTCCCGGGGAACGACATCTACATGTACAAGTAAGCGCGCAAGTCAATTATGGCTCTGTTTAATGTTTGCATCGAAACGAATTGGAGCAAGATCGGGCTGAATAATATTAGAGATCTTGTTTTTCAAAAAAAAAATTTATTGTGGAGCAGGGGGGACAGAGCTTTTTGCAGCGTGGAGTGCCGGTACAGGCATATGTTCGTGGACGAGCAGGAAACTACCACCAGTGGAACTACTAGTACTCACAAGAAGAAGCAGCTCTGCGCTTTCTCCGCCGCCGATTCGGCGGCGGCGGGAGGTGGTTCTTCTTCGGCGGCGGCGGCGGCGGGGGTTTCGGCTCGGCACCACCGGAAGAGTGGGAGAGGCGGTGGCGGTTTTGCTTACTGAGATGAAGGGATTGGTGTTTCCTCTTTTGGTATTTTTTATTTATATATTTCTTTTGGGGGGTTTGATAGAGGGAGGGTTTTGGGGGTGAATTCCCAGTTTTACCCTCCCCTGTTTTGGTTCTACGATGTAATGACGTGGACGTGTTACCTGTCGTCTTTTTGCCACCTGGTATGAGGACAAAAATTTGGGGGAAGCAAATGGACCGCTCTGTGGGAGAAAAAAAAAAGGAGGGAAATTAATTATTAAAATTTTTATATTTAATTTTCGTGGCTTGCTGTACCATTCTTTGTTTCCTTTCCCGCCCCAGCCCATGGGTTTGCTTACCCATTGGCGGCCTAGATTCATATAATGAAAAATTAATTAATAAATTAGTTAAAACCTCGACATTGTTCCCACAAAAAAACAAAAACAAAAACCTCGACCTAGAGAAACGCAGTCGTGGGTAAGTTGGCAAATTAATTAAATTTTTCTTCATTACGAGTGAAGCTTAATCAATAGTTTTCACTTTTTCAGTTTGGGTTTCCGTGGAATACTTAAAACTATTCCTAGTTTGAGATTGAATTGTGTTGATGTTATCAAAACAGTTCGGAGGTATAATTTTGATTATCGAGCCGTGTGTTTTTTTATGAGCATATAACACGATAGAGATTATGATTTATGAGCATACATATTATACAGACTATTCATATGTTAGTCAGATTGCATCGTTAACACAAAGAGCAATTCTATTATTGTCGACAGCTATATAATGTTTTTATATTAGTCTCGCAATTCTAGTTTTCTTCTCTGTATCTCATGAATATCCAATCTAATGTACGAGTCGTCATATATCTCCAACAATTACGAGGATCACCATCTTTGGTAACAAAAAAAAAAAAAGTAGTAGATGTCGGTGCGAAAACGTTTTGAATCTTGAAGTGAAAATAGCGGTGATTGTAGGATTTTCAAATTGAACCCTCGAAATTCGATCTTTGTTTGAAGAAACCGATAGATCAATAACTGAGTAAGAACAACAACAATACAAATCAATGTGGTGGTTGATTACTAATCCTAATCGTACTCGTGGTTTTGATCTTGGAAATGGGTGGGTTTTCCGTACGTTGGAGAGTTATCACTTTCTCGGGAAACAAACAGTGGGCCTGGCCGCTGGGCTTTTTACAATTTACATAATACAGAGAGAAAGAGCTTTGCTTGTTTGTTGCTTGTTGTGGCAGCTGGGCGGTGGTACTAGTACGATCTTTTCTCTTCTGGTTGTAATCGCGACAAAAAAAAAACCCAATTGGCAAAAATGTTGGATTCCATTTTTTTCTTCTTCTTCTTCTTCTGTATTGTTACATGATTGCAACGTTTATGCGCATTTTAGCATCGGGGAGGGAGAATAATGCCCTAAGACAATAATACAAGGGAGCACTGAGATACGGGAGCATAGCATAAAATATATATTATGTATTAGGGAATAGTTAGGTCGACTATCCATCGGCAAGAGAATTTGGTACCTTTTGGAACAATTCGATGTTCTCGTAGTTGCAAGACGCGACGATACCAATTGATGCATTAACGTTTCTAATTCGTAAAGACAGGACGAGAGATTGATGAATGATGAGATCGCGGTAGGGGCATGTCGCCATCAATTATAGATAAATGCATATGGCGAGGTGGCGCGTGGTAATAATAAAAACCCTAGCCAGCTCCAAAGCTTGAGGATATGGAAGTGAAATGCAGTGGAGAGTTTCTAGTTGGAATTGGTTGGGATAGGTCTTACTCATTAATGAGGTAAGGTGGATCAATTATAGTACACTCTTAAAGCGTGGTGCCAATTTTTTTTTTTAAGGCATTTTAGGATAACTGCCCCTCGTGTAAGGCTTTGTCGTATTAGATATAAAGTATATTACAATTCGGTCACTTTTCTTTGTAAGTCTATCTGGTTATATCCATCGTTAACTTTCGTACTCTGCAAGAATACCGAATCATTCTCTTGAAGCTGATCATCCTCTTCATCATAAATGATCCGCTTGTCCCGAAATGACCCGACCCAACAGAGAAATCCTAGTTCATTGGGACCTTCGATACAATCAAATAGATAAACATCATAAACACGCTTTAGATATTACCAATCGAAGATAGAATTGACATCTCCCTTTTGTATAGTAAACCTTCATTTCATCGTAGTAACTTGATATGTATGCTACGAAATCAAGATTCAACGGAAGTTTGACGTGTCTTATTACTAATATCTCAAAAAAAGGTCAATATAGAGAACAGAAACAAACTTCTATAATATTAATACCTCTAACAAGAACAAGGCAAATATCCTAAATTCTAGGAGTCTAATAGAGAGTTCAACTCTGACAAATAATATACTCGACCTCCAATAACGTATACCAAACTTGAGCCTCATTACTAAACTCACAAACCGTAAAAAGTTAAACCTAATACCATGTCACAAACTAGTTCGTCATAAACCATCTTAACCGTAAATGTGTAAAACTAAATCTAAAGGTGATATGATTCCCTAGCTAGCTATATACAGTAATACCGCCAGCAGGATCGACCATCGATTTGCTTCCCTTACTCTCCCCTTGCAGAAACCCATGAGAAAAATAGTGCCTGTCGCCATTGTTGGCAGGAGATTTGTTTCTTTGCAGGAAATGGAAATCCTGCTGTGAAATCAGTAATGGTATAATGGGAAGAGCTGTAAAACGGTAAAGTGTAAAAAGATCGATCGAGTAGGCAGTCTATAGAATAGGAAGAAGACTAGTAGTAGTACTGCTGCTGCTGCTGCTTTTACTTACTGCTGCCCATGGTTTCAGGAAGCAGAAGATCGATCCAACCAAAACAGCACCAGCTAAGCTATCTAGGTAAAGCTATAGATCGGGTGCATTCAATTCGATATTTTTTTGGGGGTTTGAATAAGGGAGACAGCCATGTTTCTACCCGACCTACCAAACCCTAAACCAAGCCAAGTTCATAGTACAGTTGCTTTGAATGAAATGCTGAACAGGTTGGTGGGTAGGGTTTATACCAGCCTTGAAGAGTTGAAGTCTTTGTTTGGTGTCAATTTTCATGGATTTGTGTGGTCAAACAATTTTATGTATAGTTTTGGTTCCTAGTTATATCGGGTTTAATTAGTTGCACTTGGGGGGTGTGTGAAAGAGTGAAAACTTAGTTGGTATCCAAGAACTCGCGAGTTGTTGAAAGGAGACGGTTGGAGAACAGGTTTTTTGATTGTTCGCTCATGAGTTTTCGTTAATTGAACGCCCATTCATGAGCTCTGGCGCATTCGAGATTTTTTTCAAAGGAGTTTCATTAAAAAAGATCACAAGTGCAGCCTCGTGTATATAAATTGTGGACTTATTCTGAAAGTACATGAATCGCCCGAACTATCAAGATTTTACTGTTAAGGTATTCTATCAAATAACCATTAAAGATTTCGATACACATTATGCAAAAAAAGGCTAGTCAATCATTTCATTCCATAAAATGTTGTCAATTAATATAAATTACATTGATGTGAACTATTTTTCTCTTTCAACTATCATTATCATAACAAGTTTAATGGTATCCTCTAATAATTTGTACCGCTTATCAATCTTGATAAACTAGAATATACTGATGTAAATTTTGGGTTTAAATGTCATTATTAACATACTAATAATTTGTATTTGTTTTCCTCCAAATTTAAGAGGGAGCCATGAAACCCCTCTTAAGGTTTTAGCTCCTTCCCTGTTCATGAGTAGTTTGAGGCTTGAATGCCTCAATCGCGCCTTCTGATGGGTAAAAATATTGTTAATATTGAGCGTCGTCAAAACTCAAACCAATGGTCTTATACCAATGTCGATGACCATTTTGTTTTCGTATAAAACTATGAACAACAAAAGAAACCCTCCATACTCTAACTTTGCTAATAATTTTCCTTTAATTAAGCCAATCAAGAATATTTAAGTTCCGAATAAGTTGAACGTACATTTTCACCACTTAGTTATGCCTGGAATCAAATCCGAACCATAGAATTATATCGAGAACATGCATCAACGATTGACTTTCAAGATATGCTGCTATCTTATTCATGCCATCAAATGAAGAAATCAATCAGGCGTCATTCTAAACGTTAGACGCATTAATTAATTTACAGTTTATCAACCAGTAGTTTATCAACCCTGATCGATAAAAGAGAACTACCGGTGCACGCCCATTTCCTTTTGAAATGGGCAAATAACTCTGAAACACTCAACGAAGGAATTAACCCTCCTCGAATAGTATTAGCTAGCTCTTCCTCAAAATGATACCACCACAGTATAAGCTTTTGTTGCATGTAACAAGCACATTGCTTCTTTTGCACAAAATTTTGGAGGAGGCATATGAAACAAGTGAGAATTGAAAAGAGGGGAAAGACAGTTTTGAGGAGGAGCATGGCATGTGTGGCAGAATCTTGGCAGTTGGCACTATCCAAAATTGTGCACCATTATTACTATATGTATTTTTATGTATAATAATACACTATAATTTCTTTCTTCTCCTTTTTTCCATCACACCCACCACCACAATTGATCCATAGGGGTAACAAAATATTGGCTAGTACAGATTTGGGAATATATTGCCTGGTTTTTCTTCGGCCAAACCCTCCTCTTTTTCTTTCCTCTTTTCTTTAAAAAAATAGCTTGTTTGCTTGTCGTGGAGTGGAGCTTACTACCCTACAAAATTCTCCTGTCGGGGAAACGCGACAATTCTTCTTTCCTCCGTGAGGTTGCTTTGGTTCTCTATGTATGTTATTAGGGTTGCTAAGCTTTTAAGCATTGTTTAGTAAATTTATTCAAAGGTAAGTAAAGACCAAAGAGAACACAATTATGCTATGGTCTACTCAGAGTTCAATACTCCAATAAGTATTTAGGTATACCTATTGATGCTTTCTTAACATAGCATAATTTTTTTCGCGCGGATGAAATCCTTAAAAGATTTGTTCCATAAAGCAAATTTGTCGATTCTATCCGAAAATCCTAGTCCAGCATCTTCATGGCTTGCAAGATTAAAAAACAAGTGGAATCGAACTTGGAATATACAACATATCAACGACTATGTTTTTTCCATTTACGTGTGTGTCAGATATACATGTATGGGCTAGGGATAGGTTAGGGATTTATCAAGTGGTTAGTGATTAGGATTTAGCATGTAGCTTATATAATGTAATTTCGTCATTCAGTTACGTATTAATCAAAGGATAGGTCAACATATCTCTCATCTCTAATTTCCTCTCTTCTCCCTAATCAGCCGCAGGCCACTTCTTGCTTTCTTTCCAAGCTCTTCGTCCAATTCTCTTCATATACTATCACATTAATCTGAGGTTCCAAGACACATGACATTCATCTAAACAACTCACCTCCCAAAACGCCATTTCTGGTAGAAGCCAATGGCTTCTTAATTCGCAGGTTAGATCTGTTTGTTTTGTTTTCCTGAATGGCGAGAATCGGATTCAGACAAAAGGGAACTGTTGTTTTCATCTGGTTAGGTATTATTTACTATACTACTACTAACTAATGATGCATAATGCCAAGAAGGTAAACCATAGCAATAATACTACAGAAAGTACTCTCCTTTCTCTTCAAAGTTCAGAGCCCACCGACAGACAGCTAGTCAGTGACGTGGGAACCGCCATTGAAGGGGAATCCAAGGTCCTCACCAGCAATCAGTTGGCATTGAAGGCCAAATCAGTTGAAGCTCAAAACAAAACACAGGTCATAGAATAAGACACGGCACCATACGGAAGAAAGGAAGGAAGAAACAAACAAACAGCCTCACTGAATTCCAACGAGTAAACTCCCAGCCATTTTTACAGAGGTTGAAAAGACAGACTTGCAAAGATTGATAACCTTTCATATTCCAGTATCTGAACTATGTCCATCTGTTAAAATTTTCACTGAATCTATTACTAGGATTCACGTCCTAGTTGACTCGAAACTATAGACCGGATATACTTATTTTGCTCATCGATTCCAATGTCATCCACGTCTCATTCGACTCTAATCTATCAAGACCGTAACGAGAAGTAAAAGATTTTCTAACATACATGACATGTGAGCACGAGTCTAGAGCACTGGGTAAATACAGACCAAGGCGGTAACAACGAGACTAAGATGGATAAAAAAAGAACTTGTTCAAGAAAAACGAAGCAAGTTCAAGAAAAACGAAGGACTAAACTGTCATTACCCGACTATATTATATAAAACCTCCAGCCAACAACACTCTGAACATGTTCTGCTCTTTGCATTTTTAACTCCTGGAAATGGGTGGCTAAGGGTGAACAGAAATGACACTTCGGCAGGCAGAAATTTGGTTCCAAACTTCATGTGATAAGAGGAATATATGACTGCCTACAACGACAGCAGAGGCAGCAGATAACAAAAGAAGAGACAAGCGGGGAACGGACAGAAGGCATGGAAGATTAAACTTGGAGTAGTTCACGTAGCTGAAAACCAATAATCAAAGAGATATACACAAATGGATCCATCCACACAACAACAAAAATGCTAGCAAGAAAATTTTTCTGGTTTTGGGTCTTTTTAATACGTACAAGGCATGATCGATAGTTCATGGTGTCGCCACCATGCCATATTGGATGTGTGTGCCGCTGCTGCTGCGACTGGGGAATGTGGGGGCGGCCTCAGCCAGATTTGAAGAGCAAGACCGCCTTCTGGTCCAAGTAGAAATACACAAAGTGATTCGTCTCATGGGTCACGTATGAACCTGTAGTGTGGAAGGGATAAGAAAAAGACAAGAATGGTGAATGGTGAGCATCAATCCAAGAAATGAAGAGGCATGCGAGCTTACTCCACGGCAACGAAGTAAGGGAAGGTCGGAAGGAACATTGCTATCTTTACTACAATGCAGGAAAGTGGCGAAACATGTACCTAATGACTTACTCAACACCTAACATGGCATCTTACCAGAGCACTAGAGACAACCTAGTTGAGTAGTTCAAATACAGATATGGAATGTGTAATTTAAGATCACATCCATAACAAACCTACAGAAACTGTTGTTCGTCACCTAAAACCAAAGCAGCAAACAACAGTAGCTGCTGGTAATGGTTATTGGTATAGAGCAGCAGTGGTGCCATAAATTTAGGTCAGTTCATGGTGAGAATTGATTCCAGTTTCCAAGGACTACAAGCACTCACACTCTGACACTGCTGACAAGAAAAAGCCTAATTCTAGCCCGATACATGTAAAACATAAGCAATTAGGTTGGCGCAGAGCATTTCACATAATGTTCAGTCTTCACACAGAAGCAGATGGTCATACTAATGGAGAAGATATACCTATCAATAACTTCCTTGGGGGTACTTATGCTGGGAACAAGGTTCTGTAATATCAGACTTATGAACCTCTGAACATATTGTGTGAAACAGGGGTTCCCATTATGTACAAGGTCGATGTTATCAGAACTTGGCTCAAGCAATTGAGTCAAGTTTACCATCGCCTTTGTTTCCCACCGATGCAAAACAAACATACAAAGAGCTATAAGTGACAAATAGATCCACACAAAGTCCAGGAAACCTAACATCGTGACAGTTTCAGACAACAAATGTCCCCATTGAGTGCCCCCCAAGATTACATTCACCTGAACTAATTCACCAGTCAATGTAACATAGCTTGTGCAGAAACCAATTCACTATAGCTTGCAGTGGCAAAACTAACTGAGAGGCAGAGCAATACGACTACTAAAACGAAACAAGTACTCAACCGCATCTACTTATATTACTTGCCACCGAAATTATTACAGTCAGAGACAGCTTCTGTATTGGTTTGGCATTCTAAATTTAGCTACATTTTAGCATCCTATGCTCCTAGCACCAACTATATCAGGAAGCCACCACTATCAAATTGCTGATTCATTATCGCCACAAACAGAAAACTAAGAGTTGTTTGGAGTTCGGGTAAGTTTTCAACATCATTCCACGAAATGGAAATACAAGTGAATATCGCCTATTAGGCGGCTGGATCTACAGTCTACTGTTTCCACCCCAGGAAGAACCAAAAAAGCACTCGGATGTGACACAAAATCATTGCGCAACATCGATTTACACACAAATCCAGAAGGAGTTACCAAATCTGAAGCATATCTCCAGGCAAACATTAAAGCAAAACGGGAAATCAGATTAGGATTTACCGAAATTCCGGCCAACGATACAATGCCAAGTAGGTCCATGCTTCCGGTCGAATTCCTTCTTTATGTACTCCGCCACGTCCTTCTCCACATTCAGCTTCTCGAACGCCTGATCGGAAAGCGCTCCGAAACAAACAAAAACATGAGCACAAAGTTTAGGGGAAAAGCAGTCGAAATTGGAAGCAATCAAGTTGAAAGAGAGGGAGAAAGAGTACTCACGGAGATGGCAATCTCCACAGCCTCCTTCTGCATGTCCTCCTTCATGTCCGCGTTCTTGATGACGATTTTCTTGCCGACGACGGGAGCAGCGGCGGGTTCGACGGGCACGAGTCTCCGATCATCGGAGCCGGACTTCGGTGGTAGATTCCCGGAGATGCTTCGCTTGGCGTCGTCGGAAGTATTCATTTCCTCGTCAATTTGATTTCGCTTCGTTCCTGGTGATGCTTTCCTGCTGTGATTTTTTGGCAGAGAGCAAGAGGGAGAGCTCTCTCTCTCGGGTGTGGTGGAGGAAACAAAAGGGGAAAACAGCTTTCTCTACTCCAGTCTGTCCAGTCCACCGTTTTCCCCTTTTCCCTTTTCTCACTCTCCCCTTCAAGTCCAACCAATAACTATTGAAAATTTATAATCCTAATTTGCTTTACCAGAAAAAAAAAAAAATTTAAATTTACCGCTCGTCAACTCTAGGCCCAAGCCCACAGTAACCAAGATGGGCTATGGGCTTCTATTTACTAACTTCCTAGTATATAACAAAGTCTAAGTTACGGTCTTTTCAAAATCCAGGCCCAACTACCCAAGTCCTGGATTTACACCAATTCTAATTTTGTTGGCTACGACGGCGCCGGAGACACCGCACCACCGCCGTCCGATCCCTCGCCTCCGCTCTCTCCGCCGTCGTCAGCTACCTCCTCAGGCTCCGGCTCCGGCACAACATTCTGCCGCGCGTCGACTATCCTGAAATCCCTCGCGGTGCTGCGCTTGGCATTTTTCAGCAAGTTCACCCTGGTCACTTTACTCAGCCTGATGAGGTACCTCTCGTAATCCTCGACCTGGAAGATCAGGTCAGGGATGCATTTGTTCTCCCTCTTGATCTTGTTCATCAGACGGCTGCCCTTTCCCTTCTTGTTATTGTCATTGACTCCTTGGCCATTACTTTCCTGCTGCGTATCGGCGACGAAGATGTAGAGCGGAGCCGTGAGCTGCCTGCAGGTGATCTCCACCAGCTTCTGGAAGGCTAGGCTCGGACTGAGCTGCTTGCATCCTTTGGGAGCGATGGCGAGCTTCGTCATCAGGGATAGATGCTTGTAGAGCTTCGTTGTGGTTCGGATCAGGTGCTCCGCTTGAGAATCTTGAAAACCAAGAAATTACTGGTTTGGTGAGTTCTTTTGAAATCTTGTAATGAGATGATCAAGAGAGGAGAAAAGCTTACTTACCTTTGAGGCGCATAAGAACGAAGGAGGAGAGCACTTTAACGACAGCTTCGGCCTTGGAATGAAGACGGTTTTCGAATGCAGCTCTCGACGAGGAATGTAATTCGTCGTCATCGGTGTCCTTCGTAGCCGGCAGATGAATGCTTTTCTGATCCATCAAAGTCAATGTCTTCAGTTTCTTGACGGCCCAATCCATTTCGGTGATATCCGCCTCGATGGCTTGCAGTATGCAAGCGGTCATGGCGCTGCTCGTTGCGGTGTTCAGTATTGGATACCGGTCGGAAGAAGCTTCGGCTTCTTCCAACTGGCTGTCCTTGTCCAACGGGTTGAACTTCAGTAGCTCCTTCGTCAGGTCCTGTGCGAAGTTGAGATCTTCTGGAGATGAAGTCAGGCGAAGGGAGAGCTCGAGGATGGTTCTGGCGACGTTGGGGTTTCTTATGGGTTGGGTTTTACAGACAGTGATTGCCCAAGCTCCGTGAGGTTTCCTCCATTGGCATGGCAGTTTGGTTCCGATTATCGATATCATATCGCACACGATCTGCAGAAGTTACTGCACTATTAGACATCTGATAACAAACAGATTCTTTGAATAGCATCTCTAGAGCACATAATTGGCGATATCCATGCATTAGAATTGGAGTGCGAGGCATCAACCGGAACTGTATGGCTTAAGTAAAGCACTTACCTCGACCTCCCGAAAAGCTGACACACCAAGGAGCTGAGAAAGTAGCGGCCTGCAGACTTTGATGATGAACATTGTCTGGTTTCTTACATCTTCATCGCTGATCCTGGAGGCTTCGGTGTTATCATCATCTAACTGTGAGCCATCGTCGGAATGGCAGACTGATAACAGTTGATCCAGTAAGCCAGTGAGATCCTTCTTCTTCAGAGCAATCAAAATCAGCTCTTTCAAGCATGACAAGGCCAAATAAAGATTCTCCTTCTTCTCTTCCGAATCCTTTTTCCCCTTTTCCCGCTTCAGCAATAGGGTTAGTTCAAGCAGAGGACGCCCAAACAGCTTGACATCTCCGTAAACGAAACCCGCCAATGGATCTTCCTTACCTTCAGCATGGTAAGAGTAAGACTTCAAGTGATGAAGACAGCTGTTCAAGACGAAAGCTATGACCTTGGAGCTCTTCAATGGATGCTTCTGAGAAGCCAGCTGGCTACCGCTGGTGTAAAGGCTCGCTGCCTTTTGGGTCAGTGTCAAGAGATTGGAAGTTGAGAAGGGAATCAGTTCTCGGCTTGCTGAATCAACCTTCGCTGAAGTATCAGTAGCAGTGCTTTTTACATTCCCTCTTCTGCCGCCAGTTTGCTTTGGAGATGCATCCTTCTCAAGCGGCTCGAGGAGATCAACGAATTCGGAGAGCTCTTTTTCTAGATCCGTTGCCTTTGAATTGGGTGCTTTCTCCAGCTCAGCAGCAATGCAGTTCAGTAGTACCTTAATGATCCCTGATAGAACCAAAGCCAAGCATCTGTTCTTGTCTTCTTCAGGGGAAGTAAAGCTGCTGCCATCATGATTCTGACCGAGTATGCCTTTACATAAAATAAAATGCGAAGGGAATGAGTAGAAGCGGGTTGAGGTTTGTTGATAACATGGATGTTTACCTGTACAAAGAAGGACAATCTTTACTAACCTTCCAGCTTTCCCTTTCTCACGAACTTCCGAATCTTTGTCAGGGCATCAGAGAATGACTCACTGGACTGATTTCTTCGTGCCTGCCATGGAAGTTATATTTATTCACGTGAACTGAAGATAGAAGAGGATGAATAACCCTTGTTAATTACGCTACCTCATCATCTTGGGAAAGGGAGAAACCAAAACATGGCAACGACGAATCTGGAGGATCTGGTTTACCATGTGGTTGGAGTAGTAAAATCCACGAAACACAAGATAGAAGACAATCTAGTGGCTCTTCAACTAAAACTTTGCCACGTTCTGATTTAACGGAAGAGCTAATTCCAGCTACAACATCAGTATCCTGATCACATTGTTCATATGTTAGAGCAGAAATTAAATAGTATGGCTACTAGAAACGCTGAAAGAGGTCTTACCTCCTTGAAGAACAGCAGGAAGTGAGGCAAAAGAAAATCAAGCACGAGTTTCCCACTGGCAGGGTCTACTAGGACAAGCTTCAGAAGAGCAGAATAGATGACCTCCCTTACTTTTGCCTACAGGAAAACACGTAACTCCGTTTAGGAACTACTGAAGCCAACTCAAAGAGCAGTATCATAAATTCATAACAAGAAAGACGTAAAGGAGCAACCTGTTGACAAAGGCATCTACGCAGCAAACCACTTAGCTCATGAAAGAGAGCTCCTCCGTTGATGCCACATGGCAGCATGCCATTTTGCTGGCTGCTACTTGCCTGGCTTGACGAGTCTTGAAAGGCAAACAACCCGTCTCTAGTGGATTGTCTTTCCACTAGAATAAGACGGAAAATGGCGTTAGTTGCAGCAAGACGGACCGCATCTTCCCGGCTAAATATAGCCTTGCGCAATACCAAGATCATATAATCCTGAAACGAATAGCATGATGCTCTTGAGAGATTTGAACTTAACCGGGATAAAATTTATGACCCGTTTGCTTAATCAATGGAGATAAAAAGTTCAAACATTACCCGAAGATGGCGACTATGTTTGGCTAGCGGCACTATAGCAGCAACCAGAAGAGTGGCGACCTTGTTGGGCATATGAGTGAAGTAGTCCAACAGTTCCTTCAAGCGGGGAACATGGTCCGACATTGGGAGAGGAAATGCTTGGACTAGCTGGCCTAGCAGTCTGCACGCCAAAACTAAATCCCACAATTACAACAATGTACAAAACTGCACAAGAGTTCTAGCATGTCAATCGCTTGTGGTTTACCTTGTGATTGGAATGCTCCGCTCTGGCTTCAGACACAGAATGCGAAATTTGCACTGATCTATTATCTGGAATATTACCAGAAATCGTATTACTTTCTACAATTCTGAATCAGTTTGCTCAATGTGAAACACCACACTGCAGTTCACAGCTTAACCCACCTCATTTCTTGCCATGTCATGAACCTCAAAAAGAGTCATGAGCATCCGAATACTGAGCTCCTTGATGCCAAGCAGGCCATCAGAATCAGATGGATCTCCGAAACTACCTTCTTCAGATGACTCCAACAGTACAAAGCTGAACTGCACCATAGTAGGCAAAATATGTTCCCTTCCACAGGTGCTCTCATTAACCTAAAGCAATTAATGTCAGCTATATTCCCATGCTCATTCAAAACATACCCAGATCGAAATTTAGGAACAGGATAATCACCGCTCTTAGAACAGCCTTCTCCAGTGTCTGAACGTTCTGCAGATACTCTTCTTTTAGCTCCTGTGTTAGCCACTTACAGTCACTGAAAGAGACAAAGTGAAGAAAAAAATTGTCATGTGGAATTCTGGATAGGAAGACTGCACAAAGACATCAACAGAAGATAGTTGCTTACTTAGCACACTTGTAATCGCGGTAAGCATTAAGCAGCCCCATTTTGAGTGCCCCAATCGAGTTCTCGCTGAACCTTCTAACCCTCGCAACAGAGAGCAAAACAGCAACGGTGAAATGATTAAAAGCCCTCAAGTCCAACTTCACAAGCCCAATAATCTCCTGAACGAGAGAAGGATCCTGCTTCACAGCGAAATTGACATGAAGCAGCACAGTTCCCTCCACTTGCCTAACAGTGGAACTCACTTTCCTCGACCGTTTTTCATCCCCAAAATACTTCACAATCCCTTCAAGCACCTCTCTCTTGTTGAATCCTTTGGAAGCCAAAACCAACAACTGATACACAAGTGTCGGCAAATCCTGCAAATCTATCATGGGCATTCCATCGAACACCTTCTGTACAAACTCTATCCCTCTCCCCTTGTCAAAAATACCCAAAAATTCCTTTACAACAGAAACCAGCTTAATCAGCAGCGGTTTCGACCATTCGCTCATCATAACCTTATCCAGCATCGAATCCACGAACTCCTTACGATTTTCCTGGAAAATCAAATTACAACAGCCAGGAAGAAAGTCGAGAATCTGCGCGTCTTCCAAACTCTCTATTCCGAACAAGTCGTCCACAATCGACTCCACCACCGACTGAAGATCATCGATGGCGATATTGTGCAGGAGCGTAGTGAAGAGGTTAATAGTTTTCGAGGAATTCGAATCGTGAGGGATCTGGCGGGAGAGGAACAACCGAGTGTAGGAAGAGAGCAGGGCGGAGAGAAGAGACGGTAGCGAGGGAGTATCCGGCGATAGGGAAATGAGAGAGAGAAGAGAGAGTACGTATTCGGACACCGCCGGCGACGGTGAAGGAGAGAGCGAGCGAGCTTGGAGGTGGGCGAGGAGAGCCGAGTGAGAGGAGGCGGTAAGCAAGTAAGGATGGAGTTCCCCTCGCTGGGCGAGCTGCACGATCTCGGCGTCGGTTAGCGGATGAGGTTCTCCGTCGCTTAATCGGCTGGTCGTCGCGTCGGAGGCGGCTGCTACGGCGGCGGCCATGGCGGGAGACGGTGGCTTGGGATGGTAGGTTATTCAATCTTTCGACTTGTTTGGATGATTCTTCTGGAAGATAGGTTGAGAATTCGTTTTGCGCGGGAGATTCAGCGGGCGCAAACTTTGGGTTTATGTGAAAATGAGACGTCTCGGAGAAGTTTGCAGGAAACTGGACGGTGATTCGGTGAAGACTTCAACTTTACCAATTGGGCCGGGCTTGATAAAAGATACCTGTAATAGCTTGTTCACAACTGAGCCCAACCCGAAAAGAATTATTAATAATAGACAATTTTGTTATTACTTTTTTGTGAAGAAATTATTAATTGCGTAAATAGCATTAGTAATGTTTATGGAGAGAAAAATTAATTGTATACAACAATGTTTTGAAATATTTGAAAATGATTATTAACAATATAAAATTTCGCTGTTAGTTTTTGTGAAAGAAATTATTGATGATATATAATAACACTACAAACATTTTGAAATGATTATTAATTATATAATTTTTTTATTGACTCCAAATCTCCAATACAATTTTGTTATTGACATTAGTGAAAATAATTATTACTAGTGTATGATAGTGTTATATTAACATTTTTAAATGAATTCGTAATAACAAATGTTAGTTACTTTATGATAATAATTGTAAGCAAATCTCACATTGACAAAGCATGGGAGAGATCCATGGTTCATAAGTAAGAAACCGATGTTAACTGACAAGACGCGTTTTGGGGTGTAATGGAGGAGTTATTTTGGGAATTCCGAAGTTAAACGTGCTCAAAGTGAAGTACAACAAAGATGGGTGACCTTATGGGAAGTCACCATGAATTGCACCCCAAGTCGAAATCTGTGCGGGTGTAGAGGCCCAAAGCGGACAGTATCTTGTCGGGAAAAGGTTCGGGATGTTACAAGTGGTATCAGAGCCTCTCCCCGTCCCTCTTGACCGATGGTGGGGCAAACCTCAACGAGGGCGTTGAGTCCCAGGGGGGGTGTATCATGTATGTAACACCTTAGACAAATTCCACATCGACAAAGCACGAGAGAGATACATGGTTCATAAGTAAGAAACCGACATTAACTGACAAGACGCGTTTTGGGGTGTAATGAAGGAGTTCTTGTGAGAACTCCGAAGTTAAACGTGTTAAGGTGTAGTACAACAAGGATAAGTGACCTTATGAGAAATCACCCTGAATTGCATTCCAAATCGAAATCTGTGCGAGTGTAGAGGTCCAAAGCGGACAATATGTTGTAGGGAAAAAAATTCCCCATGTTACAATAATTATGGGGAAAAAAACACTAGGCCATCCCACTTATTAAAAAAAAAGAGTGTGACCATAACCTCACCCGTTATCGGAAACAAGACAGCAACATAGAAATGCGTGTAGTCGGCGAAATCACTCTTCTTCTTCCTTCCCCTTCACGGAATCTTGCCCATGTTGTTTGAACGGCACTGGGAAATTAAATTAGTAGTTTTCTCCATTCAAGCTGGCAGTATAGTCAATAGTGTGTCATTTACTCATATTCTTTTTTAGAATTCAACAGAATAACCTTCACCGTTTACCCCTTTAATATATTTGTATGGCCTGAACTTTGACCAAAATAAATATCCTGGCCAATCTTTTTGATCTATAACATATTGGCCCAAACTATACAGTAAAATAACTAAATTGGCCAAACCCGACGTTTGACCGTTCACTTGGACGGTCAATCGTGTTGACTAACGGTAACGCGCCACATCACCACCCAATCAACATAAAAAATGTTGAAAAATTCAAAAAAGATACATAATCTCATTATTTTAATTAAGTTAAAAATAAATATAAAAAGAAAAGAAAAAATAATAAAAGAGATAAATGGTAATAGGTGAAAAAACCAGTTTTTTTAAGTGTATTGTGTTGATTGGGCGATGATATGGACCGTTGACCGTTAGTCAACACGTTTGAACGTCCAAGTTAACGGTCAAATGTCGAGTTTGGCCAATTTAGTTATTTTAATATATAGTTTGGGCCAAAATGTTATAGATCGAAAAAATTGGTCATGATGTTTATTTTGATCAAAATTCAGGTCATACAAATATATTAATTCTTTATTATTGTGTTCGTGGTGGTGGCGGGATATGGATAGCTAGCCCGTTTTTTATCCGGGTATCCACACTACTCAACGGGAAAACCAAATATGTATTTTTCTTCTTCCTTTTTCTCATTCTTTTTCCCTCCTCATTCCCCGCTTGGACTGCCACGAAGGTTTATAACTTCGAGGAGATAGACAATGATGTCAAATAGGGATGAGCGACGCAGCAGCAGCAGCGCGTGTAGCAAACCCTCCGATGTAAAACTACCAAGCCTTCGGTTATTTGAATCATATACTATAGGGTCTAAACCTGACCAAAATTGAACCTTTTTTCAGCTAAATTTTTTAGGCTTCAACATGGTTCATATTCTTAGTAGAGTATCCTCCTCTTTCAACTTTCATTAACAAAACTACTACAATCGAGATTTATGGACAAACAACATATACTTTAGTAAAAAAGGTTGGGACTTAATATCTTATAAGTTATGAGTCAAAACGAGGAGCATAACATGACTATTTATTGATTAGTGGAATCTCTTATTTTATATTATTTACATTATAACTAGAGTATCATTTAATATACGAGACGTTATAGTAATGATCTCAAATTGAAATTATTGTACATGGTATTTATAAGGAGCGAGTCAAGAATGAAGAGTCATGATGGGACGTGGTGCAAAGACCCTCGATACAAACTCGCACGCCGTAAAAACAAGTAAGGATATGTCAGATCGAAGGGTCGAGCTCATGTTATATTATCATCGCTAATTTTGAATACAAGGAAACGTGATTATGATGACTCCAACACAAGAAATGTTAATCCGAATATCCAACACAAACATGGGTGAGGAAGATGATATCTTTCTAGAGACTCGGAATTGGACTTTAAAATACACTCCATCAAATTACATTCACTTATCAATAAAATATACATAACATTCTGAATTTGTTCCAGGCGAAGACATTATCCGCTTTGAGTCCATACCCGCACGATTGCATATCAAGGTTACTTATCATAATGTCACCCATCCTTGGAGTGTGACACAATGAGCACGTTTAACTTCAGAGTTCTCACAAAAACTCTTCCATTTCACAACAAAATGCTTCTTATAAGTTAATGTCAATTTCTTACTAATGAATCGTAGATCTCTCTCGTGTTTTGTCTATGTTGGAATTGCTTAAGGTGTTACATACATCCCCTATAGGGACTCGACGTCCTCGTTGAGATTTGCCCCACCATTGTTCAAGAATGACACAGAGAGGCTTTGATACTACTTGTAACATTCTGAATCTTTTCTCAATAAATATATTCCCCGCTTTGGACTCATACTCGCATGGTAATTTTGGCTTTGAGATGCACCCCAAGACAAAATCCGTGAGGATTTAAACTCAAACTGGGACAATATCTTGTCGTAAAGAAGTTTGCGATGTATATATCTACTTTCGAAAGAAAAACTTCAAATAACAAAAAAATATGAGTAACTGGATATTCAAATATAATAAAATCAAGTACCATTAACAATCCCATTATAAGCTGCAAACCCTACTATCCTAGATGGGAAATATGAAATATCCCTCACATAAACGGGAACAATCTCCACAGATTCGCGATCAGATGCACGCTCCGCCGTAAGCGCGTCACTTCGGATAGGTACATCCAGCTAGGCGCTATAAATGCGTGTGATCATCCCCGTCCCGTTTTCAATTCTCACATTTCATTACACAACAGAAACGACTTCCAGGCGTCACTCATTCCCGCTACACACGAAACCTCTAGCCCCCGCATCCGCAGTAGTTGGGCGGAGCTTTTCCTGCGTCTTCACTCTTCCGCCAACCGGAAAACTCTAAATCACAGCCGGAGGGAAAAGCGACGGTGAATAAGAAGGAAAAAATTATGGCGAAAGGAACGACGACGATTGATGTCGGAGCGGACGGAGTTGCTCTCATCACCATCATCAATCCTCCCGTCAATTCCCTCTCCTTCGACGGTAATCCTTCCGCCTCCACTCTGATCCAGATCTCACCGTTTCGCCGTACACGGCCTTTCCATTTCCCGCTCTCCGTTTTCGCTGCGTAATTTCATTTCCCCGGCGGAGATTCCGTTGTTCCTCATGCTTTCCGCACTTCGGTGTTGCAATACGTTTACTGTCAGTTATGCGAAGTTTTGTTATCTTTTTCATTCGAGAATTTCTTAGCTCAATTTTTTAACTCTGTTTGGTTCGCTTGGGTGGCGGTGAGGTTTGATTGAATAAGGTAAGGATTTATGGTCGAAGATTTTGTTCTTGAGATATTTGGACAGTTAGAATTGAATTAATGAAGCGATTTGAGTAGGAACCATACTTGTAATTGATCGCTGCTATCGGAATTTATCTGTCAACACCGTCGAGGATCTATGCAGACATGTGGAGTGTGATTCCAGTTTACTGATTTGTGTGAACTTGTTATTCTCTATTCTGTTTGCAGTGTTGTACAGCTTGAAAGAAAGCTATGATCAGGCATTACGCAGAGATGATGTTAAGGCAATTGTTGTTACCGGTAAGTTTAGTTGCTTAGAATTGGTGACTTGGAATCTAGTTGATGACGATTGTGGTGTGAAGCTGATGTACCCTTGTAAATTGAATAGGTGCAAAGGGAAAGTTCTCTGGTGGATTTGACATCAGTGCTTTTGGCGGAGTTCAGACAGGAAAGGGTATGCTTTTTATTTCTGTGCACATGTTATACCCACTTGTAATGAATCGGCTAAAATCTGAATTGCGGTCTTCTGTTTTCTCAGTGGATCAACCAAAGCCTGGTTACATATCAATTGACGTACTTACAGATACTGTTGAAGGTATTGGTTTATTTCCCCCCTGGTTTCTCCAATTTTGAAAAAGATAGTGTATATTAGGCATTGAACTGATAGCAGTCAGCTAATTGACTGGCATATGTGCTATTTCTAGCTGCAAGAAAGCCTTCTGTTGCTGCAATTGATGGCCTTGCCTTGGGCGGTGGACTGGAAGTTGCAATGGTAAGACCCTTGGTATTTGTTCTAGGCTCACTAAACTTTATTTACTTGCAAAAAAATGACCCCGAACATTTGCTATCACAGGCTTGCCATGCTCGAATCTCAACCCCTACTGCACAATTGGGCTTGCCTGAACTTCAACTTGGAATTATTCCTGGATTTGGAGGTACGGCATGGTTTTCGTTACGTTGATTTTGTTTGGGGGTTTGCATTTTGATTCATGCTGAAATTTTATTTCTTTGCCTCCAATCTTGTAATTCTATTGTATCAGGAACACAGAGACTTCCACGTCTTGTTGGGATCTCAAAAGCCCTTGAAATGATGCTGGTATGTGTCTTATAGTGGATTTTCCCTAGGTGCTAGTAAGTTTTAAGTGGGATCTGTCAAACGACTATAGACTTATGCTTTGTCCGTTTGCATATGATGTATCAATAGACGTCGAAACCAGTGAAGGGAACTGAAGCTCATGGTTTGGGCCTTGTGGATAGTCTAGTTTCTCCTAATGAGTTGGTTTCCTCTGCACGCCGCTGGGCCCTAGACATGGTGGAGGGCAAAAGACCATGGGTTGCTAGCCTTTACAAGACTGATAAGTTGGACTCATTTGGAGAGGCAAGGGAGATTTTCAAATTTGGAAGGGCACAAGTGCGGAGACAAGCTCCCAACCTTCAACATCCTTTAGTTTGCATTGATGTTGTGGAAACAGGCATAATTTCTGGTCCCAGAGCTGGTTTGTGGAAGGTGATTATCTGTCTCGTCTTCTGGGGCACTTCTCTTCTAATTACAACATATGTGCAACCCCTCACATTGTTAGTGATGTTGGCAGGAGTTTGAATCTTTCCAAGAACTCGTCCGTTCTGACACCTGCAAGAGTCTCGTTCACATATTCTTTGCTCAGCGTGGAACAACTAAGGTTGGTCTCATTGAGCTTCCTTGAAGTTGCCCTTCAATTTGTAGAAGGTTTATTGTAAATTTAGCTTTAATAAGCCTTTTAACTGATCTGATCCTCCATTGACGTGGAACAGGTTCCTGCAGTCACAGACCTGGGATTGAAGCCCAGACGAGTGAATAAGGTTGCCGTTATTGGTGGAGGACTGATGGGCTCTGGAATAGCTACTGCATTAGTCCTAAGTAATTATCCTGTTATTTTAAAAGAAATCAACGAGAAGTTCTTGCAGGCTGGGCTGGATAGAGTCAAAGGTGAGGCCCACCCAATCTGAATACTTAATGTTGAATTATGTTAACAAAGTTATGATTGTTGAATGAACGTTGTCTCTTGTTTAGCCAATTTGCAGAGCCGAGTGAAGAAAGGAAAGATGACTCAGGAAAAGTTTGAGAAAACTTTTTCTCTTCTTAAGGGTGCTCTTGATTATGAAAGCTTTAGAGATGTGGACATGGTCATAGAGGTACTTTTATACACATGTTAATTATGATTGAATACGAAGCTGTTACTCAATGGAGACTGACTTCATAACCTTGACCTTGATGCTTGTTCAGGCTGTAATTGAAAACGTCTCATTGAAGCAACAAATCTTTGCGGACCTCGAGAAGTACTGCCCACCGCATTGCATACTTGCAAGCAACACTTCTACAATTGACTTGAACTTGGTAGGCAGCAAGACAAGGTCTCATGATAGGATCATCGGAGCCCATTTCTTTAGGTAAACTTCCCCTTTTGTAGTTTCATTTTTGTGGCAGCCGTTTGATTTAGGAATATCTCCACTAAATGATTTTTGCTTCTTATGCAGTCCGGCTCATATCATGCCACTCCTGGAAATTGTTCGCACCAACAAGACTTCTCCTCAAGTTATTGTCGATCTACTAGATGTCGGTAAAAAGATCAGGAAGACTCCAGTTGTTGTTGGGAACTGTACTGGGTTTGCAGTCAACAGAATGTTCTTCCCTTACACACAAGCTGCTCTTTTACTTGTGGAGCACGGAACTGATCTTTATCTCATCGATAAGGCTGTTACCAAATTCGGAATGCCAATGGGCCCTTTCCGGTATGTACTGCCTGCCTGCATGTATGACAGTGTGAGTATCTATCGAGAATTTCCAGGAGCAGATCTTGATGTCTCATTTGAATGCAGGTTGGTTGACTTGGTAGGTTTTGGTGTGGGAGTTGCCACTGCAATGCAGTTTATCGAGAATTTCCCAGAGCGAACCTACAAGTCTATGGTTATCCCTCTAATGCAAGAGGATAAGAGAGCAGGTATGTTTTTTTTTCTCTCTTCGCATTATTACATGATTACCAAGCTGCCAAGCCAGATTACGAAAATGCTGACTGTCTTAATATATGATATGCGTAGGTGAAACTACTCGCAAAGGATTCTACCTCTATGATGATAAACGCAAAGCACGCCCAGATCCTGAGGTGAAGAAATATATTGAGAAGGCACGAAGCATTTCTGGCGTTTCAGTGGATCCCAAGGTACGTCATAGGTGGCGTGGACTTTCTGGTTCTCTTACTATTGGTTGTTTGACAATCATATCCTCCTCTGTTTCTCATTTCTTCTCGACTCAACACTTCCAACAGTTAGCTAAATTATCGGAGAAGGACATAATCGAAATGATATTCCTCCCCGTGGTCAACGAGGCCTGCAGAGTTTTCGCCGAGGGCATTGCAGTTAAAGCTGCAGACCTCGACATATCATCTGTCATGGGAATGGGTTTCCCTCCTTACAGGTCTACAAACCTCTTCCAACCCATTTTTCAATAACCCACCGTTCCCATAATCTCGGCTTTGTTTAATCAACTTTGGTGTTACTGTCATCAGGGGAGGCATTATGTTCTGGGCGGATTCACTAGGATCGAAGTACATCTACTCGAGATTGGAGGAATGGTCCAAGACATTCGGCGGCTTCTTCAAGCCCTGTGCTTTCTTGGCTGAGCGAGCTGCCGCGGGTGCTCCTCTGGTAAGCTATCTCAACCTTCAGCATATCGCCTCTGCTTAAGCTCACCATAATCTTCAATGCGCGCCCTAAGCTATCTCAACCTTCTGCGTATTGCATCGCTCACCATAATCTTTAACGCACGCTCTTTCGTTTGCAGAGTGCTCCAGTGGAGCAAGCGAAATCGCGGATGTAGGACTTTCGGTCTCGAGCACGATGAAATACGAACCACCCTTACGTGTGGAGAAATCTTCCAAAGAAATTATCTCCTCTTTGTCTTACCAGCAGAATAATGTCTTGATGACAGAGAACTGGGGAGAAAGAAACATATTTTAAGAAACGAGAACTAGTAGAATAATACTTCTTGTTTAGAATAGTCAAAATCTGGATGTGATTTTATGGCATCTATTTCCAGAGCTGTTCTTCTTCTGCGTCAACCTGGAGGCTCATATTATATGAACCACAGTATTTCCAGACGTGAGCAATGCTTTTTTTTTTTTTTTTTGCTTTGTGGGGAAACAATTTGCTGCTACAAGACAGCAAGTTTTAATATTTTCAAGGTACCGATTTCAAAGTTCAAACTAAACAGTTTAGGCTCGCGAATTAGTATAAACTGTATAATTGTCTCTGTTTTCAGAACCGGACCGGAAGCTGAACCGAAAAAGTTAGTGGTTCATGGTTCAGTGGTTAACCGTTATAAAACTGTTGGTGAACCGTTTAAGAACCGCTCATACATATAAAATACAAAAGACATGTAATAGACTAATTAAAAACTGAAATTTCCATCAACCATAAACAATCAAAATCCTTACTATCAATCACAAAAATTCTCACAAATCATAAAGCTGTCTCACAAAAAATCCAACGAAAGTTCAGAGGCTAAGTGCTCTTTCATTCTATGAATCCCACTCCCTTTGACAATCTTGTTACATTCCAGACAAGTAAGAACTTTTTTTTACCTTCAATCACTTGAAGATTAACATGTGCGATCATGTTTATCGGTTGGATTTGAGGTAGGAGCAACATCGGAGAGTGGAATTTGAGATGGTTGAGGTTGACTCTCCATTTCTCAATTTGCAAAATATAAAATTCTTTTAGTTAATTATGTATGTTATACTTTCTGATCCCTAATGTACTACGTGCTCCTTCATGTGACTATGAAATGAATTATTATATAAATGGGCCTTTGAAATCAATTGTATCCGCATGGCCATGATTTTAAAGAATCAAAGAAAAGCACCATGCACAATATATATAAGTAACAGTATAACACAATAGCCATATAGGTTTAATAGGCATATATAGCGAAAGTATGTAGGGAGAAAAGATAAAAGAAAGAGGTGTGTGTGCAGCTGATTAATCTATCTACACTATATAATACGTTTTCATGAGTGACTTTTGCTGCATTTCAAAAATGGAGCCACAGGATTAATTTACGGAGGGATAGTTTTGTCAAAACACCCTTATCAATTTTAGCCCAAAACGTTGCGTTCTATTTTATTGATTTTGACTTTTTGTTATTGTTTTTGCTTTTCCGTTTGTTTCTTCCTTTTGTTGTGCCACTCACTAACCCAAACGATTTGTTTTGCCAATATTTAAATTGTAGATTTTTTTGGCATTTAGTCTCCAATCCCCCATCCGTAATCAATTATTATGTCCCATAAAAAAAATCAATTATTATGACTTCCACACAAAAAAAAATCAATTATTATGACAAACACTGCTTAATATTCTGCTGTCGCTCAAACTCAATTCATTAGAGTCTAAATCATGTTTGCGTAATTCTATTTTTGGAGTATATTAATATTCAATTCATTAGTTTTGGTCCAAATTATCATTAATATTGGAAGTTCAAAAAAAATGGATACCTGATTATAATGTTTTTTTTTTGTTATGAGACAAAAAGAAAAGTAGAAACACCTATATTAAAGGTATATAATTGGGTTGAAATTAGTAATGAAACTATATATATAAATTTTTTATACAATCATCTAGACTCAGGTAGATCCATTTGGATCTAACCCAAATGAATTGAACCAAATAGAACACAATTCAAACCCAACAAAAACCCATTAAAAGTGCATATAGACCCATTTGAGTTCGACACCAATACTCATATGGATCTTGACAATTGGGTCAGATGACCCATTAGTCCATTACCATATCTATGAGCGATGGTTGTGTACTTCTGTTGAGGGTTTTCCCCAAAATCCATCAACTCATTCTTTTGGTGTGTGTGATGAAAACATCACTCAACCTATTCATTTGTAGTTAAGCGAGTGGGTCGTATTGCTAATGTTGGATGGTTGGTGGGTTTGACGATTTGGTCAGTTATAAAATAAAGTAACTATGAGTCATAAATATTTATAATAAGCTTATCGAATATAATAATAAATTAAAAATTCAAGAGAATTAATAATCATTTTTGGTATGAGAAATTCAATAATCTTTAAGAATATGTATTGTATTTTTTAAATAATTAGTTTATAATTTATGTAATAAGTTAAGCAAATTTATAATAATTAATTATCATTTCCATCATGATTAATATTTTGGGATTATAATATATGTACATTATCATATAATATATATTAATAACATGATAAATCATGTGCTTTGGCAGGCCAATGACGGGACAGGTTACGGTGATTACTACAAAGTATTAATCCCCGTGATTACTAAGGGTAAATTGGGTATGAAAAATAAATTATATTAATTAATTTTTTTAATAAATTAAATTTTAGGTAATTACAAGAATCTATTAATTAAAATTCTCTCTCTTTCTCTCACTTCCATAATCTTCAGCCAGATCCCTTTTCCTTATTTTTCTCAATCTTTCTGCAAAAGAAAAAAAACACGAAATCACTACCAATCCATTAGACAATCACTACCACTTTGAAAAATATCAATACCATTGCAGAAATAAATATATACAATTACACGAAAACTACTAATATAAACAATCTACCAATATAAATCTATATCATTTCACAAAAAATCAATACCATTGCAGATTGAATCAATACCAATACATGCAAATTAATATCATTACATGATAATTAATACCAATGAGACAAAAACAATACCAATGCGAAAAAATACTTCCACTACGAAAAAATCACTACCAATGCGGAAAAAATCAGATCTAGGGTTTTTATTCATCCCACATTTTCCAGCCGCCTGTATGAGAGAGAGAGATTGCGAAGGGATTGCGTGAAACCCTAAGTGCATCGCCTCTCACCTGCTCCGTCGCGTTCGTCACAGACAGTCATGCTCGGCCTCCACATCAGGAACGGGCGACGCCAGTTTGATGGGGTGGAGAGGTGGAGTGGGTATAAAAGGAAAGAAGGGGGAGCATGACCGGAGGGAAAAGGGACGCCGACGGGGTGTGGGGTTGGGGTGGTCGGAGGGAGGGACGCTGGCCGTGGGGTGGGGGTGGGATGGGCTGAAGGAGGGAGGAGTGACGCCGACGGGGGTGGGGGAGAGAGGGAAGTCAGCGAGGTTGGGGGGGGGGGGGGAGAAGGGAGAGACGACGGCTAGGTAGATAGGTTGTATTAGGGTTTGGATATAATATATAGAGTAATCAGGTGTGGTATGTTTTTCATTTCCTAAATTACCCTTAATCTAATCTTAATCGTTAATTTAAAAATATAATAAAATAAAGATAATGAATGGTATAGATGTTGGTAGCCACCATGGTTACTCAAAATTGAGTAACCACCCTAACCTATTCCGGCCAATGACCCATCCGTCACCGCCCAAATTTTATGGGCCACAAAGAAAATGACACCCACCCACCCAACACGTGTATAGAGTGGGTTATGATCGGGTTAATTCAAGTGGGTGTAACTCTAGGCCAACTCACTACCCATCCCTACCCTGTCCCTAAAATTTCTCACAAATTTAACCTCCTTCTCCGACCAGTCTTCCTATCTACAGCCTAAATCCATTACCCTTTCTCAATTTCTCTTTAATCCATTATCACTAAGAAGGTTGACATCAAGCTTCTTCTCCCAGATCAGACTTCTCTTTACCGTCGAACTCATCTCACAAAAAGTATAAACTTCTGAAGCCAAACAACTTAGACAACTTTGATAAATAATAAAACAATGAACAATGTGCATCCATATGACGGAGATTCGTTATTTTATCGGGAAAACGACACCTATGTACTTGAGATCTAGAGAGTAAAGATGGAAAGACAAACAAATTCTCTATTACAATTTACATTGTATTTTTCTATTACTCATCAACATTGTCTATTAAAATGGTAATAGACCTCGATGACATTGTATATCTCGATGACATTGTATATCTGAATGAGCGGTCGAAATATGGTAATTTAATATGCCTATAAAATATCTTATTCTTTACAGGTATGTGAATCAACTAAATTATATACTTGGGATCGGCTAAAAGAAGTTGATTGGAAAAGGATGGTTAATTTTACCGTTGATATGAATTGTTAGGGTTAAATATGAGGACTAAAAGAATTTAATGTTGGGAACTTTGAGAATTTCGGGGTCAGAGGGAAAGATGAAGACGAGAGAGTACTAGGTTATGAAGGTCAGTTTGGACATTGTCATAGTTTTCATAGATATTCGAGCATAATTATATTGATTTGAGAGAAATTTTGAAGGTACATAGTAAAGGTTTTCATTTAATGGTCATGCCGCCATAGAGATTTGATGTTATCAAGTTCGACATTGTTTTAGTTTCTTACTAATGATTTGTGATGGGTCAACACAATGATTATGCATATGTCATGGGAAGAAAAAATCATGCTATTATTTCTAAACATTTTGCATAGATAAGACCTTTACGAAGATAGTTAAATTAAAGTGCATCAATATATTAGGTACATATATATGTTGTTTGACATGTTTTCAATAACATTGTATAAACTTTACCAATTAAATATTTTGAGTACTTTCATAAGTTATTGATGGTCAGCTTACCAATCACATATGTAATATGTTCGTTAAAGTCGAGCATAATTATATATACAAGCTTATAAAGGTCTTCCGGCCAAGAGGTCTGGCCCTCTGCTAGTTAGAAATAATAATGATTACCAGATACTGGAGTGGAGCGAGCAATCGTAGGAAGCAGGAGGCAGTTTGGTTGGCTCTAGCCTCTAGGTAAAGAAAAGTTGAAGAACAGTAAGAGTCAGGAAAGCGACTGCGGCGTCAGAGCTACTGAGCTAGGAAGAAAAAGTAGATTATTAGGGTTGTTTGTGTAAGTCTGCGTTGGCTTCAATAATAGTAATGATTTTTTTTTTATTCATCAAATTTTAATGCCCAAAGGAACAGACCGTTGAATCAATAAACCCGTCCCGGTTCTGCGGTTTCATCATGGGATCGCTAAAATGCGTTCGGCCCAACAATGGCCGCTCAAGTAGAGAGACCGGACCGCTAGTGTTGGCGGTTGGCGGTTTTACCGGTCCGGTTCACCGGTCCGGTCCGGCTCTTACAACAAGGATAATTGTATTCTAATCTCGATTATTGGACTTACATTGCCTGGTGGGCCTAGTGTACACGCGGCCTCAGTCGAACGGCCCTACTGGTAGGGTTGGGCCCGGAGAGGGAGGGCACGGGGGCCGATAGTTATGTGGCCCAAGAGCTTAGGCGACAAGCAACCAGAAGGGCCCAGCTGCATCGCTAGCGTGACTTCTGAGCCTTGTATGTGAAGCTAATAGGCGCTACTACAGTGTCACACTTGTGTCATCACTGGAAGAACACATCCAGACAAGAGACAACGAGAGGTTGGTTGTCCATCGTTCGTTATCAAACTCTGTCACGAGTTCTACTTGGCCTGTATTCAGATTTTAGTTAAATACTTAATACACATCGGGACATGGTTCAATAATGTGCGGTGCGAGAGAGAGGCGACTTCATAGACATGGAAGATATGTGACGGATTCAGAACTTTGAATATTAAAAGGGTGAGGTGTGAGCGGTTAATCCGAGGTTCAATATCAATCCATTCGTAAATAATGTGAGTCGTAGTCTGTGGATAAGAGAGATGTCGGTGGATTGCGAATTGATAAATCTTCTATCTGCATTTAGTCGGGTGGATGGTGGGTGGATTGTCGGACATCTGAATGACTCGCTTCATATTATGATAGAGTCGTGAACAACGTTCACTTTCCGAAAAGAATATTTCCACCCTCAACAAGCCTATGGTTAAAGGAAATTTCTCTCGAGGATAAAACTATCACCACTTTAGGTTCCATGCTCAAGAACACTAAAGCATACTTATAAATTTTTGGAAGAAAGAAGAAGAATTTGTTTGATGGTATGTGGCATCATCCACCCCACACATATTTATAGAGGCCGAATCCATGCATTGTTTCATGAAAGGTTGCCTTTATCCATATGAAAGGTTGTCTCTATCCATATGAAAGGTTATCCTTACCCATATGAAGGGTTGCCTTTATCCATAAGGTTATCATTATCCATAAAATAATGCAACCGCCACTAGGCCAAAGGGATGTGTCCCTTCACGAAATTAGAATATTGGTTCGGTCGGTCTAATCCCAAACCGGTTGGTCGGTCCAACCCAAAACTGGTTTGACTTGGTTAGTCCGGTTCACTAAATTTCCAACAATATTTCCTAACTGCACTACACAGTGACCATCAACTTGTAAAGAGGTTAATATAGAATTTTTGAACTGCTATTGTTGGTTACTATGTTAGGTAATGTCCATTAGATATTGGGATGCATATTATGAACTATTAATTGTATCAAAGTCTAAAAATGTTTCAATTTTATCTACACAATTGGTTGAACGAGTAATGAAAATTTTGATGCAAATACTACACAGATCCACAGGAGACAAAGTGGGAAGTGTCTAAATTGCAAGACTCTTACCAATTTACGAGGAACTTATTCTAATTTTAGTAAACTTTTTTAATGGCTAGTTGGAGAACTACTTTTACGGGTTAATCCATCTGTCATTCTAACAAACTCGTTAGAAAGCGAGTGGGTCAATTTAAAACCAAAATCCACCTAACCCGTTCTTGTCCAACCCTACTTAATATTATAATTGCTACGTCGATCTTTTAGAAGTCAGAATTTATAGAGATGAACAACAAACTAAAAGAAAAGTGAGCTATTTCTAACAATTTAAGAGGCTCTATTCACTGCGTCTTCGTACCAACTCTGTTATGGTGCTCACATGCATTTGACATTGTTGCATTTGGAGCTGGAGATCCATTATCGTTAGATGGATTTCGTCAAAATTGTCATCAAATGTATCCAATGATTGATGATTGTCTGCACCCAATTCAACAACACTAGCGTCTATGAGCACAATCTCACATTTAACTTAGATTAGGTTTGCTTAACCAGACCATTAAGTATGAAAAAACAAAAATCAAATCATGCAAATTCCCAAAAATCAAATCCATAATTTTGGGAAGTCCAAATATGTAGTAAGAAAAGACAACGAGAAACATGACGATAGCAAAGATGTTTACTAGAGATAAGTTGGTGACAATGTGTTTTGTTGATAGGTATTGACTTAATTACGGGGTTTATCGGTTCCTTATTAATTTTAGGTTTTAACTGAAATCAAAACCATTAGGATGTTCAACGCTTTAACCCATTAATCTTTTTATCAATTTAATTTAAGTTAAACTCGGAAAAACCAAATCCACTTAACAACCCTAATATAACTTGTGAGGAGGATACCAAAATCCATTTTTCGTACAACAAACAAATATTTTGCTTTTCAACGGCCAGAAAAGTGAGTAGGTGGATGCCATGCATCAAAACTTATTATTGTTCATTCAAAAAAAAAAAAAAAGTTGTTATTGTCAATAAAGTTTGAAAGGGATAGCACTTTGCATTTGGAGATAGGGAAGAGGCAAGGAAATAGTCATGGTCAATTCGCCGGTTACTCATTGGTGGCCCGGCCGGCAGTATTATGACTGGTCTGGAAATCCTTACTCCATCCCTGAAATCAATAATTTAGAAAATGTATGAAGAAATTGATTTGGAATTAAACAACATGCACCATAAGTGATTTAAAGAGGTCTATAGTTTCACCATCAACTGTAAGCATACATGTTTATCTTCTTTTGTTAAAGTCAAGCGTGTATGGTGGAAACTTGGATTATATTTTGGTTTTTAGTATTAATTCCTTTAGAGCTAAAATATACTCACGTGATTAACGGAGTTAATCCCATAAGAACAGCCCCACCTCTATGTCAACCAAGTTATGGAAAATATGGATATATACAAAAATTTGGATTGTCATAATACTTCAATTTCTTGCATAGTTAAGTTTTTCATGTTGTGCGACATGGTATAACAAAAGAAGTTTGCTTTAATTTTTGTATAAACTTTGAATCAATCTTATGGTGGTGTGTTAAAATATCATTACATAGTGCGTAGAATGTCTATGATGGAACTGTGTACTGCAACTAATACCTACATTTGTACATGATAATTGTAGACAATAAATATATTTTATGTTTCTCTTAGAATATGAAAACATCCTGTGGTTATTTTGAAAATGATAATTGTAATTAATTGATTCTTTCTTTTTTCTATGAATGAATTATTTAAATGCACTATTATTTAACTATATAATATTATATTTATTTTCTAAAATTTCACCCTTAATTCCAACTCTTCGATTTACTAATAATACCGTAACATAATCCTCTCCGTGAGTCAAACCATGCCTGAATGACACAAATATTTAACAATTCTCTTCATGAGCCATATGGGTATTTATTTAATGTAATTTTATGTAGTCCTCTAAATTCCACTAAAAAGTTTAAACCAAAAAAATAATTATCAGCCCAGCTAGCCGTGAGGCTTGCCTTCCTGGCTCCCTCCTCCACATTCACACGACACACTTTTTCAAGGATCATTAAAAGCAAAATCTGGGCAGATTTTCTTTTCCATATGGACGTATCATCGCCATCTTTCCCACTCAACTAGACTATTATATGTTAATGACTGAAAACTTGTACAACGTGTTTTTCATTATAAAAATATTTTTAAAAGTGTACACCATCTAAATATTGCACATTTTTCGTTAAACAACACGGGCAAGTAGGCAACAGAAAGCAAACTATTGTTGTATTTGGGATGATTTATTGTTATTGATGTCTGATAATCATGCCTCGATCGATTTTGTATAGATAACTCTCGAATACATATAAACGCTGTTATCAAAATATTCATGTAATAAGTGCTATAACACATGGTGATTGGTGGATGAAAGAGCTTGTTGTCTCTTAATTAGCACTTCAATGTCGGTCAAATAATCCACTCGTCATAAATTTCAAGCGAACACTATGCAAGGAGGTTATTATCGTCGCACATTGTTCATTTGGAATGTAGGATGATTCCTTATGCAGCTAAAATATGATAATTAAGGTTATTATAGAGCACCCAAATCACTCTAATTGTGAAACCATTATTCCTTTTGTCATATTAATTAACCGTTTTCGTAATTGAGCTCATGTTAATCTCGCCATTTATATCTAACTTCAAAACCAAAGGATCGTATCTGGTTACGCATCCTACCCTAGATCCAACAAACACATTTCAGACAATGACCGATTCATCACAAATTTTTATCAACGAACACCTATGGAGCTTGGTAAAATATTTGTACACGGTATCATAATTGTTTCAGAGACGAGAGATTCAAAAAGATGTTCTAGCAAACCGACTCGCTTTTAACCAAACACCTTATAGTGATAGCCACGTCAAGTCATACACATCACACCTTATAGAGGTAATTATATTTTCTTTCATATGTTGGAATGACGCATATATTTATGTCACTCTTCCAACAAATACGAAAAAATTGGAACAAATTTGCCTTGAAACCATAGTTAGTAAAATACGGTACGGGAAAGTTACGTAAAAAATACGTACGGGTATTTTACGTCATCTCTAAGCTAAAGGTACGTTTAATAGTACGTTAATAGTAATAAATATATAAAAATAAATTATTTTTAAAATAAATAAATATATAAATAATAGTAAAGTTCACAATTTAATTCATTAAATACGGATATTAAACATGTTATACGGGTTTTATACGTGTTTAGTACGGGAGCAATCCAATGAACGGAAAAAAATGAAACGACTTGACAATAATACGGATACAGAAGTTTTAAACGGATAAAGTACGTACGGGTACATATACGTGTATTAAACGGAGTATTTACTAACTATGCTTTAAACTCCCTTGCATATTTAAAATATTCCGACCAAACCGAAATTGCACCTCGCAAATAATTATTTTTTTCGTGGTAAATCACATATTAATTAATGAATAAAAGTTGAAACGCCTTATCGAATTGTCGATAAAAATAAAAACCCTTATCGGGCGTTAATACAAACCTTTAATACGTACATAACATTTTAAGAATTAACCCACCCAACTTATAATTATTTGAAGAAATCTAGCTAGCACCATAACCTTTCCTTATACACACATAGAACCATACATCTCTCTCTATCTCCCAATATTAATGGTCAACCGTCCATTCATATATTTCCTTCATTATTTTATGTATACTATAGTCCCACCAACGTGTTTCATGTCATCAACTTGCCCTCTCCTTTCCCTCGCCCCCACTCCTTTTAGCTACAAGCTAACACTCTCCACCTTTAAAACACCAACAAATTCATTACACCGCATTTCCATCTCTCTCAAATCTCAATTCACTCACCCTCTCCCTTTCACTCTTTTCTCCGACCATCGTCGAAAAATACAACGAAATTCAGATCAGAGGTCTCCAGTCCGAATTTCGATCAGAACACATCCAATGGAACCACTGACTCTGTTCATCGGAATCATAGGGAATGTCATCTCGGTGCTAATGTTCCTCTCTCCTGCGTAAACACTCTCTTTTTATCTTTTTCTCTCTCGTCTTTTCCTATTTTACCCCTCCTTTACTTCACGATTCTGACCGGTGTGGTTTTGCGGTTTAGGGGGACATTTTGGAGAATTGTAAAGAACCGCTCGACGGAAGACTTCGAGAGCCTGCCTTACATTTGCACGCTGCTGAACGCTTCCTTGTGGACGTATTACGGCGTCATCAAGCCCGGAGCTTACTTGGTCGCCACCGTCAATGGCTTCGGCATCGTCGTCGAGATCGTCTACGTGGCGCTCTTCATCACCTACGCGCCCCGCAAGATGAAGGTATATATACGGTGTCGTTTCGACTTTCTCTGGTTACGGTCAGTAACGCCGTCGGTAAGAGTCGGTGATCGACGGCGAGGTTTAACCGGCATATGCTAATTAAGTAACTCAACGTCAAGTTTTGTCTTCCTTCTCTTTCTTACTTTGCCTCGGCCTACACTCAAAAGTAGAAGCAAGCTTTTAGGGTGCAGTTTAGATTGATAAATAATAAACGAGACAATTTGGTTATTTATTTCGTGTTTTTTTTTTAAATGTTTCATTTATGAAGAGCTAATTCATATTGTCTCTTCCTCCTCAGAAAAAATTCTCTCTTCAAATTTGTCCTTTCAATTTTTTTTTCCCTGATAGAAATCAATTACTTTGGTTTGATTGCATCGAAAAGAGACGATCGGATAAATGAATTCATTACAATTCATCGTCTAATAACCTCTAAATCAATATAATTTTCCCTCAAAATACCAAACCGGCATAATTTCCCAAACCAGATCTATGTTGTGTTAAACGATTTTGTCGCAAATTAGTGTTTACCAAAGTGACTGCCCGATATATGAGGAACTTCGAACCGTCGTAATTTCGTGCTCGATTATTCATTCGACGCAAACGAAAAAAAATACTAAAGGCGATAGACATACATATAAGATACAATCGATATGGATTTGAGTACGATATATTCAGCTAGCATTATATTGCACGTTTGTTGTGTTTGATTAATTACTACTAATGTTGTGCTTGTGGGTTTTGCAGGTGAAGACGGGAACCCTAGTGGGGATTCTGAACGTAGGGTTTCTAGCGGCGGCGACGGTGGTCACATGGCTGGCGTTGGAAGGAGAGGCCAGAATCGACGCCATCGGGTTCATTAGCTCCGCCTTGAACATCGTCATGTACGGCTCACCGCTGGCGGCCATGGTAATTAACTAATTAATTGAACTTATTTATTTATGAAACGAAATGATGATAAGTATAAATATATATAGGCTTAAGTCTTTTCTTAATTATTGACCTGATTAGTGTGATCTCAGTTTCCAGTTATCGCTATAATTTGTGCTCCTCGCAAGTGGTAGGAGAAAATTAATTAAGTTTTGTGGGGGAGAGCTAACTAATAATCCATTTGTATAGCAACAAGTTGACCATGACAGTGCAGAATAGATTAAACAATACTAATTAGCAACATAAGGGTCTCAAGCATTATCAATCATTATATTTTCTAAATTTACCCAGATTTTAAAGTCGAGAAGGATTAAAAATCATTTACTGTTTGTCCATCAATAGTGCTGTGTAATGTAAGCTCAACTCTCAGTGTCTCTGGCGAAGATTTTATCGAATATTCGTGAAAATCCTGATAATTTTTTGAATGTGTTCATTAAGATATGTCATCACAAAAGATTAGCATGTTAATAAGCATATATGATTTTCTTGATTAATTATGTTTAGAGTATTGGACTCCATGTGTTCCCAACTTTCCTTTTTCAGATGAACACCTGATCTACGCCTCCCTAATAACATAATCCCAATATATGTTTCCTCTTTTATAGCCAGCCTTTTGATAGCTTCTTTTGCTTGCCCAATAATTAACTAATTAAGGGATGGATAGATACAGAATTGAGAAAATGAGGGTGATATGACGAAGCAAAGCTCAGATTTTTGTACAACTGTTTTTTTTTTTTTTTATAAATAAGTACAACTGTTATGTATATTCTTATTGTACATTATACGGAACCAGATAGATATATACCCATCCATCCATGATTTTTAATTTATTATTATTTTATCTAATGAATGGCAAGTCTCAACTGCCACTCCACAGAAAATATCATTTATGTCACACTTATTTTATTTTATTTTTTCCAGCAAGAACCCAATTAAGTCACCATATTTTATGATTTAAAAAATTAAGTCCCCACCTCCATTTTTAAGTTTTGAAAATTAGTGAGTTCCCATCTGTCATTCTGACCTATCATGAGATCGAGATCTAGAAGATCGAACGTGTATTGGGTAGGAGTTTATTAATTATGATTGTGGATAAATAAAGTTTTACTAATTAAAGAAAAGAAACAAAAAAAATGTCAATAATTTATTTTATTCATGTTTTCTTCTTCTTCATATATGTAGAAAACAGTGGTGACAAGCAAGAGTGTGGAGTACATGCCATTCTTGCTCTCCTTCTTCCTCTTCTTGAATGGTGGGATTTGGACATTCTATGCCTTCCTCACCAAAGATCTTTTCCTTGGGGTAAGTATATATACATGCCTTTTCCTCACTATTTATGATACATAAACTTGTAGTCTATAGAGTTATATGCGAAGTTTGCACAAATTAAATGCATCGTATATATCAAAACAAATCGGGGAATAAATAATCCGTGTATCATTCAAATATAATACTAAAAAAAAAAGAATCCACAAAAATATTCGTATTTTTTCCCTCATTTCTCATTTATTTTTCCTTTTTCCAATCCCATTACGGTGTTCACCATTTAAACTTCGAATAAAACGACACCGTTTTCGTTATATGAATATAGAAACGTGTCCAATACTTGACCCGATGGCAATTCGATCACGTTCTCACAGATGAAATTTGAGCACCATAGTTTAATTAAGGTTTTATACACTTGTATATCCAAAACTTTCACAGTTGTGCCAATAATATCCAAATTTCCCCGAATACCACTTATATCCATGTTTTAAAGTTGTTCTTTGCCAAATCTATCAATTTCCCAATATATTTGTGGTTAAATACACTTGTATATCCAAAAACACCGTTAAAGAATGTGAAGGAATTGGATATAAGTGGTATTTCGAGAAATTTGGATATTATTGGCACAATCGTAAATTTTTTGGATATACAAGTGTATTTAACCTTTAATTAATATGTATGTTTCCTACTTCTTTTTCGCCTGTGGGGGGCCACTTCGTCACACCATCAATTGTCGCATTTGAAATTTGTTGTTGTAGTAGATCCAGCTAACTCTTTAGTCGTTTTATCATCAATAAATTTGGGACGAAAATGGAAAGGCTGAAATGGCTTTGTTCCCCACCAAATTACGTGAAACCAAACAAAACCCTAGCTAGCTAGCTTGTACATGATATTTTGCTCTCTCTCTCTCTCAACTTTGGTGGTGGAGACTTGTCCACACCCGAAATGTTTTTGAGCCACAGCTCCAAATGATGAAATGATTGATCTGAAACTCTCTTTACTAAAAAAAAGACGAGCATAGTTGAAGGCATCATTGTGTCGTGTGCGTCCACCACAATTTTGCGAACGTGATGGAATAAATAATTACGTGATAATTATCAACACTAGATGCCTCGTCAATAACCAGTTCGTCTCAATACGATTCTCGTACTCGCGAGAACGGGGAACGCGACGTTTCGGTTAATATATGTATGTATGCGTGTCTGTGTGTGTGCAGGTGCCGAATGGGACGGGGTTCTTGCTTGGAGCCGCACAGCTCATTCTTTACGCATTGTTCAGAAACGCTAAGCCATCCGCCTCTGGTTTAATTAACACTAATACCACTAATTATGGAAGCCTGGAAGAAGGAGGGCAGCGTGAGCCCTTTATTCCCACACCCCACCAAGAGATTCGCTAGTAATTAGAGGTTAATCTTTTTGGAAGCAGATCCGATTTAATTAATTACTTATGAATTAATGTATGTGTATGTATGTATGTATGTATAAGAAGGAAATGTATGAGGGAAGGTTATATGTAGAGCCTTGTTTGTTTGGTAAATGATAAGGTTTTGGTGTGTAATGCGAAGTTAAAAAATATTTGGTTGGTTTAGAAGATCAAATTGGATGAGTTCATTTGAGATTGTTTGGATGGTGCATTTGTGAAATGAGGTACTCTGGTTTAATTGCTTCAGGACTGTCTCATTTTACACAAAAAAAAAAAAAAAAAAAATTTGCCGTACTTCGTCTCACAATTACCCAAAGAAAACATATCATTTAACAATATTTGCCCATTTCTCTCTCAATTTAAAACGTTACAAAACGAGACAATTCAACTTACATTGCCCCAATTCATGTGCCCCCATTTTGTGTTGTCAAATAAGACTACACGACATAATTACTTCATTTTGAGGTAATTGGACCAAATCTCACCATCATCTCACTTTTTTTTTTTTTGCCATACCTCATCTCACAATTGCCCAAAGAAAACATATCATTTAACAACATTTGCCCTTTTCTCTCTCAATTCAAAACGTTGCAAAACGAGACAATTCAACTTACATCGTCCCAACTCCTGTGCCCCATTTTGTGTTGTCAAATAAGACTAATTATCCATTGAGACGTCCATAATTACTTCATTTTGAGGCAATTGGACCAAATTGTCGCATCGAATTCCAACATTCGTACGATCTCTTATTATCCAATTAGGTCAATCGTCTCACTTGACAATACAAAATGAGGATGGAACTATTGAGTTTAGACAATTTGAATCATCTCGTTTTGTTTAAATTTGAATCCATAGAAGAAGGGGAGGAAAAAACAAGTATTTTAAAATGTTGTATCAATCACAATTTCGAACATATTGAGTCAAAGTGCCTCGTATAAAAACTACTCATTCAATTCACCCCAAAATGTAAGTGAGGCATTGAGGAAACCGAGAAAAAATTGAAGCTCGAGAAATTTCTCTGGAAGTCTCAATGGAGGAGAGGGACCAAAACGAGCCCAATGGTGGTATAGGAATTTGAGAGTAACCAGTTAATGGGCTTTTAATCAGGCACGGTTTCCTTCCTCCCTGGGCTGGGCCGGGCCGGGCCAAGCAACCTTATGGGGATTAACTTTCCCGTCTTTCCCTCCTATTCTGTTTCTGATTAGTGATGGCAATGGGCGGCGGTACCTCAATTCTCATGCCTCGCCCCACGCTACTACGAGTCGGGGTGGGTAAAATCCGCGTGGGCAAGGGGCGAGGCGAGTCGATCCACTCTTACATATTGTTAAAAAAAAATACAAGTAAATTTTACTTTTTACAATAAAACGTAGGGGAAAACACTTTAAGAATGAAAAATATTGATAATAGAATGGATAATTGAGCATAAAAAGTTGAAAGATCGGCTCTAACTAGTTGAAGAAAAGTCAAAATAAGAGAAATTTGTATAGATATTGTAAGAAATTGAGATAAAATGAGTCTAGAACCGGGCGGGGCGGGACAGGGCGAGTTGAAATTGCCTATCACTATTTCTGATTGCTTCTGCTGTCCTCTGTTTCTCTCCTTTTGTTCCTGTCTTTCAGCACCATGATTTTGCCGATTGGTTACTTCACTGTGTACTACATATATTCATAATGGTTAATAATACAAAACTCAACTTTGGCAGTCTGTTAATGGTATGATCAGAGGCTTACCTAAACTCCGACGAGTATTTCTTCATTGTTCCTCTGCTCCCGATTCTTTTTCTTGACAACCGAAATCGCCTAATTCTTCAGCCTCTACTGAATTCCTCACTAGCCATCCAAACCGGCCATGGTATGAAAAAGTGACCAGCTTGTTTTTTCTTGGGTTACTGTTGTCACTTCCTGAATCTATCATGACCGATATTATCAACAAATCCAATGCCTTCGAAGTCTGAAAGTCTCAATGGAGGAGAGAGACCAAAACGAGCCCAATGGTGGTTTAAGAATTGAGATCAACCAATGAATGGGCTTTTCATCAGGCTACGTTTTCCTTCCTCCATGGGCTTGACCCAAGAAAATAGACAAACGGTATAAGAGCACCTCATTTGGCCTATTTCAAAGTGATGTGGCATTTCATAAATCAATTTCATGGATGCGGGAGGGTGTTTTCCAAATGAAATCTCCCACTAAATGAAATAGGTGAGAGAAAGATATGAGGGATGAGCGGGTCCCATTAGCCGAAATAAGCAAAAAGGAAATGTGGGGTTGAATAGGTAAGTGGTGATATTTAATTGTATTAAAAATTAGTTGGACCCACCAAATGAAATAGAAAGTGTATTTCATTGATGTAGATATAGGAGAAATTTTACAATGCTATATAGTATTGGTGCTATAGGATTTTGCCTTTATGGTACAACTTAAAATTATACATTTACGTTATGGTACAACTTCAGATTGTACCTATACTTTTTGTACAATAACATAATGGTACAAATTGTTTTATGGTACAACCTAAACTTATACATTTAATGTTATGGTACAACTTTAAGTTGTACATTAAAGCACCAATACTATATAGCATAGTAGAACTGTAGAAGTGCTCTTAGATGTAGATGTAAATGAAATGAAATAGGTAAGTGGTGAAATTGTAAAATTGGTTGAGGTGGCGGTAGGGACCACATATGAAATAGAAATGCTATTTCATGGATGTGGATGGTCTTAATAGGCAAGCAAATGAGGCCGGTTTCGTAAAGATACCGTTGTCAAATAAACATGGGGCCGAGACAAAGTTCTCTTTGACGTGGATTCCAAATAAGTGAATTTGTTAGCTCTCTTGCTCGACTGATATGAGTTGTGTTTGCTTAATTATACCGATATATCTTATCGGAAAAATTCTTACTGAAATCCAAACCGTCATTGATTTTACTGATACGAAATAATGGAATAACCGCTTGAGTCTAAAGTACGTTACCACTAATTTATCTAGTACGGTTTTACAATCCTGACTGATCATAAGTACACCATTGCTAGAATCACACCAATGAAACCACCAAGAGTCAAAAAAAAAAAAAAAGAGAGGATGAAATAGAAATCATACTATTTTTTTCTGTTCATTTTTTACTTCAAAGTCTCCAACCTAGATGTTATGCATATTTCGTCCTTACATTACCACTAGACTAACCTTTAGAAAAATTCTACTAATTTTGGTTGAGTAATTACGTCTTTATTTTTTCTATAAGTTTTTCATTTTCGATTCCATCTAGAATTTCTTTATTTTTAACAGCACTACACAAACAAAAGTCTTTGCAAATCCCAATCAAATCATTCCTTCATTATATATTTTCAGCCCGAGATAGACATCCTCTAACCCTACCTTGGTCGACGATAGACTCAAATTCAATTCCAAACAAACTCGAGAAGCATGCAATTATATGATCTCTATCTACATCACCTTTTTTATCTGGGGTCTAATATTAAGCTGTGGCTAATATAGCTTATCTTTCAGTCGCATTAATGAAGTAATTACAAACCAAATGGGGTTGGCAATGGCTGGCCGGTCCAATATTATTGATTTTCCATGTCTCCCCGGACAAAATACGACCTTATACCACTTGGGTTGCTTTAATTGCTCACCATGGCCACCACAACCACTACTTAATCTGGTAACCACTTTTGTTACAACTTGCTTAAAACATCCATAACCGTCCTCGATCAGGTGGGTGCGTCTTAGTTACAAAATTTACATCAAATTCTTCCGATAGTTGACCAATGTTCATCACTTGATCACACGACTCTATGTACTATAAGACAAGGGATATCATAAGCACCAGCGGCGGAGCCAAAATATGAGTGAGGGCGAGGGCTAAAAATTCACATTGAATGGATATGAACCGAAGAATAGAGGCTAAAGCCTTATAACCTATTCTATTTTCCAAAATCGTTACAAACTTTACACGTAAATGTAAATTGACACCATTTTAAGAATTCAGTGGGACTATAGCCCCTCTTGACTATAACGACGATACACCACTGATAACCACCCTAACCTAACCGAATTGCACCATAACCACAACTAAGTAGGTCGGCAATCTTGGGGGACAGCTTTGAGCCTATAATCTGTATCCATCTAACATCTTAATCATATCTCCTAACGTGTGCATGTCCCATGGGGGAAAATTGACCACTTAGAACTTAGAAGACAAACCAAACCCTATTTCAACTCTTCTCTAGTACGTTCTTTGACAAACTCTTATCTTCTCTTCTTTCGGTTTTCAAAATTTAGTGTATGTTATATATCGACGCAATCACATCACATTCGTTTGACTGATTTTTCTCAAGAATTCAAAATTGAATTGAACTGGCTAATATTATGATACGAGATTTTCATAAATATGTATTACGTTGAAATCAACATTTACAATTATTCAACTTTAATACTTGATTTCATCGTAACACATCTTAATACGTATAATCTCCAATCACGAGGAGTCGAGCACTATGGGGGATCACTGGGCTGGGTTTCCGGCCTGTACATGATTTTTCTAATCTTTCCATGCAGAAAGGTGCTAATAGGATGAGGACAAATAACAAGTCATGGGCCGGGGACGGCCGAGAAGATATGACTTGGGTCGGCCCATGAAAGAAAATATATTAGCGTAATTGATTAATTAACGGTCTGAAAATAGATCCAACTAGCTTTAATAATTGGGAAAATTACACCATAATGGGTGGAAACAAGTGGTGATTATTTAATATTTAGCATACCCACTCTATGTGGGTTTTTTGTCCTCTTCTGTGTGTACATATAGTCCCAAAATTGTTTATTATAAAAAAATAATACAATCTTGGATTATTCTATTAATCATGGACATGGTAATGATCTGTCCATGCAATTAAACAATATTAATAATAATTTGGAGCAAATCAGTATAACAAGGGGACAGATCTTTTTGTGGAATTGTGGTGCATAGTTAAT